CTCCCCTTGATCAATTCCTTCTTCTACTATGCGCTTGGGTTATACCAGGAAATTAGATCTAAACTTTTTTTACCAATACTGAAACGAGGCCCATTGCCTTGGCCAAGGAGAGCGTAATAATGCACCACCAAGAAGAAACGATAGGATATTGATCACGGAGGAGGGAAACCATCATTGTCTCCTTTGTCATCTATTAATGTCAGCTATGATGAATATATAAATGCTTGATCCTCTTACATCCATCCTCTCGTCCTCGTAATTTCTTCACTCGTATACAATCACCATGCTTGTCAAATCACTATTCGCTCTCTTTTTGGTTGCCTCCACTGTCCATGCAGGCTCCTACCATCGGTATCCAGCAGGACAACATCTTACACTTACCAAACGACGAGACAAATGTATCAATGACTGCGACGCAACACCAAATTGTGAAAATGATTGCAAAACATCCCAAGATAATGTCAATAGAGCAAAAGGCAAAGACTACCATTTGGAGTATGCTTGTTACCAAGGCGCATGCTACTGTGGTTTCCAACCATAGTGGGGCAACGTAAACAATCCCATTGTCATTGTATGACACATGGCTCATAGTTGTCTGCTTTGTCCTTTTTTTTTTGCGTAATGATACTTTACCAACAACCCCGCATGTGTCTTTTGCATTATATCCTTTACGGCTCCTTTTTTCTTCTCATTCGTTATTGTAATTGGAATATATACCTCCCTCCCTCCTTCCCTCCCTCTCTTTTTCTCTCTCACACATTTCATTCCCCCACTAATAAAATCGCGTATAAACTAGTGCTACTCCCTTTTTCTCCTCTCTTACTTTTTTAGTAGTGAATACAAATGAAGGTATAGGATATTATTTGTGGAACGAGAATAGCAAAGTGGATATGTGTGGTGTGTGCGTGCGTTTAGTATACAGTGTTCTTTTTCTATTTTCTCTATTTGCTCAACGTGCTGTGAAATTCGACAAGGTCTGGCAATGGTTGAACATCGAGTGCTGATAAGACATTGACCAAATACTCAATATCGGTGCGTAGCTGACGTTGACCCTGTGGTGTCGTTTTTTGAATCTTCCGAATCTCATCCAGGAATCGTGCCATAGTGCCTCGTGCCACGGATGTAGTCCATAGTTGTATCACATCGCTACCTTCCTCCTCCTCCTCTTCTTCCTCGTCATTGCCCGATTGTTCTTGTTGATGCTGCTGCTGTTGTTGTTCTTCATTTGAATCCAAACGGTCCTCCTCCTCATCCTGTGCTGTCAAGTCGCTCTTTTCAATAAATGGCGCAGACTCAATATGGTATCGCAAGCTGCTATCATCGGCATAAACCTCGAATTCTTGTGGCAACATCAATAGCTTTTCGCCGATGCGAGTGATGTATGCATTAGGTGAAAGGCTGAATTGTGGCATATCGGCATGGATGGTAGCATCTTGGACATTCTTGCGGCGGGATTGTGGTTCTGGTGCGGTCCATACTGATCGTAAGGTGGGAATGGTATCGAGGTGCTGAATAATAGGACCAAGAATTGCTTTGTGTAGCATCACTTGACACTCTGCCGTCAAATCATAGATCGCCTGATGGGCATCCTTGAGCATCACTGTCACCACGCTATCTTGCTCATTCAACGTTGATACTTGTCCAATCACTCGTTGTAATTCATGGCTGTTGAGACGTGATGTGCGTAACAGGGCCATAGAGGATCGTGGGTAAATCGAGTGCTGTGATGAAGGTGGTTCTGTAATCGAGCTGCTGGTACTTCGCTTTCGTTCATGACGTGATTCAAAATTGTGTGCATTGCCTCCAAAACTAGATCGTCTCCTATGTTCCCGAATATCCGATGATGATGTTGATGATGATCGATCCGTGAATGATAATACGCTTGGTGTCACAGGACTCAGCAATGGGTTGTCATCTTGATCCTTTTCTTGAATCAGTGATCGTGTGGATTCGAGCTTTTGACAAATGATCTCCTCAAACGATCGTAGCTGAGCATCCAAGGCTTGACACATACCCAAGAGTCGTAATTCCATCTGAAACGCTGGCCAATCTCCATGACTACCACTTCCACTTCCATTCTCCTCCACTGTATCGGTGATTCGTGGTTGTTGTTGCTTTTGCATCTTGCGTATGACATTGGATAAGCGTCGTTTGATCTCGTTCATGTATCCATTCAATGCTCTTATCCATTCCACTGCCCCAAACCCATGGGTGAATTTCATACATCGCGTCAATGATTCGTTGGCAAGGGCGTATATTTGAGCTACTACATGCGTCAATGTTGTTTGCTGTAATGCTTCTGCAAGTGGTCCTCCTCCACTTCCAATGGCTGACTTTGACGTGTTGAATTCCTCGAATACATCCACAAGTTGTTCATTGAGATACCTGCTTTCCAGTGTTGCATATTGTGATTGGAAGGGCAAAAAGGGAACGTATAGTACATAAGACCATGCATTGGTATCGGCATGTCGCAACGTCAATGGGACCAAAGAGAGCTGGCTGACACTAGATCTTCGACGTGTACGCGTCTTGAGCGATTCGAGAGAAGCTGCTGTATGATCCGATGCTGATGCCGTGTTGACAGGTGGTTTTGAAAAGAGTCGTTCAAGTGACATTCCAAATGATTCGGTTGCTACGAATGCTGATACAAGAGAAGGCAACGCTTTTGTACCTTGATGAGTGGCAATAGACGCAAGACGATCAGCAATGGAAGGATCCAATGATTGAAGGATGCTTTGTACTTGAGCTTGTACCACAGGCTTTGGATCAGGGAAAATGGAAGCTGACCAAATGTACTCTTCTGACAAGGATTCAAAGATAGTCTTGTAAAAGGAATCGAGAGAAGCAATCCAATGTGCATCATCGTCATCTTCACCATATTCCTCCTGTTGCTTCTTTTTCCACTTGTTCAATATCAATGGATTCCTCACTTCAAAATACAGATCCACAAAGTAGTCTGCACGTCCCATTTTGCCGAACACCTTGTAGTACTTGAAACATTCAACAGCGTCATGTGATCCAAGTGCCTCGGTTGCTTTGGGTCGTAATGCATCCTCGAGTTGTTGCTGCAATCGTCGTAATAATTCTTTACGTCGACTATATTCAGGACTATGCTGAAAGACATTCAAGCTTTGTTGTGCGTTTTCAAGTCGATTGGCTGCTCCTTCATAATCCTGATTCTCAAGTACTCGTGTTGCCTCTGCCTCCAAATTGCTCCAGTTTTCAGCTTCTTTGAGAGCCGAACAACATTTCTCCATACGCGTTTTTACAATATGCAATTGCTCAAGCTTCGAAAGGGCGGTCTCTGTATCATCGTTATGGGTGCTATCAAGGTGAACTCGCACTTGGTCGATACCGCGTTTGGCTGCCTGTGCATCGTCCGTGATCAACTTGATGTCGTAAAGCATACGCGGCATGGACTTGAGTACGCTATCAGTCGTTTGTCCCACTTTACGCGATACTTGCTCACTCGAAAGCTGTAGTCGTGTTGCAAGAATGGTGACATCCTGTTCTGAAGGTAAAGCATGGCTGTTGCTGGTGGTGGATGCTGTGCTGTTATTCGGATGACGAGACTTTAAGGTCGCATTGATCCAGCCCTTGACGTCAAAGTTGGGGTCCGAAAAGGCACTGGTGTCAAGTGCTGCTGTTGAGCTGGCCATGTACAAGAGGCACAAGTAGGTGAGTTGAGTGGTGGTAGTGGATAAGGGAAAGGAACGCGGCACTCAAATAGTCGTTCTTGCAGATTGACAATTGCCACACGCAAAGAAACTCAGCAACAGCAGCACCGTGGAGACTACCCATTTGATGTATCGATAAAGGACTACTTCTTTGCCGTGATATTTGATTACATGACCAATGGCAAGTAATGGATTATTCAACAAATCGACGACCAAGCCGTTGCAGCATAATGTATCAATCTTTATTATATAATAGCACTACGTATCCTTCTTTCTTTGGCTTCATCTCGCTGTAACCTTTTCCTTTATAGCTTAAATGTTATTCGCTAGTTCTATATAAAAATGATTCTTTTGTGAATGCTACACTGATAAGGATCCACCTCGGGTGACATTAACATTATAAGGGAACTTGGCTTCACCATCACCAGCTAATCCATGTCAAACCTATCCCAGCCGATGTTGCTCTCAAAGTACCATGTATATAGGAGTTGCAAAGACTCTTTCTCATCGAGAATGTTCACATGTGATATAAACATGGGATCGTGTTGAGTAACTGGGACCTAAACGCGCTGGCCGCCATGCGTAAAAATATGCGTAGTGAGGCTGAGATGATGGTCAAAACTAATCCTTCGTCCTCACGTAGACAACCAAAAGGTTTAATGTCATGCAGCTGTGTGCAAGATGGCGTCACCTATCTTTAAATAGATTCACCTAGCCTTGCGCTTATAGTTTGTGTTTGTGGCTGATGCATCCATTTTGTCGCTGTTACTTACAGCCTCAATCGACCGAGACCCAATGTGCTGGGCTATTTTGTCGATCCTCCTCCAAGTTGGCAACTGTTACACAAAAGGCTAAAGTCGACCACCATTTACCGAGTCAAACGCAGCGACATGATGTCAAATGCCAAGAGTCCTTTTTATTATTATTTCCAATCCCATACTTCTTTGACCCATGTAGCAACATCCATAGGGACATCTTCCCATCGTTTGATGAAGGGATGTTCCAACATTCTAGCTGGGCCTGGTCGTTCTTGAGGATCCTTGATAAGACTATGAAGTTTGTGATACGTTGAGCAAAATGTATACACAATAATTGCCGCCAATGACCCAAAAAATCTTACCAGACAGCCACAAAGTTCCGGCATTCCTTGGATATATGGTCACCTTGTATAACAGGTACAGGATGGCGCACGATGAGCTCCAAAAGCTCAATGACAGATAATTGTGCTTGACCTGGTGGCGGTAAAGCGGGTCGGTTTTGTGATACTTCAATCAACGTAAGTCCCAATGACCAAATATCGGATTGCACAGCATATGGAGCACCCTTGATACGTTCAGGCTAAAGGCAAAAAAGTTAAAACGCGAACGTTTTTCTCTCTCTTGCATAAAGTGATCAACATACCGCCATGTAATACTTGGTACCGGTAAATGTCTTTGCAATAGAATTGATCAATTCACCCGACACGCCAAAATCGCAAAGCTTGATTTCACCTTTTCTTGTGACAAGGATATTGGACGGCTTGATATCTAGAAAAAGTAATCAACACGTGAACATGTCATCCTCCCCCTTTCCATCTCCCAAGTCGGGAATAAAGACAAACCTCGGTGGATAACATGTTGTGATTGCAAATACACAAGACCTTTGCATACCTATATACAATTGCTTAGCCCTACCATAAACACAAGCTATCCTTAAATAACAACACTTACAGATTCGGCAATACGCTCAAGTACAGGTTCACCAATCACTGCGCCAAGATCTCTTGCCCGCTTATAGATATCTTCCAGACTACCGGCTTCACAGAATTCCATGCATAAAGAGAGGGATGTGTCGCCGTCTTCCAGAAAAGCACCCCAAAAAGAAACAATGTAGGGGGAGTTGCAAGTCTTTTGGAAAGCCAATTCACGTAAAATCTGTTTTTGTACCTTGGGGTTGGGATCTGTACCAATGGTCTATCATGTCCTCAATGTTAATAAAGACACGCTCCTTGCTTTGACCACCACCCATGGTATCACATCATTCTCCCTAAAAGCTCCCTTCACACCAACCCTGATCTACCTTTTTTGCCATAATGCGACCACTAGGCCGATGCAATACTTTTCGGACCGTACCAGCAGCACCTTCACCCAAAAGTTTGATGACTTCTAAGTCTTCGGTCTTGATATCCATGCAATGACTGCCATCTGGATCATTGGCATCGGATGCTGATGATGAAGAAGATGATGAAAATGGGGATACTGGAGTTGCATTGGATGTGCTTGTAGATGTGGTAGTGGATGAAACAGGCACGTGATGATGATGATGATGCGTGGTAGTGGTGTTGGGTGATCTTCGAGGACCTGTAGCGGGAGGTTGTGGAGGCTCACGCAAAACAGGGATGTTTCTCCTCTCTGTTGTTGAAGGTGGTGTTGTTGCCATGGCAGCGGTGGGTGTTGTTTGCCTTACAGCGTTGAGATAAGCAGCTGCCAAAGAATCGTCGCCATCGTCGTCTTCGTCGTCAGCTCCACAGCCAGGGTATGTACGCTTTACATGGTTGACATTGACATCAGATGAGGATTGGGTCAAGGAGGATTGAGCAGACCTGCTGCTATTGCCAACGATATTGCCCACTTTTTCTCGAAAGGTATTATTGTGTTGTGTAGCAGGGTCGACAGCCGTAATAGACGAAGCTGGAGGTGTTTGCAAGTGTTCAAACGATAGCTTGAGACCTGGCCCACGTCGTTTGTTATTACTACCAAGACCACGTCCTGCAGGTGGCGGTACAAGTGTTGGCATATTTGAAGAGTCTGGGGCGTAAGTCATAATCAACAAAGGAAAAAAGGAAACAAAGTAGTAGTAGAAAAGCTGAAAAAGGAAGCTCGTTTTATATGGTCGATCGTTCGCTATGCTCGGACATTGAAGGAGCTTGGTATCGGGCACAACGCTTTTATTATTGGTAGTACCACAGACCACCTGGATTATATTGTCAATGAGAAAAACTTTGGTTACTTGATATTCAACATCCAAAACATCATTACATTTGATCATTGTAGTAATGCAATAGTATTGATTTGAGAATAAAGAGATACCACTTGCGAATGCTGTTGTTTTTGATTTACCATCTACAGACACACAATGGATCATACTTCATGATTCATTTAGAACAACGTGATGATGCCATTTTATATAGAACGTTCATCTTCTAGGACACTAAGCTAATAACGTGTGGGATGGTAGTGGATAGTTGGGGGTGGGGAGGGGTAGGGGAGAGCCCTCTTTGACTCATGTATGAGATCCTCTTGGTGGTTGCTGCGAGATAGGGCCCACAGTCACGAAGTTGCCTCAGTCTGTGTAAAAATTCGCCAGGTTCGATTTGGCGTGCACACACCAGCTTCACATACTATACAACATGAGCGAGAAATTCCATTGTCGCATGTACGAGAACGTGCTCCCCAAGGTGGACGACGTTGTCATGGTGAACGTCCGCCAGATTGCCGATATGGGTGCCTACGTCCGATTGGTAAATATCCATCCACCCATTGCAATAATCAGACCATGAGTCGTTGACGTGGCCGATATGATAGCTCGAATATGGTGATAGAGAAGGCATGATTCTACTCTCTGAATTGTCGCGACGACGTATTCGATCGGTCCAAAAGCTCATTCGTGTCGGTCGAAATGAGGTTGTTGTTGTTCTCAGAGTCGACGAAGAAAAAGGCAAGGCATACATACATACATACATAGATGGTCGACATATCGAAAAGCTGACTCGCTCGATTGTTATCAGGTTACATTGATCTTTCCAAGCGTCGTGTCACTCCTGAGGATATCGCAAAGTGTGAGGAAAAATACAACAAGTCCAAGGCCGTTCATTCAATCTTGCGACACGTTGCCGAAAAGCACGACATTGCTCTCGAGGAGTTGTATCAATCCATCGGTTGGCCCTTGTACAGAAAATTCGGTCACGCTTATGATGCTTTCAAGTTGGCTATCACGTATGTGGAATACCGTATCAATCATCATCATCATCGCGAATTGTATAATAACACTGGTACCTTTATAGTGACCCTGATCCGATCTTTGAAGGCATGGACATTCAACCTGAGATCTTGAAAGAACTCGTTTCAAATATCAAGCGTAGAATGACTCCTCAACCTGTCAAGATCCGTGCTCGTAAGTATAAAAGGGAAATGGGATACGATGAGATGAAGCATTGGATCACTGATGTATCCATGTCATTGTAGAATTGGATATTAGATGTACTGGTGTGGATGGTGTCAATGCAATCAAGGCTGCCCTGACAGCTGGTGAAGCACAATCAACCGAGCAGGTTCCTATCAAGATCACATATCTTGCAGCACCCTTCTACGTTGTTACAGCTGATGCTCTCGATAAGACCGTTGGTTTCGAAGTTATGGAGAAGGCAATCAATTCCATCAAGGAGACTCTTGAATCCCACAAGTGGTCTCGATTCAAGGTTGAGAAGGAAGCTAAACTTGTTTCTGACTCTGACGATCGTGATTTCGCTGCTCTTATGGCTCAAGCTGAAAAGGAGAACGAGCTTGTCAGCGGTGATGAGGATGAGGGCGATGGTGTGGCAGCTAGCGATGATGACATGTAAAATTACATACACTTTTTTCTTTGCTCTTCGTAATATACAGATAAACATTCGCAGACCTTTTGATTTCCCTGATCCCGCAACAATACATTGATTATGTCACAACAAAGATAACATGCTAGAGTGGCAGACAATTATCAACAGTGTCCAATTTACTTTTTTTCTTTTTGGATCTCCTATCTTAATATCCTATACGTCTCTTACACATCGTGCGAGTGCTGTCGATTGCGCTTCTGTGAGAATTCAAAAACTTCAGTCACTGCCTCCTTGAAACATTGAAAGTTGTAATCAATCAGGCCATGCTTCTCAAAGTTGTCATGCCGCAAAAGGCAAATCAATACAAGCAACCTGGATATTATCACGTGTCAATAAATAAGCTTTTCACACATCCATTTCCAACTTACCGATTAACCTCTCTCATATACAAGACGTCGCCGTTATCCAGTTTAATCAAACTCGATGCATCAGCTTCTCCTTGATCGTTTCCTTCTGTTGGCCTTAAGCTCTCGGCATCGATATCATCACCATCCTCGGTATGTTCTGCTATGCCGTTGCCGTTTGGATGCATCCCTCCTCCATCATCTCCTCCATCTTGTTCATCGCCATTCTCGTCAACGATTGATAAATGGCCATTAGGACTGGATCCTTGAGCACTTTGAATGAATAATATGAGAATCGAGAAAGAAAACAGCCAACATCCTCATTGTATTTACCCATAGATGCACTCGATATCAATCACCACGTCGATCATGTCACTGCACAATTCGTAAGACTGCATATCCACCGGTGAGCTGTCCGTTGCAATATAGATCTTTGTTAACGTGTCGAAAAGGTAGGCCTTGTCGATACCAGAGTTCTAATGCAAACTTTGTGAGACAATGTGATGATGTTTCAAGTTGGTATGAACCATACCGAGCATAGCACGTTGAGAAGATTTTCAAGCGTTGGGAGTTCTCGGATCAACTTTTGAATGATTTTGCTGAATGCTTCATAGATCGAATGGTCGTAAATGCTTGTTAAATAATAGGTGAGGTGGATATATTCCATTTGTGCATCAGCCAGAGCATCATTCATACGCTGTTGGACATCACGCTGAGTATCTAAGGGAAACCATTGTTAGTATCAAATGACATCTTCCCTTTGCCACACGCATGCACACATACCAATCTTGTAGTCATCTGATAAACCATCCACCTTATGGATCAGCACCTCAAAAGTGATATTGGGGTTGACACGATAGGCACTTGTAACGGTATAATACAGGCGGTTCAGCGCCTCGGTATAATCATCCTAAACCATCATCATCAGCACCATCCCCGCAAAGTCATCCTTTTTCTCGTTCCTACCTGTGCATCAATCACAAAGATCAAAGCTCCTACTGCACCAAAGATTTCCTGCGAATCGTATGCCATGTCGAAAAAGTTGATTTGACCAGGGAAGTCCCATATCTGGAAGTCAATGAAGGATCGACTAGGATACATCCTTTTGAGTGAAATCGTTACTCATAAGCGGTATCTTGGGTACATACGTGATATCTTCTTTTTGGATTTTGGTAGTGCTCTCGAGATACAATGTGTCATTTGGCGGCATTTTACCGAATACAACTCGCTGTATGCTTGACTTGCCACTCCTAGAAAGAAAGAAGCGCACTCGTTTGAGAAAAGAAGACTTGCTGCATAGCCAAGATACACACATCCCCCCCAACTCACCTTTGTAGACCCATCAAGAGAATACGGGGCTTGTCAGAATGCGTCGAGTCGTCCAGGGTATCGCTAGAAACGCAAGTCGTGCATTTTGAGTGTAAAGCAACATGGGAGAGACCGTGCAAAAGACACCCTACGTTATCTCGGAATCGTTGACATGCGGGTAATCGTACTATATGAAACAATATCCACGGCAATTAGATTTCTAGATTGCAGAACCTGTTAAAGCAATAAAGGTATCAGTAACCTACGTCCATGGGGTCACGATGGTTTTTTCGGAAGAACGAGAGAGTGAGAAAGAAGCTTCGAAATCACAGCGTGCGGGATATCAAGCAAAAAGATGCATAACCGTATCCCCTCTCACGCGTTATTGGATATGCCATTTTGTGATGCAGGTTTATATGATCATCACACAATCCATCTATATCAGCACCCTGTCAAGCTGTATAAGACCAACATGGTTGGATCAAAGGTAGCAGTAGCATAGCAGCATTGCTCCTCTAGATGAAAAACGGTTATCATGTTGATAGGATACAGTGGTATCCATGCACCTTGAGGAGTGCAACAGACCTGATTTGGAGCTCTTGATGATGGGTATTAGGTCATATTGACTTTATATAGCAAGTGAGTTCGCCATCATGATAAATCCTTAATACAATCCCATGTCTCACACATAGCATTGGAAGATAGGTTGTCCTTTTATGTTGAATATGGGATAAAAGATCTAGAATTTACCTTGCGATCACCTTAGCAGAGGATAGAAAGCGTGGATTGGATCTTTTATATTACGTCTCCTTTGTTTGAATCTGGCTTGTGTCCCGAAAGTTCTCTAAATACGTAATCACAGGTTTACTCACAAACGTGTTCAATATCAAAGTCTCATAAGGATTGCTGGGATCGGTTGCATGGATCACAGCAGCTACGTATTTGAGGGATGGTAACCATGCAACCGGTAATACACATCAAACCATGCAACCATTACAGCCTTCTGATCATAAGGGGTGAACTACATACATGGTCGGCTATTAATCCCATATTCTCATATATGCATTAAGGCATGGATAGGGTTTGATTTATAAGGATCAGATTCCAGACAAAGAAAACTTTGCTCTTTTGAGCTTACAGTAATTGACTTAAGTTGTCATTGGGGTCGTTGGGAAGATAAGGAAGAGTCATCAATCAAGCAATAATCACAGGTAAATGACAATCATCCATAGTGTTGGTTTTGGTGTCTCCCTCAATAGCATGGCTATAATGCAATTTGCATTTACGCATTGTCCTTGTTATCTAGTACGCCCATCATGTACTATGTCGTACCTTCAAGTTTCACACCAATTATTGGATGTACATGTGTATCGAATACAAACAGCAGCTGGTATCATAAACATGATACGTGTAAAGCGGAGGTGCATAACGCCTTCGGATTGACAATATTACGGAGAATTGGCACTCACTGGGCGATGCGTATCTTAAAGGCCGATATTGCAATAATGTCTCACAGGGATCAAATGGATCTTAACATTGACTCGGGACTGAAAAGGACTGGTGGGAAAACGGGTGGTAAAGGAAAGCTGATGATAAAAAGGCTATTAGACGCCACCATAATGGATCGATTGGGGAGCTCTCCTTACTCCTACCATGATGCATGTTTCACCAATGCCAAAGATAGTGGGCGGGCAGTGGAGTGGCATGCATTAATCACGATTGATGACGACGCTGGCATTGCATGCAAGGAAATTCCTTCCCTATTCTTGCTATCTGTGCAACCGTAAACCACAGCCTTTTTCAGGGTCTGAAAGCACTACAACATGTCTGACTTTGTTCCTGGCCATGCGAGACACGTGCTGCATGTTTGGATAAAGACATGTGCTAAATATAGAGAAGTGATATCGCGGTCATGTTGTATTCTGTGTGAAGCTTGCCGATCACTAAAATGAAATGAAATTTTCATATACAGAAAACAAATCACAAGGAGCAAAGCATGGTGTGAAAGCAACAAGACAAAGAAAATGGATGATGCATTAGCCACGTACATGAGAGGTCAAAGACCCATTGTTCAAGTCGGACGCAAAAAAGGAGTCTAGCACGCTATTGTACTAGGTCGAGAGCGGGTGCATTGTAAGTAACAATTGGGAAATGACATGCAACCGCCATGACATGTACCCCGCCAAAGTACGCAACACGGTGTTCCGTTGGCAACACAAATGTAGTACGAAGCCAAATGAATAAGATCGCTATTAAATCTGGTGTTCAAAGCTATACTTTTCCCTTTTCTTTCTCTTCCCTCACGCCTTTTCCCTTTTCCTCTTCTCTTCACGTCAACGACCCTTACATTCCTTCGATCGATCGAGTCGAAAGAGACCTTCTTGTTGCACGCCTCTCATTTTAATCAGCTATTTGAGAGCAAATACAAGGTCCATCTTTCAACATACACATCATGAAAGCCACATTCCTTTCGATTGTTTTCTTGGTTCTGGCCGTGGTTGTATCGGCTACTACCCACAACCAAACCACGTCGAGTAAACATCACAACAACAGCACGGCAATCGCTATCACCAAAGCAAGGAGCCAAAATTACATTATTCAGATCAGACGCGAGAGCAAACTTGAAGAGTGTAAGGATGATCGTTACCCCTATGCCGATTTATCTTTTGCGTCATCCCGATACATTCTCGACTAATCAACAATCACGCGAATGGTTTTAGTTGTCCACAAAGTGGAAGATTTCTTTGAGAACCTTTTGGAAGAAATTGCTGATAGCTTGGGTGATTTGATCTCACGCGACGAAGATGGCATGGAGAAAAAGTTCCAAGTTCACGACTCGTATGATATTGGCGGTATCTTTAAAGCCGTCGGTGTCAAGGTTGCTGACGATCGATATTTGGATCGCATGTCAGGTCTTCCTGATGTTACGTCGATCATCCCTGACGACGAGATTCAATTTGATCTCCCCTATGCCGAAAAGCGTAAAATCGACAAGCGTTATTACATTGTAAGCAAAAACACGCCCTATTTTTGCGATCCTGATGCTAATGCAACATGCATTTGTGTTATAGCGTCATGTTGTTTTGCCAAACTCGTCATACCAAAACAACTATGGCGAGAACAAAACCATGTCCCCAGTATCAGGTGCAGCCCAACAAACACACACTTCGTATTCAGCCAATACCAGTGGGTGGTCATCTACCATCTTGCCAACCTCTACCGATAGCAGCCATAAATCCAAGCCCACCAAAGTGATGGCATCCAACAATGACGATGACGACGATGATGATGACATCAAATACGTGGAACAAAGCGGCTCGGATACACCATGGAACCTTGTTCGTATCTCTGAACGCAACAAGAACTACTCGTTGCCATACACTTATGATCAAAGTGCTGGGTATGTTGTCTATTTACATGAGGCACACGTATACGATAATTAACTTGTCCAATGATTGCCTTAATAGCAAAGGTGTCACTGTCTATGTTGTAGATGACGGCATCAATATTAAGCACAAGGACTTTGAAGGGCGTGCTAAATATGGATGGTCCACTTTCAAGTCCAAATTGGCTGATCGTGGTAATGCAACGACATCCAGCTATGGAAGCAGCAGTCAAGAGAAATCCGATAACACCGAAGATGGCGGTGGTCATGGCACCCATGTGGCTGGTATCATTGCTGGCAAGCATTATGGTGTGGCGAAAAAAGCCAATCTTGTCAGTGTCCAAGTGCTTGGTACCAATGGCAAGGGTACTATCTCGAGCTTGCTTGGTGGTGTTCAATGGATCATGCAACAAGCCCAAAACAGCACTAGTCCCATCCTCATCAACATGTCCCTTGGTGTACCCAAAACCACTTCCGGTGCTAAGGCTTTGAATGAAGGTAATGAATAAGGCGACATGCCTAAGCCTTATCTTTAATAGCATGCTAATCTTTATATAATATAGCTGTTGAGGCAGCTGTTGAAGCTGGTATCCCTGTCATTGCTGCTGCTGGTAACTCGAAATGGTATGATGTCATTTTTCAAATGTACATACCGCTATCAAGCCCACGACTAATATTGACTTGGTAATTTTCAGTAACGCATGCGATATCGTTCCAGCTGGTAGCAAGCAGGTCTATACGGTGGGATCGACCACCAAGGAAGACGCCATTGATCCCAATAGCTGTTTTGGGAGATGTGTAAACATCTTAGCTCCAGGTATGTGTTTATTCATCATAAAGGAGGAAGAATTATCTAATTGATATCTATATAGGCGTTGATATCACCAGTGCTTATATTGGAGAACCCGATTCCAGTAAGGTTATGAGTGGTACATCTATGAGCGCGCCGCACGTCTCAGGTGTTGCCGCAATGGTTTTGCCTTATCTTGATAATCCCACACCCAAAGAGCTCTACAAGGTCTTAGGTGATATGGCTACACGTAATAAGATTAATGGAATCCCTGACAAGAGGACCCCCAATGCTCTTTTGTATAATAAACTAAAGGATCATTGAAGAACACATCATGTGATGTGTGTAAACCTTGGATACAGAAACCACCATAGCACAGCAATTGATGTTGGATAAGCCTATTTCGGAAGCTCCGAGTATTATGTTTCCAAGCTAGAGATGTGATGGCGACTGTATCCGAGAGTAGGCGATGGATTCTTTCGAAAGCCAGGATAGCACCGCTTGAACAACCCAGCCACACGGTGGCAATTGGGTTATCGTTTCCTGTACATTCATCCCTGACGCTCCATAAGGTTGACACTTAGTTTTATCCAGTATTATCAATACATGACAACAATGATCCATTGTTGTATGAAACAAGGACATGATAGATTCGGTGGATCAAATGTACGTTGTTGGGCTGTACAACTGGTTGATACTTTATTGAAGGACTATGTAGATCAAGGAGGTAGGATGATTACACCTATACGACGCATACTGTTATTGGAGACCACCACCATTTGAAGAGAGCACATTACTAATCAACATGACGAATGAACATGGAAGAAATGGCGTCATAGTTAGCAATGCTTTTAACTCATTCCAATCCACGACGAATGAATCAGATCATCTATAATAACCACAGGGACTCCGATATGAGAACTTTGATGCATGCGCTTTATATACGAGGAGTAAAGTAATGGAAATGGAAGCAGTATACATAGCATTCATTGTGGTTGTTTGCAAGGGGATTGTTCTAGCGCATAATAGTACTTGATGATTCGACTGCATAGTTCCTTGCTAGCGATTTAACATACGCTTCGATGCGTTGCGATAAGTTCCAATTGACAAAGTATAGCCTTTTCAAATTGTTGCCCATGGATAGGGTTGTGATGTCCACGAAAGAAAAGTTGTGGCTCTTCGAGTGTCGTATTGTTGGATAGAAAGCGCATGTTAAACGTTGCGCAATCCAGAGCGAAGCCGGAAGAAGCATGTTTGTAGCCAAGACATACGGACTCCAAAGTCGATTGGTGCTTCAGCATAATATCGCATTCAGCTTGGCTGAAATCTGATACGCACTTCCAATTACAACGCAAACCGGAAGAACCTTGAAGATCATAGGATGCTGCTAGCTGAGCATGTACTTATGCCACTTACAAAGGAGTCCCAAATTTCCCATCAGACAGGGGTTGCCTTTTGCCTACAAATGTACAAGGCCTCCTTTAGTAACATTTATCATTATAAAAACGAAGAGGAATATATAAATGATAGTTATACTTACCACACAGGGTCCACCATGGAACACGAGCAATGAGGGGAAACGTGTACCAGTAACGAATCGAAATGGAAAAGACGCGTAATATGAGAAGAAGATCTTTTGGATATATGCCGCATACGCGACAAGCAAATGCGGCGCTTCACGTGGTAACTTTAACACGCTTGTGAATTGAAGCTGGCTGGTTTGCAATACTTTTTGGCGCCATGTTTGGCGCACGTGCAGGTACGAAAGTGCGCCATTGTATGTAATTGTCAAGGTATGTGGCAGGATCAATGATGACACCAACTCGAAAGGAAGCTCGCATACAAAGTCGATGCGCTTTGAAAGCTGATGCTCGTTATTCATGCGTGCTTTTTCTATCTCTTGGCGCTTAACGAAATCCTGTTCAATGCTGAGAGCTTGATTGTAATGGTGGATGGCTTTTGTTTGTTGTCCATAGTGAGTGTGAATCTGTTGTGGGTCATTTCAGGAAATGGCAAATGTAATAAACACCATTGAGCACCCCAAGTGGTAAAGCAACGAAGCGAGCTACATAGAAGATGAATGCATCATGAATACCCTCATGTTCGGAATCACATAAGACTATCAAGAGACTTACCAAAGGCCATTGATTATGATATGAATAAAAGTAGAAAGAAATGCGTATAATAGTGTTGGCGATAATAGCCTTGTTTATACGTGAGTGGGCGTGGGAAGTGTTGTCATGATGGATCGAACTGATAAAGTGGCCGAGCATCTTGAAGTGCCGAGTCGAAGTCGTGAAAATCATCAATCACTCATAAAGGTGATTACTTTGTAGGTGACATAAGTATGCCGCTGCTTGACTAAAGAAACCTATTCAATTTATTATTAGCGCACATATACAATAAACGCCTTTCTCATTGTTTGTTTCATTGCACTTGCCATTTCCATAGACATAAAGACCCTTTGTTGTTGGTTACTGGAAACCGAAAACCATGATGTAGTGTTGTTGAGCCGAAACAGAGCGCCAAACCAGCCAACGTCTTGAAACCAAACTTGCCCCTATGTAAGCTAACACGTCAATGGAACCAGTTCGGCTGCAACATTGGACTCTCAATGTACCTGTTGACACCAAACGTAGAGCGGGAATGGCAACAAACAAAAGGAAGCAACAATATCGCCATGGCAACCACCAACCACCAACCACGCTCATTCCTCAGCACTTGGACACACTCACTCCCTGCCAATGCATGTTCAGAACTACATTAAACACCTCACAGCCAACAAGAGCACTCTTTGATAAACACATTACCTTGATTGGGATGTCGTGAATGGGATAAAAGCAGAGGAGCGAGAAAGAGAAAAGAAGCATTGTCTCAAGTTGTGGAGCTACCGTCCCCCAAGTTTAAATCCCCTATTGCTATCGCATTGAGGCCACTCAACTACCACACACACCATCCACCCAAACACATAACTCGCCCATCATTATCATCACCCTCACAATAGACAATAAGTACACGTAAATAAAAGAAATGATCCTCACGTATAGCGTAAGGGTGTGTGCCATTTTACATTTTACGTGATAATGATGATCCAACAACAGCCATTGCCTTACTACCAAGGTTAGCTCAAATCATGAAAGTTAAATGATACGAATGATGGGCTGGAGCAGGTGAATCGTTCATATGCAATGGATTGGGCAACAAAGGTGTTTGGGAGGAATGGGTTGCTAGCTGGCGGTTTACAAATTAATTTGCAAAATGATCAAATCTCATCGGATCAAGAAAGTTCAGTGATTGGCATGATCGGGAATAGACATCGACAAGTAGGCTGTACAGCAACAATAAAGTAGGAGATGCTTGTTACATTAAATGCAATGGAGATGGATAAATGTTGTTTACTTGTTATGCATCTTTATGCAACTGTAATGCAAGCGGTGTATACTTACCATGGACCGCTTTATGTGTGATACCACACCCGTACTTTTGATATCTGCCGTTGATTAAAAAAAAAAGCATCCGACGTGGATTAAACGTCGAGAATCAGTAGCATTCTTACGTAAGTTTTGTCGTATTCATATGTTGCTGCGTCATGGCTCATAACATAGGATACTTCATCCACCGCACGTTTGCGTCAATCATACCAGAAATAAGCAAGCGTCATTCTTTTACCGTCTTCGTTGGTCATGAAAGCAGTTTTTATTTGATGGGTGATATAGCTACACCTATACCGCTATCTAACAAGCAATATGCATAGTATTTCTACACCAAGCACCCTTACCATGTCCACCCTCACGTTATCCATATGTAAAGGTTCATCCGTCACTTGAAGGAATACCCAACGCAATCCTAATTGAAGCATACGCTTAAAGCACGTAATCCAAACTTACCACTCCATTGCAAAAGACCACCCCCGGAACGTAGCCCAATACCTGTGCTAGCGCCAAAATGCATCTACACGAGGTTATAAGAAGTATTGATTTGTTATTGCATCGTTTGTATACCATGGCTGTATTGGATACCTTTTCAAAGTGACAAAGTCTAGCCGCAAGCTCTTGATCAAGATGGGGAGAAGACAATTGCTGACGGCCTAATGCCAATGGGGAAGTTGCGGTCGTCGTCGTCATACTTGCAAGTGGGAACTGTTGTTGTTGAATAGGAGATAGAAGATAATACATGTTGCGACGAATGTGCGTACTTTTCACTGCTGAGGAAACATCATCAAAGACAATTGGTTGTAGATGAGGGAATTGGAATATCGACAAGAAGTAAGAGTAGGTGTGTCATAGCCGTCAAGAGTAGAAAGCAGCGTTGTTATCGTTATGTGATTGCGTGTAGATGGGTTGTAATAAAAGAAGAGTGTTTTCTGACTCCGGCATTTTGGTTGAGAACAAGGGGGAACTTTCGGTCGGGGCTTACGTTTCCATGACATAATGAAGTCTAAGGGTATGTATCAAGCAGACTTTAATTTCGCAACACTAACCTATTTATCGTGCTGTGGCCATTGGGAGGTACAGAATGTGACATGAGCGTATGAATGGATCCACTGCTATCAGATCCAGAAAGGTTCATCCATGAATCGAACTTTTGATCTCATCCTTTAATAGAGGTTTTCACCTAGTGAAATAACTAATAGCGTGCCTCAATGCGCATGTTATTTGGGAAAAACTCTTCTCGTTTCATGCATGGACATTAAATACGGCTATCGCTGCATCTCAGCAGCCAAACTATACAACAACACTGCAACGAGGATTCAGCGCGTCATTTTTTTGGGCTATTTACATTTTAATGTGATCAATGAGAGCTATGATACTGATTGTAGATGATATTTTGGCTGGTGCATCATTGCACTATATCTACCGCGCATTTTCAATATTGGTGGGTTATATACTTCGGTATCAGATTACCTACCTTGTTGGTTGGATCATCCTCTTACAATGTAATGTTTTGGATTGCCTTTTCGAGCATGTCTTTCTGCTTTACATCAATCAAGTCACCAACAATGTTATGCTTCCACCAGTTGTAATGGCTACAGCGTACCAAAGTGAGCGTGTTAACACGTTTCATTCCGTTGAGGTTTTTGGTACCTACTGCTCTATGGGATGGGAGCACTCGTAGCAATCACCCTGATCGAAGGTCGTCCATCGGCCCTTGTTACAAGAGCAATCAATGCAGAGGTAGAGATTAATTGGTTCTAGATGCGATGGAAACAAAATGTCAATTGATCGTGTTGCAAGATATATAGACCATAACTCACCCAAGCGTAAAAACCGGACGAAGCTCTCCCAAAGGATGGCGTTGTTTTCGAGAGGAGTATCGGTTACCAACCACCGGGCCTTCGCATCCAACGCACACTACAAATACCGATTAAGGACAATGCATCCAGCTGGGTTGATATATACCATACCACTGCTTTCGTGGCTGCAGTTTCATTGGCATGTAAGACGCTGGCCTATACCCAACCAAAAAACAATAAGTGATACCATTTGGATAGAAAAATGTATTCCGTACCTCTATGAGGATCACTCTATTCCATTTGATCTTGTGGATGATTGAATAGCGTTGTTGTACATGTATCTCGTTTGTATCGCACCGGGTGCTGTTTCTTTCTTGGAAGTGCTTCTCTATGGTGTTGTCTATAGATAATTTTCGTTATTCTCATGGTTATAGCAGGTGTCACAAGCATACATACAACTGGTAATGACAATGTGACGTTGTTCCATTCTAGCTTCCACGTTAGGGGTAAGGGCTTCCTCTATGTAAATGGAGTTAAGACCATAATCATTCGTTTGCTGACGTAATAATACATACCGCGATACACATGGATTCTGTGTCCTTTGCAGTAAAGAACATTTAAGTTGAAAACCCACGTTCTCACGGCATGCTTGATGTTAATGGCGTTAGAATCCACCATACAGAATGAAATGCGCTGATGTGCTATACCTGTTGCACAACCACCAAATTGGGACCTTCACCACTATCGAGGAGCTCAGCGAGTGCCTTCACGGTATCATCTTGTTTGGTACCCTAGCATACGGGTAATGTTAATACTCGCAATGAACAATCTCGCATTAGATCCTTATGAATACTTACAGCTATTATCCCTCCCTTGAAAATGTAAAAATCCAAGTGCCATTGTCACGATGCAGTAAATGTAATGGTTCTTGGGGTATTGCTTACGTTGATGACAGCTTCCAATTGAATCATATCATCCACTCCATATGTTGTCTTTTGCATGCCAGGTATATTTGTCGCCAATAAGCTGCTGATATTGGCGTCCAAGTAAGGATGATGGTATCTCAATCTTCGCTTCAGTTCCTCTGGTGTACAAGGCGAGACGATTAGATGTGCTTCATCGGGGTTGCTCTCAAGTGATTCCTCCTTGGTAGGGTCTTCATCCTTTAGTAACATCACTAGCATAGATATGATGATAGTAAATCTTGATGCGATGCATCTCGTTACGACGATATTGCATACTTTCCGCCAAAAGCTCGTTGTACTTTTCATGAGATAGGCTTTTCAGTGTGCGCGATGTAGCCAGAGCCTTTTGATATAAAGCATTGATTGTGTCATTTGTTGCAGTGGTAGATGCGGATGAAGTACATGTAGATTGCTTCATAACGGATGTAGCAGGTCGCTTGTGTGCTAAAACCTTCTTTGTTGCGATGCCTTGCCGTTGTTTGTGTGCTGATGCAATGGGTCTTATGTATTCACTGTCGCTGTCCTCGTTTGGTTCCATTGATGGCATGTTCTCCAAACTCCAATCGCTGTCATCGTCCTCCTCACATTGCGAGTCGTCATTGCGATCCGACATTGGTAAAGGTGAAGGTGGTGACGTTGAAGAGACTACTTGATCAACGACTGTACTTCGACTCTGGCTCCGTGTTTTCATTATTAGAAGGGCAAGGTATTTTGTCTCGATAAAATAAAACGAAGAAGATAGATTTGATTGTGAAGAAGTATTCGTTGACACCTTTCCGATCGTACAGCAGGTTCGAATCGGACAATCAAGCACATGATGAATGATATAATAAAAGAACAATGGTTACGAGCATACAAGTATTCTTTAAGGATACCAGGTGTAGTGTGTGAACTAGCGTGCCTGTATTTTACACGTCCTTTGAAGGCACGTCAGACATCAAAGTATCGGATTTATGCCGATAATACATTATCCAATCATATGTCCTGTTTACGGTTGCACTGAGAGAGGGCGACATTTACCATTTTAGGATGACGCATATAAAAACCAGAGAAACTAACCACGTGATTACAACCCTTATACATACGAAATCATCGTATCCTAATCCCAAGTAATATGCTACATCTGATGTTGATTCAATAGAAGAATTGGCAAGCGAGACATGATATCGAGTGACTTTTAATGGTGTGTGATAGAGGAAACTGTAGTCAAATTAAAGGGGTATATATGGATTCCATCGAGTCAAATGGGGTCATTGTGCAAGAGGCTGGTCCATCGTTGTCTTTTTCCATCCATAATTGCATCAGAGAATAACAACCATTGTCTTGATCCATCCAGCATCGCCACGTAGCTTTGCACCGCCTTAGAAAGATATTCATCGATCCATTTTTGGTGCTGATCACCGTGAATGTAAACATAGCCATATTGGAAAATCACTGTGCTTGACTGCATCGATCATATGATTCCTTTCCCATGCACCTTTGGCCATACTCATTCTTGGACATCGAGTCGTTGCAGTTTGATATCAGGCTGTGACATAGACATTGTGGTCAATGCGGCATGGAGGCGTAATATCGCTGGGTATGTATAAAGCATCATTGATCCCAGGCTGATCCATGTTAACCATCATCCTCTTCTTCACTTACCGTTTTATCTTCTTGTACCTTGTCGAAATGGTGATCCGTAATACAAAAGAATGTGTAGCAGTAAGGCATCAGGTGTAGCTCATAAACGGATGTTGAAACTCCTTGTGATCATATCCAGGGTGGTGCAAGTGGATACAGTAGCCAACGAATGATACCAAATTTATGTGAGCCTTGGGATCACCTTTACCACCAACAAGTTAGGCTTACCAAGCAGTTTAAATGTGGCTATAGAGTCCTTCGCTTGCTTCTTGTACGATCGAGTCAAATGGGTGTTGAAGGTGTTGTGTACGTTGTCATTTCTTCATAGCAGATGGTAGCGAAAAGCGGTTGGATTGTCATTTGACATGTTGAACCCATGCTATAGCATTCGAGAGAGCGTTTATGTGCGTGTGCGTGTGTGTGTGTGTGTGTGTGTGTGTGCGTGTGTGTGTGTGTGCATGTGCATGTGCGTGTGTGTGTGTGTGTGTGTGTGTGCATGTGCGTGACAGAGTGAGAGGGAGAGACGTGAAAGGAGAAACCATGGGCTTGTCACAGCCTCACTGTTAAAATGTTACATACGCCTAACCCTCCTTGAATATTTCATGCGTGTCTATCTTGCAGTGGTGGCCTTTTTTGTCATCAGCCATGCGTTTGGCATAATGTAAATTGAGTTGACTGGTAGGGTATTACACCTGGATCGCTTAGTCTCCTGCGTAAATCATGCAAGCTTGTAACCTACAACATAGTGGTGCCATCCACTGTTTGGGATGAATGCTCACAACAAAAAGAAAAATAAAACGTAAACCGGTGCATAAAATCAGCTGATGAAGGGTTGTCATTGTAAGGAGGAAAACATTTAGTGTTGAAGGAAAAAGACAATGCATTGACGAAGGTGTACACTCGCATGGTCAAAGTCCGGAAGAAATTTCAGCCTCTCGGATTGTGGTGTGGTTGTATCACTTCTGAATCAAATGTTCTGATTACATGATTCTTTATTCCTAACCTATACATTACACATCTTACAAGGTAACATTGGCTATGTAGCCTTTGCTATAGAGATTCAACTCGACATCCAAGTCTTCGTTATCCGTTCCGTTCGCCTCCAATGCGTCCTGGTTATGATCAACTCCTTGTGCTTCATTTAAGTCTCCCCATCAGCCAAACAATATCTTAAAACTAACCACGTGATCGACATCAACATAACGATAGCAAAATATGGGGTAGAGATTCCCTTAAAAAAGGGATTATGGAAGGGGAAGGCATAGTATATTGCCAATAAATAGTATATTTACCCAAAGTCTCTCGCGGCATAGGTTCGATGTTGTGGTCTATTAACAATACTGATAACAGGGCGTTGCATCATCCAAGAAATCATATATCAGGGTGGTTGCTAAGCGTCATGATTCAACTGCAATTGGTATCCCATCATCAACACGCTTCACATCCAATCATGTTATGGATCGTCAGCCATGACAACACTCGATCGCATGTGTCCTTGATAATCCTTGGATCTCCATAAGTTGTAATCGATGGCTGTATAGCACAAATATTGTATCGTTCATTCCATCTCGGTCCAATTGTGAGGTCAACAAAAGATGACCATGTCAATTATCACCCTTCTCTCCATCATGGTCAACCGTATCCAATTGTTACCTGGATACGCAACGCCAGGAGCGTAACATCCGAACTTGAAACCAACAATCACCATTAGAATCACACTTTATTGTATCCATAATTGGGAGACTTTCTGCATTGTTGTTTCTTGGATACATTTTGCCCTAGTTGGCTTCGTTGTTAAAGGTGCTTGCCGTTTCACTTGACGCTTCTTGTTCATGGTCTCGTTCATGACTTTCCAGCTCGACAGCATTGAAAAAGCGCTCACCACATCCATATGCACAAAGCTACATATAAAGTTATTCTTAAGCTTGCATGTTGGTAGCAAGAGACTTACTTGAAAATGATCTGGGTGTCCTTTGATGTGTCCTAAGAAGGATTCTCGTTTTTTGTATCCATATGTGCATACAACGCATACATATGGCTGGCCCTAAAATGGATGCAGTATGTAACTTAGAAAACCAATAACACAATTTGCTAGTTATATATACCTCCTGATGTCTTTCATTGTGTTCGTCAAGATGTAATTGGCATTTGTATGTGAACGGGCAACCTTCAACGGTACAATTCTAAACAAATAGGTCATTAAACCAGCCTCTTGTAATCCAAATGATAATGTTCTACTCACCAATTCAGGATGGTCTTTTGATGTTTTGTAATGTTTGGATAAATCACTTGAAGTGGTAAACGACTTAACACAATGCAGGCATTTATAGGGGCGCTAAGCACAATGATAAGAAACAATAGAAGGAAACTGGTATGTACTCTTACCTCTTGCTTATGTGTTCTCTTGTGGACTTTGAGCTCGCTATTGCGCTTGTACGTTCGATGGCACACCGAGCAGACAAACGGACGCCCTTCCTATGTATAATGAGCACGTGATGATAGCTCACACCACTTCCCATTGAAAACTTACTGTCCTATGAATCTCCATGTGTTTCGTAAGCTGAATTGGGGTGCTGTAGGTGAAAACACAATTCTTAAATGGACACGGCTATATACAATTGTTATTCAATGATTACGAAAAGAGGTTTCCCATCATAAGGCAATACCTTTGGCTCGAAAGGGTGGCATTGCTTTTGGTGCTGAGTGAGATGGTCACCGTCATCATAGTGTCGATTGCAAGTCGCACAAACATATAGCTTGGCCTACAATTGGTTTAATGTTAGTATCTTATGATCGTAACGTGAATCTAAATGCGTATTTACCTTGTCATGGACTTGCTGATGTATTTGTAAAGATCTTTCGTTGTCGGTAACATAAAAGCAATGATCGCAGTAGTAGAATGTCTAAGTTGCGTAAGTGAATATACATATACATCTATACAAGTGGCCTTGAGATTACCTTCTTGTATTCGTGCTCCTGTACAGTGTATTCTGTGCGGCGTTGTTTCACTGTATCAAAATACTTCATAGCGATTCCCTGCTCCTCCGTACAGCTGCTGGGGTCGATATGTTGAAGAGTATCTTTCAACATAGTGAGGTCGATATCGTATGTCGATGATAGCTTATGCAAACCGAGCGCCTCCAATACCATATTCACATCAAACACATTCATCGCCCGGAAATCCCTAATGATAACAGTTAATATCATACTCTATATAAGAAAACGGAAGATACATACTCCGCCAGCACTACCAGTATATCATCATCGAGGTCCTTGCAATATTCGGTGAACGATAACGAATACGGGGCCCACATTCGGATGTTCGCAAAGAGATCGTTCTCAAGGCAATAGTCGACCATCGACAGCTTTCCTGACAAAGGGTATCCATTTAAGATCAACTCTCTCATGGCCGGTCGAAAGAATTGTGTTGCTATGTCGTTGTTGTTAGCGAAGTTGATGTGGAGAGTGCTGGAATTTGCATCGACATTTGGTGAAAAGAAACTCTTGTAGCCATACTGTTGTAGCATTTCCATAATAAATTCCAACATCCTGCGATCTCGCTGTGATACAACAAATCCCGTCATTGTATAGCCTGGTGTATATGTGCTGTACGTCTCAAATCTCGTTATGCTCCCGTCTGCGTCAAGGAAAGTCAACAGATAGATTGCAAAGGCCATTCGTCGAGTAGGTTCAGGCATGTTGAAATATCGCTCCATCTTGTACTTGTTGGTGTTGTGGGTGTTGCTGGAAGGCATCCCAAAATAGACCGAGGCTGCACCGACAAACCAATGCATAGTGACCTGCAATTGCCCGAAATAAACGGCCGTGGTTTTCATGGAGATGTAATCAGAAGGTCTGAATCTACAATGATAAGTCAGGGACATTGATACGTGAATACATGTTCAATCCTATCTTACGTGATTGGTTGGTCTATGCCATAGGTTCTTGTAAATCGATACAACCAGACGAAATCGGTAGATCTTAAGCTGATTGATGCAACTCCATCCGTGTGATGACAACCATCCCCTGAAAAATAACCAAGGAAAGCATGACGCAGCATATTGGATGGGTCATTCAGAATATGAAACCAAGTTTGATAACGAGATGTATATTCTGTTCGAGGCAACGGTGGTAAATAAAGGTCGTCTCCAAATTGTCCTTCTGCTGATTCGTGTATGTTGTAGTTGTGTTGCTCTTCGTGCGTGGGATGCGAAAGCGTTGGCTGTACATCGTCTCCATTGTTCGACTGCATTGGCTGTGTGTTGGATATTGTTGGATAACTGGTTTCATGCGGCGGGGGTGATGTATGGTGGTCTTCATGGTAGGATCCTTCTGATTCGCCTACGTCATTCATATCTTCGTCTTCGTCCATGGCTTCCGGAAGCATGACATCTAGCTCGTCTCGAATGTGAGGGTCGATCGGTTGTGGGTTGAACATTGTGTCATGGTATAGATACAAGAAGTGTATGTTGGCGGCGTTTTAAATCGGGGGTAGGTGGGTGTTTAGACAAAGCGTGATTATGACGATTCACAGCTTAAAAACAGGAGATCCAGACATACAAGATAGGACATTGTGCTGCTCCCCATCAATACCAAAACGCTCTCGGGTACGTCTATGGCAGCGCCTCATTCTAGTGGTGTTGCTGCTCTTCTTTTGTCTCACATGGGTGACAAGGTGAAGCCCAAGGATCTTTACAAGATGTTGGATGATCTTGCTACACCCGATATGATCAGTGATGTTCCTGGTGCCATGACACCAAACGCTCTCCTTTTCAATGGTCAAAAGAAGTCGGCTGATAATACCACTAAATCAAATTAGCACCTCGACGTGTCTCCTCCAGTTTCTGTTTTTCTTTTTCGTGTCTGTTACACATAATTTATATATATACGCGTTCAACCTAGATGCTCAAAGTCGTTCCATATTTGTGGATAGCGCATTTCAGTTATGAGCTCATAGTATGATTGTATATTGGAAATAGCAACAAGCTCATCAACATTTGGTAATGGTCATTTAAGTGGGGGAGAGAAAAAGATACACAAAGGGGATACGTTTTATTTTAAGTGGATTGCATTTGTACAGGTTTGTTGCGCGGAGTGGCTGTAACCGCGTTGACCGCCCCAATGACAAAAATGATGAAGATTGAACGGCCAAAGTATTCAGAAGATATCTACAAACAAAGTAAGAAAGAAAAGTGAAGGGGAAAGGGGGGAAGGGAATAGAGCCTTGATGAAACAACGGCATTAGGTGATAAATGTTTGCGCTCAAGCAGCTGGTTGTTGCTGCTTTGCTTTCAATTCCTTGAGAGCATTATAGTTGCGTTCCATGGCTTGCTTGATGAAATCACCCGCTGTGATGGGTTCAAGATAACGAGTACGACCTTGGATAACGGCTGACTTGTTGGCTTGATTGAAGTATGCAATTGAATAACGAGCTCCTTGGTATTCGCCCACCTTTGGAGCACGAACTCGGTGAAAGTTGCTTTTGAAAACGTCATCGGACCAACGCATGATCATGTCACCCAAGTTGCACACTATCTCGCCTTCTTGAGGATGCACTGATGCCCACACATCACCATGACCAAATTCGGAAGATGTTTCTCTACCAGGGCATACCTCCAAACCATCTTCACCAGGCCGTTGGAAAAGCAATGTCAATACATCAAAATCGGTATGGGCACCCGCACGCCAATATTCTGGAGGGAATGATTGGCCTGTAATGTCATGGTAATGCAAGCACCTCAGCGTATTGAGACAATCTTCTTGGGTAATGTCATTGTTGCGGGTGAAGAAATCAGCTTCAAATCCAAGGCCAAGAGCAAGACATGTCAAGATTTGGGAAGATACTTGATGACATTGTTGCATGAATCCTTGAGCACGTTCCCGAAATCCAGGAGCATCTTCATTGGTAGGCCATAAATCTTCAATTCCATGAAATCGAAATTGAGTTGATTCCTTAAGGTCGGCAACACCTGTAGAGGGGCGAACCTAAAGATTGCAATAGCGTGTTAATGCATAAAGCCGAGATGATGGTTTTAGGTTGTTATACCTGTGTCAATTTCTCCCAGCCAGCATTGCGTGAAACATCGATGGGATACTTGGCTTTGATTTCATCAGGCAATGCAAACCAATCAACACTGGCTTTGAACATGGCACGAATGTCTTCAATTGGTATACCATGATTGACCACTAGTAGGCACACAATGCATCAAATCATGACCCTTAAATCATTTGGTATGTAGTAGCCGTTGTCTTACCATAAAAGAAACCTTCATTGGTAGCGGCTTTCATCAACGTCTCAATAATCTCGTCTCGACGATTGTCAAAGTCATGAAGATCCACCCGGATAAAGTCGCGTTTCTGGGTAGGGATGCCTGCTGAAGAAGCAGCAGCCATAGTCATGTTGGACTTGTTGCTGGTTGCCGTGTCGATAGGAGAAGCAGTGGAGAGCATGTTGTTGTGAGTTGAAGCTTAATGCGAACATCATTCAAGCGTTTCAAAGCCCCTTAAATAATCGTTTATTTGGGTGGGGCAGCATTGGAGCTAACCCGGCATCAAAGATACATTTCCATGCCACAAGGGAGTATAATCTGCTAATTAGGTTCAGATTGATAACACCAAACGACCGGTATCCAATCGCTCTTTTCGAAATGTTGTGCGATTTTGTGCTGCGGTGATATAAAAGCTTATCATTCGGTTATTGATAACGAGGTTTAGCTTATCACTCGTTATCATCCACCTTTTGACTATCCATTTCATAGTAATAGTAAGCTACGTCGTAAGTTTTCGATAGATAAATAGGGAGCTATTTTCAACCAAACAATGTGTTTGTTATGGTAGGAGTCGAGGAAAGGGTATATTTCCCATCCTTCATGAGAAATTCACAGCACAACCATACTAGCTGCTGCACAACATGTATTTAGCCTATGCACGAGAAGCGTCTTTTGCATTACCATTTAACCACATCTGCCCCATATATAATAATACAACCACCTTACAAGATCTAAATCACTGAAAAGGAACGTGTGTTACGACGTTATTGGCAAGATCCAAGCACAAAGAAGGGAGGTGGATTATGCTACCGAATGCAGCCTTTGTTCAAGAAACAATGAATCAATCAGACCCTCTCTTTATTTCCTTTATCAGAGCATTCACAAGTGTATCATCCTGCATTTGCCATACCATAGATCTTTCTATAATGCAAATCCATCAATTGTCCACACACGACGAGCTCGAATTCAAAGGCCAACGCAATCTCGGGAAGTGACTTGGCCCAAGTGGGAAGTTTATCTGGCTGATGGCCCCGCGACTTGAGACAAACGCTTTCCTTCCTCTCGTTTTCAATCCACACACCCTGTCGCTCACGCAATGCATTGAGGCATGTACAGAAAAGAGTTCTTGTTGGTGATGCAAGTCCAGAAAGAGTATAGTATGCGGCTGTAGCCAAGGCTCTTCTTGTTGGTTGCTACGCGGGTCCACGCTTGGTACAACAGGTAAACATTCAACACGCAGTGCTGCAATAGAACTTACTCATAGGCATGTCATGTAGCTTGCATGGACAGCACGAATGATCCCAAGGCATTGTCTCATTTGGCTTTTTGTTTCGGCTCGGCTACACTATACCATGGCATCCGTTTCCAGGAACCCAAAACAAGGTCTTTATGCATATGAAAAGGGCAGCTGTTGTAACAATGAATATGCCTACTGTTGAACAGGTTCTTTGGTCAGGTAGTGCAACTTTGGGCATCTTCTCTCCTTGGGTTCGACTCCCAACCTGTACCTTTTTGGCATTTGACGCCCTTCTCGTGCTATCTGTCGATGGTTATTCTTTGAGGATTGGTAAGGGGAATCATTCTTTCTTTGTTGTAGAGGATGAATAGGAACAACAGTGAGTCCCTGGGCGCTATGAACGTGATGGCATCGATGGTGATTTGATTGTGGTTATTTGTGGAGGCGACGTGACAACACAACGACACAGACAAGCGTGGTTTACATACCTTTCTCTTGGCAAATGATCATTACATCTTGTTGATGATGAATTCTCGATATCACGTTGACATCTAGAAGAAGCATGCAAGATCCCATTTTTTCTTTGTGTCTTGGATGGTTCCCATGACCACGGCGACTACGATGGATGAAGACGACCATGGCAAAGTAGCTGGTTGCATTGTTTATTACCTACGTGGACTTAGCTAGCTCATTCCTCTTTTCTTCTTTGTGGATTATGGCGTAGACGGCGTAGTGGTACCGTAAGATGCATATGCCTTTTCTGATACAATAAAGAGTGGGTTGACCTTAAGAAAGCATGAGTTTCAGGACGAGTGATCAATCAAGATATCTTACTGTCAATCCCGTATGCATTGAATTGATTGGATTTATGCAAATTGGTTTATGCAGCACGACCCCACATACCAATGTGATATGGGCCATTACTTGTCATGCACGTGACCTTGATACACCTCTGTTAGATGTTGTTTACGTACCTTCCTAAGGCAACTACAATCCCTTTATGCAACAACCTATTCAACAACGTTTGTCTGTAACCACCATGTGTCATTTCACGCAGTTCAAGGTTCCTGTAAATATGAATACTACGAGATCATCATAATGTGGTTGCGTTAACGTGTGGTAGTAGGATCAATATCCCATACATAGGATGGTGATTAGCCATTAAAGGAGAAGAAGTGAAAAGTTTACGAGGGAAACGAGCAACTAGAGACGCTGGTCCATTCATTACGGTATTTGCATGGATACTATAGCAATCTCTCCATCATGAAAATGACTCACGTATTCGTAAGGACGCCACATGGTTAAGTTTTACACATTTTATAATAGCTCTGGATTAATAAAAAGCTGATCTACAAGCTAAAGAGGATACCACAAGGGAAAAAGTACGTGTCAAATGGATGGTGATTTCTATCTCGATTTGCGGCTTGCCCAAGAAAGTTGGAACCTTGAACATGCAAAAGCATTAAAATACGGTGTTGTCGGGCTCAAGTCGTTGTCAAGTGATTTACCATGCCGCCATAGACGCCTTGCATCAATCACGTTGTGTTGACCAATATCCAATCCAGGTATGTAATAAGATCATCAGCATAATGAATCCACACCACCAGACTGCTTTGGCTTACCTACAAGGACTATGCCTTATGAGCTCTTGTTGCATCGCGATCACGAGCACCGTGCTTCATGTTTCTCCTCGACAACCTATAGTACATGTACATGTTTGTTGATGATGGGATCGACCTTACGCGTTGCTGTTGCTATGAGCCTCATGTCCATGTTGGATCGATTCATTCATGTTGTCAAGTCGAAATAGTGCTGCATTGTGTTGGAGGTTCCTTTGTGCTTGTACCACATTTCTCGGTAATCTCAAGAGGGTGATCATATGATGTTGCACAAAGGTACGAAGAAAAGAGGGAGGATCCAGGTAACATAGTGAAAGGCGCCACACTTTGTAATGACCTCCATGACCGATCCTGTTCTCACTCTTCCCTACGATGACTTCAAAAAGGAACTTGATCAGGCTTTGGCCGAGATTGAATACGCGTCGAACCGAATCAGCGATCTAGGCAATGGGCGTTTGAACAAGCTCAACAACACGTTCGTCCTCCTCACCGTTCTTGGATATTTACCGGCGGCCATGGCTAACCTCGAATTTCTTGAAGAGCCCTACTATGCATTCATTCTATGCATCACGTTACTAGGAGCCTGTACAGCTTACTGCCTATACTACATCATGCAATATTATGCAATGCCGGAACTACTGAGATATCTCGCCCACAAGGTGGTAGATTCAGCCAATGCCACGGGAGAGGATGATCGCTTTTACCCAGCAACAAGTGACATGCAAGTAAGGGTACTACGTGAAACCAAAGAAACCGCCAAAGAAGCCCGTACAACATACATGAGCCTTACTCGTCGTCGCAATGTGGTAGATGGTGCCTGCCAGGTTATCATTTGCATCATTTCTTTGGTGCTTGTTATTTTATTGATCCAAGGTGAAAAGACTGAGGAATTCGAACAGCCCCAGTTGGCCGAGCTTGTTTTTACTGTTTGGATGTTTGTCGCCAATATTGTACTTGCTCTCTTGTATGCTCACATCTCTACTCGTAAACGCAACAAGCGGCTACAACAAACTGCCAACATTGCCGAGAAAGTTGCCAAGGATTGGTTAGACCATGTACAGCAACAAGACAAAAAGGATGCACCACGACGCGCTGATGATAACGTATGACGACATGAATAGAAGGGGGATTTATTATTAGTTGTATATGATACCTATTACTATCGAATCTGATTAAGGAAAATGGGAAACAAAGAAGAAAGGGGTTATGAATCGTATTCTTTGTTCATGTTTAATGTTGAGTTCTTTTTGATGATTTTGCCACCGAGACCTTTGAAACTACCACCAAGAGATCCAGCTGTGCTTGGTGAACCTGCCATGAGATTCTTTAGGCCATGTTCTACCGGCAATCCCATCGCATCAGTTGTGCTGCTGCTAGCCTTTTTAGCATGTCGTTTGATATCTGTTTTGGAGAGCTTGATACGGAATGCCACATCCAATAATGTATCTGGTGTGAGGTAGTTGTGAGGAATATGCAGGAGGAAAGAGAGGATTTCTGAGTTGGTTGGACAAGATGTAAGGATGTGATCTAGTACAATGCATGTCAATTAGCGCTTTTCCCCCTCCATCATGAAGCCTCAAACAATAATCCATACCTTTGACAATCTCCAATATAGCAAGACTTATCCGATAGAAAACCTTGACACCTTCAAAGTAAAATACATCCCATACTCGAAGCACCGAGTTCCACGGTAATGTCATTGTGAAAGCTGTCATGAACCACTGTGCGATATACATGATGGGTTGCACCTCATTGCTTTCCTATTAGGCGTCCAACAACGTCAGCTTGATTATCTTTGGCATTGTCTTTTGGTGATCAGCATACCAGATGATGAGCCAATTTTGGCTGGTGGTCCTTGAGCAATTCACCAATGATGTACGCATCGATTCGAACTTGTGATAAGGTTGGGGTAAAATAGCCGTTCATGAAACGATCGATGGTTGCAACCAAAAGCCAAAACGCTTCCTATCCACACAACCTATGGTAAGGACCACGATTCTCAATCCATCGACAAACAACACGTACCTCGGCTGGCATATGCATCAACATACATCCGGCTAATCGTCCCATTCCTTGACAATACTCCAGCTCCGTGTTATAATGTGAATAGGCTCTCAATATCTCTCGAAGATCACGCTGTCCTTGGCTGTTTTCATCTCGGAATTGGCTATGGTCTGGATAACAACGAGCAATATCACGATCGATCACATCATAAATCTTGGTCCTTGGTTTTCTGCAAAGACTCTAAGTGGGAGGAAATGCAATGTAAGCAAGATAAACATGAACAATTAGAGTCCCCAATAATACCTCGTATGTCCCCTTCTTGGCGTATCTTTGGCTATCTGCTAGGAATTGCCAAACACGAGCACGAACGGATGCCGGGATTCCTGATCGAACCAACTTTTTGAATTTGGCATCCTTCTTGACAGTACCAGCGTCCATTTTTCCCACTGTGTTGATCCACTTGATCTCTTGCTCACGATATTCCTTCATTGACTTGACTGATGAATCAGCTCTATTATCCCTTTAAATTAGCAAATGGCCAACAATGCTCATATACCTTACTGTATTACCTTTGCAATGCTGAACCACTACCCAGCTTGGATCGATCAGGATGGATAATAAAGCCGTATTCATCCACAGGTATATCGGAAGAGGTTGCTGCCTTAGTTTCTCGCTTGCTGCCATGTGTTTCATCCTCGTCATCCCCATCATGCATTGCATCATCCTCATCTTTGGTTGTAATACGACTATCGTTTGTAGGTGCTGGTCGTGATCCACGAGTGGCTGTTGATTTGAACATGGTGCTACCCGTTCTTGTTGGTGTAGGTGCCATAGTTTGCTGTGCTGATGGTACTGGAGGATGAGGAGGAGAAAGATCATCATCTGATTCAGCCGAGTAATCATCATTGAAAGCTGAAGTATCAAAGTTCTCTGTGCCATCAAAAGTTTGCACCATAGGAGGCTTTGTTGGTAGCATGGATTTTCCATAAAAGTCTACAATCATGAATTGAATGAGATAAATGATAACCCTTTCTTCTCTTTTTGTATCCAAGATACTTTACCAGAATCTTCCATACGATGGCGGATATTTGGCATGGATGGTGTCGATGAGGTTGTGACAAGACTTTCAATACTGGATCGAGCAGCGATCGGCCATTGACCATTCTTTAACGAGTGATGCTCATGGATTGAGGAGGAATATTGCTCGGATGTAGACGTATAAGATTGTAGAGAGTCGCGTGCATGACTTGAGAGGCGATAACTTTCACCATCAATGAAATCGAGTTCGGCATCAAGTGATTCGAGTACACGTGGGTCGAGTTCCACAAAGTGCACGTTCTCTGCATTAAACTTGCCAATGACGCCTTCACAGTAACCCTATGCTCCCAACATTAATCCTATGAATAGAGAGAGAGAGAGAGAAGGGATAGGAAACGTACCAAGTACATGTCATTCTGCACATGCTTGAGAACGACAATACGCTCGCCTAGTGTCATATCGTAATTAGTAACGTTGTTCAAGAGAGAGAGAGAGAAATCGAGTTTTACAAACCTGATAGATACATTAAATCTTCACCTGTCTCGGCAAGGACATCTGCCTTTGATACACAAGCTCCTAGACCACCTACAGCAACAATGGTGTGAGATTGGGATGCATGTCAACCAGGTCTTACCATAGTCTTACCCTGCTCCGCAAATGCCTTCAGTTCAGGAACGGTCATCGAGTCTACATCGACTGATGCTTGGTCGAATGCGTCGCCTGGATCTCGCAAGAGTCGTTTTATCTTGTCGTTGATCTGCTCCAGGTCTGTGGAAGTGTGCCTCGTCATTTTAACGTCCATGGTGGATCAACAAGAAAGAGCGTGGAAGGGGTGTACGCTTATGGAAAGTGAACAGCTGCAATTAAATTGAAGTCAGGTCATGCCTCATTGCCTAATTCCCCTCGTCGCTCTATAGCCTCATATACAAGAAGAGTAGCCATCGTATCTCTAACAGCCTTTCAATACACACTCGTCCTATTTCGTTACATTTATTCATTAGCAAATATCATATAAACAATGATTGCTTTGTTAATCCTGTTGTGGGTACACGAATTATTATGCTGTGCACCTCCATTTCAATATCGGTTTCATATCATGTATCTCTCCCTACATTTTATCCAAGGTTAGGGGAATGCGCAGGGATGAATATCATAAGTCAGTGTTACAGGTTTCGGGAAATCACATGATCAAAGGTTGCCGAGTGATCGGATGGCGAGATGCGTAGCTGGCAACGGTGAATTTGGGTAATGTCATTAGAGGTATAGCTGTGTGGAAATAAACATGGTTGTTATTTGATGAAGAGTAGCGCCTGTGCTAGTAGAGAATTGGTCGATTGAGTGGATTTGTGATCATAAAAGCATCCCTTGACCTAGAAACGATATGCGTTACAAGCATATAGCTATGGTCGATCAGTCGTTTGTTGAGAATGTTGTTCCCTGATATTGGTAGGAAACGAAGGTCCACCAGCTGATGCGGATCAACATGGCGGATGAAGACAAGGGAGCTATGTATCATATGCTATGTACTGCCACTATCCCCTATTTCTTTAAACGTATGCTGCTTGACATTGACGACCAGTGAAAAGGATGGCGTCACGTGGACAAAGTTAACATCTTTGGAAGGTGTGCTGCTGATGAACTACACACGTCAAGAATCAATGGCATAGCCAAGGTGATGAGCATGCACCACCGCATACATCTTTAATAAGCACGCATAGGAAGCAATGGTGGTAGTAGGCTGTAAAAGAATGAAATGCGCTGCATTCATTATGTATACATGCGTGAATGTGCTGATTTACAACCAAAAACAATGACGAGTTGATCAATAGTGGTAACTTTATTACAATGTAAGAGCTAAACGATTGTGTGAATAATGGACACGGTGTCATTGATAATGAGCGCGAATTGTATCGGGTACTCCGCTTGACCTGCATTACTACCCCCTATGTCCACCGCCTTTTTGACGTTCCACCTTCTACCCAACTCCTTCAACACTCCCAATGAATAAGGAACAGCCACAATATCAAGACCCGTTGTTGAATCCAGGGCAGCTGAGACAGATCGTAAAGAACCTTCCAAGTAAAATCAAGGTATCAGTCAATGCAGCACTTGGGAATGCTCTCACATACTCATCGCAATTCGATATATGGCAGCATCCGCACACGAACTACAAGCATCGAGATGCAGGGATCTTGCTCGACGAGATTGACGAGTTTTTCGGTTATGTGGAAAGTGCAAACGAGCTTGGGACTTATCGCAGTGATTTCAATGATGATTTCGGCAAAGGTGGGATATCCTTTTTGCTCTTCAAAGCAGCTGTTCTTTGTAGTAACATGGATTGGATATAGAATGGCAGCAAGTCGATGATCAAGAAAGGCGTAAATGGATCGAGCAGCTATTGGATCAATTGGATCAATCTTCTGTGGAACAAAGAACAAGATCGGCAAGGCATCTCACTTACATTGCACTTGGTATGGATCATAATGCGAGGTTATTGGCTTATGCATTAACCACGGATTTGAATTACAGGAGCGTACAACGATGATCCACAGGATTTGAGTGATGCCATCTTGTCCAACAATACATTATTGTATTCCTGTGGTGCATTATCAAGCGTCTTTCAAGCTTTCAAGTCTGCATGTAGTCAACATGATACTCAAAAGTAGGTCCCTTTATCATTCTCTCGAATACAGCTAACTTTGAAATATTAGCTCCCAATATTTGTCTGCTGGGGATTACAATTCCTTGACGCGCGAGATTGAGCAATACATCACCATCATGTATCTTGTCATTGAAGCATTAAGGAACACCGATCACTTTGCCCATGAAGGAAGTCTTGATCCAGCCATATTACAACACCTCTTCTCTATCGTGTCTCAATTGCGTGACAAGTACATAAAGTCATTCCCAGTCAAAAAGGTATGTAAGGAAGGGTTGGTAATCATTGCCTTTATACTCATTGTGATATGGTAGCTTGTTCTTCTTTTATGGAAAGTGATCCTGACGACATTTGGTGGGGCTGAAGAATTGAAAGAAGCCAAGGCTGCTGCAAGAAAGATGTATGGACTCGATTCAGATAATCATGGTAGGTCATGGGTGATACACGATGGTGTTTCTTGTGAGCTAATAGTATGCCGTAGACATGGTATCCAAGTGCACACCACAAGACCTCTACACATTCCAGAATGAGATCACCCTCAAATACCCGACTTATACACCTCCGCATATTCCACTCAACACATCATCCACCTTGACGATCAAAGCTTCACCTGCATTGGCTACAGCAATGGGCATTTCCAACTCAACAGCACGCACAGACCTTCCATACCAAACCTTATTCCCGCCCAAGTCAGCAACAAGCAGCAACACCAATAGCTCAAAGCGATTACCACAACAACAATCACTCGTATGGCCAACCCCTTCCTCTCAATCTTTTGTTTTGCCCTTGACCGAGAATGAAGCCAGTGTTCCAAAGAGCACGGTAGAGGCTGGTGAACTTTATGTCCAAAACATGTATCTTTCCTTGGCCAACCATCAGGTGATGCTCGAACGTGAAAAGGCGATCCATCGATGGAAGAGAAAACAAGAGCACCAATCGAATCAAGACGAATGTGACGAAGACGAGATCCTTTTGGCACACTTGAGTGACCCGATGATGAGGAAACGATTCGAAGCATTGGAGCAAACTTATGTACAGTATTAATGACGCATGATTGATGCCCATACTCTTATTGACTCTATGTCGTATCCTAGGCTGTTATTGTTCCCGAATTACAAAACATCGTCATTGTTCTCCTGAAGTTGCTATTGTCTACCGTTGCCATGGGGAATCTCAGCAGCAGCAACTCAAATAAGCAACCAAACCACAACCCCGATGGATCACCAAAGCCCTTACAACAAATTGATCTTGAAGAAGCTGATGCGACCCGTAATCGAGAGATATTATCCAAAGCCATCTCTGCAGTGATATTCTTATTGCTCAAATGGACCAAAGTTTCACGTATGTTTGATTTTGCAACGTCGTCTACTGTTAGAAAGCATTGGCTGATACGCACTTCTTCTTTTCAGATGTCCTCAAGTTTGAATTTCTTTCGCAGCTCCTGGTTGATTCTGGTTGTCTATTGCTTATCCTTAAGATACTTGGATTACAAGAGATTACCAATTTGGTAGCAGCCAAAACCGATGTCGAAGGTTGCAGGTGAGCAAGACATTTTGTGATGTTCCCTGATCCTATATGTATACCAACGATGGCTTGCTTTTAGCTTCTCTGAAAAGATCACAGGGCGATTCAAGAACATCACATCAATACCCGAGCAAAGTTATACCAATACCCGGAACATGTTTTGGTCCATCAACTTTTTGAGGATATTGCAAATGCTGACAAAACGTAAAACGCATCGTATCATGCTCCTGGTGCAGTACAAGTCCTCTGTAAGTACTTGGATCTGGTAGACGATATAGGCATTCCCTAATCGATTTGAGAATAGGCCATCTTGAAGCGTATACTGAAAGTGTCTCATCCTGTCATGGAGCTATATACCCTTAAAGTGCTCAAGAGCCAAGTGCCTTATCTAGGAAGAAAATGGCGCTCATGTAAGTTGATTTGTAGCGGGATCTCATAACATGTGGCTAATGTATATGCTTGTAGTGAATATGAAGATAGTATCCGCTATTTATTTGAGATGCCATACAGTACTCAAGGATGACTGGATATCCAAGTCTGATACCGATAGTGATATGGAAGATGGGATGGTAAGCAACATTTTACAGCTACTCGTGGACATGTCATTCATTGTGTGCTTTGGCAGATGCAAGAAATCAATTTAAGGATGCTTGTGCGGATTTACAATGGGCAGCGGTACCTTCCAAGCATGCTTCCTCAACAAGATGAGCCTAGTGGGTTGGATACAAGCTCCTTAACGACACCTCTTTTGGAAGATGACATATCACTGGATCCGGATTTCATGTCCAACTATGAAGAATGGCTTGAAAAGAACGTATACAACGAAGAATGGAGCGAAGATGAGGACATGTCTATATACACCTCAAGCATGGATAGCGACGATAAGCAACCACCAGGCACACCCATTCCATCATCACCAGTGGTACAAGGATTGACAACGCAAATCAATGATTTATATGACAAGGAGCTTGAACGAGAGTTTACATTGGAGAACGAGGATACGACAATCATCCCTGCAAATCCATTTGAATTCCTGACACATCGGCTCGCTCAAGTGGAACAAAATACGTTGCAACGTTGGTCCGAATTGAATCCAGATCAAAGAAAAGCGTTGGATAGTATTGATGGCTTATGATGAATAAAGATGAGTCGTATCAAAGGATTGCTTATCTCCATAACGGCGACATGGTTGCTCAGGATGGTGGATTTATCCAATCATGTTTCAATGGTGTCAAAAGTCCCGCATGCATGTAAATGCCGAGTGCGCATTCTCGAAAGTAGGCGTCAGTGTGTGTCTCTCTTCTTTCTCTCTTGTGCAAAGCCTTTTATTATAACTATTTCTACTACCCCATCCCCCCTTCCACCATCTCGTCTTGAATTGAAAACTCTATACTATCGTCGCATTATCGCCAAAGCATATCCAATGGAGTCCAGAAAATCGCCCGTCTGTTAAGGTGTCGGTTTTCTCTCTTTTGCACATTGACCAGAAGAAGAAAGAGAAAGCAGATCTCGCGCACATCCGTCGATATCAATCAACCCCAATCAACAACGCGTCGGCTTGCACACAGCCTTATACACAATGGATCTCGACGACATACGCGAAATTCAAGAAAATGAAATCGAAGCACTCAAAGCCATATTTATGGACGACTACCGAGAAGTGGTTAACCAAACCCCTTGGAAGGCATGTTTTATTGTGATCGGGTGGAGGTTATAGAGATGTGGGTAGCTAATTGTGTGTTGGGTGGATGTATGTACAATAGGTAGCCAATGCAGCACCCGAGTTTATCTTACATTTGGCACCTTTGGGCGTTGAAGATGAGGAAGTCCATGTATCTATTGATCTCAAAGTCAGGCAAGTAAAGGAGTGGGGGATGAGGGAGAGTAAGGGGAGAGATGAATTAATGGATATGAATAGATTTACAAAATCGTATCCAAACAAACCGCCCGAATTACACCTGGTGTCTCCCAGGGGATTAAGTCCTCAACTTGTGCGTCGATTGAATGATTCTTTACAAGCTGCTGCCAAGGATATGGTTGGCCGAGAAATGATGTACGACCTTGCAGATCATGTCCGTGCGTTCCTTGCAAATCACAACAATCCTCCACCAGAAGGCAGCAAATTAAGTTTCCATGAGCAAATGGTCAAGCGTATGGAGAATGATCTCAAGGTAAATGGTACATGCTTATGCATTAAATGAAGCATCACATCTCATACATTATGGCCAAACAATAGGTGGAACAAGAGCGTGAGCTAATGGAACGTACACGTCGTGCACAAGAGGAAGAAGCAGAACGTCGTGTCCAATCAGAGATGATGAATGCCAAGATCCAGGAAGAGATTGAAAGAAAACGACAACAAGCACAAGCCGTGAAACGCTTACGACAAGAACTTGGCTATGATGCTGGTGAAGTGGATGATGATCTTTATGGACATGTGGATGATGAACACAGCGGATTTGAGGATCCAGAAGAATCAGCATTACGACAAAGCATTTTGGAAAGCAGCGAAGTTAGCACCATTCAATTCGACAACCTTGTATCGATTCCTTTCAACAATGATCAAATCTGTTTCCGTGCTATTGCTCTTGGTCCACGACTACGACAGGAAGATATCAGTGAAACGTTCTCAGCCAATCCGCTAGCATTCAGAATCCTCAAGCGAGAAAACGACAACAACCTTGTGGAAGAAGAGAGTGGCGATGTTCAATCACTCCCAAGTCTGGTACTCGTCAAACGTATCAAGGTATCTGGATCCTATTACATGACACCTGCAGGCAAACGCAAGTTGCAAGAGGTGGAGCGTGAATTGGACCGATTGCGATCACTCCAACATCCACATATTGTTGCTGTGTATGACGCCAAATTGGAACGATCCAAGCTTGAAAGGCATAGCTGGACATTGGATATCTTGATTGAAGATGAACGAGGAACACTCTTGTATGATTTGCTGCAGACATGTGGTGGTGGTTTACGTCCTGGTATGGTGCGCAAGTACATGAAGCAATTGTTATGGGCTGTCAATCATATCCACCTCAACGGCTTTGTATGTCGACAAATTCGAGCAACGAGTATCTTTTGCAGCAAAGATCAAACGGTGCGTATAGCCGATGTCAGCTACGCACGTCGACTACGAGATCTCAATCGATCCAATGCATTGAACGACCAAAATTCAAGCGACAGCAGCATCGAATTGTTACCAGGATGGATGTCACCCGAGTTACGTGAAAGACCTGGTGTCTACAACCGAAAGAATGACATTTGGTGCTTGGGCGTTGTCTTTTTGGAGATGCTATGGGGTGTGGATGTCACCAAAGAGTATGGAGATTTCGATGCATTCCTACGATCCGAGGCAAATGAATTACCAGCTGCCGCACGTGACCTTGCCAAAAAGATGCTTCATACAGATCCAAGGAAACGACCCACAGCAATCGATCTCCTCAAAGACAGCTTTTTTGGTGATGGCAAAGATAGCAATGGTCCCGTCATGGAAGAAGTATCCACCGTGTTTATGAACGATCGAGCAACAAGCACGCCTATGCAACCACAAAAGGACGCTCCTGCTGGTTTCGGTGATGGTGCAACAATTTATGAACCATCCATGGTAACCCATGCAAGAGAGAAATCGTTGTCGTCTCCTTTAATGGTACCCGCATCCACCTCTCTACATCATCCATCCACTGGTTCAAGCTCACGCTACAGGACTGATTTTGAGGAAATCGAGTTTCTTGGAAAAGGAGGTTTCGGTGAAGTGGTCAAAGCAAAGAATCGATTGGATGGACGGCTTTATGCAATCAAAAAGATCCGCTTGGACCCACGCGACAGCGAAGATCTCAGGAAGATTTTACGTGAAGTGCAAACATTATCCAGCCTACATCATCAATACGTTGTGCGCTATTATGCAACATGGTTTGAAGGTAAATCTTTCTTCTTTGTTATTCTAGTGCAAGATGCTAATCGATGATGCATGCATGAAATAGATGAAGATGGTAGCGGTTGGAAGGATAGCGAAGACGAGGACTTTACCGAGGATGAATCAATGTCCGAATACGATGATGAAGATGACGAGGATGTCAGTGTTCTTCAAAAGCGTTTCGACTTTTTATCTACCGAGCAATCCAAGAGCCGCAGCTATTCCGCCATCAAGTTTGCGGCTGAGGAGGAAGATTCATCAAGTGAATTGGAAGCAGGAGAATCATCATACGACGACAAGACCATGTCCTCGATGGATGACTACATTGATTTTGCTCCCGATGGAAACGAATCATCTACCGTCAGTGGAAAGAAGCTCGCCTTGACCCGCAGAGTGATTGATAAGTTAAAGAGTCGTCGAAACCGTACCGATGAAAGCGACAATGGCAGCAGAGGACGTTCACAACGCACACGTGTCCTTTACATCCAAATGGAATATTGTGAGAAAAAGACGCTACGTGACATTATCGATGATGGCGTGGACGAGGAAGATGCCTGGAAACTTTTCCGACAAATTCTCGAAGGTTTGGTGCATATTCACTCTCAAGGCATGATTCATCGCGATCTCAAGCCATCCAATATCTTTTTGGATTCCAATAACGATGTCAAAATCGGTGATTTCGGCTTGGCGACAACCAATCAAACTTTTGTGGATGCTGTCAGCGCCTTTGCAAGGACATTCAACAATCGGAACAGAGCAGGTGGTGAACGTACACCCACTCATCATGACGGCTTACTTGATTCGACCAATGGCAGCTATGCAGGCTACTCGGCAACAAGCATGAATGCGGGTGTGGATGAAAGCATGACAACTGGTGTTGGTACTACATTCTATGTATCACCCGAAGTGCTACCCAATCCAACAACAGGCGCATCACCCGGCATGAGATACAATCAAAAAGGTATGAGCAGTATTATAGCATGGATGATCGAGAACTAAAAGCGTTTTCTCCTCTTCGTATTATAGTGGATATGTTCTCCTTGGGTATGTGGCTAATGCATGTCATTCATCTGGACCAAGCTAATACCTTTTGTAGGCATCATCTTTTTCGAAATGTGCTATCCTTTTGATACTGGCATGCAAAGAGCAATTGTAAGTGTTGCTTTAAGGGTTCGATTAAGGTGATGGATGGCCAACAAATATGTTTTGTAGGTTTTGCAAGATCTGAGGAATGGCAAATTCCCAAATGATTTCCCAAAGGAATATGTCAACCAACGCAAGATCATTGAGCGATTGATTTCTCCACAGCCAAAGGATCGGCCAAACAGCTTTGAATTATTACGCAGCGATCTATTGCCTCCAAAGCTTGTAAGTGTTGTGGCATGCAATCTAGTTGCTACTACTGGTTTATTAATTGGCAACAATAGGAAGATGAATATATCAAAGAGTGCGTGCGGACAATCGGTAGGTAAAAATGAAGCAATGCATAAATCCAGGAAGCTAACAATGCCCCTTAATATAGCCAATCCCAATACACCTTACTATCACAAGCTTATGACAGCCATGTTTTCGCAATCATCCGATCGACACAAAGACTTTACGTACGACTATCATACGGTAAACACAAAGAGAAAAGAGGTTCATGTATTGAGAAATGAGACATTAATACGAATGCACTTGTATATAGCAAGTGGAAGCCCCATTTGATCCATTCAGCCATATATTCTTTGACATGATCCGAGAGCAAATGAGCAAAGTGTTCCGACGTCATGGTGCTATCGATCTATCCACGCCACTTTTGATACCCAAGAATGATTTGTACGAGTGGAATTCAAAGAACCCTGTTTACCTAATGGATCCTCAAGGTTCGATCAATCAACTTCCTTTTGATCAAACGGTGCCTTTTGCCCGCTACGTTTCTCGTAAAAAAGGTTTTCAAGAGCTGAAGCGATTCACATTTGAAAGAGTTTATCGGTAAGCACAGCACACGTGGACCATCATCATCCATGTATATCCTTCTCACATCCTTTTATTTTTCTAATAGCGAAAACCCAAGTGGTGGTCAACCTGAATCTGCCTTGGAAGCCGACTTTGATATTGTACACAAGGAAACAGCGCTCATGGTGCCGGATGCAGAGGTGCTAAAAGTGGTGGAAGAGATCCTTGAAGAATTACCGCCTTTCAAGTCTGGAGGCTTTTATTTCATGATCAACCATGCTGGTATCGCCGATCTCATCTTGGACAGTTGCCGCGTTCCCACAGATATCCGGAAAGGGGTCATGGTGGCATTATCGAGCCTTGGGCGTGGCACATCCTTTGCAACAGTACGCAACGTGCTCAAACTCAAGTTCCATCTACAACGGAGCGTATTGGATGAGCTGTCCATATTCAACGTGCAAGGTGAACTCGAGAATACTGGAAAAAAGGTGGATGGCTTGTTGGTGGGACAACACAAGTCCAAGTTTCGAGAGTATCTGGGTGAACTACGTGTGCTTATCTCGATTGCAAAAAGCATTGGCATCCATCACAAGATCGTCTTTCATCCTTTGTTGGTGTAAGTATACAACACAAATTCACATTGATGAAGCTAATACAAAGAACACAATGCAGGTACAATAATCATTTCTACAAGAATGGTGTTGTGTTTGAAACGGTGGCCGATACAACCGATTCAAGGAAAAAGGATGTGCTTGCCGTTGGTGGAAGGTAAATCTTGTAACATGGCTCATTGTTATGGAAGACTAATACGATGGATCAGATACGACGTGCTTATCCAAAACTTTGCTCACCCAAACGCCACTGCCAACCGCAAGTTACGTGCTGTAGGCGTCAACATTGCTGTACAAAAGCTTATACGACGCATGGATATGTATCAATCGGAGCAAGTGAAGTACCTTGTCAAGTCGAAGAATGAAAAGCTAAGGAGTTTTGGTGCATGGGCCCCTAAGCAGGTAAGGTCTCTTTAACACAAAGCAATTTTACAGTATTAACCCATGAGCCAAATAGTGTGATGTCTATGTGGCAAGCTTTGGCAAGGTGGCTCTTCATGAACGACTCGAGATTGTACGCGACTTGTGGAGCCACAACATTGGAGCCGACTTTCAATATGACAATGGGAATCAATTAACGCCTGAAGAGCTCGTTGTTCACTGCAAAAAGGCGAGCATCAATTGGCTGGTCATTGTCAAGCACCGATCATCCGATAACAAATCCAACACAAGTGAAATGGTCAAAGTCAAGGATGTGCTCCGCAAAACTGAAACTGAAGTTAGCAAGGCTGACCTTCCAGTATGGCTCGCTGCTGAAATTGGAGAACAAATGCGTATCGATCATAACCACACGGTGGGCAAGATACGTAACAAGCATGATCTCAAGAGCAAAGATGTGGTTGAGACAAGTGAGTCATGGGATAAACAATCGGTTGCCAACATGCTTACTCATTCTTTCTATTAGCACGACATGATGAAATGTCCAAATTCAGTGATGGATACGAGCTCAAGAAGGATGATTTTGACGTGCACATTATCCACAGTGAAGGACGTGGTGGCGGCAAGGAACGAGTCAAATTAAAACATAAGCATAAGACCATGTTGATTGACAAAGGTGAGTCAAGGAGAGTAGGAGGTGAATTGGATGTTCATTCTCTTTATACATTGTTTATGCGTTCTTTGTTTAGCCATCTATCATATTATCCCGATTATGGAAGGCTTGATGAAAGGAGAAGTGCAAGTAATTGCATTCGATCTGTCAAGAGACCTGCTCAAACGAATGAGTGAAGCGAATACATGGGTGGATGAACAAGGATTCAAAAAGTTACAAGAAGTCGCTGGGATTGGACAAAAGGATACCCTTTCAAGAGCAAGACATGCTATTCAAAAGCTTATTGAAGCTAAGCATAAAAGTGTATGGCTTTATTCGTACAAAGAAGACTATGCAGTTTTATGTAATTTACGCTAATCTTGACAATAAAACACGCAAAGCATCATCTTAAACCTAGCATGGAGTGGATCAAACTTACTCACGATTTTGTTGTCTCCTATGTAAGCTATGCAATAAAACCTGCAGCTGATGTCCTACACCACATCGTTTGCATTTTGGCTGTAAGTCATAACACAACTCATTTGCTGAGACTCAACCAATTCCATTACAAAAAGCGATGCATTCAAATTCAATAAAGAAACAACATACTTTATTTGATTGTATTTATACTAAGCGATTAACTGTCTTCTCTCAGTTCTTGAGAAACATCAATGATATGACTCAATTAACAGGACCAACCAACGAGAAGGTGGAAGACAACTGGCCCCAAAAGGTGTTCACGAAGTGCTTACGCAAAACGTGTTGAAAAGGTGAATGTCTCAGAGCATGGCTCCATTCGGATACATCCAATGTCCACAAGCCAGCATAACTGTAACCGAGACCAACTGCCAGCAAAACTGTAACAGTAGAAGATGTATAAGTGAACGGTCAGAGTAAGAGCATTTACCTTTTGCATCAAGGAGCCATGATCGCACCCCATGTCCTCATTGGCCAGCAGTACTGTAACCAGCAAGGAATCTTGCAGCCAGCAGGACTGTAACTACAAGATAGGTGCACTCTTGAGACCATGCTTGCCCATGTGAGAAGAACAAAAAAGTAGGTTTCCGCAGCAACAGGTTCTGTTGCTATACGTTTTTCAAAGCCAGAACCGGGACGTCACCAAAGCAACCAGCGGAGCACAATGCAATACACACTATGATACATCTGATCATGTGACGTAAATTTTTCTATAGCATCTTACAAGCTTACAACATAAGCACATCATTCAGCCTGCTTATCATGGACTCTTTACACTGTCAAATTGTATTAGAATGTACAAAACTACGTGGTAATGGTAAAGGTATACCCATATACTGTATAGTCATCATAAAAAATAGGTATCCATTTTAGCGACAACCACATTTTTAACCATACACGTGTTTTCAGATCTTCTTCATCATAACGTTGGTGCTTTACTTTAAATAATCTTCAGTGGTGGCTCATGAAAAGCATAATAAGAGAAAAAGGGAGCACAATACTACAAGTGGTGACGCTTCATGGTTTTTTTGGGCATCCACAGCAGCGAGTGACCTACAAGGAAAATGGTGGGACTACACAGATATCAATATTCATGCTGCTGGGCCATCTCCATGTTTCCATCCACAGCCATACCTACCAAGACAATATCGTGTTCCTCGTTCCTCCATGATCCTGACATGCTGTTGGTGCTGGACAATGATCTTCATAAGTGGCAGGCACAAGAGGGAAAGAGAGCAATAGATGTACAGTGCAAAGAGTTGCTGAAGCAAAATGTATTCTTTCATATGTAGAGGATTGTAACAAAATGTGATCAGAATTGAACGGGATACTTGTTTAAGAATGCTGAGATGGCAGTGGTATTGGCGCTGCTGATTCGTTCCGAGAAACCGGCATTGCAGATATTCACGACTGGGGCTGTAAATGTTGATAATTGGCGCAAGCTGGCATGTTCCCGGTCATTCAATTCCCCTTCAAGAAGTTCCCCGGCAGCAATGATCGTTTTCATATAGGTGTTGATATCATCAAATTCAGGAGTCATCATCTTCTTACTGATGCTGTTGAAAGTAACCGTATCCCTACCCTTGATCACTTTTTTCATGCTGCTGTCAGATGCTAACTTCATCAACATCATATCCAGTTCATTCTTCGATATCCTCTTCTTCGAAATGCACTTCATGATCATAGACGCCACACGGGAAGATGCACCGCCACGCCCTTTCCTTGTGATAGGGTGATCACCAAAAGCAAGTGGGTTAACCGGATAGCATTCTTGAGAAACAAATCGATGACTATGCAGTGACCAAAGGAATGATGATGATGACTTTGCATATTGGCGTAAATGGCGGTTGGATCTCGTGAAAGTAGCTGGTGTTTTGCGAATCAGGATATGGGTGGAAGATTGAGATTGGCGTAATTCATGTGGTAAGTCCTTGATCGATGATCCAAGAAAGCCTTTCACTGCTGGATGATCATGATGACCAAAAAATCCTCCCACAGCTAATAATTCCATAGCACCAAGGGATAAAGACAACTCAATGTACTTTGATTGCCCAAAGCGGCTTTTGATAGCGATTGAAGCTTGAACACTCTCTTGATACTTCCAATCACCTTGATGTGCACAGTCATCGATTGTCGGGCATCCATGCAAGAAAACATCCACGCTCGTAACCAGAAACCAGTATGATCCAAAAATAACCAATGCTTCAATGTAACGTTCGCCAATGTCCACGGCTGTCGATTGTGCTTCCTCCAAATCAAGTGCTGCAGTTGGTGATAAACGTTGATCATCAATGGCCTTAAGTGTGTCAAATTCATAAGCACATCCTTTTTTGAGTAGACGGATTGCACCAAAAGGTATGAGCTGACTAGCTGATGTTGTTGAGCTTTCCATAGCGTTGTTGTCGCCTTCTGAACCAATGTTGCTACGCAATGCACATCTTCCAGACATCACCGCTAGTTCCTTGATCATCTGTTTTGTGCGCTCAGCTTCCTCCGGCGTTACAAACTTGTCAATATCCACTTCCGTATCGTGATCAAGTCCAGTCACCATAATCTTGACATGATTGCAACACTCCTTGGCAATATCGTTCCACATGTTGGCATGGTCGTGGTGGACATAAACTGCTATCTTACTTGCATCATGTCGCTTGTCAATGTATCGCAAGAGACGCTTGCCGAATGCCCTGGTTTTGCTGCTTGGATATGAAACATGAAATGCCGTTGTCGAATAACTGTGTTGCACCACCAACTTGAGCAAGGATGAATTCATTCGATCAGGAAGCTTTATAGTTCGTGCACAAATGATTTGAAGTGTATTGACAGGCGTATCTTGTCCCAACACAAGTGCGTGCTCCAATTCCAATCGGCTACTCCAGGACCATAAACGCTCACTTGTTGCTGCAAAGTGGAATTTGTCAATCCAATCAGGGAGAAAGGAGTGAATATGCAACACGACATCCAAAGGAAGCTTGTTCAAGTGGCCTTGTCCGCCATTTGCAGCCATTGGGCAGGAATTGTCAACCAACGACACGGTGTTGGGCGCAGCAGAGGAAAGGAAAAGACGCGAATCTGATTATGCTGTTTCATGCACGGAGGCTAATATTGTTGAGTTATTTGCTGTCAGCTGACATGCTATCATTACTTTATACTGAATGCTCAATATAGCTACTGCATCCTTTCTCATCGAGTTCACAATGTATTCAATACAGTCATTGCTTTTCTACCACTATTTACGGTTGTACATGTGTACAAGAACGTGTTAAATAAAACCCGCACGCTTCATTAAGAAAAGTTTGGATGGGCGGGAGCGTCCAAATGTAGAATGCATGAACAGAGGGGAATATATAAGTAGGGCCCACACTTTGTATTTTATTAGAAAGACATTTAATATTCTTATAAGGCCGGCACACAAGCTAGGTCATAATCCACAAGCAACAAGAAAAGCTCAAATGGATGATACACAATGCTTCTTCATCTAGCTTCTACTTTGTCGTGGTTGTCTTCATCCACTGTAGTGCCATAATCATGAGAACCATCCAAGACACGAATAGAAAAGAATGGGATCTTGCATACTTCGTTCTAGATGTCGACAAGATATGAGGAATGCATCAACAAGCAGTCGTCATCACCTTGCCATGAGCATGAGACAGACCACGCTTGTTTGTGGTCATTGTCGTTAGCAATGTCGTGGTGAACCTCGTTACAGCTATCATCGTCGTCTCTATATAAGGAAAAAGAAAGCAAATCTGCAGGAATCATATAACCAGATCACCACCGATATCATCACTTTCATAGCGTCCCAGGGCTCATAGTTGCTCCCTTCATCCTCTCCAACAAGAAACATTGGTGCCGCATCGTTCCAATCCTCAAAGAGAAACCACTAACGCATATTACGAGCAGAGCCTCAAATGGCCAAAAGGTGCAGGCTGGGAGTCGAACCCAAGCGTAGATCATGCCCAAAGTTGCACTGCCTGAGCAAGAACCTGTTCAAAGATAGCGTTGTTTACTATTACAATAAACGCCTTTTTCATTATCTTTGTTAATCACTGTACTTGCCTTTCTCATATACACAAACACCTTTGCTGTGGTTACAGGAAACCGAAAACCATGGTGTAGATAGTTGAGCCGAAACAAAACGCCAAACCAGCGAAAGTCTTGAAACCGAACTTGCCGTCTATACAAGCTGACGCGTCAATGGAACCAATTCGGCTGCAACATTGGACTCTGAATGTACCTGTTGACACCAAGCGTAGAGCGGGAATAGCAACGAGCAAAAGGAAGCAACAATATCGCCATGACAACCACCAACCACCAACCACGCTCATTAGCACTTTGGACACACTCACTCCCTGACAATGCATGTTCAGAACTATGTTAATGCCTCACAAACAACAAGAGCACTCTTTTATAGTACATTACCTTGATCGCATTGTCGTGAATGGAATAAGGAAAGGTGGGAGAAAAAGAAGAGAAGCGTTGTCTCAAGTCGTGGAGCTACCGACCCCCAAGTTTAAATCCCCTACTGCTATTACACTGAGGCCACTCAATTACCCTATACACACACTATCCACCCATCATCATCCTCGTAATAGACGATAGGTACACGTAAATAAAAGCTATGATCCTCACGAAGGGTGTGTGCCATTTTACACTTTACATGATAATGATGATCCAACAACAGCCATTACCTTACTACCAGGTTAGCTCGAATCATGAAAGTTAAATGATGGGCATGCTGGGCTGGAGCAAGACAATCGTTCGTATGCATTGGATTGGACAACAAAGGTGAATGGGAGGAATGGGCTATCAAGTGGCAGTTTATAAATAACTTACCAATTTGATTCTTCTGATATTGGATGATGTTTCTGTGTTTGAGCATTTTTCAGTCAAATCTCATCGGATCAAGAAAGTTGAATGATGGGCATGCTGGGCTGGAGCAGGACAATCGTTCGTATGCATTGGATCGGGTAACAAAGGTGAATGGGAGGACTAAGGTTATTAGCTGGCATTTTGAACTATTCCTAAATAGTGTACAAGAATCATGCATCGACTGTGCTGAATGATTCAAGTTACACAAACACGCCCTCTGCATCTTTTGCTCTATTATAGTCATACTACTTTACATTAAACAAAGACCACTCTTCTTATAGCATCACCCCTACAGCATATGTAAAACATAAAGGTGCCTGTATCTCCAAACTTTACAATCATACGTGGGCTCTTTAATAGATCAACGTGCTCGTCGGGGTCAAAGGAATCTTGTGTCAAAGTATGAAGTTCATCATGGGCGATCCCAGATTTCGCAATGTCGCTATCAGCCAAACTGGATCCGGGGCTCAACCTCTTTCGACGATGACCAAAAAAATACTTTTTGGGCTGTTTGCGACATTGAACGCGAAACTTTCACACAAGGTGCTGTTGGCCAAGCCGAGCCCATTGCTGTAATAAAAAGCCCACGTTGCATTGTAAAGTTTGGAGATACAGGCACCTTTATGTTTGTAAGTGTGATGCTATAAGAAGAGTGGTCTTTGTTCATTGTCAAGTAGGTGGATCCTGGCAGAGCAAAAGATGCAGAGGGTCGTGTTGTGTAACACACCTACGTTTGCATGAATGAAAAGGTCAATGTATAATTACTTTATGGATCATCTAGGAACAGGCATGTATTGCTAGCTAACGGCCACTTTTATCCAATCATCATTGCTGCGAGATCCACTGCATGGGAACGATGCCCCTGCTCCAGACATTCATTTCCATGATTAAAGTAGGTTGATCCGCGCTGATTTGACTGAGCTGCGGTCAAAGAGAGATTACATCACTCTGGACATAATGCACGCTCGGTGTAGCTCAACCGATGTAATCTTGTGTGAGCGTAACTCAACCAAATCAGCTCGGACTAACCTACTTTAATCATGGAAATGAATGTCTAGAGCTGGAGCATCGTCCACCTACAATAGAATGCACAAAAGTTGGGAATGCACAAAAGTGGCTATTAGCTGCCAATGTATGACATAAAAGTGAGGGTTGCGTACCTTTCATGCATTGTCCCTGAAGTCCTGACTTTTTAGCTGAGTAACCCAAAGAGGTCCTTCTGCATCTTTGGCTCTCCAGGGTCTAGCTACTTGACAATGAACAAAGACCACTTCTCATATAGCATCACGCTTACAAACATAAAGGTGCCTGTATCTCTAAACTTTACAATCAAACGTGGGGTTTTTATTACAGCAATGTGCTCGGCTTGGCCAACAGCACCTTGTGTGAAAGTTTCAAGTTCATCGTGGCTAATCCCAGATTTCGCAATGTCGCCACCAGCCAAACTGGATCCTGGGGTCGACCTCTTCGTTATAGGGAGGCTTGATTTGCCTCGATTTTTATTGGGAGTATGTCGAGGAGTGATACCCCAAAGATGATACAGCAATGTGAAAGTAAAGAAGACTAACTGAGAAGAGAAATAGATCAAACCGGATCATTGTGACTCGAAGAAGAGACACTTTCCGATGCAAAAGAGAACGAAAAGGGGAACGCTTTCCCCTTGTGGCGAAGTGTAGCATAAAGTCTGTCATAAGATACGCTGGTCAGTGTTTCAGTAATGGTTCTTGCTTCGTCGGAAATAGGGAACAGGCGGTTAAGTAGTCTGCGTTGGCGATCAGTGATAGGTTTGGCGTTGGGGTCAGTATTGGGCTGAGGTGGGATAAAGTCGACAATAAGCTGGTCGTTGTGAGCTTCACGATTGGAAAGGTCATCAGAATGCATTGAAACATCAGAGTCGTGGCTGTGGGCAGAAGAAAGTGTGGGCGATGGAGGCGATGGTGGCACGTGTGGTTCTTTGTTATTGGTTGGCGTTGGGGTGCGATGATAAGAACATTTTGCTGCACGATGGCCTGGTTGACCACATGACCAGCAAAGACGATTGCGACTTGGATGACTAGGACATGATGAAATAGAGTGACCGGAACGATGACAGTGTAGACAATGTAATGGCATTTCAGCCCATGTTGCATAAAAGAAGTCGGCGGAGTTGGGCCAAGCAATCGTGTGTGTGAGTGGGAGGAAATCGAGTGAGGCTGAAACGTTTAATGTTGCGTAACCATGTCCCATAAACAAGTGGGAGTCCTGGTCACGAAGAATACCATGATCTAGAATCTTACCAAAGGGTGCGAGTGCTTGTCGAATACCATCTGCTAGTTTTTCCCTAGATGTGAATGGCAGGTTGCTGAGACGAATGTTGATGATGTGAGCGTTTTCCGATAAAGGCCGAGTGGGTAAGATACGAGGACCATCAGAGAAGAGAAGACCATTTTTGCAGGCTTTTTCGTACAAGAGGATGAATCATCAATGAATAGCTCAACAATACGGCGTGAATGATCTGAGTGCAGGCGTGCACCACAGTTATCAGGATAAGCTTTCACTTATGTGACGAAGAAGTGTTGAACGGTTTTCGGTGCGAGAAGTGAAGTCAAAAAACAAACTCGGGCACGAAGCAGGGGATCCGCAACTTTCCACATTAAGATAAATTGGTTTGTCCAAGTTACATTGCTGGTCAAAGATTCTCAGATTGCAGTAGGACGTTGAACGCGAGCAGCTCTCGCATAAGATAAAGGTGGTGTACTAGATTGGGTGCCTGTTTCCTTATCAGGCGATTTGATTGAATTCGCGGAAGACATGGGGTCGACCTCTTCGTTGTATGGAGGCTTTTGGCCTCAGATTTATTGCGGGAGTATGTCAGAGAGTGATACCCCGAGAGAGAAACAAAGGTGATACAAATATAGAACTAACAAGTTTTAACGGGAAACAAGTTTAAACGTGACTGATCACGGCATATAGCCTGAAACTAATAAGGGCCTGATGCCCACGCAAGGGATTGATCCGGCGCCCCCGGGAACGGAAGAAACTGGAGTACCACTCGGCTGGGGGGGTTACCCCCATGGGGGGTCGACCTCTTCGACGACGACGACCAAAAAAATATTTTTTGGGCTGTTTGCGACATTGAACGCGAAACTTTCACACAAGGTGCTGTTGGCCAAGCCGAGCCCATTGCTCTATTAAAAACCCCACGTTTCATTGTGAAATCTTGAGATAAGGTTGTCTTTATGTTTTCACTATGCTGTAAGCGTGATGGAGTTGCTTTTTCCTAGTGGATGGTGTCGGCTGTATTAACGGAAAGATGAAGCGCTGAGTGAAACGGCACGTGGTGGTACACAGACACGTCCTTGACAGGTTGCTACACAAATGGATGATGATGATGATTGCCTTTTGTGAAGGTACGTAAGTAAACAGCATCCAATAATGAAGGTGTGTCAAGGTATGCATCACATTTGCATGCAGGAAAGTCGAGCTGCATAAACCAATTTGTATATGTAAAAAGATACGTATACATATTGAATGGGTCACTCATCCTGAAACTCAATGGAGGGATCTCTTCACTTTTTCTCTTCTCAAGCTCATCCCACTTCCCACTCCTCCTTATTGTATCACAAAAGCCATGTACTTCTTAACTGGACCACCTTTATTATTCCATCTTCGAAGCAATAGTATGTAATCCACAAGCTAGCAACCTCTAACAAGCGTGTAATAAATAAACAATGCTTTATTTCATCTAGCTATCTTGCTATGTACTGTACATTGCCACCACCATCCTCGTAGTCGTCCTCCGTCATCATTCCTACTGGTACTCGTCACCAGTCGTCAATCTCATCCGTCACACCAACATCCAAAAAAACACAAGTTGAAAAGAATGGGATCTTGCAGGCTTCCTTTTGAATCTCGTTGTCGTCATCATTGTCATTGTTGTGAATGTCGTTATCATCGTAATCGCCATTGTTGTGTATGTGGTAATCATCGTAATCGTCGTCTCTATAAATAAGAAAGCAAGCAAGTTAGACCACATGATGCCGGGAATGATGACGATTTGGTATACCGTTAGGCCATCCTCTCAAAGGAAGAAAGCAAATCAGGAGGAATTCACAAACCAAATCACCACCATACGAGCAACGTCAGGCAATCCCTTGTCTTTGAGAAAGCACTGCACGGATCACGCAAGGCCAGTTCGATCCATGGCAAGGAAGGACATCACTTACGTAGAGTCCAGGCTCATAGATGTCCTTATTCATCCTCTCCAAAGAAAGAATGATCCCCAATCCTTCCAATCATTTCCCACCTCATGAAAAGAAATCCTCAAGGGAAAGAACGAGCCTATCACGAGAAGAGCGTGTTGGTTCAACACATTCACGAGCTGTTGCAAATGCCCTTTTACCTCAACAACGGTGACCATCCTCTTCCAAAAACCCATCCTCAACTCAACGCAGGCCTGTAGAGCCCTGGACGCGTTCCAAGAACTTTTCCAGCACACTTGGCTAGTGCAGAGCGACGCAGCGGCCACTTGATACAGGCTGGGACTTGAACCCAAAGAGATGAAAATGCCCAAGTTGCACTGCCTGACCAAAGAAACCTGTTCAATTCATTATTAGCGCACACACACACAATAAACGCCCTTTTTCATTTTTTGTTTCATTTCACTTGCCTTTTCCATATACACAAAGACCCGTTGTTGTTGGTTACTGGAAACCGAAAATCATAGTGAGCCGAAACAAAACGCCAAACCAGCCAACGTCTTGAAACCAAACTTGCCCTCTATACAAGCTGATGCGTCAATGGGACCAATTCGGCTGCAACACTGGACTCTGAATGTACCTGTTGACACCAAGCGTAAGGCGGGAATAGCAACGAACAAGAGGAAGCAACGATATCGCCATGGCGACAACGCGCTCATTCCGTAGCACTTGGACACGGCTCACTCCCTGACAATGCATGTTCAGAACTACATTAACTCCTCACAGCCAACAAGAGCACTTTTTTATAATACATTACCTTGATAGAGATGTCGTGAATGGGGATAAAAGCAGAGGAGGGAGAAAGGGAAGAGAAAACGTTATCTCAAGTCGTGGAGCCGCCGTCCCCAAGTTTAAATCCCCTACTGCTATTACACTGAGGCCACTCAATGACCCCCCCCCAAACACACCATCCACCCACCCACACAACTCACCCATCACCATCCTCATCCTCATCCTCATGATAGACAATGGGTAAACCACATTTTCATTCTTCACCATATATATAAAAGGACATTTATTGGATCATGATGTAGTCAAGTATGTGTTATTGAGACGTAACCCCATTTCGATTATCACATGATCGTCATAAGCAAGGAACTGTTCGGTTTGACGGAAGAGGAAACAGGGACATCTTCGATCAATCAATATGAGTGTATCATATCATCTCTGTAATCAAATAGTTGAACATGATTACATAAGGCGTATTTGTTGACAAGTGTTCATTGAAAGAGAGGATGAGCTGGCATAAAAAGCTGTAATGTCTTATCTTCAATGTCAACAGCAAGTGCCTGATTTAGCGGAAATAGATGGTCGATCGACGTCACGAGCGTTTACCTTGCTCTTGAGCAAATTTTGAAGTTCCTTCTCTCATACACACTCACAGCAATTTCTCAAATGGTGAACAGTGCTTTTAAGAACGTAAAGTGTCGACATGTTTATCCACTGCTTGCGACTAGGAATTTAACATTTACACCACTCTAGGTCGGCCGCTGGTCAGCACTTGCTTTCGGTCTCGTCTACGGCTACACCCACAATGCTTCATTGCAAAAGCAGGCTAATGAGAAGAAGCAACAACTTGAATACGAACGCAAGGAGAAGCTTATTGAAGAGGCCCGTGCTGCTTATGCCGCCAAGAAGAACCCTGCTCCTGTTGTTGAATCAGGTTAGTTGACAAGCGTGTGGGTGTGGGTGTGCGTGCGTGCTTGTGTATATAGTACCAGGGGGTTGTTGAAGGGGTCTCCGAGAAAATGTTGATTACTAAATGCTATATTCTTATAGCTGTTGTCGCTGATGTTGATAGCCCTGACTTCGATCTCGAAAAGTTCCTTAGCCAGTTGGAGGAGAGCAAGTAAATCAAGAGAAAAGCACATTCTTTGCTATAGACGATATTTACCCATCAATGACGATCGAATGTTTGAGTGTTCATATACACACACAAGATCCTTACCATTGACGACAAGTGTTGATTCTGTTGGGTTATTGCGGATATTGGATGGTGGAGCGTCATTGTTCTCGAGCAAGGGGGTTGCAGGGGAAATACGGTGATTCAACTGATTAGGCTGAAAAGGATGGTTGATTGTTTTTCTTTGGGGTTGAATGAAAGAGAATGAAACCATGGTCATTGAGGGATAAAAAGAGAGAGGTTATGTCTACTGGTATTTCTTTACCCTTTTTTCCTTCCTCTTTCTTTTCACACAAAGCATTGCTCGATTGAATGTATTGCGACAACTGGGAGACAGAGTTTCCCGAGGCGACGTTTGACACCAAGTTGATGCAACGATCTGGAGTTGGCATCACAACGCGTGATCCAATGAAGGATTTGATGGATGCTTATGCGAGATTGCAGTATGACGATGAAGATGATACCGACGCTGAAAGCGGATCTACCTTTGTCAGTCAACATCAAGACAAGCTACATGTTATTCCTGGGTTGGATGATTACATCATGGATTGCAGTGGCACAGTTACTCATTTGGGCACTCACAAGAGAATCCATGACACTGGCGATTGGATGGATGATGTCAAGCTACCTACCAAGCCCTTGTCGTCAATGCAACGTCGACCTTTCAAGCATCACCTTGACACCATTGATGATTTGGAAATTGAGCAAGAAGAAAATCTTGATCCTTCATCAACACCAGCACCTTCGGATGAACCCTATGTGCCTCCTACACCACCGTGGATGCCATCAAGAGGTGATCCTAATCGTCGATCTGAATCACAAAAGCCGTCCGATGAACATCCTCCACCACGGTATCCACCACCATGGCCTCCTTATACTGATGGTGTTCCACCAGGTCGTGCTCGTATGGATCAACCAATGGATGAACCCTATGTACCTCCCACACCACCATGGATGCCATCAAGAGGTGACCCAAATCGTCGTGCCAATATGGAAAGATCTTTTACTCAAGCACCACCATTAAAGCCTGCTCGCCTTATTGAACCTATGGATGAAGCTCCTCAATCACGTCGAGTGCATTTTGGCGATATAAATGAAACGAAAACGTTTATTCCTGACAACAATGATGAGGGAGATGACGACAATTTCGACGACATCCGCTTGCCTGACAACATGGCAACATTACAATTCAAACCCATTTCTCGTGTTCCTTCCCCAACACCGCCACCACCACCAGCCATGAAGCCTACTACTATTCGCAAGCCATATCAAGAAACCGATGAGGATGAAGACTTTTTTAATGGTGTGCATATTGATGGTGATGATGCTTTACGCTATCCAACTTTGAAGCATCTTCTCAAGAAACAACCGACAACAACAACAATAACACCAAACAAGACATCCATGATCCCACGTCGTGTAGTCACTCCACAAAGTAGCAACAATGCCAAGCAACCCTGCAGATTGCAACGTTCGGCTGTTGCTACGCAACCACAACCACGGCCACAACCTGTTGCCAGGAAGCATATACATCTACAAGGTACTGCTGGATCACGACCTGGAATGCTTACTACTCCTCGCACAAGAAAAAATTATGGTGATGGCACTGAGCTTGATGGTTTGGATATCATTCCCCAATGGCGACGACATAGCTTGTCTTTTTGGAAAAAGGGTGAGTGGTCAATTTGACTTTTTTATCTTACCCATACTAACATCCAATGCTCAATAGAAAACCGGGTGCAAGAAGGAGTCGATCCAAAGCGGCCCTGGCGGCATAATATGGTAAGTCATTACCCTTTGATGAAGAAGTTTATGTTGCTAATCTTTGTCATTGGTTTAGACACGACGTAGGCCAACGTTGATTAAACCGGATGAGCACCCTGTCAAACAAGGTATTGTTTACTCCTTACCAAATTTATGCAAACACCATCTGACACTTGTTTGGGTAGAGTACAATGAAATGAAATACGACCCTGTGCGACATTGTTGGCAAGGCAACGAGAGCAGCATGCTTTCTTTTGGTGATGCCAGCGCTACCAAATCTAATCGTCGCCCTACTCTCATTTCCAACATGGGTCACAAGTCGAAGCAACAAGCCAAGCCAACGGGTGTCGTTGTAGGCTCTATGATGTTTGATCCAGTAAAAATGTGTTGGAAGAAGATGGATGCCAACGATGAGGAGGACAAGATCTTTGATAGAATTGAGGATCTCGATGCGACAGCGACTGCTCATCCTCAAAAAGGTGTTGCTAGTGGTAGTGATCATGGTGCAAAAGCCTATGCCTCTCTTGGTAATAATGCTCCTGAATTTGACTTGTCAAGACACGTGCAACATCAGATGCATCAAGAAGAAGAAACACATTGCGAGCAAATGGATGCTTGGCTTCATGGCGATACCACCAAACAAGAACGTCTTAAACATGCTCACATGCTATACAATATGTAATTTTGCAATCACTTTGTCGTCTTTCTTTAGTCTTAGATAGTCAATGAATTATAGCATTTCCCCTTCCCTCCCCCTTTCTTTTGTGTCGTAGTCTCTGGCAGTAGTAAAAGCATTCTAAAATCGTTAAATGGAGCTTTCCCACATGTGTGATCGTGTCCACTTGTAGCCTGCATCATAGCAAACGACTTTTTTTCTGTTGTGTGCTAAAAGCTTTTCTTTCTAACGGCGAGCAGATTTATCACTTATTGATGTTACAGCTCCTTTGACCAGTGTAGGGATCTTTTCTGATGCAGGCATGATCCCATTTTATCACTTTTCCTCTTTGCGCTCCCCGAAATCCACACGCCCACCATGCACAATAAAAGAAGTTGTCGCCGCACATTATTCCCCCACGCATCTCTTTTCTCTATCACGCTCTTTAGTTGTTTACAAGGTCAAACGCCCCCAGGTTTGTGTGTATCTCATTTCCTGAAATCTCGCGAATAAGCGTTGACCTTTGTGATCCTTCATAGAATGCTTATTGTTACCCTGAAAAAGTCACCAAGATATCAAACGACGGCATCAACAACCCATTTCATGGAACAACCGCCATCAAAGTGAACGCTAATCATGAGAAGGCGTAAATAGCGTCTCGTGTACTTGAAGCATCATCATTCATGGATGCATCAAAGACTCTTGATATGATTTTCCTTAATCAACCAGCAGCTTCAGAAGACATGGGTGATCATCAAAAGAAGCACAAAAGAGCAATCATAAATCAGGCATGGATTCCAGCTCGTCAACAACATTGCAACTTTCTGCACCTATTCCCTTGAGGACATACGTATGTCACCTACAAACATCACTTTTCAAGCCGCAGGAGGATTTATCAGCTGCTGCTTTTCCATCATTTCGACTCAGTACTCGAAGATGCTTGACCACGTTATCAGCTACTTTATCATTCGATCCATGACAACAATTCTCACGCCCACTCCCACATAAACAAGGCTGTTGTCACCAACACGATCATAGATCAGACATCGTGACAATAATCCACGTAACTGCGCCTATCATAAACTAGAGTTAGACTACGATCAGGGTACGTTTTATAACTTTGGCATATTTTCAAAGTCTAACATCGCGAGCATTTAGATCATTCATGAGCAACTGTTGACATTGCATCATGGCGACGCTTTCTGCATCCGAAGTTCAACGACAACACAGCACTTGAGATACATCCAAGTTCTCATGTCCATATCCACAAAAACGGCATTTGCGTGTTCAAGTCCCACTATGGAAAGGGTTCAAGACTCAATCTACAGTCTTTTCTTGCGACAAGGAAAGGGCAAAAACATCACAACAACTGCTTTTTTCAGCGGATGAATGGGTGTCTGCGAGGAACCACTATACGAAACGATATGCTTTGACTGAGATCGTGGTGGATGAAGATGTTGTCAATCATTGGAGACTTGCATGTCACACAATTTGCACTACAAGGAGTATCGACCGTGGTATTAAGTATCTTTATCGTATATATTCCAAGCATTATGACAGCAAGCATATATATGTACCACTCAAGACGATGGACATTCTCATGTCGGCCTTGCTCAAACGCCCTCAAATGTTCAAGAAGCAGGATATGGCTGAGTTCGACTATTTCATCAAAGCATGGCAACTTTTTTCGAGATCATGTTTCAAAAAACAACGTTCGAATCAAGACACATGAATCCACGTTTGCGTACAGTACAAGTCGCAAGAGGGAGCAGTACCCTGCTGCTAAGAATATGATTGCCTTCAAAAATTGGTATCCGTTTCTTGATACTTTACGTGGATTGTTGACGTGGAGGAAATACATGTACGAGGCTGCGGATCGTTTAACGAAGGCATTGGTTCAAAAACGAGCAGTGTTTCAAAACCGCAACATCCGAATGAAGACAAGTGAATCCATGCGTGCGTACAGTACAAGCCGCAAGAAGGAACAATATCCTATACTGCTTCTTACATTATCACAATGCACCTTTAGAATAAAAACATTCCCGATCCAATTGCATCTCTCCTCTTTGTATCATTGTTAGAATAGAGACTTCTCCACATTATTGTGTCCCCAATCTTTGTATCCATTTTTATCCCTGCATCAATGACGTGCGATGATCCATCATTATATTTTGTTTTCATCAATAGCTGTGCCATCATACATTGTGTATAACAGTAAGAATCAAATGATAATTTTGGTATCAGTGTGGACGTTTATGAAGTAAATATGATAAAGGAACAGTATTGCAAATTGAATAAGATAAGGGTGAATTACATAGATGCAACAGGGGGGTATGTGTCATGGTATTCTTGGTTGTTGCCGTCGTAAACATCCTTCGTCCATGATTGCAAAATAGCTGCTGCATGCATCAACTCGAGTATTCCAATATCATCCATGGATGTAAACACCTTCTTTCGTCAATTGCATCCCATCCATCATCACCCTCAGCCGTGTCCACGTGATACGATCCATCCTTCCTGCTGGCAACGCGGCAAGTAATCACCATGATTCTCATTACTGCATTGATTGAATCCATCCACCATAGCCATTCCAAATCCAATACGTTGGTTGAAAACGAGCCATGTGATCGCTTCCTTTTCCATCCAGTCCTTGGTCTCTCTCTTTGTTGGTCATTTTCCAGCTTGTATTGCGGCGTAGTTGACGGCTGATATGGTGTCATCCAAACTAGACATCACGTTCTAAATGGGCCAAGGGAACCAAACCGATCAACGTAATCACTTCCTTCCATCAGACGTTCCAAAGCATTGCATCATTCGGATCCATATCCATTGAAACTCGTATGTGTTGAAGCGCGTTGATACGTGTAAATAAATCTGCTTCCATACAATGGCTATCTGCTGTTCACGTAAAAAAAGGGATGTAAGGCAAGCTGCTGCAAGTAAAGAACGCTGTTTGAGACAATGTAGTAGAGACATTGCTAATGGTAACTGCTGGAATGAACGCTGTTACGTTTGATTATGGTGGACGATTGTACAAGAGAAGGTGAAGTGTCAAGAAACGTGCGTGTTGTAGTAGAGTGACAAGAAGGCTGTGTACACGCCATGGACTTTCCATTTAGTCAAAGACAATCGCATCAAGGCAATCGTAGGCTTGACATGATGGGTTGAAGCAGGACAATCGTTCGCAGGTGGTAGTTGTATACTTGAATGGGGCAACAATTGGGAATGGGAGGAAGAGACAAGAAGTTGTGAGAGCGGAAGGAGTGGGAAGTAAATCGGTCGGACACCTCTTGTATAAATGCATGAACACTGTACATCAAACCTTGGTATTGAGATTTCCTCTTGATCCTGAAACTTTCACACAAGATGCTTTTGGACATGCTGATCACGTTGATCTAAAAAAGACATCGTGTTTCATTATATAAAATTGAATGGGAGGGTATAACGTGGGATTTACTATGGAGATCGGAAAGCACGGCAGCGCCGGATTCATGATCTATGGAAGTAGTATGTATTGTCTTGGGATTCCCCATTTCGATCTTGAAACTTTGTCAGATGGTTCGCTGGGACAAGCTGATCAACTTCATTCATTTAAAATTTGTAGACTTCATTGTGAAGATTTAAAATGCGGGGTGGTCCAAATGGTGGATGACGACAACAAAAGAGCGGACGGCCCACCGCCCCGAAGTTGCCCACCTCCAACTTGAAAATTGGACAGAATGGTGCTCTCGAGCATGCTGATCAACTTTTTCATAATAAAGACCTCACGGTTCATTTGAAAATTTGGAATGGGAGCGTCCAAAAGTTTGAAAGACGGAGACATTCGCAGGGTCTGTCTTCCAAGAATTGACATGTTTGCTGTTTTGGCGTAGCTCAGTCAAATCAACTCGAATCAAGACACTTGAACCATGGAAATGCTCGGCTGGTGCAGGAGCATCATTCCACTGTCACACAATGAACAAAAGTTGGGATTGAGAGGAAGTGGCTATTAGCTGGCAATACATGATAATGCATAAAGGATCATACATTGACCATTCCAATCCTGCAAAACAGCTGTGTTACACAACACGACCCTCTGCATCTTTGGCTCTATCAGAGTCAGCTACTTCACAATGAACAACGACCACCTTCCTTATAGCATCACGCTTACAACCATAAAGGTGCCTGTATCTCCGAACTTTACAATGAAACGTGGGGTTTTGAATAGAGCAATGTGCTCGGCTTGGCCAACTGTACCTTGGGTGCCAGTTTCACGATCAAGCTTGCCAATCCCAGATTTCGCAATGTCGCTACCAGCTAAACTGGATCTGGGGGTCGACCTCTTCGACGACGACGACCAAAAAATATTTTTTGAGCTAGTTGCGACATTGAACGTGAAACTTTCACACAAGGTGCTGTTGGCCAAGCCGAGCCCATTGCTCTAATAAAAACCCCACGTTTCATTGTAAAGTTCGGAGATACAGGCACCTTTATGTTTGTAAGCGTGATGCTATATGACAAGTGGTCTTTGTTCATTGTCAAGTAGCTAGACCCTGGAGAGCCAAAGATGCAGAAGGACCTCTTTGGGTAACTCAGCTAAAAAGTCAGGACTTCAGGGACAATGCATGAAAGGTACGCAACCCTCACTTTTATGTCATACATTGGCAGCTAATAAGACTTTTGTGCATTCCCAACTTTTGTGCATTCTATTGTAGGTGGACGATGCTCCTGCTCTAGACATTCATTTCCATGATTAAAGTAGCTTGATCGGAGCTGATTTGGTTGAGTTATGCTCACACAAGATTACATCGGTTGAGCTACATCGAGCGTGCTTTATGTCCAGAGTGATGTAATCTCTCTTTGACCGCAGCTCAGTCAAATCAGCTCGGATCAACCTACTTTAATCATGGAAATGAATGTCTGGAGCAGGGGCATCGTTCCCATGCAGTGGATCTCGCAGCAATGATGATTGGGTAAAAGTGGCCGTTAGCTAGCAATACATGCCTGTTCCTAGATGATCCATAAAGTAATTATGCATTGACCCTTTCATTCATGCAAACGTAGCTGTGTTACACAACACGACCCTCTGCATCTTTTGCTCTGTCAGGGTCTAGCTACTTTACATTAAACAAAGACCACTTCTCATATAGCATCACGCTTACAAACATAAAGGTGCCTGCATCTCCAAACTTTACAATGAAACGTGGGGTTTTTATTAGAGCAATGTGCTCGGCTTCGCCAACAGCACGTTGCGTGAAAGTTTCACGTTCAATGTCGCAACTAGCTCAAAAAATATTTTTTGGTCGTCGTCGTCGAAGAGGTCGACCCCCAGATCTAGTTTGGCTGGTAGCGACATTGCGAAATCTGGGATTGGCAGGCTTGATCGTGAAACTTTCACACAAGGTGCTGTTGGCCAAGCCGAGCCCATTGCTCTAATAAAAACCACACGTTTCATTGTAAAGTTCGGAGATACAGGCACCTTTATTTTTGTAAGCGTGATGCTGTATGACAAGTGGTCTTTGTTTAATGTAAAGTATCTAGACCCTGGAGAGCCAAAGATGCAGAAGGACCTCTTTGTGTAGCTGAGCTAAAAAGTCAGGACCTCAGGGACGATGCATGACAGGTACGCAAACGTCATTTTCAGGTCATACATTGGCAGCTAATAGCCACTTTTGTGCATTCCCAACTTTTGTGCATTCTATTGTAGGTGGACGATGCTCCTGCTTTAGACATTCATTTCCATGATTAAAGTAGCTTGATCGGAGCTGATTTGGTTGAGTTATGCTCACACAAGATTACTTCGGTTGAGCTACATCGAGCGTGCTTTATGTCCAGAGTGATGTAATCTCTCTTTGACCGCAGCTCAGTCATATCAGCTCGGATCAACCTACTTTAATCATGGAAATGAATGTCTGGAGCAGGGGCATCGCTCCCATGCAGTGGATCTCGCGACAATGATGATTGGATAAAAGTGGCCGTTAGCTAGCAATACATGCCTTTTCCTAGATGATCTATAAGTAATTATACATTGACCTTTTCATTCATGCAAACGTAGCTGTGTTACACAACACGACCCTCTGCATCTTTTGCTCTGCCAGGATCCACCTACTTGACAATGAACAAAGACCACTCTTCTTATACCATCAAACTTACAAACATAAAGGTGCCTGTATCTCCAAACTTTACAATGAAACGTGGGGGTTTGAATAGAGCAATGGGCTCAGCTTGGCCAACAGCACGTTGTGTGAAAGTTTCACGTTCAATGTCGCAGCTAGCCCAAAAAATATTTTTTTGGTCGTTGTCGTCGAAGAGGTCGACCCGTGGATCCAGTTTGGCGGTAGCGACATTGCGAAATCTGGGATTGGCTACCTTGATCGCAAAACTTACACACAAGGTGCGTTTCACCCCGCCGAGCAACGTTGTTCTCTTAAAGACCCCACGGTTGATTGTAAAGTTTTGAGATACAGCTGACTTTATGTTTTCTATATGCTGTAAGCGTAATGCTATATGAAAAGTGGTTGTTCATTGCGAAGTAGATTGACCCTGATACAGCGAAAGATGCGCAGGTGTGCGTTTGTGTAACTCAGCTGTTTTGCATGATTGGAAGGGGCAATCCTATGGGTAGTGAAATGCATGATGATATACCCTCCCCCTATAGTAAGGTTCACCTATGATTGCCGTATGGCAAGTTGACCATGGTATGGTCAATAGGCCAAAAATGATCAGTGCATCCGAGAGTAATTTGGGTAAAAGGATGAATGGCAATGATGTTGTTTATCTTCATGGCTTTGGTCTCCTCGTCGGTCCTCAGTATGATGAACCAACTTGGTATACCATCATTACAGCATAGATGCAATTACGTACATAGCATGGCTTTTCATAAGGTTTATTCAAAATACTGGGGAATCTACTATAAACAAGCTTTCTTCATTCCGCCTGATCCATCTTAAGAGGTAGTTGGAGCTCGAGATGATAGTTTGTTTGGATGTGCCTGGTTTGAATACCACGTATAGCTCAAATGAGGATGTGATCTACAATAATGATGGTAAAGAAAATAGATGAATATGGCATTTCAATAGCTAGAAACCAACCAATAGCATACCCATCCGAGAATGATTTCTTGATCACTTTCATGGTAATAAAGCTTCAAGGGCCGTGCTCGGCAGTGCATTCGATCATACACATAATGATACAGTCGAAACAATCGCTTTTGGTGTACGTCATTTGTATACGGATCACTGTATTCAGGACATGTGAATTGGACATGGATTTTGCTCTTGTACAAAAAGTGAGCTAGCCCCGGTGCCCCAATGCTCTCTAAGACCAAAACAGAATCAGCTCGCCGTTGCGATATATCTCCTTTGTCATCTCACCTATTTTGTAACTGTACTCTGATGCATTGATGATGCTTTGCAGTGTGTTCTCTTTTTGCAGCGACTGGAAAAGAAGACGTAATCAATGGATACAGCGTAAGCGAGCCATGCTGCTATATTTGTCATACCTCGACAATGTTGCTCTTCCATTCGCTCAAGTCAAAGAATCGATCCTTATCAGTACTGATCATCACAGTGGATATATCCTTGGCAATGTAACATATATATGCATGAAGGAAACCTTTTGAATTGAATTTTGGCAAACAAAGCGGTGTCCATGATTCAGCCGTATGAAATGTAGTGGAGCCGGTCAGCATGTTGAATAAGAGGTGCAAATCTAATATGATAGAACATGGTCAATGGAATCCAAAGTGATGATAACGCTTCTCCTTCAACATACCTGATGGATGTAGGCTGTGCCTTCTTGGTCTCAACAAAGTCACAAGTCGTCCCTTTGCTACAATCATTGCGTACAATAGTCCCTGTATCCACCAACCATAAAGTTTCGCGTAAGTACATGCATACCCTTGCATATCATGCAACCTTGTCCATATGCATTTACCTTAATTTTGCGACCCGATAATATAGCACCCGTTTGATCTCGTACACGCCTGCTTAATCGAAGACATTGTAGAGCACTAAGCATGAAGCTATGGTCCTTGTTGAAGAGAGTTGACAGGCTATCCAGGAATACTTCTGTGCCTATACCCATGTCCCTATCAGATCTCTGCCATGATCATCCAGGACCACGCCCTATACTTACCAGCAAGCAAACGACGAAGATCAAAGTTTACACGCTGTTCAAAGATCCGAGTGAGCTGAGCACCAGTTAACACGCTTAGGATTTGGTTGTGTAGATATAAAAGTTGATCTCGCAACTACCAATACCCTTTTGATAAGCAACATGATCATGTGACATTAAACCTCTCCCTTTGCCATCCATACCTGAACATCTGATTCTCCTGTTTTCGATACGGCTACGTAATAAAGTGGATCCCGATGTAAAAAGACGAACTTGTGTTGACCCGCATTCATTGATCTAACATTGAGGAAGCGATAATCAGCTGGTGGCCTGTGTGTCACTTGCATCATGGGGCCGGAGAGCCCGTCTCCTTTCCATGACCTCCTCCTCCTCCTCTTCATCTTCCTCCTCTTCTTCCGATACATACTTGATAGCATCATCTCCATCTTGGAAAAAAGAAATGATGGCTTGTATAACACCCATCAATGAAGATATCCGTGATTCATCGCCATATCTGGAGGATAGTAAGGAATGATCCATGAGATGGGTGTCGGGTCATGCATGACATTGTCATACCTTGTCCATATAGGTTTACCAGCACTGCTCAAGATAAAGAAATGTTTCTTGTGATGGATCCAATTCGAGGTATTCGTTTCTATCTTATGGCATTAATGCATCGAACGTGTCATCGTCGTCGAGTGGTAAAACAATACCATCCAGTTTACGCTTTCCAGCAGCAACGGAGCTTCGTGAACCTTGTCGACGCAACTTGTTGTAGCTCTTGACTGGGTCGCTCATTTTCGAGTTGGTGGAAGTGTTGGAATCGTAGGATGAAGACATTGTGGCAGCCATTGAGGTTTGATCCGAGGGTATTGTGGAACTTGGACTTGGCTGGATGCCAATGGAATGCGGCATGGGATGACGGTGGTAAAGAAGAAGTGAACAATTACCGATTTTTGGACTCTGTGCGACAACTTGGCTCATGCTCCCTCCCCCAACCCAGATCCAGATCCCACCAAAACAATGTTTGCATTCCTTTTTCCTTTTCTTCCTCTCTTTTCTTCCTGCACCTTTTATCTCACACACTCGCTGATACATGCAACAAAAAGTCGACGAAGAAACACCTCTACTTGATGAAAAGCGTTGCCACAGCAACAACCACCGGCTATCACGACGACTCAGTATTGCCGCCATCATCTTGATCAACATTTGCTTTCAAGGATATCTGTTTTATGCAAGGCAATGCATAGTTGTATCCCATGAGACGATTCATTTTGATCCTCCTCTTGTCAACGACGACTTGGTATTTATCATCATCATCATCTCGTCATCATGTCATACACAGCCCAGCTCATATTGTGCCACCATGATGGATTGTCTGTGCAGGTAGTTGCTCAGCAATGTGGTCGTCCCACCATCCCTTGGCAATCGGTTTATACGCTCCCTTACGACATGTACAGTGGTTTGATCATTGAGCAAAAGGCTACGCGTCAACTACAGATTCAGGTATGTTTGGTGCATATGCACGATCATCCCACCTGATTTGTTTGTATCCTATACTCACACCTTGCTAGGAAGGTCATACAAAGATTCGTCTCAATCCCGATGTGGCCGATACCACTGTATACTTTGATATCAGACTTGTGGATAAGGATGACCAACAGCTTATCAGCATTCAACACGATGAACCAGATCTCGGCATATTAAGATTGATAATGGATGTAAGCACGTCGTCAGCCAAAGTTGAAGGAATAACATGCTTAATGCAACTTCTCAAATGCAGACCAAGGAAGATCTCCTGGACACTATTTGCATCACGCTTGACATCACCATCGAACTTCCTCATTTGGCTGCCATTGATCGATTGGATCTTAGCGTTTCCAACAGCGATATCGAGTTCCTGGATAATGGTGTCGTGCTCAGCGAGGCATTGACTTTGGAGACAGCAAATGGAAACATCGCATTCAAGGTGACACAATTGTTCTAAAAAGGTGTCAACAATGGATACTTATGCCGACAGCATTGTTTAGGATGTAATCACGACGGCCATGGCATTGGCTACCAGCAAAGGAAACATTCATGCTCATCTCAAACATGGTATGGGTGATCTGAGTGCAAGCACTTCGGTGGGTGATATACTTCTTGATGCAACCGAAATCGATTCGCCATCTCGTGTGGATCTTGCTGTGTCAAAAGGAAAAGCCGAGGCTCATTTGGTATGGGATACACATGTTATGCAGGAGGTTGTAGTGATATTCACAATGTTGACTATGCTTTTTATTGCCCAATAGCCCGACTCATTCGAATCCACATTTACATTATCAACTGTAATGGGTAAAACGCAGGTGTCATCCATCGATCACCCCGAAAGAGTACATGTCGAGCGAAGAGGACTCACAAAGCTGAAAGGATACTATGGGACGTCAAGAGACGCCACCGCTGGTAGTGACGTGAAATTGGCAACAGTGATGGGTGATGCTGTGATTGTATACGTATAGCTTTAGCATGTGTCAATAAAACCGATCCTTTACGTATTGAGCATTATGCGCAAATCGGGACAGCCACGTGCACCAATCGAACAATCGATGATGGATCAATGATGGAATATTACGCATTAGCAGTCCCATGTATTATGTATGCTGTCATCAATGCAAAAACATCAACGTTCAGTGTTTTGATAATATTCAGCTGTTGTGCTTATCACGGCTTGCTTTCCGGTTGTGTAACATACAGCAGTGGAGAACATCCTGGTATTGGGGTGCATTATCATTCACAACGCAGCGGCCAGTAAAATGATCAAAGCCGACATGTAGCCCTGTTACATTTTACTGCTTGTACATGGAACACCCAATATTGGATTATCAATGAGAAATCATTCGAGGTTTTCATATGGAGCAAATGTGTAACGGAAGCCACGCGCTTTTACCTTTGCGAATACACAGGACTTGTCCCAAAGAGAATACTCCTATTTAGGAAATGAAACCAGTGCTAAGTAAAGGGAGCAACTGAACGCGTCAGCTTGACGAATGAATGCGGAGATCAGGGTAGCCTTTACGACCGCTTGCGTAAGCAATTTGTTTTTTGTTTCTGGGTTAGATAATGTGCCACATTTGATATATAAGCTCCTCGGTCGAGCCTCGCTGCTTTTGTCCTTCATTACACAAAATCAAACAATGGTTGCTATTGAACTTCCCCACGAATACGGCTACGTATGTTATATATATATAACCCTCATCACGACGCTTATTATTACACTCGACGTTGCGTATTAACATACACCAAAAAACGATCCTTACCATAGGTCTTGACCACTTTTGCCGCCAGCGCTTTCTACTTGTTCACTCTCGGCGCCCAAACCGGCAAGTACCGACGAGCTGCCGGTGTGCCTTACCCATATGGCAAGTGATCAACATCTCTCCTCCTAATGCTAAAGAGCAACAAAGCTCCTTCTTGTATATGTATTGTTCTAACCTTTGACCATTTTACACAATAGCTTATGCTGATAAGGCCGAGGCTGAGAACGATCCTAAGAAGAACCTCTTCAACTGTGCTCAACGTGTCCACCAGGTAAGCATTGCCTCTATTATTAAGAATTATGCTTATTGCCATAACCCTTGTCTTAACGTATGCTTTTTTCCTGCAACCATAAGAACACCTTGGAGATGTACCCTATCTACTCTACCTTTTTGTTGATCGGTGGTATCAAGTACCCCGTTTATGCATCCGTTGCAGGTGCCGTTTTCCTTGTGGGTCGCTTCTTCTTCTCCTCCGGCTACTTGACCGGTAACCCCAGCAAGCGTATGCGTGGTGTGTTCAGCTATGTCGCTTTGCTTGGTCTTCTCGGCATGTCTGTCAGTACCCTTTACACCATGCTTAGCCACTAAACATGGAGTCCTATCCACTACTGCAGCAAACCAAAAACTTTGAGTATTATCGCTCTCATACCACAACCTCTCGTTTCTTTCACCACAATCACATTTACACACGCAAAATTATACTCCTCCCCTTTTTGGTGCAATACATTTGGTCGTCCGTCATCATCAAGATAAGAACCCCTCCAATCTTTCTATTTCATATACATTATGTTACAATAAAGAGACTGCTCTTTGTATGCAAGTAAAACCCATGTTGTTGGTCTTTATCATCATTATAGAAGATATGAGTAAAAATGATGGGGATTAGAATGCAGCTATGCAGCAGCGTCTATTATGGTTATCACGTTCATCTGAATTCGCTGTTGGATGTATATATGGAACCAAAACAGGCATTGTCTAAAAGGTAATGGGCTCTTTGACTACAAACAAGAATCGAGATTGATACATAAACCGTGGCGTGCTCAATTATGCCTGCTGAGTGCACACATGGCAACCACCTATAGCAACCGATAATTATGGCATAATCTTTTTTCCTTTCCATCTCCTTAGCCTTTGCTCACGCCATTATTGCTCTTACCAATGTAAGGAGATCATATCCACGCTTCAGCTACCATTTGCGGTCGGTGTTTGTATCTGTACTCCAGAACACAAAATGCATAATGCCCCTGAATTATTACGCAGCACTCATTCATTGTAATGCATCTTGAGGAAAAAGTCAGCGTCAAAGTTATTTGCTATTTTATCCATAAGGAAGATTCCTCACGTGGTGTCATTTGACACCACCTGATGGCCAATCAGCGAGAAAAATGTTGCATTGTAAGCCTTTTACAATAGCTGCTACGAAGCATGCAGGGTAGTGGTGATGTAGCGGCTGCTCAATTGCCATCGATCAAGGAGACACATCAATGCAAGTTGATTATCACAATCAATTTGGTGGCCATTGACTCAAGACAAAGACACTTATAAAAGCAACAACGATCGCATGCATAGCCAACAACATCACCACCCATTCCATTCTTTGTTACTTTTTATTTACTCCACCTCTCACACAATGAGACTTTCTTTGTTGACCCTTGCTACATCCACCATCATGTTCTGGCTGGCCCAGGCAGCTCCTCACCACAATCATCACCACTCTTCCGATACCGATGTTGGATCACACCACAACAACTCATCAACCCTTGTCCCAGGGAAACATTTTGATCGAGTCGTGATCATTGTTTTCGAGAACAAAGATTATAGCACGGCCATGAAAAACAAGTATCTCAAGTCATTGCCCAGTCGTCATAATGGTATGCTCGATAAACACACACACACACACAAAATACCATCATAAAACTCATCCAATGGTGCTTCTTTTATATAGGCGTTTTGCTTACAAATTACCATGGTACATCCCATCCTTCACAGCCCAATTACGTATGTGCTTTTAAGTACTGGTAGCAATACCCCTCATACTGACAATGGATGTATACATTTTAGATAGCAATGATCAGTGGCTCGACCAAGGGCACTAAAGAGGATGATGAATCCAACTTTGACCGAGATACGATTGTTGACTTGTTGGAGAGGAAGCAAATCTCCTGGAAGACCTATCAAGAAGATTATCCTGGTGGATGCAATAGCCATATGGATATCGATAACTATGCACGCAAGCATAACCCATTCATCTCGTTCAAGAATATTCGCAACAACAAGAAGCGTTGCGCCAACATTGTCAATGCTGATCAACTTGACAAGGATATCAAGGACGACAAAGTCCCGCAATACGTGTATTATACACCCAACGTAAGTCCCCCTCGATCCATGCCATAGGACCTAATATTCACATTTATGTATTACTATAATAGCTCAAGAATGATGCACATGACACTGACATGGACTATGGTGCAAAGTGGCTCAAAAAGTTCCTTGAACCACGTATCAAGAAATCAGCCTTCAGCAAGAACACGATGTTTGTTGTGACCTTTGATGAGGATGACAGCAATACCAAAAGCAACCGTGTTTATGCAGCTCTTTTTGGCCCCGACTTTAAACGCTCTAGCAAATCTCGCAAGGATCATAAGAAATACGACCACTACTCGCTTCTTCGTACCATCGAAAACAACGTAAGTACCCAAAATCAACCTTTTGTTCCTTAGCATCCAACTCTGACACATATGGAATTATACATAGTGGGATCTCGGTGATTTGGATCAACATGATAAAGACGCAGTTGGCTTTGATCTTTGAGAAATGCCATGTTTTATATAGTTGTATTAGAATAACTCCTCCCATCTCATACATTCATTGAGAACAAAAAAATGATCCAATTGCTGGTTGATTGGCTACATTGTCATCTATGTATAAAGAGCGCCCCTCCTTTGTCCTCCTTCTTCATTTGCCATGTTGCTGTTTCCATGCATCAAGCCATTGTTTGACACGATCCACGTTGCTTTCCATATCGTCCACATTGTTGCTCGGTAACTCGACAACGATTTCTTGTGCGTAGGATTCTCGTGCACTCTCGAGCACAACTTGCATAATCTCGCATTCGATATTTTCTTGTAACTTTCGTTGGTTGTATCCACTACAAAAATCGTATCATGTGAGTATGCATAGTATCCCATGGCAACCAATACAACACTTACCGCTTCTCCATACGATCATACAATGGTGAAGTATCTGCTCGCAATACGAGAACAAGGTCGAACCATCGTTCTGGGAAAATCTCGCATGTATGGAAATCCACCACCTTGCCGCCTTCTTGCATCATGTCTTCCATCTCGTCAATAAGCTATGATACTACATTAGAGAGATATCGTAATACGTCAACTTGAAGGGTACCTTGTCTTCATCCAGGATGTGGGTATCATACTCGGCGAGGTAGCCTTCGTGCAACTGTTTACGCTTGACAAGCTCACCAACGTTGATATGTTGCAAACCAGTAGCATTGGCGATCGCTTCACTTGTTGTTGTCTTTCCTGTACCGGGAGTACCAGTGACCAGAATGTTGGGTAGATCGCGATCCATGCTAGCGATCGATCGTGCGTCAGAATCTGAATCGGACATGTGTGGAAGAGGAGTATTGCAGTTCCGAAAATGGATCAGGTCGCCTTTTGCATACTTTTTTTTCCCTGCCAATCACGTGCATTGCCTCCATCACTCGTTCATACACTTACATACCTATCCATGGATCACGTGTATTCGTATGCTTTATTGATAAGGATAATTTGGTGCAATTGGGTATGACTGAAAAGGAAGTAGAATGCGTCAATGTGAGCCACATGCGAGTATAATGCGACATGAGTCAAATGAAACCAGAGTGGCTTGTGTACTCCCTCCAAAGACAGCCCGCTCAATTGGGTGCTGGGTATTCCACTTGCCGCTTTCCCTCTTGACGAGAAGAGACAATGTCTGCCGATAAACAATTTGACCGTACTGCTTTGGAGCAATTGCTTACCAAGCGTTTCTTTTATGCCCCTTCCTTCCAAATCTATGGCGGTAAGCACTGGACATGGGTGGTGTGTGTGTGTGTGTGCATGCATTGACAAGGGATATGTATGATTGACGCGTCTTTCTTTTACAAGGTGTTGCCGGTTTCTATGACTTTGGCCCCACTGGTTGTGCATTGTTGAACAATATCATTTCTCAATGGCGCAATCACTTTGTGCTTGAAGAGGAGATGCTCGAACTCGACACGACCATCATGACAACTCACGACGTCCTCAAGACCTCGGGTCACGTGGATAAGTTTGCTGACTGGATGTGCAAGGATCTTAAGAACGGCGAGATTTTCCGTGCTGATCACTTGGTTGAAGCTGTCCTCGAAGCTCGTCTTTTGGGTGATCGTCAGGCTCGTGCTGCCAAGGCTGGTGCCACCGATGCTGATGCTGCCGCTGTTGCCACCACTCCCCAAAAATCCGATAAGAAAAAGAAGAAAAAGGGTACCGTTGTCGCTGTTGAATTGCCTGATGAAGAACGCAAGGCTTATGAGGAAATCTTGGCTCAAGTATGTAATTGGATGAATGTGAACAACAAGTCATTGACATACGTTGGATAGATTGACAACTATGGTGGTCCCGAGCTTACTGAGATCATCAAAAAGTACAACATTCGCTCTCCTGAATCTGGTAACGAGCTTTCGGAACCCCAAGAATTCAACTTGATGTTTGAGAGTCAAATTGGTCCTACTGGTCAACTCAAGGGGTAAGATAAAACAGGAAAAGGATGACAATGGATACATGGCTGATCTTTATTTAATAGCTACTTGCGTCCAGAGACTGCTCAAGGTCAATTCCTCAACTTCAAAAAGTTGCTTGAATTCAACAATGAAAAGATGCCTTTTGCTTCTGCCCAAGTGGGTCGTGCTTTCCGTAACGAGATCAGCCCTCGCTCTGGTTTGTTGCGTGTTCGGTATGTGGTACAAAGGGCAATCAAAGTGACTACAACAGGATGACTCACCCATTCGATAATATAGTGAATTCACCATGGCTGAAATTGAGCACTACGTTGATCCCGACAACAAGAACCATCCCGGCTACAATGATGTCAAGGACACCGTCATGCGTTTCTTGCCCAAGGATGTTCAATTGAGCGGCAAGACTGAGTTGCAGGAAATGACTGTTGGTGAAGCTGTTGAAAAGGTATATTTTTGGGAACCAGAGATACAACATGGATCGTGTGAATTGAATGGCTAACATTGGATGTTTGTGATTAGGGTATTGTTGACAACCAAACTCTCGGCTACTTCCTTGCTCGTATCTACCAATTCTTGCTCAAGATTGGTATCAAGCGTGATCGCCTCCGATTCCGTCAGCACATGGATAACGAAATGGCTCACTATGCTTGCGATTGTTGGGATGCTGAAATCCAAACCAGCTACGTAAGTATGATTGGATTGATACAATTATGGGAATTGTGGGTACTCATCATCATAATAGGGTTGGATTGAATGTGTTGGTTGCGCTGATCGATCGGCTTATGATTTGACCGTGCACTCTGTTCGCACCAAGGAGAAGTTGGTTGTCCGTGAACAGCTTGCTGAACCTCGTGTCGTTGAGAAATGGCAAGTCGAGATCAACAAGAAGACCTTTGGCCCCAAGTTCAAGAAGAACGCCAAGGCTGTCGAAGAAGCCATCTTGTCTTACACTGACGAATGCTTTGCCCAACTCCAAAAGGATCTTGAAGCCAACGGTGTTGCACAAGTCGAGGTTGGCAGTGATAAGTTTGAAGTTAGCAAGGATGATGTATCCGTTCAAAAGGCAAAGGTGACTGAACACGGTGAGTACTACTACTTCCTTTTCTCTATACGAAATTGGGTGTTGTTGGATCACTCATATATGAATGTTTATAGTCCGTGAATATACTCCCAATGTCATTGAGCCTTCGTTCGGTCTTGGCCGTATCCTTTACGCCCTTTTGGAGCACAGCTGGTGGGTGCGTGAAGAAGATGAAGCTCGTAACGTCTTGTCGTTCCCTCCAATCGTTGCCCCTTTCAAGTGCTGCATTTTGCCTCTTTCTGCAAACGCTGCTTTCGATCCATTTGTGAGAAAGTTCTCTCGCACTCTTCGTCAAAATGGTATCTCCACCCGTACTGATGACAGTGGTGCTTCCATTGGCCGTCGTTACTCCCGTAATGATGAACTTGGTATTCCCTATGCTATCACGGTTGATTTCCAGACCGTTGAAGACAACACTGTAACCCTCCGTTATCGTGACTCCACCAAGCAAATCCGTGACAGCTTTGAAAACATCCTCAAGATCCTCAAGGAGGAGCAATAAGCTCTTGTAGATAAATTATTTTATGGATGAATAAACCATGATGCTGTAGATGACTACTTTATGGATAAGAAGCGTGCGTATTCTTCACAAACATCATTTCTCGATCCAGGCACATGTAGGATAAGGGAAGTTGGTCTTGGTCAAAGATGATCATTTACTATCGTTAAAGGTATCAAGCATAGTGTAGTACACGCCTGTCAAAAAGGGGTTGCACAATGTATTGGCTCCATGACATTGATCAAATGCAACACTACCATCGTTTGAAGCATGTAATATGGATTCATTCAATAGCAAAGCGTCATTCTATTCATTGAAAACCAAGCATTTATTCGAACTATCCCACTTTTATCATAGTAAGGGGAGGTGTGCATTAAAATACGAATGGCTGTCAACATTCTCTTTTGCCTTTGACGTTGCATATAGCCTTAAAGATAAAACTGGATGGTGTATGAGGAAGCATGCGGTCGCTGTGGCAACGCCCATTATTGTCGTCGATGTGATTCTTTCTTTTTATCTCTCTCTCTCTTCCACACCTCCATTCTGTTTGCCTATTTTCCTTGCCATCGTCCAATGCCGTCAACTGCAGTAGCCCTTTGCTCTAGTCTCCGTCTCAATGCGATGGTCATCAACAGCATCCGAAGGATTCCTTTGTTCAACAGCTAAATGGGGGACATTGCCAAGCCGTTTTCACTCGATGAGAAGAGTTACCAAGTATGTCACGCAATAGGGTCCTAATTTCTTGGACTAAACGACTCATGATGATTGGTGGTTTCACACACGCAGCTATTATCTATGGCAAACAAAGCATGATCAATGTGCATTAGATCCCCACAAGTGGCTCAGCAGCAAGTACCAACTAAGAAGACAAGCTTTAAATTGAACTACAGGCACGTTGCTAGTTGCCGTTTTGGCAATGCATTGTTGGCTTATTCTCTCTTTCATTCTCTCTTTTCCCGACAGGTCCTTCCGCCAAGCTTCGAAGAATCCGTCTCTTCTCTCTTTCTCTTTCCTTTCTTCTCTTTCTCTCTCTCTCCATCCCTCCCAGCTTATCCAACTTCAGCCGTTCCTTTTCTTTATTCAACAACACACGCGTCATCATCATGGACCACGAAACTCTGGAACAACAAACGGCTCCAGAGAGTACTCGAGGTCTTTTTGACCCACCTGAAATTGTTGTATGTATTATCATATTCTCACCCTTACTATTCTTGATTGTATATTCGCACACACACTCACTCACACACACACCCTATTTCGATCGTTTCTTTAGCCTTTGAGACCTTCATCTTCAACGAATCGTGCCGATAAACGTCGATCGCTTCAAGTATTTGGTCAGCTGGATAACAACAACAACCGTTCATCTGGAAGCAAGCAGCAAAATCGCAATAGCCGTGGTGGGCGTGGTCATCAACGTAGCAAGTCCGCTTCGATCGCTGTATCCAATCATGATGGCAATCGTCGGAATACTAACTTTGGGTTACATACCCTTGCGGAGGAAGATGATGGTGCACAAGGTCTCAGGAACCAACAACAACGCAATGGTGCTGCTGCTGGTGATGATGCTGTCACTGTGGATTCATTGCAAACGATGATCAACACCCTCAAAACACTCCCCCGAGAACCGACACCTAGCACAAGTACGAGCAGCAATAGCAAAAGGAATAGTCGCCGCTCCAGCAGTTATTTTGGACCACCTTCTGCTGCAGCATCAGCAAACCAGGGTAATGGCGATGACCGACGTGTATCACAAAATGGGAACAACAGACGCAGTATTGATATCCAATCCTTATTACCAATTCCCGGTGCTCCAGGCTCAAAATCGGATCGTCGTAGAAGCAGCATGATGATGCGATCACTTTCAGCATCCAATGAGCAACAACAAGAGGATGAGAATGAGGATACATTGCTATCTCGTGAGGCAGCTAGAGCTGAAGCAGAAGCCAAGCTTATGGGCACCTTCAAAAAACCGGATACATCCATGTCAACCCCCTCTTCTCGAAGACAATCAGCACGTAGCTCCATGTCCAGTGACCTTTTACGTTCTCTCAGCCGTCGCTATTCCGAAGCCCCTGAGCTTAATCATGGTGCCGATTCCAAGCGTGTATCATTGCAACTCCCCACAGTGTCCGAGAACGGATCCGGAAGTAATGGCCGTGCGAATCGTCGTATCACGTTCAACAAGCCCCTGAATTTGGGTGAGGATACTAACAAGATTACACACCGATCATCACGCAACTTTGACAATGATTGGAGACCAAGTAAGTAAAAGGGGATAGAGAAAAAGACAAAGAGAAAAGGATACTAATAGGGTGCCTTATGATAGGTGTATCTTCTCCCGCATTGCCTTATTCACCTCGTTCATCCACCTATCGCAACTCTTTCAACCTTGTGCCGTTTACGCCCACTCGTGTCAACTTTTCTCGAGATGATGCCAATCCTCATCAGCGACGTCCTTTGTTTATTGCCCATTTGCCTTTCTCAGCACTTACACCACTCTTTCGTGCACGTCAACTGGTTCGTGGCATGTTGCGTGTCAACAAGCGTAATCGAAGTGATGCGTATGTGGCCTGTGATGAATTGGATGCCGATATCTATGTATGTGGCTCGCGTGACAGAAATCGTGCCCTCGAAGGTGACGTGGTTGCCATTCGTTTGGTGGATGTGGAAAAGGTCTTGCGTGAAAAACGTGAAAAGGAGGAAGCCAAGCTCGCTCGTAACGGTGGCAAAGTCAAAGTGCGTTTACCTGATGAAGAGGATGAGAACGAGATCATTTTCGGTGGTGATGATGATGTCGACACTGTCAAACCCAAATATTGTGGTGTCGTTGTTGCTATTCTTGAACGTGCACAAAATCAGGTGTTCTCTGGGTAAATGGATAATAATGAATGGATGTGCAAAAGTGGAAATGCAATATACTGATCCATTTTCTCGTACGACAAACATAGCACATTAACACTCATGCGTCCTAACAACAAGCGTGCCCAAGAAGAAAAGGCGGCTGAAGAAGCACAAAAGGCTGAGACGGGTCAAAAGCCTACCAAGGAAGCACCTAGGATTGTATGGTTCAAGGCCACCGATAAGCGTGTACCTTTGATTGCTATTCCTATTGAGCAAGCCCCAGCCGATTTTGTCGAGAACAATGATGCCTATACTAACAAGCTGTTTGTGGTACGTATTGCATGTTGACTACATGATGGGATTCTCACATTCTATTTCAGGGCTCCATTAAGCGTTGGCCTATCACATCGCTTCATCCTTTCGGTACATTGGAACGCGAACTTGGTGCCATTGCCGATCTCGATGTTCAAACACAAGCTATCCTGGCAGACAACAATGTCACAGACACTGATTTCCCCGAAGCTGTTATGGGATGCTTGCCTTCATTACCCTATACCATGGATGAGGAGGCGATTACAAACAGACGTGATATGCAGAATGTGCGTGTGTTTACACTTGCCGATGCTGGTGCTGAAGGTACATCTTTATATATATGCTGATGCTAAAAATATATATGTATACTGATTTTGTGTTTTTAGTTATCGACAATGCCCTTTCGATTCAAAAGTTGGGCGATGATACCTATGAAGTGGGTGTGCACGTTAGTGATGTTACGCACTTTATCAAGGCACATTCTCCAATGGATAAGGAGGCCCGTGCACGTGCGATTCGCGTGGAATTGATTCACAAGGCAGTGCCCATTTTGCCAAAGGAGTTGACTGAGCAAGTGACCAACCTGGTACCCAATGAGCCAAGGTAACACAACGAAGCAAAAGTGCATTTATTTGTGTCACCTGCTAATCTAATTAAAATTAGACTTGCGTTTTCAGTTGTTTGGAAGCTCAGCTCGGCAGGCAAGATTTTGGATACGTGGTTTGGCAAAACTATTGTCAAGTATGTATATATGTTTTCACATGGGATACAAGGAAATGATATTCACAGGCAATGCAATGATAGGTCACACGCCCAATTCACATTGGATGATGCTCAAAAGGCTTTGAACGATGAATTGACCTCTGACATTGTTGCTGACAAGGAACTTCAAGATGCTCTTGTTCAAGATCTACGTACTTTGCATGGAATTGCCAATGAGTTGCATGATTCACGTTCTAAGGATGGCATCATGACCCAAATGCGTGATGAGCTTAAGTTTGGTTTCGATGACAACAACGATCCATCATCCATTGTCACCAAGGCTAAGAAGCCCGCTTTGAAGATCTTGAAGGAGTTCTTGTTGCTTGCAAATCAATGCGTTGCCCAAAAGATCTCGAGCCAGTTCCCAGAACAAGCTTTGCTTCGTCGTCATGCACCACCTAAGGAACGCCGAATCGTAAGTCGTGTACATGGACTATCATATACCTCATGCTTACTTATCTTTATTATTTACAGCGCGAACTTGAAGACTATGTGAGACAACACATTGGCGTGGATATGGATGTGTCTAGTGCTGGCAGCATTGAGCGCTCGATTGAAGCCATTGAAGACCCCCATGTTCGCAAGATGGTCTCTGTCATTGTTCTCAAGACAATGCAACCACCCCGCTACTTTTGTACCGGCACCCTTGATATTCTCAAGTATTCGCACTATGCTCTCAATGTTCCCTTGTTCACCCATTTTACATCACCATCGACTCGTTTCGCTGACATTATCAGCCACCGACAACTCGAGACAGCTCTTACTGGTGAAAAGCGCTTTTACCTTGATCGTGACACTGTTCAAAAATTGGCACAGCATTGCAATGTCAAAAAGGAAGCTGCATTGTATGCACGTGAACAAAGCAGCATGTTGTTTATGGCGTCGTATCTTAGCAAGCGTGGTATTCGTCCTGCTGATGCCAGCCATATCACTGTTGTTCGCCGCGAAGCGCTTGTGGTGGCTGCATTTGAGCAATACTTTGATGTGATGATCCCCGAACTCAATTTGGAACGACGTATTCATCTCGCAAACTTGCCAGTGTGGCGTTCTGAATATGATCAAGAGACACGCTCGCTTACCATGTATTGGACCAAAGGCGTGGACACCAAGACTGGCAAGCAACGTGCATGGTCCATGTCGGATGATGAAGAGGATGATATGGATGAAGAGGCTCTTTTGGAAGAAATGCATAATGGAAAACCACCAAGTCCTCCACCTTCCTCCTTCGTGCAACCAGAACCCACCACCTCTACACAAAACAAACGTGCTTCCATGGTCCTTGCTCGCTTGTCAGAAAGTACCAATTACAGCACCGACCTTGGAACCCAAACCATCAAGGCCTTGGATAAGATCCAGGTTTTGATCACGGTGGAAATGATCAAAACGCCTCCTTTGATTCGTGTTTTGGGTGCCAACCCATACGCGTAAAGAAGAGGTCCGATTGTATTTTCTCTCGTCCCCCGTTTTCTCGATTTCTTTCTTTTGTATTGTTTATCTTTCTTAGTCTCTTCTTTGTTGATGTACCCTTTACACTTTTTTCTTCTTGTATACCTATTGTTTGCTGCGATGTTGTACATTGGTTTTGCTCTTTGGCTGATAGCATCACCCATATACTTTTTCAATTAAAAACAAACGAGATGTTGATTATTAAAAAAGCTATAACCACATTCATCATAATCGACGACGATCCATCATTGTTTCACTTATCAATGCAAACGAGACTTTAATATAGATATGCATGAGATATTATGGAAAGATGCTAGCTAGCTGGGGGATGATTTAGCTTCCCAAATGATTCAAAATGATGGTATGGATTTAGTCATCCGATTCGTGGTCGCCGTTGGCGATCAAACCTGCATGAATATTATGAGTCGATGGTTGATCATATGGCATGAGTGGAAGACTTACCAACAGGTCCAAAGTCTTTAAAGAGGTCGTTGCCTTGTGCATTAAGGAGACCAGCCGTAATGGAGTGATCAAGACCTCTATAGCCATCATCATCATCGCGCTTGACAGTACTACGTTCGCCATCTTGATGAGGAGCGGGCAATGCTGTCACTTGCTGAACGACTGCCATAGCCAAAACACCGAAAAGGACGATAGAAGAATGCATGATTAAAGTTGATGAGTAGTTGATGGGAGAAGACTGGATATGAAGAAGATGTATGAAACTGTTGTTGTTGATGTCGAAATGATGGTTCCAACATGGCCATCCTTTTATATTTTTCGATCTCTCTCTTCATCATCAGGCCATGATGGTCGCAATTCAATCAATGCAAGCGTTGATGAGATAAAAAATTCAATCTAACTATCACTGTTATTGGAATTCATATGAAATAAAGTGTATTCAGGCATACTCGTTATGCCGCAGAAACGAATGTGATACCCCTTCTTGTGAAGTATGAGCATGGTTCAAGAAATTTATGCAATCAAAGTATGTGGTTTGGTGTGAGTGTAATGTCATTTTTGGGCTTATGATGAGAGGTTATGTATTAGTGCTCGTCTGCTAAGGCTATGGTAGTGATGGTGCTATGCACGTCCATTCTGTATATTGCTGTATATGGCAAATTCTGTCATAGCGATCATTCAATGGCAAGAACACGGCGTAAAAGCATAAACCAAGTTGGCTTGATCGACACGTTCCACTAAGATGGGATCGAATATTGCTGAAAAAGGAAGTTGTATCACCCAACCTTATTGGATGTGTGGGGCCATTCAACTTTCATTCAGGGACGCACAAGTCCGGGTAATATTGAGAGTCGGAAGCAATAGATAACGTCCGAGAATGTCACCCATCAGAAAGAAATCTTTTTCCTTGGTGCTCCCTTCTTCCTCCTTGTTCAATCCCACCCCCTTGCTTCTCTCTCCTTCCCTTCTCCCCCCCCCTTAAAGCTCTATTTGGTGGTCGATATTTCTTTATTCGCATGCTACAATGACTTATCTGAAATCACTACTCCAATTGCGACCCAAGGTGACGAAGGATCCTCGCACATTGCCATTGTGGCGTAAACGCTATCTACTGGGCCTTGTTTGCTTCATTGCTATCATTCCTGGATTCTGCTCCACGATTTATGTATGTCCTTGCTTCCTTGGTCACAACGTGTCAAAGTGTGCTCACCTGACAATATCTCATTATAGCTACCTGCATTGGAAGAGGTGACGGACGAGTTGGATAGCCCAAGTATCATGGTGACCTTGAGTAATTCACTTTACATGCTTTTTATGGGTATTGCGGTAAGTTTGATTGATACGATCATGCTGTTGTATCATAAACTCATCATCTCTTTTATATAGCCAATCTTTTATAGCAGCATCAGCGATCATTGGAATATACGACGTAGCGTTTACTTTTTCAGCATCATCATCTATACGGCGGGGTCGCTTGGTGGATGCTTTGCTTATGATATCTATGTATTACTTGGCATGCGTATTTTGCAAGCAGTCGGCATCTCATCTGCATGGGCTATTGGTGCTGGGTAAGTTTAATTATGCATGTTGCTATTTCCTCCTCCTCCTCCTCCTCCTCCTCCTCCTTGCTTGAGGCTGACGACATGTGTTAATAGTACGGTTGCTGATGTATACGCGGTCCATGAACGAGGCAATGCTTTGGGAATCTACTTTACAGGCCAATTTGCTGGTCCTTTGTTTGGCCCCATCTTTGGTGGATTTCTTGTCGAGCGATGGGGTTGGCCATCCGTTTTTTGGCTTCTTTTTGTCATTGGCTGTATCCTGCTTTTATTGGTGGTGTTCACCATGGAAGAAACCTATCGTGACGAGAGTATCTGGGGCAAAGAGTACGACGCCAACAAGCAATTCGACCCTGATGAAAAATCCGATAACACAGTCGTCGCTGATAAGATGGTCAATCCATTAGCATCTTTGGTAGGTTTTGGTATATACATCCACTCTAAGGTTGCGTGTATTGATGACGCTTATAGGCCCTATTGCGACATCCTTTTGTCTTTATTTGTGCTACTGCAACTGGTTTCGCTTTTGGTGGCATGTTCGCCATTGAGAATATGCTCCCTGATTTGTACACCAACACCTATGCATTCAGTGCCAGTTTAATTGGCTTGTCGTTCATCTCTCCTGGTTTGGGTGAAGTCATTGGCTCTCTTATCTCTGGCAAGCTTTCAGACATCTTTTTAAATCGTGCTCGTGCAAAACGTCCAAATGGTGAAGCTGTACCTGAAGATCGATTGGCCCCCAACGTATGGTAAGTACACACATTAGAGTCATTTTTCATTGCCCACATCATCTTACATCATCCTAATTTTAGGCCATGTGCATTCATTTTGAACCCACTTTCATTCTTTTTGTGGGGTTGGCCTGTTGAAAAAGGATGGAATGTTTGGGTATCCATTATCATGTTTGGTGTCCAGTGCTTTGCCATGGTCAATATTTTCAATCCTGTGATGAGCTATTTGGTGGATGCTGTCAGCAATCGTGGAGCCAGCGTAACAGCAGCAGCAAATTTGGTGCGCATGATTTGGACCTTTGTTCTTAGTTTGATCGGTAACCATTACAAGACAACGCATGCCTGCCGACAGCTGCGTTGAGCCAAAGGGGAGAGCGTGAATCAGGTACAAGATCCTAACCTATTCCATTTTTCTTATTCTTTGATAGCAAATCCAATGACGCGGGCTGTGGGTGCAGGATGGGTCACCTTTTTCTTTGGAATGCTCAATTTGTCATGGGCTTTTCTCGTGCTCCTTTTGCGTATCAAGCCCGGAATTCGCAAGTACTCTGGTTATTAGACATCACGGTACAAGTGATATATACCAATTCTTCGATAAGAGGATATACACGGTGAGTTGGACCTTTATTTAGAAAGTCATCTACACCTTACTTTGATATAAAAGTACATGTATTACACTATTGCTATCATTATCTGCAAATTGCTGTCTGCCATTAAGATCGTGTAGTGGAGTATCAAACAACATGGAGCATGTGATGGATTTCTATCTTGTAGCTGTCAAACCAATCACGTGATTGTGAACCTAGGTTAAGAAGCGTTTGCTGCTGTATGCTAGCACATGAACAATAGCCATCGTTAATAAGAAATAACTTGTATCCCATGGGTAATCAAAGTGGCTAGGTTGTAGTGGTGGAGGGGACAAAAGAGCGGACGATGATCTTACGCCCATGTGTGCATGTGTGTGTGTGAATTCAAATTAGTAAAAGCCAGACAAAAACGATACTACAACTTGCCCCACCCTTTTCTCCACTATCCAACACCTTTCAACCATGACTCGTATCCATCCGGTCTATGCTGTTGCCTTTGAGAAGATGAAAAAGGACCCACGTATCGGTTCCATCCCAATTGAAGAATACCGTGCCTTACTTGATAATCGCATGAAACATATCACTTTGCCCGATGTATATGAAGAGGAACGCACCGTGACAACGAATGATGGCAACCCCTTACATTTGACCTTGTTACGTCCTCTTGGAACTGAAAAACAAGTCCTTCCCGTACTCATTTACTAGTAAGTGGCATAACTCCTCCTTCCCTCTGTCTCTTCTTTATTATCTCGCTCTTTGTATCCCCACCCTTCTCATTGGTTTCTTCTTCAAGTCATGGCGGCGGTTGGGTCATCGGTTCAAAGCACACCCATGGCAAAGTGATTCGCGATGTAAGTCTCTCTCTCTCTCTCTTTTCATTGGACGTGCAACGAGCTCATGAGGAGGTAATATATAGATTTGTATTCGAGCGAACGTGGCTATTGTATTTGTCAACTACAAGCTTGCCCCTGCTGTCAAGTTCCCGGCTATTCATGAAGAAGCATTTGCAGCATTGGAATGGGTGTATACGCATGGTGGTAAAGAGCTCAATGTGGACGTCAACAAGCTCGCTGTGGGTGGAGACAGTGCAGGTGGCAACCTATCAGCTGCCATGCCATTGATGCTGCAGGATCGGCACCAACGCGGCGATACTCGTTTACCCCTGGATACGATCAAGACGCAAATCCTTATTTATCCTTCTACTGCTCCCAAGCCAACATTTCCATCTTATGAGCTATTTGGCAGTGGCGATTTTGCACTCTCCAATGAAGAAATCAAGTTTTATGGCCGTGCTTATGCCAGCAAAGCTATGCGCAACAACAAGTTCATGTTTGCATTATTGGCTTCGGATGAAGAATTGAAAAAAGTCCCGCCTGCATTGATCATCACAGCTGAAGCTGATGTACTTCGCGATGAAGGAGAGGAATATGGAAGACGATTAACCGATGCTGGTGTGAAGACGACGACCGTGCGCATGATTGGTGCAAGTGAGTAGCAGTCTTTGGAAGGAGAATAGGTTATGGACAGTGAGAAGGCTAACAACATCTTTTATCATAGCACATGGCTACATTTCCCTTCCATTCGAAACAAGCATCTACACCCACTCGATCTATTTGATTGTTCGCCAGCTGCATGATACGTTTTCCATTGCGTCATCCAAGTTGTAAATGTTATTATCCATAACCCCCTTCCCAACACTCTTGGTGATGAATAAATGGTGGTGGATGCTAAATAGAATATGCCTTTATTACAATGTACTGAGGGAATAGTAAAATAGAAACACAAGGGAAGTGGAAACAATGCTGCAGAGAACAATGAGCTTTAGGCCACGTCTTTGGCTAGGCATTGGATTCATTGTTTCGTGAGTAGCGGTTGTGGTATTGTTATTGTGGGTGGGTAAAATGGGACCATGATGATGACCAAAAGGAGGAATGGAAGGCCACAATGACTGAAAAAAGTGTTGCATATGATCACCAAGATGGGCCAAGGGCGAACCGTAATGATCAATACTTTTCATTGATGTGGATGATTTGCTTCGTTGGCTGTAAGAGGATGATTGACGTCTTCGAGCATGGCAATCACGGCACGTGGATGGATCTGATCTTGATGAGGAAGGATGATCGAAACTGCAATACGATTCAAAAGAATCATGTTTACGTTTGAGAAGAGGGGCTCGTTCAGTTTCTTGCTTATCATGATCATCGTCAAATTTTTTAGCGGTGTGGTTCGCTGATGGTGAATGATGATGGTTGCTATTGGGAGTCGTGGCTCGTGTACTATTACTGCCGCTGCTACTGTTGCTCTTGTCACTTAAGGATGCAATGGCTGATGAACTACTCCATGGTGTTGGCGGTAATTGTAAATGGTTATTGTCGGTTGCACCCGTGTCAACGGTGAGTGTACGTTGTGCTGGTTTGATCAACGTGCCACGATCCTGCACACATGTCAAATCAATGCTCATCTCGGAAAGCTATATAAAATTGCACATTTAGCTCCTAGTAGTAGGCTTCACAAAGAGAAATGATGCTTACCCATCCAGGGAATACATGTACACGATGAGGCATCAAAACACTGACACCATGAAGATACGTTGAAAAGTCATGAACCGGTTCCATCTACGTTGTGTCGTTTATATAAGAGGAGATGCCAACACACGCATGAATGAATATACAAACTGGTTGCTTACCAAAGGAGAATTGCAAAGTTTTGAAAGCCATGAAGGATAATCTTGAAGGCTATCACTTCCACTGATCTTGATGACAGCAAAAGGAAAACGCACAATGTCGTTTGGAGCCATCGATGGGTATGGGTAGTTGTCGGATGACTTGAAAGAAGATGATTTATGCAATGTATGATGGTGGTATTGCATGAAATAGTCATCGGATCCAGAGGATGATGATGAGTGATAATAATCGTCGGCATGGACCTCTTGGTTGTCATGGATTGGGCGTGCCATGGCAATTTCAGTATCGATGGTGATCACCAAATCGGAAGCAGAGTCAGCGTATACGGTGCGATTCAACATTGTCTTTAGTACTAAATGATCACGTGTTGTATTAGTAGATGAAATGAAGCATCATCAACGTGGTTGACTTGCCTGGTTCCATATGACATGCACGAGCATTTTCTTCCATTGCCAATACTTGCTCAGTGGTTTCTTCATCATTGTTAGCAGCAGCAGCAGTTACGTTTTTCTTGGAGAGGTGCCAATGTTTGCATTCTGGCTTGCTAAGAACATGGCGTAATGACCAATCACCAGCAAGCCAAGGATCCATGTGCTTGGATTTAAACCACAATCGATGCTTAAAGTATGATTTGCTTCCAACATGTCGTCTACTCTTGCACGATGATGGTGCTCCATCCTTGAGACTTGCCGCTTGCAAATGATTGTTGTCATTGTTGTTGGAGGAAGGTCGATAAGGACTTTTACCAAGGCTCTTATGACCCCTGCGTGTGGCACTACGACGTTTACCACTGCTGACATGCGTGTTGGTAGAACAATACACTTTTTCTTCTAAGGCCACCACAGGCTTATTGCTGGTAGTATGCTGCTCTTGATGATACCACCTTATACGAAGCGCTGTTGATGCTGCATGAGATTTGCCATTGTCACTAGCCACCGCACGTTCTGTGTAACTTGTCAATTGGGGTGTGTCGAGATGCAAGGTCGTAATGCCATGAGAATAATGAGGGTTGTTGGTTGTCACGGTGTCTGTTTGTGCTTGTGGAAGGGTGGTGTCTTGAATATCAAGGTATTTGCCAACATGAAGCATGATCTCTACCAGATTATCAGGATGCACCCAAAATTGTTGTACTGAAATCATCCCATGTCGTTGTTGCTCGCCATCGCTTGATCCACCCGTAATACATGAATCACCTGATGATGATGCTGTGTATGTCGATCTTTCTTCTTCATCAGATGAAAGGGCTGGTGATGGTGGGAGATAAGGTGTGCTATCGGCTGCTTCGGATGTTGGCGAAATGTAGATGCTTGTAAAGTTAGGCACTTGACGTAATTCATCATCGGGAGATGTCATCCCTGGTATTGAAAGTAGCGAATCTTGCGTCCTATTACAATGAAAAAAGTATCAGCATCATCGATTAGGATTCTCGACCCTCCTCCTTTTTTGTATGAAAACTAACGGTAAAGAAACATGCACTGAGCGCATAGCTTTGTGAAGCTTATTTAGGGAGGACATCAATTCAAGCAGGTCGGCAGGTCGATAAAAGAGCTTGCTTGAAACAAGTCGATACAATTGATTTTGTAGTACAGGTTGACGTTGGCGCTGTAAAGAAAGCACCTGAGAATCATAACGAGCTAACACAGCAAACAATGCTCTATAGTTGCTTTTGCTAAAATGGGCAAGCAATGCAATCTCGTTAGGCAGCGTATGGTTGATTTCAGTGTCCAGTCGTCCTTTTTTTGTTTCAGGCTGTGCATGGCAAAAGGAAACTCGTCGCTGTATTTCCCCGAGTTTGAGACTATAAAAGTCATTGACCTGTACAAACAATAAAAAGGGCGGGTCAATACCAGCCACATCCAATCGAGCCATCAGGTGGAAAAGTAATAAACTATAAGGCTACCTTAGCTAGCTCCGCATCCAGCGTGCGAATAAACGAGGTTTGCTGTTGATCAATGATGGATGTGTTGTCGTGTAGTAGCATGAATTGGTGCAATGATTGGATTTCTCGACTAAGACGATCCAGGTCCAAGTAAAAGAAACGCCATGGTTGATGTTGTAGTTGCTTGAATTGATAAATGTACTCTTCTGGAATCCTTGTATATTGCTCATCCACATAGTCTTGGTGCTCAAGATCATCATACGAGTGAGCAACATCCGTCAAATGTCCTAATGTGGCTGCATAGCTCGGTACAAAAACAGTGGGCAATCGATCAAAGATGGTGTCGAGAGGCCGATCACTTATCAGCAAGAGCCCCGAAGATGAAGATGGCGATACAGACATTGTTGGGCACCGAGAAAGGATATGCGAAAAGGTTGGGGGGCAAAGAAAGAAGAGAGAAGAGAGAGAGAAAGGAAAGAGATAAATCGGGCGTTTTTTCTTTTTACTTGCTTTGAGCGAGAGCTTGCATTGCGATTGTGGTCGTAAAGGATACACACCAAAAGGATATCCTTTGGCAGGTGATGTTTAGAAATTTCCATACAGTGTGTTTGTCGGTTTCATCACGCTACGCCTCGTCGCCAGTCCGCCACCTGGCAAAATGTACGCGCGTTTTTGAAGCGTTTTCCTCTGTCTCATTCCCGTTGACACATTAAAAATACGTTTGGCAATGCGCCAAAGGGTCTTCTGACAACACGTTACCCACGCATCCACTAACCTTGCATACACATACGATGCTTCCTTATCCTCGTGATGCGAAGGCTGTTACTATTTCCTTTATTACTTGCCGATAAATGACTAATGTAAGCACTATTTTTTTTGCCATGCATTGAAAGGAGAGAGGGATCATTAATGTATTTCTCCCTCTATGTTTTGACTTTTTTCAACCAAACAGAAACCATTTCGATTCATCACGCGACCCCTTTGTTGTCGCATTGTTTGTCGTGTTAGAAGAGGTGTGTGATGCAAGGTGTTTACACTACACTGCAGGCCCGATCCTTGACAAGCGCTATCGAGTACTTTTTGTGGTAAAACATGAATAAGCTCGCGTGCATCTTTTCTACCCATTCATTTTGTAATCTCTACCTACACACGCTATCTAGTGTTGATTATTTCACACACACAGGGAATAACCAAACTAGGTTAAGCTATGTGGAGAAAGGATCGTGCATGCATGCTATCACTCAATATGAAAGAGATTGCTTGGCAAAGCGATTAAGGACTTTGATGATATAGAAAAGGTTTAACAGAAGCAAATAAACGGCACGCACTTGAAACTGTTGATGGTGGTGTGTACACGAGGAGGAGGAGATGAAATGATAGATGGAGAAAGGACTACTATTGATCATTGTTGCCTTTTGTAGGAAATCCCCTCATCGTATTTCATGTTTACACACTAATGGTTGCTACATACAACAGCGTGCGTGTGCAGAGCACTAAAGACTCGTCGTATAGGTAACGAATTCAACAACAAATGATATTGCTTGTAGGCCGTCATCAAGGGCCCCGTGCTTATTGACGCTGACAAGAAGCGGAGCCTGGCTTACAAAAAAAAAGTGCAAGACCACGACGACGCCTTTGTCAAGTATCGCGTCTCTTTTTCCTAACCGATCTCGGCTTCTTGTACACTCACATCGTCCCCGCTCTTTCGCGTCCTTCAAACGTACATCTGCCATCGTTCCCTCTCATTTACACCGACTGGCCATCATTCCCTGCCTTTTTCTACACGCGCACCATTCCCTTAAGGTATGTGTCAAGTAAACATGCACACAAAGGTAATAGCCTTATGTTGATCCCCATTCTAGTGTCGTCTCTGTTCTTTTTTGTATTCTAAATGTCGCAAGTCTCTCCAACCTCCACTGTCAGTCAAACTGAACAACAAGCTGCAACGCTTCCTGCTCAACAACAACAACAACAACAAGGCCAAACCCTTGAAAGAAACCAAAGCAGCACATCTTCTGATCCAGCCCTCGATGATGGTGGTGACGACTCTCTTTTGACCCTTCGTGCATTGCTTTCTAGCAAAGAAGCTGGTGCAGTTATTGGAAAAGGTATATAAAAGGATGGGATGGATCATGGCAACAACAGCTATACCAACATGGATTCTCTTTAGGCGGTAAGAACATCGCAGAGCTTCGAGATTCTACAGGTGTCAAGGTTGGCATCTCCAAAGTCGTACAAGGTGTCCCTGATCGAGTATTGACCGCTGTTGGCACGGTGGAAAGCGTTGCCAAGGTAAGCAATCACGTCATGGCAATGATGATGGATGTTAGCTGACGTTGTATTTTGTTTTCTATAAAGGCATATGGATTCGTTGCTCAAACATTAATTGATAACCTTGCTGGTGCACCTGCAACTCCACCTATTTCCCCCATCACTCATGAGGACGGCTCAAATACTGGCAGCAACACTACACTGCGATTGCTTATATCACACAATCTCATGGGTACTGTCATTGGTCGCCAAGGTGTCAAGATCAAGCATATTCAGGATATGTCTGGTGTTCACATGACTGCTTCTAAATCCTTGCTGCCGCAGAGTACTGAACGCGTGGTTGAGATCCGAGGCACTGTTCATGGCATTCAGACGGCTATCCAGGAGATTGGACAATGCTTGCTAGAAGATAAGGAGCGTGCATATGGTACCATCCTCTACAACCCCATCAAAGCTACAAAGACCAATCAACAACAGCCACAAGGATTCACTCAGCAACATCAACATCGTCGTAGCTCCTCCATTACACGTACCGGCAACGGCAGTGACTTCACCTCTTCCACCTCCACGAACGGTGGTGCCTTGGGAAGCCAGCCATCATCGCGTCGTCAATCCGTATCTTCTTCCTTCGCTGCTGATAATCCCAACATTCGCACTCAACACATTTGCATTCCAAGTGATATGGTTGGCTGTATTATTGGTAAGGGTGGTGCCAAGATCTCTGAAATCCGTCGTCTTTCTGGTTCGCGTATCTCCATTGCCAAAATGGCTCATGATGAAACCGGTGAACGCATGTTTACTATCCAAGGCACTCCAGAGGCAAATGAACGTGCATTGTATCTTTTATATGGACAATTGGAAAATGAAAAGGAACGTCGTTTGCAAGGAATGATGCAGCAAGAGGATCTTCTTTTAGAAGCGGATGAAGAGTAATTCAACAACACCCTGAGAGAAAGAGATGTCATCATCACCCAATCATTTATCTTGCCCATAATTACAACAACATCACACAAAACAGCTTTCTATTTCGACTTGTATATCGCCTTTCTTACCGATTATAAAAAAAAGTGTATTCTTTCGTTTTCAAAATGCATGTGGAAAAGTGGGTTCTATATGTTTGGGAAGTGCATAATCATGATAAGCCCTTTTTCGATTGGCATACATAAAAAAAGGACATCGCGTGATGGCAGGTTGATGTCATTGTTGATGGTAGCAATTGGATATTGTCAACACCCCTCATTTGGTCATTTCCGATTCATGCAATGATAATCATCACACCTTAACCATGATAAAGAACCATCCATTCATGCACCCTCACCAATAAAATTGCTGTCGCTCTGTGTGAGCACCATCCATTATGGAGAATGAACAAAAGATGTTGTAGTGTTCTCCTACACATCTCACAGGCCATGTCAATGTTCGTATCATCATGGTGGTTAGCTACTTGCAACCCCCCTATGGATTAGAGCTGAGACCTTGTGATCATCCTTTGTATTCATTGTTATCCCACTTTCATTATCGTCCTCCTCCTTTACAAAAGATACAACCATCACAAAGACGACAAAAATGTTCGAGGCTAGCTTTATTTGATAGATACGCTCGATCTGTTGGGTGACTCGGAGATGGTGGATCATTTTCTCAGCCGTGTGTGCTTCCATGCACTTGGACAACAAATTAATCAACCCCACATCGCACATGTAAATCTAATCTATGTCGCACAGTTGCAGGTTTTTAAGCCTTTCTTGGGGTGACGTGCCCAAATAAGTTACATCCAAACGAAGTTTTGGGGCTGTGTGCACATCATCAATGATGCATGCGTGCCACAACAGGGAGCTATGATAACCATGAAATGTTTGCATACGTCTACAAGGGTGCTCGGAAATCTTCGTCGGATGATGTCTGATTGATAGGTGGTCTTCATTGGGCAATGTCATATTCAAAATGGATAATACTACAACAATTTCACACCAAATGGCTATCTTTCTTTTCGATGTAGAGGCAAATCTTTGTTTTTCATTAATGCTGGTATAGAGATACAATAGATATGGAAGGATATATGCTCCTTAGCAAAAGCCCTTGAAGGTGTATATGTAATGATGATGGTAAGGTGATGGATCATGCGCCGCACGTTGCTCGCTTAGATAACAACGGCATCCGTTCGTTCAACAAGGCGAAGATCATCGATTTCAGGATGGACAACCAAACCAGCGTCGTGGGTCTTGTTGAGATCAGGGTAGACACGCTTGCCATCAGCGTCGACCTTGGGCTCGATAATGGCCTTGGCAAACAATCGAGTCAAAGCACAAAACATTTCATTTTCAGCCTACGTATAAAATGTCAGTGATTCCTATTGCTTCATCATACATGTAGTAAAGCTACATTACCAAGTAGATACCAGGGCAAATACGTCTAGGGAATATGATTTTAGTTGACAGCAATAACAACTATGATGATAATACAGCATCCTTACCTTCCCCAGCCAAAATTGTATTGGTCACGGTTCTCGATACCCGAGTTGGCTGATGCAGACATGGGCTTAAGGTTGTTCAAGAAACGTTCAGGAATGAATTCTTCAGGATTGGCGAATGCATCAGGGTTCAAGTGCATAGCGTGCATGTTGCTAACCATCACAGTGCCCTTGGGGATATAGTAGCCTTGGACATCCACTACGTACGTACAAGAGGGAGAGATCATCATTAATCGATACTCCTTTCAATGCTTTCAATAGGCTCTTACCATCTTCAGTAGCTTGATGCAATAAACCAAAGTGGGTGGTAGGTCTGTAACGAATGCACTCCTTTTGCACCGAGATCATGTAAGGGAAGCTGTCACGATCAGCAAAGGTAGGGTAGCGCTTGTTGGCTAAGATAAACTCATCCACCTCGGCACGTAGACGCTCTTGAACTTCGGGATGATGGCACATGATGACCATGAACCAGGAAAGAGAAACAGCTGTGGTATCAGCACCACCAGCAACGATATCGCCTGCATAATACATAGAAGGGTCAACAATAATGTCACGTGCTGCTGCTGCTATACGCATGATGTATGTACTTACTCAATGCAACCAAAATGCCATGATCATCCACTTCTTCATCCTTGTACTCATAAAACCATTTGGCCAAGCATTCTTCACCGCTATCCAAGGACTCCTTGATGAGACGACGGAAGAGAGGGTTACGCACTTCTTCAATGAACTTTTTGAGCTTGCGTTCCTTGCGATAAATGACATCGAGCACCGTCAAGATGGGCAAGAACGAGCTGATATCTTCGGCAACACCAGCAAACTTCATACTCTGATCAATGACACGGACGATTTCACGGAATTCAGGATCGTTGGGTGAGTCGACGCGCTTGCCGAGAGCGGCTTGCAAAATGACGTTCATGGAGAAGAATTGCAAAGGCTTGATGAGACTGACACTGCCATTAGCGAATGAAGCACTTGTCAGGTACTTGATAAGGAAATCGGATTCACGGCCAATGAGATCACTGAACTTGTCAACGTTCTTGGGAGCAAGAATATCAAGAGCTGGTGGTGGTCATGGATACAAGCTAAGAATGAGGACGTTGTCATGTGACACAAGATCAATTCACTCACCTGCAGTTCTGGTTTTCTTCCAACGCTTGCCAGGATCAGGGAAAGCAACACCGCTACGATAGATAGAATAGTCATATGAATGAATGAATACCTCCAATGATAATAAAAAAGTGTATATCCCTCCCCCTTCTTACCGTTGACCAGGTGCATAATATTGATGGCTATACAATTGCCAAGGACGACCGGATGTGACACTGCCCTTGGAACTGAAAAGCTCATGGGCAATGTTTGGATCGCTGATCATGATCCATGGTTGCACACCAAAGTAGACGCGGATGATCGGACCTGTTTATAAAACCGTCAAACAAGCTATTCCACGTGCTGGTGTTGTCGTTGCTATGATAATACTTGCCATATTTCTTATGCCACTTGGTGATGGTAGTAGCAGGCAATTCACCCATCGACAATAAATGGCCTAAAGCATGTTTGACTTTAGTAACACGATGTACGACATGCTTGTGATCTTACCAAAGTACGGGATGCGTCCTTCACTGACAGTTGGGATATCACGAAAACCTTCAGGAATGGCAGTACGCTTCTTTCGCAAAGCATAGGTAGTGTAAAGTGCCACGCTCGTAGCAGCAGCAATACCAACAATGGGTTTGATTTGGTCCTTATTGAGTGATCCCAATGAATCAATAATACGTTGAATATCCATTTTGAACGTGGCAGGTAAACGAAATGATGGTGAAGGAAAAAAGAAAGAAAGAGTGAAAAGAAAAAGAAAAAGAAGAGGAACTTGTATTTGAACCTGTGGTGGTTGGCCCTAACTCTAGCTTATAGAGGACCCAATGTCACACCAAGGAAAGACCGTTAAACGTTATATCTATCTATCATGCAAGCTTTTATGTGGCATGGGTATGTGTGTTGTCTTGTGAGTGCTATGAGGCTGCAGCAGCAAATTCACTCCTACATACCTTATTTTCTCTGTCAGCCACACCTGCATTTTATAGCATGCATATAAAAGGCTTGGCTAGTCATTCCTCAACCATCGAAAACAGTGGCTCATATAATTTTTGCCTCTCTTTTGGATCGTTCGATCACACACATACACACGCACGCACGCACTTATGGAACAACGTGTAGGGTTGAATGCACGAGTTTGTGATGTGTCTGTGTACCGGTGTGATGGCAATCTTGGAGGAACAACCAGGCTGTGCGACACTATTGAATGAATCTCCGATGGTATGTCGGTGTAGTGAGCGCGCGGGGAGTGAGAAAATCATTCAAGCCTTGTTGACGTTCATGTTAAGATCCACAAGATAGTAATGATCCAAGCCATTCATGGTACTACTTGCATTGCTTGGCAAGGTCTTATGAAACCTCTCGCACCCATGCTCAGCCCTTATCTTGGTTTATCTTCAAGATATCATATAGTAACATAGGCCATCATCAGAGTCTTTCTTGTTGTTGTGTCACGCACCCGCTGGTAGCACCGCACATGCACCCATCTTTCTCTGCAAATGTTATAATGACGGGGGGACCCACAAACGTTCGGAGAATCCGATCCATATTAATGTGAACATCTCTCTCTCTATACAGCCTATTGTGATCTTAATCGGTATCCGAGGTAATAACCGCCTTTGTGAATCCTCTCTTTCTGTCACACTACTACCATCCATATAGCATTACTTGAGGTATCACATTGCATTGTCATTACTAATTGAGAATGATTTCGTAGTTAAAGTTCATTCTTTATTGACACCAACCTATGTTAAGATAGGGTACACGAAGTTGATATTACGTGCTTCTAATTTTGGGAGTCAAGCAATCCACTTTTGACAGCACATGGCGATCATGCCATTTTCTTGTAAAGTAGTAGTAGTATAACCTCTTTGCACACTTTCTCCTCGGTCGCTTTGTGCTTTTTAGGGAAAAAGTGGGGGGAAAGTGTGTGGGGGATGGGGGTGAACTGCATTAACTCGTATAATAACAAGATGGTCTTACCGGATGAACTGCACGCGAGTTGGCAACTCCTTGTTGTTGTTGTTGTGCCTGGTACTCTATGAACACCTATCCGTCCCTCATCCCACTCAACAACCCCAACCCCCAACTGCATCATGTATTCAACTCCCATCTTTCATATACGTAGTATGGTGTATCTTGCGGGTGAGATTTAATTTTGCATTTGGGTGTAGTATAAGGTAGTAAGCTGTGTGTGTGTGTGTGTGTGCGTGTTGTGTGTACGAGACAAAATAAAGGGGGGGGGCACTCCAATACACGTGTTGTTGATGATGTGCGTTTTTTTCTTGTATGTTGATGTGTATATAACTTGCTGTTCAAAAGACAATATGAGCAGCGACAATGCGTTGAAGCTCTTGCTACAAAATAATGCAAAGATAGTATGAATAAAAATAGAAGCTCATCATCATCATCATCATCATCATCCCCTTCCAATACTCCCTCTTAACCACTTCCGACCACCACCATGATCCCATTCCCCTTACCTCGTCAATCAATGCCTCGTTTTGTTGTGCAGGAGCTCCCGATGTTGTTGATGCAGCTGCTGATGAAGGCTGTGGTGGTGCTTGTCGTTGATGATGAACCGAAGGAGCCTTGGCTACCTTGTTGTTATTGCTGCTGCTGCTAGTGCTATTGGATCTTGCTGGTGGTACTTGATCATTGGTAGTAGAAGTGGCAGTGGAACTCGAATCCTCATGTTGGGATAATGATGTTATTGACTCCGTTGCATGATGATCTGCATGTTGCTGTTCATTGGTGTTGGATTGAGAAGATGAAGATGTCAATGTAGGCTGTGGTGGTTCAGGCTTTTTGCGAATCACAAATGAACCATCCGGTCGATTCCATGGATGAAAATCATATCCACCTTCATCATCCCATTTGCTGCTTTCTCGACTTTGGAGATAATCCACACCACGTGTCACCAATAAGAATAAATCATCCAATCCATTGCCATCACCACCACCACCACCTGTGGTAGTAGTAGCCGTAGTCGATGCTTGTTGTTGTTGTTGTTGTTGAGATGGCGTTGTAGAACAAGAAGACAAGGAGGATGGTGGGGATAAACTGGAACTTCCATCTACAGCAGCAGCACCAGCAGCACCAGGAGGTGAGGAAGTATTACTCGAGGGTGATGAGTTTGATGATTCACCTGGAAGGGGTGGCAATGGCGGCTCAACAAATTCGGTCTTGCTCTCCCGTTTGGGGGTATTATCATCACCTTGTTGGCTATCCATCCACATGGTATATTGTGCTTGGATCTCATTGTTCTCTCCAGGCTTATTGGGTAATGCTTTGTTGCGGCTCATGGTTGATAATCCATCGTCATCCGAATCATCCTCATCCTCTGAAGAAGAATCATCACTCAATTCAATAGGCTCCTTGACATCGATATCATCATCGTCATCATCATCATCTGAGGAAGATAAGGAAGAGGTACTTGATGTCGCTGCTGATACGGCTGATTCATTCACCACAGGTTGTTGATCAGGCGTATTCGCTTTGACGGGTGAAAAAGGAGTATTGGAAGCAATGGGGGTGGATGGTGCCGTAGCAGAAGTGATCTTGGGTTGTACCTTGGTTTGGCCAGAGTGTGGTGTAGGTGTCAAAGGTGTAGGTGGTGCTGATACAACGCTTACTTGGGATGACGAGGCATGATTCTGGATAGGCTTGACACTAAGCGAAGACTCGTTGGCCATTGTTGCAGGTGTATTAGGATGTCCCAAGCTAGCTGTTGAACCATGGTGATGTTGTTGCTGTTGTTGAAGAGGTGGTGGTGGATTCTTTTTTGTCTTGGAGCCCCAACCAACAAGACGCTTGAGTTGTTGCTTCAAAGAGTTCTCCTTTTTACGAGTGGATGGTTCAGTGGATGAATGCTTCATATCAAGTGCAGTGTTGTTGTTGTTGTTATCGTAATCTGAATAAACTGAGCTTGTAGCAGAAATATTGGATGAGGACATGACAGAGGTGCGACGAAAACCAGGTGTTGGAGGAGATAAAGAGCTTGTGCTTGGTGAATGCGGAGCCCAGCTATCCCCTAAAGTGCCATGATTACCACCACCACCACCAACACCACCAGCTGTGCTTGTCCCTTGATAGGGTGTCAGGGATGATTTGCGTTCCTGACTCGACAAGCTACTCGGAAAAGAAGGTCTCCTGTCATCCATGGGCGAATTTAAAAAGCCCGTTCGATGGTCCGCTGATCTTGGTGAATCCATAAGAATATCAAGGATACTAGGACGTCGCTCTTCTGGTATCATCATCGCACTATCATTGCCAAGGGCACCGCCACTAGTAGAAGAACCATTGTCAAAGTCACCAGGTTTCCCACCACCACCACCAATAGGTGATAAAAGAGGAGGTGGATGTGGATGCGGCTTACGATAATGAAGAGAATCAGCCCGACGGAGGATGAACAAAAGATCACTTGTAACAGGGGATGTTTGTTGCTGGTGATGCAATGCGCTTGCCATGTGATCCCTTGGATCCAGAGGAGTCTCGACACCATTCACGGCTCTCACTGACATTCGATACTTTGTCAAGCACCTTTCTGTTGGCCCAAGCGATGAGGGTAAACCATCTGCCTCTGCATCCGGCACATGAAATTTCTCCAAAGCCATATTGATAACTGAACCAATTTGCTGATCTTGCTTGACAGGCATAATCTTATCAATTCGATCAATCTCTTGCCGTGACGCCATGAGCTTTTTCTTTTTTCCCGAGGGGGTCGTGGTGATGGGTGTTGGGTTGGTCGTGAAAGCATGTCCCTGATCATTGGATGGCATGTTGGCATTCGAATTCACCCCGTCGTCAGGATAAAGAGACACTTTGATGTAAAAGATCCCTTCCCTTTCATGAGCTCGCTTGATACGTCGATGCAAATAAAAGCGTATCACCGAATCCTCATCATACGACGTCTGCTCGTAGTTACTGAAGCTGCTTGAACGTGGACGTCGTGATCGATTCTCGTTGCCAAGGGCTCCCGATCCCGTATTAGCCTGAGGTTGCTTGATATGCGATACAGAAGGCATTGGCGTGGTCAATGGAGCTGTCAATGTCTTGAAGATGGATAATGGCTTATCCTGAGGAGATAGCACGTAATCATCTACAATGATAAATGCGTCAATCATCCCATCCAATAAGTCACTTTGTATACTCACTTACCTCCATCAAGTCCTTGAACAGCAATATAGTATTCAATGATGGTTCCTTCGGTTGCTGCAAGATCCAATGCAAAACGTGATACTGCATCCTTGACCAATTCATCAGCCGTTGTTGATAGATCAATTGAAAAGGTATGAAAGAGAGGTGCTTCTTGTCCAATGTTGCCAGCAAATACACGTAAAGGCTCATGCACTTCCCCACTATGATTCGATCCACTGCCACTGCCACCACCACTGCTAGCTTCAGGAACAGTCAATGACGCCATTTCAGGTGCTGGTGTAATCTCGTCTGCTGTATCGACACTGTCATGGGCGTCTTGAAAGTCGTCGTCATCGTCGTCATCATCGTTGTCGTTATCGGTGTCATTGTCGCCTTCGTCTTCGCTCTCAACTTCATAGTGGATCACACGCGTAGCATCGTCGCCTGCAATGGTCACATTCTTTGAGTTGAATTTGGGTGTTGGGTCAGCGTCGTCAGTGGCGGCTGGTGAAGTGATTTCAACGTTGCGATGCTTGTTGAGACGAGCGAGTCGTTCATAAGGTGTCTACGAATGGAAGAAGAAGACGAAGAATGAATCTCAGCCTGTATCATGCATAGTGTACTAGTATATGTGTTACCTCGATATTCTCTGCAGGAATGTATCCAACCTCTCGAGTTTTAAGCACCTCTACGAGCCACCAATAAATGTTGGTATCTTCCATCAATATCAAGGCATCTCCTTTGACAACGGATGCTTGGCCTTCCACTGTAGCCACAAATGTATGTAATGCATAAACGAGATCAAAATTGATGTTCTCATCAGGAATACTGGGTGAAGACGACATGGATGATGCATCCTCAATAATCATTCCTTCATCATCTTCATCTTCTTCCTCATTTTCTTCTTCCTCTTCCTCCACAGGGATATCACGAAATCGATCATCCTCCCATGCACGATGGCGATGGTGCTGTTGTTGTTGTTGATGATGGGGAGAAGGTTCGTGGATATGTTGCTGTTGCCAATGTATAGCAGATGTCATTTGAAGAAAGGGGGATAATAGATTAATACAATGTATGGGGTGATAAAAAGAGAAAGAGAGAGAGAAAAGGGTTGGTTTGAAGGTAGTAAATAGAAAACAGCAGTAATAAAAGAAGTGAGAGAGTGAGAGAGAGAGGGAATAGGAAAGAAAGAGAGAGAGATAGAAAGAGGCAGATGATCAAAGAGAGTAAAAAAAGGAGTGTCAAGACAAGATATTACACAAAGAAGGGAAAAGCATACTGTGAATCAGGGAGCAATATAAGCTAATAGACGTCGTATGTGTGGAAAGTAAATGAGAGAGAAAGAGAACACGCATTTTGTTGCGGTGTCTTGAACCCCCTTTGAAAAGGGGAGATGCACACGCACACAAGTTCTTTCGTGCAAGAGTCAAGGGGAAAATAGTGCACGTCGTGCACTTTTCTCTTTGCGGAGAGTATAAAGTCATCTTTTGGGTGCGTGGATGTTAAGTGTTTTTTGTTTCTCCCATAATGAGATGCATTGCCATGCTTTTTATTTTGTATCTGACAGACGAGCCAGTCTCGGATAGTGAATGCAGGAGGTGTAAGAAAAAAGGGGTGGGGGAATATAACACACGCTGCTTGTGGATCAAAAGGGAGGGAGAATCAACATGGTCGTCGATATCGAGTGTGTGTGTGTGTGTAACCAATCTATCAAATCCTCTTTTACGCACTCCTATGGTTCATTTTTCTTTTTGATATGTTGGGTATAACAATGTGGGCCATGTTGTTTATAAATAATGGATATCTCGATTGGGGTGATTGTATAGAGCGCCATATGATCGGCTACTGCTGCTTAGGGCGAGTCGCGATTGGCGTCGTTCGGGATGATGATAATACATGGTGCGTTGACGTCCATCTTGAACATCCTCGGATGATGACGAGTCAATGCTGCTACCTTCTTCTATTTCTTCTTCTTCTTCTGGATGAGCTGCAAGAAGGGGTCGGCGTTCGCCATTGATATCTAAATCACCAATTGACAATGAAGCGCAAATATCCTGTGGTGACCGTGCCAAGGGGCTGCTGCATATACTATTACCATCATTATTATTATTCATCCTGCCGATGCTCGTAGCCGTCGTTGTAGCCGTTGGTTTCGGTGATAATCCAGGCTCAATATCCGAATAGATGCTTTGTCTCCTATACTTTGCTACCGGCAACCATAGCTGTGGCAATGCTCCCAATAATGCTGGATGGCCGTACTTCTTCATTCCCGTATTCAAGATGCCGTCCACAAGTGTCATGGGTGGTTGTCGATAATCCGTGTACTTTGTTGGTTCGGCTACATAGTCATCTTGATCCAATACAGTACGACGTCGTCTAATAAGCACTTTGCCATTGGCATCAATCACACGTCGCGACGTTCGCTCTGATGTAGAGGGTTGTGGCTGTGGTTGTTGTTGGTTGTTGGGAGGAGTGTCTGGTCCATCAATGGCTGTAGTAGCAACACCTAGTCGTTGGGTGAGTAATTGCAACGGCAAGAAACGTGTGCTACGTAAATAAGCTGCATCCATGGTGAGCTTGAAAACAACGGTCAAGATGATCAATGGTCCACAAAGCACAGCGAGAGGATACGCTTTTTGTAAGAGGAAGAGACCACTGGACATGATTTCAAAGATCAATAACCCAACAATGATACGTGAAAAGATACGTGGCCACATGCGTCCAGCAACTTCGTATGGATGAAAGTACACTAAACACATGTATCATTATGAGTAAACGGTCATATCCAAAACACCAATGATGCATTTACCATAGAGGAATTGATACTTGAGCACCACATACGCAAAACAGAAGTACAAAGTGCCAAACACCAAAATGATAGGAGCACTTGTCGAATACACCAACAAGACAACAAACATAAATACAGGCGCAGGATATCCCCATCCATAGTTGTACATGCGTGGTGCTGTCACTTCGGCGAAATCACGTGGTGTCTTGCTGAGGAAGATCCTCCAAAAGCCTTGCAAGATAATAATGCCCACTTGCAATAGCTGTATCGGAAGACTACAAGTACAAAAGCGTGAGTCATTGTATGTATAGAGAGGAGAGGGATGAATCTCACATCATGAAGCATTGGAGCACTGTATAATTGACAAAGAAAGGTGCCACCTAGAATTTCATGTTTTCATTAGCTAATCAAGACCTCAACCATATACATGAAAAGAACTTACCTGCGGCAAACTCGTTGCAAGGATGTTGGCAATCTGCGTGGGATCTTCAATCATATCTGTCAAGGTCTTGAATAGTGTCGAGGTAACCGTAAACACCAGCATGAAATTGAATAGCAAAAAGAAAAAGTGCCTATGATGGGTGGTGGTCATTTGTTAATAAAATGGATGCATGATTCACAACCCGTTCCAGATACTTGCTTGCTGAAACTTGATTCCTCGGCCTCGCTTCTCGATTGAAATCCTTCAATGACGCTCAGCACTAATAAAGAAAGCATTAGACTATTAGGGAAGGGATCAATAAGTGATTCACACGTACCATTTACAATGAGAGGAAGAATAGCCATAAAGATGACCACTGCCAATGTTGGCAGGAAGCCAACCACAATCTGATGCAAGATCTTGTTCTTTTTGGCAAGGTCCATAAGCCAAGGGAAGTAGTTTTGGAGTGATCGTTCGCTTGTCAATGCCGAGAAATACGAGATAGGCAATATCCAAAAGAAGACCAAAAAGATAAGAATGACGAAAATGACAGCTTTTCGAATCATGCGCTCTCGACCATGCATAGCAATGTTCTCCCACAAGACATTGCGAGGCTCAGGTGCCAATTCAGCTTGTAAACGGAATGGAGTAGAATCGATCAATACTTGTGACGCGATACACTAATAGAGATACATCAATAGGCCATCCATAGCTGCCTTGTTGAAAAAGGGAAAAGGTACTTACAGCGCTAACGCTATGTTCAAAGGTGACAAAGCCCACACTTGTAGGAAGGAATCTGCCATAGCGTCTTGCCTTGAGCACTAGGGAATCAATCTCATGGAATCGCTCGGTATAGTATTCAATAGCATCCACTGATTTGCCAAAGAGGCCCATGAAGCCATGGCGTATCATAGGTCTGTTGCGTTTGACTGATACAGGATGATACATGGGTGAGCATGCCGAGCTGACAGAACGTAATGTTGTTGATTCTCGTTCATTCTCGCTGAATAACGTATCCGGATCGTAAGCAGCATCTTCGCAAGGATTTCCCCAATACTTTGAATATGCATGTTCAAGACGTCGTAGATACTGTGCACGCTCTTTGATATAATCCATAAGGCGATCAAGGTGTCGAACGATATGGACGGACTCGACAACACCAATGCCAAGCTTCTCGAAATACTCGGCTAGTTTCCGGTCTGAGCGTAATTGTGGTGGGATGCCTGTGACAAGGACTGTACGTGCTGGCACGGTCTTTGCAATCCTCAAGAGAAATTCACGTCGTAAACGTACATAGTCGCGGTAGTTGAGGAAGGTGAAATAAAAGGTGGCGAAACAGAAAAAGTAGGTGAAAAAGAGATAGACCCACAAGTAAGAGGGTGAATAATAAGAGTTGTCGGTATCTTGAGCTGTTTCTTCTTCCGGAGGATCCGTCGAGTTTCCAAGTAGGTCACCTCCCATCCTGCTAATCGGAAGTAACACAACCGTACTGAAAAAGCCACAGAGACCAAATAGCTTGGCACCCATCAAGAGGAATTGCAGCATCTAATTGTTGCCCATTAGCATAGAGGGGAAACCTTATTCTTTTATCGCTTACCACTACAGCATCCAGACCCACTTTTTCGAGTACAACCGAATGCGGAGTTTTCAATAGAGGCCATATCCACCCAAAGAAAGAGGTAGGTAGCTTATCTGGGGCGTGTCTATTTTGCAGGATGTCGTTGTTATCATCCAACTACCATGATACGGGGATTGAGATGCCACTTACTTTTTCATACGCAATCGTGGAGAGTATAGAGATATCCATCTATATAAAAAAAGAGAGCGAGAGATAAAGAGATGAGATGATGAGCTGCTACTGCCAAGATCATGTACGAGAACATACCGAGTACGTAGGAAACAAAAGGCGAGAAAACTTAAAATACCAACCGAACCACAGAGAAGGAGCTGTGCCGTTAAGCCTGTGGGTGTTTTGGAGCTGTAAATGGGTGTGCCAGGAGTGGGATCGTCGTTGCAAGCAAAGATGCCTGGACAAAAGTCGATTGGAAATTTAAAAGCGTTCACCACCGTGACATTGGAAGTGCCCATTGAAGCAAGGATGCCCGTTTTATGTGTCAACGCAGGGGGAAAAAGAAAGGAGAGAAAGCGTAAGAGAGAAAAAAAAAGTGAGTATTTGTGAAACACACAAATGCAAGTGTGTGCGTGTGTAGGTTGCGGCATTATACATTCATCCACGCCAAATGTGTCCTCGTGACTCGGGCCAGCACCACCACCAATGTATATATAGAAGAAGGATATGGCATGTCTTTTTTTATATAACGAGATGACATGGAGGAAGGGGAAATACAATAAAGATGTGTGAGTGTGTGTGTGTGTGTGCGGTAAAGATGAAGAAAGAAGGGAGGAGGAGAGGGATATAACTCTTCTAATAGTTTGTAGTAGCAGTAGTAGTAATAAAAGAAACGGCTCAAGCGAGAACCACCTTGCCCTTTTCCAGGAAACCATGTTCACCATCACCTCCAATAAATGCGGGACAAATACAAAATCGAACAACACCACTGGTTTTACCCTTGACATCCACCATGGTTTCCTCATTGAATTGATCTTCGCCTTCCTTGGCTCCCTTGGTAACAATCTCCACGTCTTGCCCTCGCATAGCAATAGCCAATCGCATCGCCTTGTCCACAATATCGCCCACCTTGGCAAAATACCTCTTTTCCTCATCGACGCCCTTGTCATTTTCCTTCAAAAAGGGTGCATAGACATCGGCCAAGTCATTGTAAATGGCTTCAGTGATCCGATCACGTTCTGCTTTGGCGGCCAATTGTACTTCGCTATCCTTGCTGCTCTTGGCAATGATCGCCGCCAATTGCTGTCGTAGGCGTACAGGAAATTCAACCGAATCATGGGATACGAGCCACGTGCTTACGGCTGCAAATGCATCATTCACATCCACACCTGGATACAATGGACACTCGAACACGGTATTCACCAAATGCTGATGGATAAGCTTTTCTGCCAACAAGTTGATTTGAGACGATTCCAAATCTTCGGTTTGATGCTCGAGCATGTGTGGCCAAAGTTGTTTGAACTTTTGGGTGGCTGTATGTCGATCCGCCTTCTTATTCAATGTCATCACCAATCGAGAAATGCCATATTTCATCAACTTGAACGAATCACGAATCGTCGATAAATCATCATCCGTGGCCCGGATCGCACGCGTGCTCTCAAATAATCGATGCTCAATCTGCTGCTGCTCAAGTTCCTCAGCTTGGATTTGGCGTCGAATCTCTTCCACTTGCGCCTGTAATGCTTGCTTTTGCTCGGCTTCGGATTGTACTTGCTTTTGCATACTCGCCACAGCTGCATTCACGTGATCCAATTCGCGTAATAGATCCTCTGCTTCACTGCTTAACTCTTCGTCGTTGGAATGGTCGTTTTCAACTGCATCATCTCGGTGTAATGGCGTCGTGGTGGTTGTAGTGGTAGTCGTGTTGGCTGTGGTTGTCATGTCAGAGGTGGTGGTGGTTGTAGTAGTAGTAGGGGCAAGATCGGTCATGGCGGATAATGGTCGAGCAATGTCCGAGGAACTGTCAGCTGGATGATGAGCTTTTCAGTAAAAAAGACGTGTGTAGAGAAAAGCGTTTATGGGAAGGAGAGAAAGAAAAAGAGAGAAAAAGAGAAAAAGAGAAAGAAAGAGAGAGAGGACTGAACACCACCACCAGCACACACGCACTTACTTCCCCTTGGTACCTTATTTTTTTTCCTTCTCCCCTTATCCACACTCCCTTTGCAGTAAAGTGGTGTTACGAGATTATAAACTTACTGGTTGTTTCACCATGGTAATAAGAGGATACCGGTCGTGGTGCTAATGATACATCATTGACTGAATGATCCATAAACGTTGATGGTATAGATGCACGATCCCATCCATGTTGACTACTACTCGTGGTAGATGAAAGTGATCGAGGATGTTGTTGTTGTTGTTGCTGTTGCTGCTCTGTAGACACCTCTTTGACAGCCGCTTGTTTCTTAAAGAACCTGCTTACTTTGTTGGCTGTATTTCGCATCGTCTTTGAGCGTGATAGTGATTTGGAAGCAACAGGCTGTTGAGGTGCTTCGAGAATAGGTGGTGCTGTTTGATGGTCAACCATTTGGTAAATAAGGTGAAAAGAAAAAGTGAAAAAGAGAGAGAGCCAAGCACTAATTTGGGCGGATCCTATATCACAACATGGTCCTAAACAAACGGCCCGACTCATACACACATATTTCATTGTGCCTTGTGCAACCCTAGCGGACTCTTTCCAGTATAAGCCTTATCCACGATGACTACTATTCTTGAAGCAACTAAAGCTTAGAGAAGCTCGTTTATTGGAAATGAATGAATAGGATGCAGTATGAGTATGAGTATGAAATAATGATGCAATGTATGAGAAAAGGAAAAAGATTAAATGCAATAGGGTTTGAATGATGGGTGTAAGAAGAAGAAGAAGCGAGAGATATGGAAGGAAAGGAAGGAGAATTAAGAGAGTCCGTGCATTTTACAATCGACGATCAGGCGAGTCTTCGCTATCTCTAACAAGAGCCACGACCACGCTGATATCATCTGACTTGCCACCCTGGTATAAAAGCCCTTCATTGATAGCTCGGCTTTGGAAAGGGCTATCCAAATTACGGCGGTCTTCACTCACAGCTCGGGCTCGTGCTGCCAGCGCATCCGAAAGTTTTTGAGGATTGAAGTTGAGTAGTCTAGAAGGTCGCTGACCATCGCCTGGAAGTGTATAAGCATTGACATGGGCACGCACAATAGCAAGGATCTCCCTGTCGTATAGATTATCAAAGAGGCCATCGGTTGCAAGGATCACAATGTCATTCTTTTCCACCTTGATATCAAACTCCTAAATGGAATGAATGAATGAATGAATGGATGAGTAAAAAGTGTAACCACAACAACAACAACATCCCCATGTCTATCTCTCTTACCTGAGCATCCTTTGGTTTATCAGGGGAATTGGTGCCCAATTGATAGGGGAAATTGAATGCATGTTGTTGCTCCTCATTACGAAAGACATAGCTGTTCTGACGAATGACTGAAATGCCACAATCACCAAGGTTGGCGACACGTAATTCATCGTTGCGTAATAATGCCACACAAGCAGTGGAAGATCCAATGATGTTTTCATGGCGAGCTTCACTCATGGCCATATCGTAGCTTCGTTGCAATACATCGAGAGGGTTGGCGTCATCGTAAAGAGAAAAGAGATCGTCCTCGACGTTATCGAAACGTTCAAGTTCAAGATAGGCGTGGTGCATAAGTTTGCGTGAGTACAGGGCAGGATTGGCACCTAAAAAGTGGCTGTGGTGTTACCCAACACAGGAAATCATGGAAAAAACCGGGTCGCTAACAGAATTTTAAGCTTACTTACCATGCGTACCAAGCCAGCCACCAACGCCATCGGCCACACCAAGCGCATCTGCACGACAAAAGTAGGCATCTTCTCCCACTTGGACGCTGCGATATTCATCGGTGCTTTCAATCAAAGGTCGTCCACGTTTAGCAAATCCAGTTGCGCCGTAAGAGAATTGATAAGATGGAGCAGGCTTCACATTGGTCTCAGCGAAAAAGTCGAAAAGAGGAAGTGTCTTGCGATAAGCAAGTGGTGGAGGAGGCGTTTGCTGACGATGAATTGCATAGTCATAATAAAGTCGACCTTGTAATGGACATGAGCGAGTTGTTGTCGGATGAGAGCGAGTGGCTAAATTGAAGGAATGGAGCGAGCTGGAGCGTGATTTGGCATGAGAACGCACACATTGAAGTACTGGAAGCGCACCAACAACACGCTTGGCTGCTTGGCCACTGCTCATGGGAATGGATTAGAAAGGGCGTAAAGAAGAAAAAATCTGGGAGAAGGGAAGCAACAGATATACGTTTAAGAAATACCATTCAACTCCCGTTTATATTGTTATTTGGATGGCGTGCTGCGTGTGTTTTTTTTAGCAAGCCCCGCTTATCTCACAGCCGATTCCAACCTATCATCGCAGCGGATCATTGGCACACAGGCCATCAACAATACCCACCATGCTTCCGAATCCTGCAGGTCATCACCACCACCACCACCATGTCAAACCCTTCTACTTATCAAAGATGCATACATGTATGTATGTATGTGGTTTACCATTGATGATCTCCTTACCTTGATGATGATAGTGTAGCAGTAGTAGTAATAATGATAATCCCTGCCTCCTTATCATAAAGAAAAATTCTACCATTGAATGATGTCGTCTTTGTTTTTGTGACAATAGGTGGGAATGAATTTGGGGGTAGAATCGCACAAAAGAACCCTTATTCTTTTTGTGTAGCAATCACTCAGCTGAGTGTGTATATTCGATACGGTGAGCTTAGTCTCATTATAGCCCTTCCCCCTATCAAAACAGGCATCCATCCGAGAGATACAACCCAAACAAGTACTTGCTCCCGAATCACCACCCTGGTGGTTCTCCTCGGTGAAACAATCATCTGCCACATTTATCCGTACCATATTGGCGATCCCCCTCTCACTACTCTTTCATCACGCTTTAAGCCAAATTGGGTATGAGATAGTATGCTGACCTAATACAATCGGTTGTAATAGGGTCGATAAGGTTTTCAAATCGCACCTTGGTAAAGAGTCTCTTAAATTGTGGGCAGCATTGATAATAGGCCCCAAGGATTGTTTGTTATGGTGCATCAAGGTCCTTGCTGCTCCGATACCGATTTCATCTGTTTCAGCCTACGACTCGAATAAGGAACAACAACCGCTCGCTTGATCATCAGCCAACGATACTAGTAGCTGTCATGTGTCGTGAGCAATAAATAGCAACATGCCGTTATCAGAGCCGTTACCATGTGCTCATGGAGACCTTTCACAACGTGGCATGACAACAGCACCAACGAACCTCCTTGTGTCATCCAATAGAGTCCATTTAGAACAAAGGCCTATGTATGCAATGCATCACGAGATGGAAAAAGACTAGCATAAACATGGAAGCTGAGTACACGTGGAAAATAACAATAAACAAAAGCAGCATGAGGATCTGGATCTTCTATCTACCATTCACAAGCCCCATGTCAAATGATGCCTCGTCTGGTGATATGTAGCGTAGGCTCATGTGGAATGATGGGAATTGCTATATACGTCTACATAGCCTCTACATAGCATTTGACCCGTATCGATGATATCTTATTTACGCATGTTTTATTTACCGGGAGGGATGCTCCAAGTTCTCAATCATTGGCAAATCTCACTTTGCATATAACGAACACACCAACTTTCTGCATAGGTATCACGCATGACTCCATGGCATAAAGCGCACTCCTCATATTATTTGTCCGATCTTCATCAAATCATGTCCAAATTCACTTTTCATTCACGTCTCCATGGTCACGTCTCCATGGTCACATCACCATGGAAACAAGTGGCACACAATACTTAAGTTGATGATGCTTCGTATATATTAATATATCTTTTGAGTACGCAAGTCTTTAATGGTACTAGCTTGATTGGTATGGGTGTTTCATTTTTCTATCACTCTGCAAGACGACGGAGCAAAGTATCCTGAAAGGTGAGATGGACCTAAACCTGCATCAAGGACATTATCAATAAATCTTTTCACGTCTTGGGCAAGAGAAAGGTCAATGGTGATCATTTCATAAAGAGTGATTTGGTTGAGCGCATAGACTGACCTGAGTTGAAGCGGGGTGGGAAGCATTTGGCACGGCAACAATTTCTTTTGCGGGATCGGCAGCTAGTTGAGAATCCTCCTCGATTTAACCATGGTAAGTACAGCACCCTGGAGATGATGGATGGTGGTGGATAAGAAGCCAAGGGATACAGGATGGATGGATGGATGGATGAATGGATGGATGAATCCAAATGCTGATGAAATCTATAATGATAGGGTCGCGTTAGGTAACATCACTCATCACGATACACAGCATGGCAACAGCAGCAGCAGGACATTGACATTACCCACACATTGTATAGAACCAAGACTGTCAAGAAGGCCTCCCGCGTCTTGATTGAGAAGTACTACCCTCGTCTTACTTTGGACTTCCAAACCAACAAGCGTATCTGCGATGAGGTTGCCATCATTCAGTCCAAGCGTCTTCGCAACAAGATTGCTGGTTTCACCACCCACTTGATGAAGCGTATCTCTCGTGGTCCCGTCCGTGGTATCTCCTTCAAGCTTCAAGAGGAGGAGCGTGAACGTCGTGACAACTACGTTCCCGAGTTCTCTGCTTTGGACACCTCGGCTATTGAGATCGATCCTGAGACCAACGTATGTATCATAAACAAAGGAGTACTATGAGGATGATGGATGTGTGTAATGACTCAATGCCTTCGTTTGTTATATAATAGGAATTGCTCAAGTCCCTCAACTTTGAGAACCTTCCCGGTGTCCAGGTCACTCAACCTGTTGCTGCTCAAGCTCAGGATGTTCGTCGTCCTCGCCGTGACAACCGTCGCCGCGATTAAGTTTTTGAATAAACGGATGATCATCACACAATGCGCTTTCTTTTCAAAACATTGTATCAATTATGTATCACACTGCATGGATGGATTTATTAGACACGTTTATCAATGATATTGCTTGGATGATGTACGACGTGCTCTGACAGCTTTAGCCATCATCTCCAACACATCTTCGGTTGTATCCCAATCAATGCACCCATCCGTAATGGAGACACCATACTTTAAGGCTACAGCACCATCCTCTGGGACACTTTGTTTGCCAGCATTGATGTGCGATTCGAGCATGAGACCCATGATAGCATCTTCACCCTTTGAGATTTGTTCAGCAAGGCATTGGGCGACTTTGGGCTGGTTGCGGTGATCCTTGTTTGAGTTTCCATGGGAACAATCCACCATGATGTTGGGAGTGAGTTTGGTCTTTTCCAGTTGACGACGTGCTTCTTGGATATCATTAGCACTGTAGTTGGGTCCACGATTGCCACCACGCAAGATCACATGACAATCCGGGTTGCCGAGGGTGTGGGTGATGGCTGTAGTTCCTTGACGAGTGATACCCAAAAAGTGATGAGATACAGCAGCAGCTCGAATGCCATCCATAGCAATAGTAAGATTGCCATCCGTGCCGTTCTTGAAGCCAACAGGAAATGAAGAACCCGATGCAAGTTCACGGTGAAGCTGCGATTCAGTAGTACGTGCACCAATAGCACCCCATGAGATAAGCTCGGCTAGGTATTGTGGTGAAATGGTATCCAACAATTCAACTGCCACTGGCATCCCCATGTTCGTCAACTCGTTCAATAGTCCACGACCAATACGCAACCCCTTGTTGATATTGTAGCTATAACAATAAACATGTTAGTATATATAGCAAGCTCCAACACATGACTTTTTACCTTTCATCAATGTCTGGATCATTGATCAATCCCTTCCATCCCACGGTGGTTCGTGGCTTCTCAAAGTAAGAACGCATCACAATGACAAGCTCATCTTGGTACTTTTCCTTGGCTTTAAGCAATAAACCAGCTAAAAACATCCAATGTCAATGTACCAGCAGGTCACAATGTATCATACATACCGTATTCTTTAGCAGCAATTACATCGTGGACAGAGCATGGACCCACAATGACAACCAATCGATCATCTTCGCGACGTAATACACGAGAAATCTCTTCCCGTGCCTTGGCAACTGTTTCGCATGATTTCTCGCTCTATAAATAATCGTCAATGCTACTTGTATAGATGCATCCTATCACTGGGAAGCATACCATTGGAAATTCTTCAGCAATGTACGATGGCGAAAGTAAAGCACTGTATCCCTGGATTCGAAGGTCCATTGTTGTTGTTATTGGTTTGTTCAATGACACAAAGTAAAAAGATAAAAAGAGAAACACGGCTTTTTTATAGTATCCTGGGAGACAATGAATCTCACCACCTCCTCTCTTTCTCTTCAAATGGTCCAGGCAGCTGATCGGTCCGTTTCTCTATAACAGCAATATCAATCGGGCAAGCAGTTCTATACAATGACCCTAAACAAGAATTCAACAGCAATGAACCAACCCCACTTTGGAGAACAGGTTTTTATTATTCAATCATGCAGCTAAGTTGACTGGATATCATCTCGAATGATACAAAAGTCTCGAATTTGTAAATGAAGCTTATCCGTTAGCCGAGGATAGCCGATAACACTGTTCTTAGTGAGCCAATGATAGATGCAGGTTGACAAAAAGTAACTTTTTAATAGCAACTGGTAGCAAGTCTGTTTGAGTAGTCTCTCCTTTTTCGAATGTACACATGAGGTGGGGGAATCTATTTAATAACTGTGTTGTTGATAAGCGGCAGCAGGCTCGGTGGTCAAAGCGGGAAGATGCACAAACGTTGCATAAGCATTTCTAGTAGAAGGGAGCAGCATGATCAGTTTCATGTTATTAAAAGCACAGGCCTCTCTCACCCTTTCCTCCTTAACCCCCCCCTTTTCTCCTACAGCTTGGCATTTACCTAAACCATTTCGCGATACCATACTTGAGTCCTCTTAGAAAAGATGATGATGATGATGATGATGATGCTGGACGGGGTAACTTGGATCGTACACGCCACCACTGCCAAAGATGTGACGCAAGACACCAGCTAAAACCATTGATGAAAGGCATAATAAACTGGTTGATAATGACACCATGGACAAAGATTTTGGTTGGCGATGCCCCACTCTTTTGTAATGCTGCAATGGTATTATTGAATTGAGGCTCGAAGCGCATGTCGGGTACAGGAGGACGTTTAAGACCACGATGACGGTCTTCTTCTTCACGATCGATATCGTCAAGGTCAAAGGTCTCACCGCCTTCATAAAAGCGTTGGTATTCGCGTCGTTGTAACTCGAGTAGACGAATAAGGTCGTCGTCGTTGTTATAGTTGGGATCGTTGGTGGAAGTCATGCGTGTAGAGTGTACGAGGTGTGTGTGCGTGTGCGTGTGTGTAAAGGAAAGAAGAGATACCACAGGGAAATTTGATTTACCGCTCAGAGGGAGAGAGAGAGGGTTGACTTGATGCAAGTGATGGTGGTGGGTGGAGGTGTGTGATGTGCAGGGCCACCACACAGTGCCACTTGATCTTCTCACTGTAAATTCATATGCATGTACATCACCATTACTAAATAACGTGTACAAGCCTCATTGTGTGCTATCGTACCTAGATATCAAAAGACGTGGCAAAGATGGTGGGTGATGTATGGGCGTGTGTTGAAAAGGGTACACAAAAGCGGAACCTGATCGACTGCGCCTAGAATAAGAAGCGGCACAGTGGCAGATATGTAACACACTTGTGATCTGAAAAAGATTGGAACTTAGCCTCAGCCTTCCCTTCTGTATACTTTGGCCCAGTAGCAACAGAGAAACATTAGCAGCAACAGCACTACCACCCACACCAGCATCACCCACCAGCAGCTAATAATAGTTAGCTTTGATGTATCTCTTTTTTTTTTCTCTTTCTTCTTTTTCCCCTTCTATTTCTTTTTTCTCTTTTCTCTTCTTTTTTTATTTACCTCTCGCTTCTCCCAGGACGATCATTCTCCTCCTTGTTCTCCTTGTTTCCATATGCCGTCCTTTTCCAATAAAAAGGGATGGCAAAAGTATCAACGCTTTTGGTGGCGGTGGTCTTCAAGGCGTACCAGGCCAGCAACGGATCCTTTAATCAATGTACCAGCTAGACGAGACGACATTTATGAAGAGATTATCATGACTCCCACTAGTCAACAACACCTTGCTCGACATGACAACGATAACGATGACGACGATCATGATTCTATATCCTGTTCCTCTCCACCATCACCGCAACCATTATCATCCTCTTCTTCTTCATCATCAACATCATCGTCCTCTCATGCGATCCAACTACGACGAATATCAGGTGGCGGCCGCCGAGTCTTTGTCAACCTTCCTTTACCGAAATACGACCTTGATGCACATGGCAACCCAAAACAACTCTTTGTCTCCAACAAAGTACGCACTTCCAAATACACCACCCTTTCTTTTATACCCAAGAACCTCTTTGAACAATTCCGTCGCGCTGCCAACATGTACTTTCTCGGCATGGCCATTCTACAATTGGTCCCTTACTTTGGTGTCGATTCACCCGCATTGACACTGCTTCCCATTTGTATTGTCGTGTTCATTACCGCCATCAAAGACGGCTTCGAGGATTATCAACGACACAAGGTGGATGCGCGTTACAACGGCAGTATCACATATACCCTGATTGGATACAACAATGTCAACTACCCACAGCACGCAGTATTACCATGGTGGAAACGACTTGGAAAACAACAACAACAACAAAAAGCGCCATCACAATCATCATCCATAGATACAACACTGCAACAACAACAACAACAACTTCAACGAGGTGTTTTTGGAAGATCTTTATCGATGGACGTGCGCGTTGGTGATTTTATCCTATTGAGAAACGGTCAAAGCTGTCCTGCAGATGCGGTGTTACTTGCCAGCTCCGATCCGGCTGGTATCTGCTTTGTGGAAACCAAGGATTTGGATGGAGAGACAAATCTAAAACCTCGGCATGGCATTCCAGATCTTTGTCATATCCAATCCGGTCAAGAGTGCTTGGAAAATGTCGCTTGTTATGTCGAGGCAGGAAGACCAACACCCGATCTATACAACTTTGAAGGCACCCTCGTCCTCTTTGATAAGCAAAATGGTACCATTCAAGAAAGGAAAAAGGTACCTCTTGGGATCGACAATGTCATTTTACGGGGTCACGTTGTAAGGAACACCCATTGGGCTATTGCCGTCGTCCTCTTCACTGGCACAGAATCAAAGATCATTCAAAATTCAGGCGCAACACCAAGTAAACGGAGCCGCATTGAAAAGCAAATGAATCAAGAGGTAAAAATGTTGCTGTTGTTGTACCTTGTTTGTGTCTCAGCTACTAATGATGGGTCATTGTAGGTCATCATTGCCTTCATTGTATTGTTTCTTTTATGTTTGGTGTGTGCCATCTTGGCTGGTGTGATGAAAGCACAAGACGATGCGGATGCTGGCACTGACATGTATTCGAGACAATATTCTTCGCCCGCTTTTTACGGCTTCACCAACTTTTGGTATGACATCAGGGGAGGAGGATTTAAACGCCACATGAGCTAATATGAGCCAATTCACAACATAGGTCGAGTTTGATCATCTTCAACAATATTATCCCCATTTCGCTTTATGTCTCGATTGAATTTGTTAAAACGTTCCAGGCAAGTAGTGAGGGGAGGACAAAGAGAGGAATAGGATAATAATAGCGATGGCAATGATCTACGTTTACAGGCTTACTTTATATGGAGCGATCTCGACATGTATGACGAACCAACAGACACCGCCTGTATACCCAAGTCGGTAAGCTGAGCACAACAACAATGACTCGATGCCCAAAACAATCATGTTCGCTTACACACAGACGCATGTGATGAATCGTAGTGGAATCTTTCGGATGAGTTGGGTCAAGTGGAGTACCTGTTTTCCGATAAGACGGGTACATTGACACGCAATATCATGGAATTTCGGGAATGCAGCATTGGTGGCAAACGTTATGGAAACAATGGATTTTCTCCCGAGTCGGAAGGAGCTCGTGGTGCCCGATTGCGTAAAGAGAAACAAGAGCTACAGCAACAGCAACAACAACGACAATCAGCAACAACCGAAGAAGCTGGATTATTAGCAGGCAACTTGGAAGAACAACGTCATTCATCATCGCTTGCGCCTTCCTCCAACAATGCACCTATCACTTCTTCTACGGCTGGTTTGAAACAAGATGAAACGACCTCTTTTCAACAACGACGTAATGCTATTTTTGAGGATTATAAGCGTGCAATATACTCGGTGTTTTCTCCACGTTACAGCAGCCTCGATCCAGAACGAATACCCTTTGCTGACCCACGTATCTTTTGGGACCTGCAATCATCCACTACAAGCCCCACACAAAGAAGCGCCACGTCGGAGCTAACAGCCACAACACAGCTGCAGCAAGATTACATCCATGAATTTTTAATGCTGCTTGCCTTGTGTCACACGGTGGTGGTGGATAAGATTGATAAGGATGGTAAAGTGATTCCTGAAGAAGATGAGGATGAAGGGATTGAAAAAGGAGATGATGACGAGGATGATGACAAGGACGAGAATGATGATGATGGCGAGCGACCTACTGCTGCTGCTGTTACTGGCAATCGAAGTGAGCCTGCCATGACGGAGGAAATGGTGAATCCATCATCCACCAAGCATGAAAAAGGAGCATTAAGGAACGCTATGCGTGAACAGCGACGTCGATTCAAAAAGGGATTGAAAGCCAAAAGCAGGAAATTGAGACGCAAATCCAGCACCAAAAGCAACCGTGGTCAAGAATTTGATGCTATTATCAATGTGAGCCGACCAGAGATTGTGGATCCTACTGTGGAGACTCAACTTGTGTACAAAGCGGAATCACCGGATGAAGCGGCCCTTGTGAGTGCAGCACGCGATATGGGCTTTTCCTTTTTATCTCGCCAAGGCAAACGATTACGTGTGGATATTCTTGGCACTGAGTATGAGTTTCAGCTTCTCAATGTTCTTGAGTTTAATTCCACTCGTAAACGTATGAGCGTCATTGTGCGACGACCTGCCCCTTGGAATGATATTGTATTATACTGCAAAGGTGCCGACAATGTTATCCTTGAACGACTACAAGATCAACCCCTCAAAGATGAATTGCTACAACAAACCAAGCAAGATGTGGATGCATTCTCCAATGATGGTTTACGTACATTGGTGCTTGGATACAAGATATTTACAAAAGAGGAGTACGAGAAATGGAATGCACAATTGGAAGAAGCAAGTACGGCAGCTGAAAATCGTACTGAAAAAGTGGATCGGGTACAAGATGAAATGGAACGGGATCTCATGTTGTTGGGAGCCACTGGTATCGAGGACAAGTTGCAAGAAGGCGTACCCCAATGCATTGAAGATCTACGACGTGCAGGAATCAAAGTATGGGTGTTGACGGGTGACAAATTGGAGACGGCTATCAACATTGGCTATGCCAGCAGTCTTCTCGACAACAATATGAACTTGTGGACATTACGAGGAAACAGCAACGGTGATGCTGAAGCAGTGGAGCATGACTTGGATGATATAGCACGGCAAATTTCGGCAGCTACAGCCAAAGGCGATCTCACTGAGAACGCACTCATCATTGAAGGATCAGCATTGACGTTGCTTTTCAAGGCCGACAATCTCAGACAAAAGCTACTGGATGTATCATTGCTATGTAAGAGTGTGCTTTGTTGTCGAGTAAGTCCATTGCAAAAAGCACTGGTGGTCGATATGGTGCGTGAAGGCAAAGGCGCTGTGACATTGGCCGTGGGTGATGGTGCCAATGATGTTAGCATGATTCAAGCTGCCAACATTGGTGTGGGCATTGCTGGTCAAGAAGGTGTGCAAGCATCCATGGCATCAGATTATGCAATTGCTCAATTCCGATTCTTACACAAATTGATCCTTGTCCAAGGCCATTGGAATTACCATCGCATTGCTGAAATGATCCTCAATTTCTTTTACAAAAACATCCTCTGGGTGTTTCCATCATTGTGGTATCAGATTTATAGTCGTTTCTCAGGCAACATTTTCTACGACTATTCATTCTTACAATTGTACAACGTCATCTTTACGGTGGCACCTGTGGTCGTTTTAGGTATGTATGATTAAATGTTGGATGTGGATATCGGTATTGACAACAACCTAATAGGTGCATCGGATCAGGATGTGACATCGGCATACTTGAAGCGATATCCACAAGTCTACGAGGTGGGCATTGATCATCGATTATATACCCGTTGGAGATACTGGCTCTACTTTGGAGATGCTGTATGGCAATCACTTGTGCTGTTTTACGCCTTCTTTTTCGTCTATGAGGGCTCTGATCCAAATCCCAATGGTCATCCCGAGTCGATGCTTGAATTCTCCTCATCAGTGGGCGTGGCAGCTATTGTGGTGGCAAACTTGATGCCAGGCTTCAACACCTATTACTGGACATGGTTTCAATTCTTTTTCATTGGTCTTGAGCTACTTGTCACCTTTTTATTTGTTCTTATCTATGGACTCTTCCAATCGGTTACCATCTATGGAATGGGAACCATGCTTTATGGTGGTGGCAACTTTTGGTTGATTCTCTTGCTCTCGGTGGTCTTGTCGTTCCTGCCAAGGTACGTGATTTGCTTTGTCAAACAATGGTGGTTCCCCGACGTGATGGCGACTGCACGACATGTGGAGAAATATGACAAGTTGCAATTGCGGAAGGCGAGGAGGAAGGATGCTGCTGTCAATGAAAAGTGGACCTGGCATCATCGATCATGGTTTGGCAAACAACGACGCTCCTGATATACTACACATGCATTTTAAATATACACACATCACGCACATCTCCACCAAATAGGCTACCCATCCACCCCTTTTTATATCTACATTGTAAGATCTTTCCACTGTAATTTTATGTATTGTTCTGTATCAACTTTCTACTACTATTTGCAAATGGCGACGATGGTTTCTACCCACCACATGCCGCACCATCATTACAACAGCAGCTTCTACGTTAATCAGTGATATGGTTACATAGCATCTTTTTTTGTATTGGTTGATGAGGAAAGGGCCTAAATCGCTCCAATTCCATGTATAAAATCTTGTTCCTGAAAATCATTGACGTTCGTTTGACATCTTGGAAAATCCCGACGAGGAGACGTCTCCCATTCGTTTGCACTACTACGCTCACAAATACAGCTCATGGCTATGAGTCTGCTACGTGTCCTTGATAAGGCAAGCCAAAAACATTCCTTGTGTCGGTGTGTGGGGTGGAGAGAAAGACAAAGAGCTGGATAGAGCTGAAAGCTTTCAAAAAAGGGAAACAACAATACTAACCCGGTGCCCGGATCCAGGCACAATGGCTAGTGATCTCAATGTCCATGGTGGCTGTCATTGTGTTTGGATCGTTCCATCTCATTTACTTTTTCACTGGTTCAATCCTATGTGCCATAACCGCCAAGATACTCAAACACCTTATCCGACAACCTCGACCCCGTGTATCCTCTCAACATGAGGCTATCAGCAGTAGCAAGACATCCTATGGAATGCCATCCTCTCACTCCCAAGTCATGGCCTTTTTTGCCACCTACTGTCACTGTGCAGTGCGTTACGTTACACCACTCACCATTGCACTCGCTAGTATTTTATACATTTTCACTGCCATGGTACTATGGTCGCGTGTGCGTTTAGGGCATCATACTTTGGCACAGGTATCCGTGGGTACGCTTGTTGGTGCATCCATGGCAACCATGTGGCATCAGCTATGGCAACAACACATCATGTCCATGCTCATCACCCCCTAATCCTATATATCCAATTCCAACCCAATAAATCCAACACAGATGATAATGGAGCCAAGCAAAAAGGGAATGATGATTAGAATACAGAGAACAAATGATGGTGTGTGAGTGGGTGTGTGTGATTTTGAATACATGTACGATAGTGATGGGAGTTGTTGTGAGTTGTGTCGATGGGGAGAAAAGGTTGCAGAGTAGGATAAATATATAATCTAAATGGAGATGGTCTTGAAGATGTTGAAACCAGTATTGGCTGTGCTGAGAACGCAACCGGGAATCTGCTTATGCCAGTGAATCTCCTTGATCTCACTCTGGCCTTGATGCACGAACAAAAGTTGTGGGGGCACTTGGACACCCTCACTTGTGAATCGACCTTCTTCTTCAGCATCTGGTTCCACCGACAAGTCCCACAAAGTAACCTGATCATCTGCACCAGAGACACCAAGCACAGATTCTTCCGTTGGATGCCATTCGATGGATGTGATAGGAGCATTGTGCCATTTGAAGGTGGCCACAGGTGTAGGTGCATTGCTCTTGAATTGTCGAAGATCCCAAACGCTAAAGACACCATCATCATGACCACTAGCAAGCAAATAGCTAGCCTTGTGATTCCAAGTAATGACATTGATATCGGAATTGCTTGCCTTGACACTGACAGCTGATCGATTCTTGTTGCGAGTATCCCAAATCTTTACAGTGTAATCAGCCGAGCATGAAGCAAAAACGTTACGCTCTGAAGGAGACCACTGCAAATCTTCAACCGAGGATTTGTGTCCACGGAAGGGTGCTGAATCGGTGGATGCACCAGAAGGTGTGATGGTGGTGTTATAAATGAGACCTGCATTGTCACCTGACAACAATCGACCTGCATCAAGACTTGACCAATCAAGAGCGTAACCTTCATAACGACCATGGTTGTTGATAGTAGCAAATGGCTTGTTGGATTTGGGAAGAGCTGTACCAGGCACATCCAAACTCTTCATATAAGGTGACAAATCAAACACATGGACTTTGCCGGTCTCAGCCCAAGTAGCTGCAATGTGTCGTTGATCTTGTTGAGGCATCACACGCAAACGATTCACACAACCATTGTGTGGGATAGAACGGTATTCGAGTACAGGGTCTTCATCCAAAGCATCTGGATCATCGTCCTCATCTTCGGAATCATCTTGTTGTGTCTTGTGTAATTGTGACATTTTCATAACCAACACCTCATTGTCACGAGCACCAGGAATCGATGTACCAGCTGCTACATAGGCAGTTGCAGGGAACTAAATCGATCATCCATCATTAGATGCATGCATACATACACACACATCATGTATACTTACATTCTTTCGCTCATCACCAAGGTTATCTTGAAGAACGTCAAAGCTGAGGAAAGGAGCACGTACATCGAGATTGTGCAACATGACATAAACCGATTGATCAGCTTCAAGCGTTTCACCCTCTTCTAAAGGTTGGCCAGGAAGGTATGTACGCAATTCGGGTTCTTCTTGTTCCTCTTGTTGCTCATCATCATCCTCTTGATCCATTTCCTCATCCACTTCCATACCTAATGGCCTCTATCAATATGTATATCCTTGTACATGAATAGGGTGCTGACACATACCATCGCCGTCTTGGTTCTCTTCACCAGACTCATAGTCGTCTTCCCAAGCGTCTTCAAAGTCACCCATATTGTCATTGACTTGATCAGTGCGCATGCGAGAGGCTCCATTGCCTAAATCAGGAGCCTTGGCGTCGTGCTCCATTTCATCGTGGCGATCGGCAGCGCGCTTGGACATTGTTGCAAGAATAGAGTAGTGGAACCCAAGATTTTTTTTCTTCAAGCGACCTTTCGATCCCTTTGTCCAAAAAATGTGACTCAGTTTTCGGAACAAAGGTTTGAGACCACCACACCACCACCACCACCTGGCGCTGGCTGAATATGGTAGTAGTCCAAGCTCCACTCAACCATCAGCAATAGCGTATTGCTCTCTGTACTATTTCACTTGCAATAAAAAAAAGTGCCTTGGAATACGCTTTATAATCAAAGAATCCCTCATTCTTCATTCGTAAAGGGCTTATGATATACATTCTCTAGCAAAATGTAACGTTAGCGAGAGGTGTAAGACTTTTTAAAGTTGCATGAATTACAATAAAAGACATCTATCTTGCTCCCATGAATCACGAGGTAAAAATGTAGACCATCAAATAGTGGCATGTTTCCACACCCTGGTCTTTAGGCATTCATTAGTATTATGCTTTCTTGTTGTTAACCGCAAACACTGCATATGGTGTAGTCATCCTACCATAAGCTTACACGTAGTACGTTTACGCGACCACATTACAATCTCGTAGTATTCATCTTTTTAGAAGAACATGAAGCCCTTTGCAATCCATACCGTGTGTTTACAATACGAAACTACCTCTGTAATAAGCTGCTGCCCTGAAGCAATACTCAAGGCAGCGAGCAAATGAGCTCAGCATCAGTGTACCTTATTCAATGTCCCATCCTTCCATCATTGTCTTTCCTACCTTTATACCCTCCCATTCAAATTTTTATAATGAAGTATAGGTTCTTTTATAATACAAAGTTGATTAGCATCCCCGAGAGCATCTTGTGTGAAAGTTTCAAGTTCGAGAGGGGAAATCTCAATATCAAGGTTGGATGTACAGTGTTCATGCATTTATAAAAGAGGTGTCCGACTATTTAGTTTCCGCCTTTTCCACTACCAGCATCTTCCCTCTTGCTCCCATTCTCGATTGTTGCCCCATTCCACTACAACTATCATCTGCGAACGATTGTCCTGTTTCAACCCATCATGTCAAGCCTACGATTGCCTTGATCCGAAAGTCTTTCACTGAATGGCAAGTCCATGGCGTGTACACAGCCTTCTTGTCACTCTTCTACAACACACGCGACTCTTGACACTGCCCTTATCTTACATATCCCTCTACCAACGACCAAGCGTAACGGCATTCATTCCAGCAGTTGTCATTAGCAAAGTCTTTACACCATTGTCTCAAACAACGTTCAAAACTTGCCACTCTACTACTACAACACACGCTCTCTTGCACACTCCTCTGCCACGACCAAACGTAGCAACAGCTGCCATTAGCGAGGCCTTTCCTCCATTATCTCAACAGCATTCTCTACTTGTTGCAACTTGTCTTACAGTCTTCTTTGCGTGGGGAGCAGATAGCTGTTGTATAGAAGTGTACGTGCAGCAACTTGTTTTGATACATACGCATACCAATGGATGATACCATATCAACTACCAACAACGCTGCAATACAAGCAATCTTCGCCTGATGGAACAGCATGGAAAATGATCAAGAAAGTGATAGACCAGTAGCCGAATGGAAAAGGAAGTGCATAAGCAAGCGATCACAGGGGTTTTTTCTATCAACATGTTGAACTTGCAACGGCTATCGATGGATGCAATCAAGCACAGTGATGGGTGATCATGAAATGTCCTTCTGCTTACGTGACACGTCGTCATCAGGAAAAAGGGATTACTTCACATGGATACTGCTGAGGATCATGATGAATTGGATGGCATGTATAAGAGGGATTGTATCTTTGACAAGAGATGGTTTGCCTCCCTGGAGGGTATTGGAAGGTTGAAGACAAGGCACGCACAGCAAGTAGTTTGCAATCATGGATGGAGATACTTATGACGGCAGTAACCAAGAATACAATGACACAATGATATCCGCTGATTCGATGTGGTCCACTGGTTGGCTTCTGGAATGAAAGGCAGGATAGAAATTTGAAGTCTGGAAGGCGAGATTGGATTACCCGCATTATTGTATCGAGACGCTTTTGTTCCTTTTGTCATATTACATTCATTAAAGCTTCCTTGTTCATATGTCGATATACGATAGGCAGTGGCAATAACGGATTGTATACATGTTTATATAGACGCTTGTACTTTCGAAGATAATAAACCCATAATCATGGTACTCAATAATAGTGCTTGTTACAGAAGGTGGTCATTGTAAGCTTGAATCATTACATCTAAGAAAGAGTGAGCTCTGGTACTGTACAATGTGGCACGAGTACATGCATATGCTTACCTATGACAACTATCAGCATGTGCTACCTTGTATGTATAGCCTTATATGAGAACGAACCCTGGAGACAAACAATACCATTACCGCTCATAGTCTTGGATGCTCTGATCACTTTGGCTTGTTACCATACCATGGTTCATCCGAAAAAATTCCCAAGAGGTCTACCGTAGGCGGACCTTACTATAGGGGAAAGTGTCAATCATGCACTCTCCACCAATAAGAATTCTTCAAGCTCTGCCCCTCTCAGTTTTATTAGCCAAGCGAGTCCCTCTGTGTCTTTGGCCTATCAGGGTCAAGCTACTTGACAATGAACAAAGACCAATTCTCATATAGCATCACGCTTACAGCATATGTAAAACATGAAGACGTCCATATCTCAAAACTTTACAATCAAACACAGGGTTTTTAATGGAGCAATGGGTTCGGCTTGGCCAACTGCACCTTGTGTGAAAGTTTCGCGTTCAATGTCGCAATTAGCCCAAAAAATATTTTTTGGTCGTCGTCGTCGAAGAGGTTGACCCCGAGATCCAGTTTGGCTGGTGGCGACATTGCGAAATCTGGGATTGGCAAGCTTGATCGTGGAACTTGCACCCAAGGTGCAGTTGGCCAAGCCGAGCACATTGCTCTAATAAAAACCCCGCGTTTCATTGTAAAGTTCGGAGATACAGGCACCTTTATGTTTGTAAGCGTGATGCTATATGAAGAGTGGTCTTTGTTCATTGCCAAGTAGCTGGACCCTGGCAGAGTAAAAGATGCAGAGGGACCTCTTTGGGTAACTCGGCTAAAAAGTCAGGACTTCAGGGACAATGCATGAAAGGTACGCAACCTCACTTTTAGCTCATACATCGGCAGCTAATAGCCACTTTTGTGCATTCCCAACTTTTGTGCATTGTATTGTAGGTGGACGATTCTCCTGCTCCAGACATTCATTTCCATGATTAAAGTAGGTTGATCCGAGCTGATTTGGTTGAGTTACGCTCACACACGATTACATCGGTTGAGCTACATCGAGCGTGCTCTATGTCCAGAGTGATGTAATCTCTCTTTGACCGTAGCTCAGTCAAATCAGCTCGGATCAACCTACTTTAATCATGGGAATGAATGTCTAGAGCAGGGGCATCGTTCCCATGCAGTGGATCTCGCAACAATGATGACTGGATAAAAGTGGCCGTTAGCTAGCAATACATGCCTGTTCCTAGATGATCCATAAAGTAATTATACATTGACCCTTTCATTTATGCAAACGTAGCTGTGTTACACAGCACGACCCTCTGCATCTTTTGCTCTGCCAGGGTCCAGCTACTTGACAATGAACAAAGACCACTCTTCATATAGCATCATGCTTACAAACATAAAGACACCTGTATCTCCAAACTTTACAATGAAACGTGCGGTTTTTAATAGAGCAATGGGCTCGGCTTGGCCAACAGCACCTTGTGTGAAAGTTTCGCGTTCAATGTCGCAAACAGCCCAAAAAATATTTTTTGGTCGTCGTCGTCGAAGAGGTCGACCTCCAGATCCAGTTTGGCTGGTAGCGACATTGCAAAATCTGGGATTGACAAGCTTGATCGTGAAACTGGCACGCAAGGTGCAGTTGACCAAGCCGAGCACATTGCTCTATTAAAAACTTCACGTTTCATTGTAAAGTTTGGAGATACAGGCACCTTTATGTTTGTAAGCGTGATGCTATATGAGAAGTGGTCTTTGTTCATTGTCAAGTAGCTAGACCCTGGAGAGCCAAAGATGCAGAAGGACCTCTTTGTGTAACTCAGCTACTTTGCATGACTGGAAGGATGGAAGGATGATACTGTATACTGTTGACAAAAGCCCGTACATTGCGAGCTAACAGCCATTTCTTCACAATAGCCACTGTTGTCCACTCTATGACATGTGAGCGATTCTCCTGCTTCAGACATTCATTTCCATGATTGGATTATGTTGATCCGAGTTGATTTGACCGAGATACAGCCAAAGAGGGATTACATCAATCCACACATCTAACCATGCTCTATGTTGCTCAACTGAAGTAACCTTGTATGAGCGTAGCTCAGCCAAATCAACTCGGATCAACATAATCCAATCATGGAAATGAATGTCTGAAGCAGGAGAATCGCTCACATGTCATAGAGTGGACAACAGTGGCTATTGTGAAGAAATGGCTGTTAGCTCGCAATGTACGGGCTTTTGTCAACAGTATACAGTATCATCCTTCCATCCTTCCAGTCATGCAAAGTAGCTGAGTTACACAAAGAGGTCCCTCTGCATCTTTTACTCTGCCAGGATCCAGCGACTTGACATTGAACGAAGACCACTTCCCATATAGCATCACGCTTACAAACACAAAGGTGCCTGTATCTCCAAACTTTACAATGAAACATGGGGTTTTGAATAGAGCAATGTGCTCGGCTTGGCCAACTGCACCTTGTGTGAAAGTTTCACGATCAAGCTTGTCAATCCCAGATTTCGCAATGTCGCTACCAGCCAAACTGGATCTGGGGGTCGACCTCTTCGACGACGACGACCAAAAAATATTTTTTGGGCTGTTTGCGACATTGAACGCGAAACTTTCACACAAGATGCTGTTGGCCAAGCCGAGCACATTGCTCTATTAAAAACCGCACGTTTCATTGTAAAGTTTGGAGATACAGGCACCTTTATCTTTGTAAGCGTGATGCTATATGAGAAGTGGTCTTTGTTCATTGTCAAGTAGGTGGACCCTGGCAGAGCAAAAGATGCAGAAGGACCCCTTTGTGTAACTCAGCTACTTTGCATGACTGGAAGGATGGAAGGATGATGCTGTATACTATTGACAACAGCCCATACATTGCGAGCTAACAGCCCTTTCCTCCCAATCATCTTTGTTGCCTAATTCAATGCATGTGAACGATTGTCCTGCTCCAGCCCAGCATGCTCATCATTCAACTTTCTTGATACGAGAGGATTTGACTGAAAAACGCTCATGCACAGAAGTATCATCCTTTTCACAAAATCATTTTGCAAAAGTAATTTGCAAACTGCCACTTGATAGCCCGTTCTTCCCATTCACCCTTTTCACCCAACCCAATGCATGTGAACGATTGTCCTGCTCCAGCCCATCGTTGTCATCATTCAAGTTTCTTGATCCGAGTGGATTTGACTGAAAAACGCTCAAACACAGAAGTATCATCCAATACGAGAAAAATCATTTTGCAAAGTTATATGTAAACTGCCAGTTAGCAGCCCTTTCCTCCCATTCCCCATTGTTGCCCAATCCAATGCATACGAACGATTGCCCTGCTTCAGCTCAACACTTCCACCCTTCAACTTTCTTGATACGAGAGGATTTGGATGAGAACGCTCAAACAAAGAAATGTCATCCAACACCAAAGAAATCTACTTGAACTCCACCTCTTCCCCTCCCACTTCATCTTCTCTTCCTCCCATTCTCAATTGTTGACCCATTCAAGCACAACTACCACCTGTGAACGATTGTCCTGCTTCAATCATCATGTCAATCCCGCAGCTGTCTTGATCCGATTGTCTTGGCTGAATGGCAAGTCCATGCCGTGTACACAGCCTTGTCATTCTACTACAGCACGCCTTCCTTGATACTACACGCTGTGTTGCACATTCCTCTACCACAACCAAACGTAATAGTATTCGATCCAGCAGCTGCTGTTAGCGATGTCTTTACTGCATTGTCTCGAACAGCGTTCTTTACTTGTAGCAACAGGCCTTGCAGCCTTTTTCAACGTGAACAGCAGATAGACATTATATAGAAGCAGCTTTATTTACGCGTAGCAACTTGTTTGAATACATATGACTTCTTATGGATATGGATCTTGGTTTGTTATTTGGGATGGAAGGGATTGGATATATACAATGCGTGGAAAAAGGGGGGTATCCATTGTCAACTTGCTCGTTGTGCTTGATGCATCCAATTACCGCACTTTACACGCTATTCCATGGCAACTAGTATTCATCAACCCTTGTGCAACCTGTCAAACATGTACATCCATCATCATCCACTCCATGCTTTGACACGCCATACATCAAATGCGATCTCACATCCATCCAGCTACCTTTGCATAATACGCACCCAAAGGATGGAAACCTCCTGAGTGGACCTCATCGTGTGTTGGTACTTGATGCATTGTTGTACTATAGAATGATTTATGGTATGGGCAATTTGGATTATCCACTTGTAAATGCTGTGATAAAGGAAATAAAGAGGATCTGGTTGAATCATTGTCTCATGAACAAAGGCTGTATGCGATAGTATAACTCACCTCCACTTTTATGTGGTTGTACCTTGCCAATAACGTCGTAACGTACGTGGTTTAGATCTTGTGACAAAGGTAGTTAAGATATAGCAGGATGTGGCACACCAGCCTCACGCAACATATCAATTCAACGATGTTGAGCTACGTCTATAACAAAACCATGGATCCACATTCATAGAAAAATTTCATTGGCTGTTAAGGATACACGTGACCAATAATTCGCTACTTCAAATGTGCCAGGCGTTCGGAAAATCCAATAAAGGAGGAGGCGGGCTGAGGATCCTTGTGTTCTTCCTCTGCTTTTGATTGTCGACTTATCGAAAAGTATGTAATCCAAGCCATCCATCCATCATCCATCCATCCATGTACTAATTCATCCATCCATTCTTTCATCATTAGTGAGAGGCAAATGGAGAAAGAAAAGACAAAGACGTCTCAAGGCTAAGAGAAAAAAGATGAGAGCTAGATCCAAATAAGCGCATCATCATCTCTCTCTACACGTTGACTATGGTCGTTGACTGTTCAAGGCTTTCCATTCATGGTTGTGGTGCAAAAGACTTTCCTTCGGTCATTATGAATAATGTCTTCCCCTCTATGTTTCCTATCATGACCCCAACGTGAATAAATCAAAACGTTCGCACAATCATTTTCATTGTCCCTTATAAGGAGCAGAATTTCTTATATCTATTGTATAATAATACTGATGCGAGTGGATAACATGGATAGGAATGTGTATGTTGTGAGTGGGCTCTTTATGTGAGTTTATGTGGAAAGGAAAATGCTCATTGAATAGTAGGGTGTCATTGTGTGTGTGTATATCAGGGAGGTGGTGGTGGTAGTGGTTAGTGGTGAATAAAAGAAAAAAAAGTGGCACAAAAGGGGGAAATGGGTGGGATTGCTAACAAAGGGATGGGGTTTGATGGTGTGTGTGTGTGTTTGACGGGGTGAAAAGAACAAAGGAAAAGAAAGGAAAAAGCAAAGAAAAAAATACACGTATGATTACAAGAGAAGGAAGGGCTACTGATATGATGCAAGACGTGCAAGTTGGATGCTGCGTATTTACTGAGTTGCCCGTCTGATCATCTAGACGCAAATAATGATGCGTTAGCACATGTTGACCACATATCACTGTACATCAACCATTACTCACCTCTTTAGCCCACCGAGCAGTTTCCTTTGTGGTAGTGCCATAGTGGCGGCTTGTCCTGGCTTCACGAAGCAAATGAGGTACCCAGTCGACTTGGAAAAATTGTTTGAGTTGACCACCGAACGCATCAGCCAAGTCACTATAAAGAAAATCAGAAAAATGAATCATATCGATCTACACATGTAATACATACCCAAGTAAACCAATCACTGCCCGGGTCAAGGAATCCGAACGATGAGGATCCAAAGCAATAGCTTGCAGGAATTGGAAAATGTTTGGCATGTATTGCAACAAGAGGGGAACTATAGATCAATGTTAGTATAAAAGAAGAGCCCTGGTGAGATCCTTCATATCACTTACTCTTTGGTGAGCCGTTAAATCCTTGAACAATACCAACGTATGCTTCGACATTGCCTTCGTGAAGAGTGTTGACATAATCGATCATCTCATAGTTATCCTTTTCAGCACGCATGTTGCCAGCCTGCTGCAACACCATCATGACCACCTCCAAGTAGGGCTCAAACTTGTCACCAATAGCCAATGCGACATCACCAAAGGATGAGAGGATATTGGGCTTGACAGTGCGGTGAAGAATGGGGCTTTGCAAGTTTTGGACAAGGAGTTGCATAAAAGTGGTGCAATAAGGTACAACGTTTTCACCCAAGGCACGACACAAGTCACCAATGAGACCAACTGAAATCGAGCAAAGCTGATATTCGGCAGGGTTTTGAAGAGCAGTACATAACACAGGTACAAAGGTCTCTGCGTAACGAGCAAAATCAGCATCCAAGGCACTGGTCATGGCACCAACAGCCAAGAAGGCATCCTCAGTAGTGGTAGCTTGCTTGGATTGGTTGTTAAGGAGCTGAAGCAACAATGTCATGATACGATCGGCAATCGATACAATGTCATGCGAAAGACGACGAATACAGTTCTATGATGAAAACGTTAGTAAGCTCTAACACAATAAAGATCACATCACTTACTGTAAGCACGCCAAGCAAGCTTGATTGAAGCTCGCTATGATCAGCACGATCATCAGCACCCACAATTTGGTTCTAAATGCATACATGTCCATTAATACCATCTTCAAAGACACATACCAAACCCCCTTTTCGATACCTACCTCCATGGCAATTGATGCATCCAAGCGCTCAAGAATCGTCAACACAATCTTTTGGACCATTGGGATACAATCCTATTTGACAAGACCATTAGTAAAACTGGATGACTGAAAACCACAAAGATGAATACTAACGTTGGCTGAGAACATGACAAGCGAAGAGATGGCTTCGTAAGCTGAGGTTCTGCAGTTGGCTTCATTATCGGCACGTTCAGTGAATTGCAAAAGGGCTGTGACGATGCCTTCAAAGTACATTGAAAGGGTTGATGAAGGCATTTCTTCACCAAGCATAGGGCCAAGTTGTTCAGCCAAGTTCATAAGCGACCAGCAGCAATTGCCGACAATGCGAGGGTTATCTTGAAGACCAAGGACGAGAGCGGAAATCATATCACGAAGATGGATCTCAGGCTTGATACAGTTGATGAGAAGTTCACATACGCGGCCAAGGGTCCAAGCAACGGTATCTTTGACATTGACAACAGGATCAGTCATCATGTTGATAAGAGTGGGAAGAGCTTGATCAACAAGAGGGCGGAGCACCGAGTCATCAGGACCATCCATAATCGAACCAAATGCCATGACAGCGGCTTCACGGTAACGCCAATCAGTGTTTTGGATGTTGCTTTCAACAAATGGAACGGTAGGGGAGATGATGGCGTTGCGTACACATTGAGCAAACAAAGATAAACAAGTAGCAGCAGCCATGGATACGTTCCATTCATCCTCATCTTCGTCTTCTTCTTGCTTGGTAAGAAGCCATAAAAGCACTGGCAAGATATCACCCAATGCAAGATCGGCAAAGTTGTAGAGTGGATGTTCAGGATTCTCACCAGCTTCAGCAGCCTATATACATATATACCCAATAAGAATAAATACATGTTTCTTACACGTGCCACACATTTTGTAATTACCTCGAAAGCCTCTTCTTTGCGTTCAACTTCTTCATCGCAAACCGTAGACCAGAATTCAATAGCTTGCAGAGCCACCTTTTCATCGGGATGGTTCATACCAGCAATCGTAAGCTGTGGAGTACAGGTATGTATGTTAGTGTGCTTCTTTCATCTTGAGCCATTATCACACTTACTCCAAACAAGGCCTTCTCCATATACAATTGCATCTTGTCATAGTAGAGTTGCATGATACGAACAAGACATTCGAAAGCTGCGACTTGGACCTCTGGTGAATCGCTTTGGGTAGCTTCACAAACCACTTGCATAATGAAGTTACGTTCACCCTAAGGAAAGAATCACGTGTGAGCCCTGTTGAATGACGTGAATAGGATAAAAACTTACCTCTCGTTCAAAGTTATCCTTAACGAATTCCAAGGAGTTGTTCAATGCATGGAGGGCTGCAAGTCGGACTTCAGCACTAGATACATTGATCGATCAATCAATCATCCTCATTTTCAAATACAAGCATGACAAAAAACACTTACTCTTGCTCTTCCTTTCGGGCTCCTTGAACAACAGCGGTCAAAATCTCATTAGATTGGCTTTGAAGAACAACAGGATCCTAATACGACCAATATATCAACATGACTGTGTTCTCATGATTTCTCTCTTTCTCGAATGGCACTTACCGTTGCTTCACACACATAACCGATAGCTTGCAATGTTGTAACTTTGAGAGTTGCATTATCCGAGCCAGTCACATTTTGAAGCACCACTTGGATAAGATCAGGCCACTGACCAAGAGGCAATTCGATTTCTGCAATGGCGGCAACAACCTATTCGATGGGGTATGAGTATAATACAAATAGCACCTATGTACACATCCGATACTAACCTGACCCGCACTATTACCAACTCGCTTGCTAGGTGATGCCAATGTCATGAGAGCCTATGCAACCACGATAAATATTCCGCAGCAGCATTGTATTGATATGAATCCACTTACTCCCTGCTTGACTTGGGATCTAGTATTCTCATCCACTGACAACCAACGTTGAGCCTGTTGTTCCTTGCGTGCATATTCCTATACATGATAAGCATGTCAATCTCCCTTTCCAATCACATGTATATATATACTCGCATCCTTACCTTGGCAGAGAGGCTGTTTTTGATGGCGAGACCAGCAGCAATACGAATCGTCTCCTCAGCTTGTTGGCTTGCTAATTGTTCCATCAACTGACAAACATAGCTGGCCTATACAATGAAAAAAAAGCTACCATGTCAACAAGTCCTTTCTCTCTCTCTCTCTCTTTTCCTTGTTTCTCGAATCCATTTGTTGATATAATGACTCACGTAGTTTTCCTGCGCCACCATCTCTAGCTTTTGGGTAGCATCTTCACGAAGAGCGCGATCTAAAAACCCATCAACATTAGAAGACACAAGAAACGATCGAGACCGGTATTCCCCTCTTCATGACGAGTGAACTTACCAGGAGACAAAGAGTGAGCGAGAAGCGTGGCAGCGTCCATGGCGAAAGAAGTCTCGAGAAACTAAAAGAAAATGGAGTGAGTGAGTTAGTGTGTATATATAGAAAAAATAAAGAACTTGTAGGGATGCATAATGTCCCCCCTTCTCGATCGCCAGTGAAATAGTCCCCATGCTTGCACACAGTGATAGTCGTGGCTTGAACGGGAGTCAAAATGCATCATTGTACCAGGATCGATTACATACGCGTTGAAAGGAGTGGTTGCCGCAGAGTAAAACCAGCGAGTGTCTTTTTGTCGCGCCCACGCCGCGATACTGTTTTTTCTTCTGCCGCTGTGATTCTCTGTCTCTCTCTCTTTCAGATGCTGAATATCCGCTCCTATACGTCATTGTCCGCCCGCCCGCCCGTGACAGCTTTTAGCCATAGAACGAGCCCATATCCCTCATTCAATCATATACCCATCACAATGATTATAGAGCTTCATTGTTTCGCTTTTATTGTTTATATAAACTTAGGACACGTTATCACTGTCCTAGTAGCTTGTTTCTTTGTTCGGCTGCGGTTGGCGCAAGACCTTACGCTTTCGTTTCTCATCCCGCTTGCAGCACATGAACCAATGAAAATACGCACAGACGCTTTTCGGTGACACCCATTCTAATCCTCTTTGTTCGATAGCTTTGACAATGAAAGTAGTACATTTTGCAAGCAGGATCATCCAATGTCATTTTTAGCATCCATCAAGATGGTATAACCTTACGCAGGCAGACAATGAAAGTGCTTCTAAATGAGGGATCTCCTCCTTGCATTAAAATCTTCTTGCAGCTATATCACCACACACATGCAAATGCCTTTCAAAAATGCTTTGGCAATAAAACAACGTTTGAGCAAATGATGCATCAGGCATCTTGTATTACATGGACATGATATACATTGGGTTTGGGGGGTGTAAGTGAGCTATTATGGTATTCTCTTTAAAGGAATCATGCGTGACATTTTAGCAAGACCTTGTCCATGTTATAGTAAGGGGGTGGATGATATCTACAATATCCAATCATCAGCATGCTGATTACTGTGGTAGATGAATGATGGCTATTGTCCACTTACCAGCACAAGGTTTTCAAGCATCTTGGGATTGTTGAGTAAGTGGTTGAGTACCGGCGTTGGAACTATCGTCAGCAGCAGTACCAGAACCAGCAGCAGCCGTTGTTGTAGGTTCTTGTTGTTGTTGAGTCGACGCCTGCTCTTCATGGCTCATGCACTTCAAGTTGAGGAAGGTCTAAAGTAGCATTATTAGATCAAATAGCATGTATAAAGGAAAATGCATACCTTGACATTCTCAAGGAGCTTGTCCACCAAGACTTTCTTTTCTTGATCCTCTGTTGTTTCTTTGAACTGGATCAAATCACGTTCAATAGCTTGACACAAGCTGCGGAAAGAGCTATGGGTAGCCTGGGTATCGTACGATACAATGGTATGGATCAAATCCCACTGATCGGATGGTGTATTGCAAAAGTAGTCGATGGTCATTTTGGGAGATTGGGTGAAAAGTAAGAGAGAGAAGATGAGAGAGCGCGCGTTCCAGAACCCTGATGTTGGATTTTTATGCGCTGCCAATCCATGTGATATGGCAAATGTCTCACATAACCCAGCATAGTGTATGTATATACATAGGATGGATAAAGCATACCACTTTTCCACCATGAGCGTGATGATGAAAGGAAGTCCATTGTCAATGTTGTCTTGCCCTTGTGCTACCACCACCCGCATTTTGGATGCACCACTCGTAGTTTTTCCATTTTCATGCACATGCTGCTCAACGTTTTCTGATGCCATGCACGTGTTCGATTACTACAACTATGAGCTTTATATAACAAGGGATAGAAGTTATCAATTGAAAATGGTCTCGGTGATGGTGTGCTGCTGTATAGCGAGCTTAAACAGCATCGATTGTTATGCTGCTGGAATGGGATGCAAATGTTGCTCAAATCACCCGATGTCTTTATGCATGCACGGTACATGTGACGTACAACTTTGCATACTTTTACGTTTCGGTCGTTTTAGCATAATGAATAGTGGATAGTGTTTAGCATTGTCGGTGGGAAGATACAAGGATGACGAGGGAAATTGCAATAGAAGAAACAACAACGACAACAAGGATCATTCGCCCCTGTATCCATTTGAGAAATGATCGGCATAGCAAAAAGATAAAGTTTGATGTTGTAGAACAAAATGGCGACAGCAAGCTGGATCGTCGTCCATCATCAATGGCATGAGATAACCCTGCTTCCCAAAAGAAGGATCACGCATATAAACATGCATCACACCCCATACATTTTTTCATCGCCATCATCAACAAGCAGCATTATGTGATCTAGTGCGGAGCAGGTAGTGGTCGTATTACGGGTACAAGAGTGGGGATATCAAGATCCAGAAGAGATTTGGTGACCAAAACAATTAATTGTAAAGGGAGGATAATAATGTCTGCACGCATGAACGGAGCCAATTTGCATATGTCAAAAAGAAGGAGATGGGGGGATAGTTTTCTTCTGTGTGGTGGTGGCAAGCCAGCCTTCTCTTCTTTTTTTTTATTTCAGTCGTTGCCCCTGATACCACCTCTCACGCACGCTTTTGTTCTTTTTTTTCTTTTCTCCTTTCTCTTTTGTCTCTCTTACACAAGCACTTATCGACGTGTACGTGTACATGCGTGTATTTGTGTGTGAGAGTGTATCTCGTTTCCACTTGTTATGCCGCCTCAAGAACCTCTCTCCTCTCATTCCCAACATCGTTCCGTCAAGAGCCGAATCGCTCGCTACTTGAGACGCACCACATTGTCGTCATTTGCTGTACTCGCCAGCCAGATTAGCACCACCAGCAACTCCCAAGTACAAGACGTATGCTCGTCAACGACGTTTGAAGTAGCATCATCATCATCATCATCATCATCCGACGATAATAAGCAGCAAGAGCAACCATGCTTATGCCGACAAGGAAGCGAGACAACCCATTCACTACGCGCACGTAGCAACACCACAGGCGGGAGTTATGCTATGCTACCGATCGATGAGGGATTCCATCAGTCTCAACAAAAGTTATTCTCCAGCACTGTCTCCAAGGAAGAGGAGGAAAAGAGTGGTGATGCATATAAATATGGTAAGAGTCATTCATTCCCCTCCTCCTGTATCCATTCTATATTATTACATCCCTCAATTCTCCCTTCCTCGAGTCTTCTTTATATCCCCTCCTCCCTCCCTTCCTTCCTTTTTCTCTCATCCAAATACCGCTCCTACAACATGAATGGCTAATGTGATGATGATGAATTAGATGTCTTGGATCGATTACCTGTCGAGCTGTCTCAATGCATTCTCCGCCACTGTGATTTTGAAACAATTCTTGTACTCAGCTTGGTGTCACGTCGATGGCATTTCCTTTGCTTGGATCGTATCTTGTGGCGTAATTTATACATTCACCATCCACGTTGGCCTTCTGCTGAGAAATATCGAAGGAAAAGGGAGCAACATGAGGACGATGATACCATTGATTATCGACAACTCTATCGAGAACGCTTTCTACTGGATCGACGGTGGGCATCAGGCGACAAAAGAATGAGTGTCATTGAAGGCCATGCTGATAGCATCTATTGTGTACAATTCGATTCCAGCAAGATTGTTACTGGTAGTCGTGATCGGTCCATCAAGTGCTGGGATCATCAAGGTCGATGTTTGCGTACAATGACAGGGCACTATGCCAGCGTGCTTTGTTTGCAATACGATGACGATATCATGGTGTCAGGTTCATCCGATCATACAATTCTGGTATGGGATATGCGTACATTTCAAGTCATTCGACGTCTTCGTGGACATGCTTCAGGTGTACTCGACGTATGCTTTGATGACAAGATTATCGCAAGTTGTTCCAAGGATGCTACTGTAAGGTTATGGTCACGTGAAGATGGTCGATTGATTCGCATTTTGCATGGTCATCGGGGTCCTGTGAATGCTATCCAATTTCGCAACAATCGCCTTGTATCTGCTTCTGGTGATGCGATCATCAAGCTTTGGGACATGAGGACTGGACAATGTTTACGCGACTTTGCAGGGCACACGCGCGGGCTCGCTTGTATCCGTTTTGACGGTCATCGAATTGTCAGTGGTAGTAACGATAATAAGATCAAGGTGTGGAATGCTGGTATGTGATTAGCACTTTATTGGGTAATAGGAATTGAATTTAACGAGGTTATTTACATAGAAACGGGCGAATGCATTTTGACTTGTTCAGGTATGTAAGAAGGCAAAGGTCATGTATATGGATCCTCATAGGGCTCACATTCAAAATGATGATGATAGGGCATACGGGACTTGTACGCGCCTTACATTTTGATCAAGACAAGATCGTGAGTGGCAGTTACGACCAAAGCATACGTGTATGGGATATTCGTACAGGAGCACAATTACATCATTTTGAGGCATGTCATTCGAGTTGGGTGTTTGATGTGATGTTTGACGAGACAAAGATCATAAGGTATGCTGTTGTAGTAGGAATCGATATGGGAAAGGAAGGAAGATGTGTGTATTCATTGTCCTACTACTACTTCTTTAGTACAAGCCAAGACCAAAAGATTGTCATTATGGATTTTGCACATGGCATGGATACCCAACATATTATTTGAATCATGATAGAAGAGTACACACATACAATTGTATATTCAACGCACTCTTTCGCAATAATATACCTTTCTTTCACTCCCGAGCATGATAGCATTTTATTCGCGGTTTCAGCGATATTAATTTGTCCACTTCTATCTCTCGAGTCAACGCACACACACGCATACACCATCACTTCAATGGCTGCAATCTACTACTTTGCCATCGTTGGCGCCACTGACAATCCTATCTATGAAACCGATATTATCCCTTCTTCACGCTCATCCTCATTGCTGGAACACAACAAGGTAAACGACACAGCTCGAACGTGACCAACACCCAATCTCAACCATTCCCGAGACACTAGCGTGATGACCATAAGCATCTCAACCAATTCATTGCACATGCAGCACTCGATGTCGTAGAAGAAGTCCAATGGGGAACGCAGGCCATGTAAGTAGAAGACGAGGTGTTACGCTTTATATGCGTGGAGACATGGTATATTGATGGATGGTTACATGGACCCAGGTACCTAAAGTCAGTCGATCGATTCAACGAGCAATATGTGTCAGCCTTTGTTACTGCAAACAGTGAGTATAAGCCAAGCAAGGATACTCGTTTACCAAAGCTAATTGTCGATTCCTTAGATGTCAAATTCATGTTATTACACGATCAAAAATCAGAGGACAGCATCAGGAACTTCTTCAACGACGTGTATGAGCTCTATATTAAGGTAAATGGCAATGAGGATGATGGTTAGCTTGGTATTGATTCCTTTTGCTTTATTAGATATTGATGAATCCCTTTTATGAAAAGAACTCGCCCATCGCTAATCCTCAATTCGACAACCGGGTCAAGATGATCGCTCGTCGATTCCTTTGATGTAGTATACCCAACAACAGCCATGATCCATCTCCTTTCTTTCCTTGCACCATATGCAAAATACACATACACATCTTGTCAATATCAACATTGGGATGGGATTGGTTGGGGGTACAGGTTTTCAATTCACCTACAGCACATTTCATTCACTTTGTAATTTGCTTTGGATATCATTATCTTGGAATTCGAGCGAGCTTAAAACGCCATCCTGGTTTTTACTTAGGTGGAAGACCATAGCACCAAATCCAACTTTACAGATGCATCATAGGGGAAAACTAGATCAAAACATAATACGCTAATGAGTATGTGATTCACAAAGCGATATTATCATCGGGTTTACCTTATTACAAGATCCAAATGTCACAATGACAACAATGACAATGGGAGTGGGATAACAATGAGACACTATTATGAATTATTGCATGCATCTGCTCCAATCTACATGTTGCAAAATCGCTATCCATGATACTTACCAAAGGGCATTTGATGGTGTATGATAGAGGAAAAGAGGTGTACAGAGCATGCTGGGCGACAACATCTTTGTTTTTATATGCATGGTGGGCGTGCGAATTTCTGTAATCACATACAGTGGTAAAACATCTGCGTGATTTGATATAGTGGGGTGTCCAGCTACTAAAAGGCGAGATGCCTTCATCAGTGATTGCTGATTCTCCAAAGGGCTTGGATGTCTATCATGCATAAATCGATTGATTGACTTAAGCGGATTAGGCACGATGACTCATCCACTACTACTCAACGGCATCAATCTTCCATCAATGCATCTTTTTTTTCAGTCGTCTATCACTTGTTGTGACCATAAAGATCAATCCCATCACACAAGAGACTCGCCTTGATCGGGCCACCAATGGTCCCCTTCAGCTCTGAGCTCGAAATTCCAGGGACAGCAGCCTTCCCAGTCGGTGAGCATTACACCAAGCCTCTCATTCGCGGAGAAGAAAAAAATTTTTGTGAGTATAAGGGCATCTTGATCTTGTAAACGACCTTTTCCTCCTTCTTTTCCCTTTGGCTTCTTTATTGTATCCACTTGGTAAGCATCAACATCTCAACACATGCGTGTACTTGTCTTGTTTTTGGCTTGTGCAATGCAAATGATGCTTGTAATTTGCGTTTGACCGGCATTCAACCACGCACTTTCGCCGGTGCACTATGTGGGAATGTCACAATGGAACCAACCTTTTACTGATACTCATTGTACAAGCCAACAGGCGTGTTCGTGCATGTGCTTTATTATCATCGTCCTCTTGAGCTAACTCTGATTCAGGTTTACTCTCCTTTTAGCGGTCTCAAGTTGTATAAGGACGTGACGCGGTGTGCATAAGGTAGGATTCTGGTACCATGGTTGCCACATCCAGGATGGAATTATGGATGAACGCCCGAGGATTATAGACTATATTTGCTACTGCTGAGTGCTATGATGTTCAAATTTATCACCAAGATCTATGAGGGCGTCATCTTCCATCCTGATGTGGTGGATGTTTAAAGCAATGACATGTCACTAACGCTGTACGTGATTTCTATTGCTTAGGTAAATGCTCAACTCCTTAGCTAGTTTTACATGCTTTATAATACATCAATACATTTTATCATTCAAAAGATAGCTTCTTATGCTTGCATTGTTGCTGTTTATGGTGGTATTTTTCATTGTGGAGCTTGTAGGATGGAAAACCTGCAAGGCGTGTCTCCTTGTTATCCTTTTAAAAGTAATATTGATACAAAAGTAGCTCTACTGTACAGGGTGGAAGATACTCTACATTGAGGATGGTGGTTTTTTTTATGCCTGGTCTTGACCCTTGGTCTGGTATTGCTCCATTTGTTGTTGGTTGCGACCAATGCTATCGTCCTTTGCATCATTCTCATCGAGCTTGTGGTGGAATACATACACAAGAACCGTACACACGCCAGCGGCGCACGAGATACCCGTATACATCCAAGTGAGCTTGGGATCCACAGCAACCGACACAAGGGCAAACGCGAGAATAGAAGCAAAGCAGTTGGTCAACAAGAACAAAGCCATGACAATGGATTTCATGGATTGTGGTGCTTTCTTGTAAGCATACTCGAGGCCCGTGATTGATGCAAAGATTTCGGATAGAGCAATGAAAAAGTATGATGGGATCTGATAGGCAGCTGAAATCCAGTTTTGGCCTTGAGGATGATCATAGTAGGGTGGCGTGCTGTAAATTTTGGCTTGAATGCCAGCTGAATAGCCCCTAATGTATACGTGTAAGAATCAGCATTATCATAAAAGTTGAATACTTACATGGCCACAGCAGCGAAAAAGAAGCCGATTGTGATACGAGCAATGGGTCGCATAGGAATATTAAATCGTCGTAATGTTGGGTATACAATACGATCAACGACAGGGATGAAAATGATCTATGTTATCCCATTAGCCCACTGAAAGCTCTTCTTGAACGTGTGAAACAACTTACCAATGCAATGGGATTGATGTTTTGCATAATGTCATTTGGCACGTTGCCTGTAAGCATGGTGCTTGCTTGAGAGATAAGGTTGTTTGTCATTTGAGAATAGCACAACCAGTAGATTGGGAACCAGCAAAAGACGATACAGGCACGTAAGGTACGCTTGAGTTCATCAACAAAGACATCATCATAGGTGACCACGATCTCGGGATGCGTCTCAGCGAGGTTGGATGGCTTGGCTGCTTCAAGGTTACGTGTTTTGGTCATTGCAATATAGAACAGCTTGCCAGCTTCCACGAATACGGAACCACGAGGTGGATTTTGTACATAGCGTTTGCGACCAAGGATAATGACGCAGATACCAGGGATGAACATGCAAGTTGGCAACAGAAAAGCGGGCCAAAAGCCGATGTTCTTTTCCAATTGAGTGGTAGCAATGGCTGATAAGGAGCCGACGTTGATACCCTACAACCAAATTAGCCGTGAGAAAAAAAGAAAATGGTGTTACATAGCCAAGCTGTCAAGTAAACGTACCCAGTAGAAGAGAGCAAAGATCTTTTGATAGGTGGCTTGAGGCGTCACAATAACACGAGTTCCATCTTTAAGCGTGCGAACAAAAGGTGAACGGCTACGGTATTGCTCAGCAACCAAAGGCGAGACATTGGATTTGATTCCACCAGTACCAAGACCAATGATAATAATGGCGACAATGTAACCAGGAAAGGTAGCGCCCGATTCAATGGCAGCAGGTATGGATGTGCATGTGAGAATGATCAAGCCGACAAAGTAAATAAAGCTGAAAACGAGGATAGCTCGGTATTTTCCAAGATATTGATCCGCCACAATGGCACCAAGAATCTAAAAACCACAAACAAGCAAATGTTAGATAAGCGATGTTCATATCAGGAAAGGGGTAGTTGCTTATTTACCGGAGTGATGTAACACCAAAATCTGTGCGAGGCAAGCAGAAGATAAAATTTTCTTATTAGAGTCACCCTTATGATGCAAACAAGGGCTCACTTACTGAAAGAAAGTTGTCAAGGCTGTAGCGACTTGTTGACCTTTACCCATAGCACCGGGCTGTTTGGCAGGATCTGTAATAGCGGTAACAACATGATGTTGAGTTTGACGGGATAAAAAAGAAACAGAGGAAAGGAGAGAAAGGAATAAAGAGACTCACATTCGCCTGGATCGGGATATTGGATGTAATTTTGAAATGGACCACTCAAGCCGTAATAGGTGAATCGCTCACAAAACTCAATCAAAATGACCAAGTAAGCAGCGTACGGGACCTTGTCAGAGACCTCGCGTAAGGTCTTGTATTCTTCTTCAGTGGGTTCGGGTCCTTCTTCATGTTCATGTGTGTTGACTTCGTATTCGTATCCAGAAATTAACGTCCCACTTCTACTTAGAGGGGCTTTCACAATCTCCTCGCACACAGCAATGGGATCAATCTTTTCGGTCTTCTCGTCCATTGAATAAGATGGCCAATAGTAACTTGTGGGGCGTATATAGAAGACGAAGAAGAAAAGAAGCTAAAAGAGACGAGGTTGCAATGATAACAATCAATGAAAAAGATGAAAGAAACAAACACACAAGTGGGTCGTTTATATATGTGGAGGTTGTCTCGTGCATACAAAGAGCGCAGTTTGACGCGGGCCCCCTTTGTCTACTATGTGCAGTTGAAACCTTCTTTATCTTTTCCGAATGATAGCGAGAGGCTTCTTGATTCGGTTTCTCGAACATGAATAGACACCAAAAGTGAGCATGTGTGATGTCTCTGTACATTAATATGCATTCAAATGGGAGCTGCATGGCCTTTACTTTCTCATGAATGTGCTTAGGCCGCGTGATGGATACATCCTGAAAGCATCATGCAGTGTCTTCGTTGACGCCTTTGCGTGGTACGGAAACGACCCTTTCATTTCCAGCTTCCTGGAAAACGATCGTCTCAGGGTTTTTCGTGGGAAAATAGAACATGTTAGTTAATGAGCCTGTCACATAGCGACCCAAGTTTGCCGAATGGGCTATACGGATTGAAAAGGAAATATGCGATTTTTCGATGCTCACATGTCTGGATAATCAAGAACAAGTGATTTGTGATAGATGAGTGGTGATGTTTGACATCCATTCATCGGGAACCTTCCGAAAGAAAATGCTCAATTGCATGATACTACACGCTTCAAACCTGAATGCTTGTTAAGTAAATGGTAACCCTGGCTTCAGTTAGCATCAGCACAACACCCCATATTCAAGCAGAACCCCCTTGCATATCGCATATAGCCTCTACGAAATGGCTTGTCAACATGGCAGTGGCAAATGCCTGCCGTTTACCACATCCGCCCGTTCCTTTGCTTCTATCTTACTCAAACTCAGTATCCAATCATTAATGCCCTTCAACAACATGTGCGTGCCTGATGTTATGGTGATGATTACATGATAGGTGTGGCAAGGTGGATAATGGAGGCAGCTTTTCCCCTCTGTCTGGTAACGTATTAGAAAGGAAAATTCCACAAAAGGGAACATGCATGTTATGAGCAGCCAAGCTGTTTGTTTATGTACATGCTACAATATGCAAATGCCCCCTATTGTTTATGATCAATATCCTGCATCCGCTCTCGTCTGAAAAGGTGTGCAACAGCTCCTGCTTTTGTTTGGGACATATGACAACGTTTATTTTTTAGCACCACAATGCTTGTTTTTTGTATGTCCTTTTTGGGATATCGTTGCTATGGTAATGGTTGCCATGGTGATGTTGACTTGACAACACAATGCTGACTACAACAACATGGGCTATACACACAACACCATGGATAGCAATTGAAAGCGAGTATGCGCGAGAGGTTGGATAAAAGGGAAAGTATATGCATGTGATTACCTGCATTGATGGACATCGGACCAAGCGAATGAGAAGATTTATACCTGTGGATGGATTCCAATCACAAGATAAATTGCTTTGTATGCGCTGGCTTAAAGATCACACGACACCCACATGACGACATGGGCATTTCTTCACGTCGCACATCATAAAATGATCCAATTACGGCAAAACAGGGTATGAGCAAAGGCATGCATCCACATCCATATCGCTACAAAACATACCCATTGCATTGTCTGCACGCTCTTGTGTGCTCGAACAAGCGCCTCAAACCATTCAATGCGACGTGTATTATCAATAACAGGCGTTATGCATGCAATTGCACTTACATATTGGTGTCTCTTCCAATTGCAGGTAATTTTCCCTTTTCGTGTGGTTAATAACTTGAACGATACACAAAGTGCAAAGCACTGACCAATCACTATTGCAATTGCATCGGTGAAAGTGTGTGCCTTATAACGTATTGGGGCACAGACGCGGAGTGTGTGTGTGTGTGGATGTCAACGTGTGAAATTATGGATGGGAATAGCTATCATCGGACACAAGGAATAAATGAATGCACAAACACACACACATGATAACTTGTAAATGGATAATTTGTACATTTCAGCTCAAGATGAGACGCAAGGATGTTGTTTGCATGGATGCTCATATTAGGTTTGACGTTTACATTGCTTTAAGTTTTGCATTTGTCACATCGTGTATATAATGGAAACAACAAGGAGAAGGAGACATTGAATGTCAAGGCACGTGTAGGCGCGCTTTATGAAAAAAGGGGGGTGAGTGTTGTGCAAAGGAAAGCGGGATCAGGTGGGTAGGGGTAAAAAAGAAGCGAGATGATGTTTAGAGGTAGTTCAAGAGCTTGCAGCTACCACCCTCGTAGATATCGACCTTGGTAACTCTGTGCTCCTTGTCAAGCTTGTCATAGTTGCTTTGCTCGAACACGTAAAAGTCAATGTGATGAGACTCAAAGCTCCAGCTTTGGTCGTCAACCAAAAGACAGCCATTGTGTTTCTTGTTTGAGTTGGGCAACTTCCAGCCATCAAGTTGGGGCACATAGATCTTGGAACCCTTGTCAAGATCATTGGCAGCAATGCTGACATAGGGGCGAAGAGCAGAACCATAAGCTATTTTGAAAAAAGAAAAAAGGGTTGTGTGTGAGTAATAGCGTTAATTGAGGATAAAAATCAACATACCAGTGATGCCATAAGGCTCATCCGAACGATCAATCTCCTCAAAGCACTTGTAGTTGGAGCAGCTGCAACCACCAAGGTTGACAATCTTATCATTAACAACACCGGTGCCTTCCATGACAAGAGCGTCGGCGTAGTTTTCATTGACCTTGGCAATAGTCTTGCCATTGCAAGTCTTGATAGCGACCTTGGAGCCACCCTTGTAGTCTTCGGATTGGGCAATCCAGTAATAGGTGAAAGCAGCCTTGGTTTGTAATTTCTTGCGCTTTTCAGACTTGCCAGAAGACTTGGATGTCTTGGAAGCAAGACCAGAGAGCTTGTCACTAACATCGTCATCATGATCGCTGCTGCTGCTGCTGCCAGATGATGACTTGGAAGAAGAACCACCGGCAACACAATAGGATTTGCCGTTATCAAGGTTGTCACAAGAGCCACGGTGGACCTTGGGGTTCAAATCATAAAACTTGTTAACAGAGATGCCATACTTTTTGGCGATGGATTCACAGGTATCAGATCCAGAGACTACATGATGATACAAAAGATGAGCATGGCATGGCTTTGATTATCATGATGATGATGATTGATTTACCCTTGTGCTTTTCGGAACAACCAGAAGACGAGTCTTTGCTGCTGCTGCCGCTGTCGCTGCTACCGCTACCCTTCTCAACACAATACTTTTTGTTGATGTGCAAGTTGCCACAACCACTGTTGATTTGGGAGTTAAGGTCGATGAATTCGCTGGTGCTAAGACCATAATCCTTGGCAATGCTTTCACAAGTATCACCGCTAGAGACTATAAAGCGTATAATCAGCATTGATTTCTTCATGTGTAATGGGTTGCAATTATATTGCAATTATGCTTTAATAACCTACCAGTGTAGTACTGAGCACAGCTTGGACCACGTTTCTTGAGGGAGATCAATTTGGAAGAGACATCACCAGTGTTATCCACAAGCTCAAAATCGACTTCGGGGGCGTTATCGTCATCGAAAGCGGCAAGGTAATTGGCAGAGAGCTTGATTGGAGGACCGCTAATACCGTGAACAACTGCAAGTGGTTCAGCAGAGACGGTGAGCTGATTGCTGGTGAAGGCGATAAGGCCGAGTGCGGCTAAAGAGATAGCTTGCTGAAGAAGCATTGGAAATAGTAATTGCTGCTATTGATACACAATGGATATATATGAGAGAGAATGGAAAGGGAACAGCGATGTTGCTGGTTGCGACGTTAATCACAGCTGATGAAAGAAGGGAATGGGTTGGGGGTGTCTCCAAATGGAAGAAGAAGCGTTGGCAAGAAGGGAAAAGAAAGAGATGCTGATACGATTAGCGATATTTAAGCAACGTGAAAAAGGGGGAGAAGCAGCGGGCTGGCGGTCAAGCGGCTGCCAATTTTCCAGGTTCAGGTATCACAAGCATAGATTGCATTGCTTTATTGATGGAAGTTTGTGTTGCCAAGTGAACTTCCGCTCCTTCCATCGTGTTGCCCACTCGACCCGATATGTGCTTTTTTGTCGTGATCACCCTTTGTATTTCTCTTTTTCTGGTGCAATTCAATTGCGGGTGGCACATTTCGAAGATCATTTAGGATTGCACGGAATATGCCCATTTCGAGGCGGCGCGTCGATCGCTTGTGAATTGTACAAGGAAGCACATTTTTCATGTTGTTCTTTGTTTCCCTTGTTTCCTTAGCCCGTCAAAAAGCCGTTAGGGGGGAAGGCTGTGCACTAGAATGGCGACATCGTCAGCTATTGCTATCGTATACTGAATTGGGTTAAACGGCCGCAGGAAATAAAAAACAATCTTTACCTCTTCTAACCTGTGTAACATCACTACAAACATGGTCACCGCGCGTGCGTGTCTTGCTTTTGTAAAGCTATGCATCAATCGTTTTAGCGTCATCCACGTATCCGGTCAGCCCATGCTTTTTCGTCAAGGCTTATCTTGCATGATGCCATCACACACACACATCTTATCATGTGCAAGTATGCTCAACTTTGAAAAAAGATGATGATGCAGGGAAAACAAAAATGGGTGCCTCGTGTTCCAGATCGCAATATCGTATTGATGAGACCACACGCGGGTCTGCAATATATCTTGCAACTTTTTTGTCCCACATCTCTTGCCCAAGCCCTTTGTTGCATTCCGTATTTCCTCAGCCTTTGATTGTGGCCGCATTTTGGTTGATGCTGAGATTATAAAAAGCATGCCGTTTATTATGTAATGATTGTGAGATATGATAAGATGGGTCGAGAAAGTGGATTGATTTCGTATTAGGATGGCTCTTGTTTCAAGTGGTGGTATACTCTTGTGGAGAAGAAATATCAATGCCAGATTTATTCATCCATCCGGTACAGCTTGCATGTGTATACCAAGTAAATGATCAAACTCGATGTATGATACCTAAAAGGGCTAGCATGGTCGTGCAACCCATGTCCAAATTCCTGTCGTTTGCAAACACCTGGATCAATAATTTCATTAAACAACACCACCATTCACCAGAGCCCATTTGTCATCCTCCCTGTGTCTCGTCTCTTGAGCGCAGCACTCTTATCTTGCGTAGTATCAAAAAGTATATTTCACACCTTGTATTACTATTCTCCACCAACATCTACCAACAGCTTGCTACTATTGTCCTTCAATTGATGGTTGCCATGGATACCTGATGCTTCGCAACGCTCCGTCTTTGATGAAAGGATGATAAAAAAAGGCTGTTGCAGGTATTCATTGTGGATACAAATAAACATGGCTGAGTTGGAAGGCAAATGGTGGATCATGCAGCACTAAATTTCATTGTTCTTGGACCTGAAGCCTCTCTTGGATCATTGTTCAACCCACGCCAGCGTAATCAAAACCATTCACCTTTTACAAGACCCCATCATGTGTACGATCCAAAAATAAAAGGTGTCATTCTTCGCCCAAATATCATTGTTCTTGGAGCTGTTGGTGGTAATTTGGTAGTATCGCTTGGTGTGTTGCATCAATCACCGCCATCTTCATACCGTATATGGTCAACAAGGATATAGACGTTGTAACAATGAGCCGCTGTAATGGAGGAACGTACATGTATAATAAATGCTTAAACTTGCCTTGCCGTTGCTGCGACAACAATGCGACGCTTTTGTTGGTGACGGAGATTCTCATATTGGAAGTTGAGTTGGTATGCAAGTGATCGGGAATCATGTTGGATTGTGCATAATGTGCATTTGCTAGCATGTATATGAGCAGCATGCATGATGGTCATTGTTTTGGATACTTGCCTTGTTTACTTGTATACTACGGAAATCCCTATTCGAAACCATGTCATTGTTCTTGGTGATGCTATCTCCCTTCAAATCAAAAAGGTATTACCGAAGATGGACATCATGTTAATGATAAGAGATGATGACAAGTGATGCGTGTTTCTTTGCTACAGGGATTAAAGGTGGGATCATGTGCCATGATAATGCTGCGCTGGCACTGATGTAGCACTTGCCATATACGCCACAGTCACGACATGAGATAGCCTAGCTGACCTCCTCGTGCTTCACTGCGCTTCTTGGCATACTCCACCACACACACCCACTTTCTTATTTCCATACACTCCATACGAAACATGAATCCTGAATAGTACGTGTCTATCCCATTTATTGTTATCGATTCAATGCTATCCAATGGCAATGCTGTTGGGGACGAGATGACGTTGACGGATGAACTCAATGCGTTCTCTTTGTAGCGATTACTTGTTCAAGCTACTCCTCATTGGTGACTCGGGTGTTGGCAAGTCTTGTTTGCTCCTTCGCTTTGCTGACGACACGTACACTGAGAGCTATATTTCAACCATTGGTGTGGACTTTGTAAGTTACTGATATTGCGGACATGCTTTGCTTATGCAGATGCATATTGGAGCGGCGGCGGCAGCGGCGGTGGTGGGTGATGATGAAAAAGGAGGAAGATGTGGAGGGATCACAGGATGCGTTTGTGCTCAACCCCCTGACATGATTATTAATCCAATGACTCTTTTTTACTTTTAGAAAATCAGAACCATTGAGCTTGAAGGAAAGACTGTCAAGTTGCAGATTGTAAGTGATGAAATGACGAGGAAATGATGGATGGGTGTGCTGATACATTGGTTGATAGTGGGATACGGCTGGTCAAGAACGTTTCCGCACCATTACATCATCATATTATCGGGGAGCTCATGGCATCATTGTTGTCTACGATGTCACAGACCAAGATACTTTCAACAACGTGAAGCAATGGATGCAAGAAATTGATCGATACGCAGCCGAAGGTGTCAACAAGTTGCTCGTTGGCAATAAGAGTGATATGACTGACAAGAAGGTCGTTGAGACTGATCAAGCAAAGGTGGGTTACTTGTTATCACTTTTATGAGCCATAAATAACTTATCCTATGATCGTTTATAGGAATTGTCAGAATCGTTGAACATACCCTTCTTAGAAACATCAGCCAAGGATTCCAGCAATGTGGAACAAGCATTTTTGACAATGGCCAAGCAAATCAAGGATAGAATGGGAACAACAATGCAACAACAACAACCCAAATCAACTGTCAAAGTCGGCCAAGGTGCATCGGTGCAACCCAAGCAATCCGGCGGATGTTGCTAGATGCCACACAACAACCACACACGCACGCAAGACTTGACATCCACCCCACCCCATTCAGCTACCACACATACACAACAAGATATGACTCCACATTTCAAAAAGACACCATGATGATCTCCTTATTATCACGCTTCTGATCCTTTCCACAACCTCAATACGAGCAATCCCTTTCTCTTCCCTTTTGTTGGTACTATCTATAGCAGAGTTGCCAAGCGATTAAACACCGATTTCGATCTTTTCATGACATGTTTGGCTTTGAAGCTCCATTATTATTCGAGAGCGGGCTATGTTTATTACACAATGATGATGACAGGGTTTCCGATATCGAATGTGCCAAGATTTCCACTGAATCATATTCGTCACTTTGTGTTGGATCGCTTGCTGATCGAAAATAGTCAAACAACGTATATGAAACAAGCGGTCTCGAATCACATGCACATCAAAACTTCAGGTTCTGCACATCCACAGCTCCTTGTACTACCTCTATAGCCTTATTCAGCGATTGCATAAATCGGGTTTTGATCGATCTTCCAATGCAGTGCAAGCAATAGATGCATGATGCAAAAGTTATTGTTCTTCTCTTTATTTCCATCATGATGATGATAAAGCCTAATTGTTTCATTCGTTGGGTCAATTCGACTCGTAATGTGTTGGATATATAGAAATCTGCAGGTACATATGGATGTCATTCACAGCCAGTGCCATGGCAACGAGTTCCCACATGTTTAATAGATATCTGTGTCAATTGGAAACAATGGAAAACGAGAGTCTAGACAATGGCCAACATTTTCTTTACGATGGATGTGACGAACCAGAATCGAGATATTCGTTTTACTTTGAAACAACAGGCACATGTATATTGTCTTAGCCGAAACAAAACGTAGAAAAGTGGTTCAGGGCCGATATAGCTTTCGAAATGTTATAAAAGGGCAACCTTCAATCGTTCAACGACCCAACATCAACACCTCAAGTCCTTCTCTTATCACACACTCTCCCTTTTTACACTCTCTTTTTTTATACACCCACACACATTCATTATGGTCAACTTTGTCAAGGTCCTTTCCCTTCTTGCTGTCGCTGGCGTCAGCTTGGCTGCTCCTCAATCTTCATCCGGTTCTTCTCCCTCTGCCACACAATCCGCTACTTCCTCTGGCAGCTCTTCCTCATCATCCACATCAAGCTCTTCCTCTGCTCCCTCATCCTCATCGTCTTCCTCTTCTGGTGGCAAGAGTGGTGGTGGTAGTGTTACCGTTACCGTTCAAAACAAGTGTAGCCATGGTCTTCATGTTTACAAGCTCGATAATGGCAACACTGGTTCTCCTGATAATCAAGATGTGGGCGCTGGTTCGTCCCATGACTTTCAAGTTGACGGTGGTTGGTCAGGTCGCTTCTGGGGTTGTGAAGATGGCAAATCCGGTTGCTCTGATTACGGCTCTGCTGTTTCACTTGCCGAGTTCCAATTCAGCGGCTGGGGTGGCAAGGACTTTTACGACATTTCATTCGTCGATGGTTTCAACTTGCCCATGAGCATTTCTCCTGAAGGCAAATCTGGCTCTGGTTACGATTGTGGTGCTCCAAAGTGTGCTTCTCTTCCAAAGTGCCCCAAGGGTCTCGAAGGTGAAAATGGTGCATGCAAGAGCGCTTGTGCTGCTTATGGCACTCCTGAATACTGCTGCACCGGTCAATACAACTCCCCTGACAAGTGCAAGGCTAGCTCTCTCGCAAAGACTTTCAAGGATGGCTGCCCTGATGCTTATTCTTATGCCTACGATGATGCCAAGAGCACCTTTGCTTGCAGCTCCAAGAAGTACACCGTTGTCTTTTGCCCTTAAATAGTAGTGTAATACCACTTTTTCTTCCTCCCATTGTTATCCGCCTCTTATAGTAGCTGGTCTACTTTTATAACACACACAATATAAACCGCTTTTACACAACGTATACTTTTATGGTTCCCTTTTCACTGTTTGATGATTCTTTGATTACAATAATAATGACCTATCAGACATCTTCACAAGCACAAAGTTGGGTAGAGATGTCTTTAAATGCTTATTGGAAGGCTGTTAGTTGATGGAACTAAATCGCATTCTACCACTTGTTATACCCATTATCACATCCCTCCATCACAAAAGATTGTTTCATTGTACAGCGACTTTTTATTGTAAGGCTATTGTTGCTAGGTTACCGTAAGCATGCAAGATCCACCTGACATTGGCAACATTGGGTTCGACTCGGGGTATGAATAAATCAAGGTGCAAGAGACAAGCTGTTCTGTAGCATAACCCACCTCTTCCTTTCCAATGCAGTCTTTCAACGTTACTTCGCCACAACAACAAAGAAACAAAGCGAATGCACCACAACAATCAAAATGCAAGTTGAAATTCGACTATTCACCAAGTAAAGACGGCATCGACTTCAATCTACTTGTTCTCTTGCATGGTCTCGGTACGTGTGCGCGATCGCGACGATCAAGACAAGGACTCTTCACTAAGCATTGAATGCCGTTGATAGGTGATACCAAAGGACCCTTTGCAGCATTGGGCACCAAGTTGCAACTACCACAGACTGCTACAATGGCTGTACAAGCGCCCGAGCCAGTGCCGTATATGGAAGAATGTTATCAGTGGTATCCAAGCTTTGATTTCTTGACAGGCGAATGTGAGTATAGGATCATACATTGTACTGCTACAAGCATGGATTGCTGATATGTGGTGGTGGATAGTATTGACACCTGCTAGTCCTGAGCGTTTCAAGGGACTCACTCGAACACGGCAACAGCTGACAGAGTTACTCCAACATCTTGTCGATGATTGTGGATTTGAACCTTCAAGGATATTTTTGTTTGGCTTTTCGCAAGGCGGTACAGTTGCGTTGGATCTTGCACTCTTTGGTCAAATACGTAATCTGGGAGGTGTTATCAGCATCAGTGGATACCTATTAGAGGAACAAGAGAATGAAAAGAAGATTGGCAATGGATATGGAGGATACATTCTTGTGACGCAAGGAGAAAAGGACAGCACTATAGGCCCACGATCTCAAGCAGAGAAAAAGGTAAAGGACATATAGTGATAAAGGAGTACAACACAATGATTGATCGGCTCTATTTACAGTTTTCTATCATCAAACGTAAATGTTCACCAGATGCCATTGTTTCCCAAGTATTCATCTCCAACAAAGACCACACAATGCCAAGTTCTGCTGCCGAGTGGCGCATTATCCATACATTCTTTGCCGAACGCATGCCTAGACGTAATCTCCAACTAGAAAACATGTCTGATGTTTATCTTGTCAATCCTTCTCGATAAAGAAAAACTATACATTATCACCCCATCCATCGCCAAAGGGAACACATGATGTGTCCTGACACCATTGATCACGTAAAATACGGATTGCATTCTTGCTAGCCAATGTCTCGGTTTCCATTGTCTAAAGTGATATTAACGTGAGAAGGAGAAGATGGTGAGGGAGGAAAACGGAAGGTGAATGTTATATAACATACCGAGATGCAGCTTTCAAAGGCATTGACGTAAAGCACACCATTATTAGAGTCATCATCAAATCCATGCAAGACCACAGGTGGCCATTCTTTGGCTTCAATAACGGGGAACAATTTTGGGAACGCTTGCCACTCTTTGCGATAGGTCCAGCTGCGGCTGATGAACAACTTGTCAAGCTCTGAATCGGACATTGCTTTGGAGGAAAACATCTTGACAACATATTCACCCGTATCCTCAAAGTACTTGTGGATCCCAAAAGTGGTAAACGGTTGCTCTCCATTCTCAAAGTTGGACGCTACATGATTGTGAAAGATGTATCAATAACAGAATCGGCAGATATTAATAGGACTTCCTTACTCAAAGGATCTCCAGTAGTGACAACAAGCGTGGGCATGGTATCAGCAGTGCGGCCAAAGTAGGATGGATCAATCACACCAGCAATGACGGTGACATGTACAGTATGGTATTCTCGAGGAGCTTGGTCTGCATTTGGGAAAGGCATGTCGATTCCTGCAAGATGCTATTCATTTCTATTAGCCCACCACAAGTGACATTTTTTGGATGTTGCTTACCATGGGTGATGCCAACAAGACCGCATCATAGACTCCATCAGTTCCATCCTCCGTGGTGACAACGTAATTCTTGATATAATGGCCATTCTCATCAACCTCTGTGGTATTGTGGATACTGACAACGGTGCTTCCAAGCTTGATATCAGCTCCTGATCGATAGGCGAATTGTTCAAATATCTGGTAGTTGCCTCCTTCCGTTGCCCATGCTCCCGATGCTGCCATAGAAACCTGTAAATTTCGTTGTTAGATATAGCCATTGATATACTGTACATAATAAATCCATACCAAAGCACCGAAGGAATGAAGCAAATGAACATCTTGACCATAGTTGGCTCTTGTTGCTGTCTGAATCAATTCATGTACAAAGAGCCCGGCATAGCCATGTCGCTTTTCAAGATAATGGGATGATGTCTCATTCAACAAGGTTTCCAGTCCAAATTGGCCAAGTGCTGTATCGACATCATAAAAGGGGGATACGTTGTCTTTGCCATGGTACACCAAGTCTGCGAAACGATTTATGATTGACTCGAGATGATTGTTGAACTACTCCCATTGTCGTTTAGAATTCATTAATAAATGTTGCTATCATAACACTTACTCGAATGAGAGAATACCCATATCGCCATAAGAGCTTGGCCACATCCCAATATTTGTTGCCGCTTTCTTCAAACAAGAAATCCTTGCCATCCCATATGCCCAAACCACGTTCAAAAGGGAGCTCTGTTAATCCGGTGAGGTTGAGATTGAAGCGTCTTGTTGCATTGATCAAATTGTAGTTGCGCTCGATAAAGATGGATGCCCCTAGTTCGAATAGGCCAAGTTCAGGATCATCCTTGATAGGGATAACAGTGCTTCTTCCACCAAGATAATTGTTGCGTTCGTATAAGGTTGTTGATACTCGCACACCTGATTTGGCAGTAGCTGGAAATGCATTCTTCAACCAAAAAGCTGCAGAGGTGCCTGCTGCCCCACCACCTAAAGAGGTCATGTCAACATACCCAACTCGTTCTTGTATATAGACAAGCAGGAACCTACCGATAATCGCGACTCGCTTTTCACGAGGAGGAGCAGAGAGTACTGTTTGCTGGTAATCGGCAGCATGTGGCAATGGGAGAATGAGAGCAAGTATGCATGCAAGCAAGGCTGAGTATACGATACGCATAGTAGTAAAGTGGGAAAAGAGAAAATAAATGAAACAAAAAGGGCGTAACCCGGGCCATTTCCTTTTATTATCTGTGCGTGTTATCTAATTCATGCTAAATCGTTCCAATCACTCCCTATTCAAATATTAGACTTGGCAATTGATAGAGACATTCACTATACCTACCATCAATCACACGTAGAATAAAATCAGCACTCGTTGCTGCTACTTGGATACTCAAACCTCGATACAGGCCACGAATACCCCATGCACTCGTAGGTGTTGTGGTCGCCTTTGTTGTGTTACGTTTTGTTGGCAGGAAATCATCATCTTCATCCGTATCACTGCTGTCAGTCAATGCACCCGATTTGACTGCTGGCGTATCACGTCTTTGCTTGGCCCCTTCTTCCTTCATAATTCTATACATTGCATCCAACATGCCTGAATAGGGTATCGGTCGTAAAGCAACCATGGTATCAAAATCGGGTGTCTGACACTGAAGACGCTTTCGAATCGTTTCAATGGGGAATACCACCAACAATCCCAACAAGCGCAACGATAACTCTGCTGTACCGTACAGGATAGGTGAATCGGCCGCAGAGATTCCCAACTTGCGATCAATGGTGGCTGGTATGGTGCTGGCAATAAGGGGTCGAACAGCATGATAGACAATGGTAGGAATAAGATTATTGGAAACGTAAACGTTGCGTATGCTGCCATGCTCATTGTAAAGATCTTTCACTGCACCAAAGATACTCTTGTATTTGCTGCGAGAAGTGGATTGTACCAAAAGTCTAATGATGGGATCATGTTATTAGATGATAGCAGAGCGCTCCTTTCATCCCCATATCTTACCTAGTACGTATAATCTCCAAAGGACTCAACAACACGCCCACGACAATATGGCTGACAACAGACGTAATCACATTCGGCCAAATCTTATCCACAGCTACTGAGTCGTCGTATAAACCAAAAGTATCATTGAGAAATGCACGTAATCCTGGTTGCATGATTCCCCATAACAAGTCATGTATCCATGCAAGACGTTGGCCTGGAAACCAGTTAATGTGGATTCTCCTTAGATCCTTTCTCTCTACCTCCTTACCTTTGAAAAGAGCCATCCATCCTTCACCCTTTTGCATTGTGATACGTTGAAGCACCTTGGTAATGCCTCCTTCTTCGATGGGTGCCATTTGGTATTCAGGTCGCCTGCTATCATCATAGACACTACGTGGTATATTCAACTGCTGACTCGATCGACGACGTTGCGACTTTATGGATCTTCTCTTCCTATCCATAGGCTTGGGTCGTGCAAAAAATCCATCTTCATCCTCGCTTGAAGAAGACGATGATACATCAGGGGTTGTTGGTTGCTGCTGTTGTTGTTGCTGTTGCTATGAACCAAGTTTGCTGTCAACATGTCATCCAATCAACAACTCCCAAACACACTTACAATACTTTCTTGAGACGCAATAACTTCCACACTGGTATGAGGCGCATATTGAACTTGCAGCAATGTTGTTGCCACGTCCAAGGGGTTGTTGATCACGGTCATTAGGTATTTGTAGGCTGCCAAACTCAAGCTGCTCGTGGTCATTTCTTGCAAGACAGCGTGATCCTCGCCGAGATCCTCGGTCAAGATAATGTCGGTTGTAGCATCGTCCGAAGCAATCGAGGTGTAGTTGTGGAGTTGATGTCGAATAGGTGGGCAATAAGGTCGAAGAGGGTTATATGCAGCACGTCTATGCCTACTGCTAAAACTTGTGTCGTCCCCCATAGTGTGTGTGTATGTGTATTGGTGTGCAAAAGAAAGCCGAGGTGCAAATTCCCTTGCTCGCGTCGGTGACACCACCATAGTGTAACATGCTATAGACAGCCAGCTATATTTGATTTCACTCTACTTAATAACACACATCTTATTGCATGAATCTATGTTGATGTTCGAGTATTTCCTTTGATTACATACGATGGTCCATGCATCTTGTATTGTAGACTTGCACATACATACATCCATTCACATGCCCTGAAGGGTGACAATAAATCAGTCATTCGATCGAGCTACACGAAATAGTGCATGGATACACATACAACACGCAATACACACCTTGAAAATGAGAACGACAATGCAAACAAAGATAGGATGCACCTTCATCCCTCATCATCTCATCGTTGATAGATTGCAGTGGCAGCTGGCAGCTGCTGCTGACCTTGAATACCACTGAGATAATATCCTATCGCAACTTCAACACCAAATTACTTTCTCCACAGCTCCCCAATTCCTCTCGTTCTTTTACCATTGCTCTCAGCGGTACGTGCTCTACGCAATGATACTAAACAATGTCACTTTTCTTCTTTTGGAAATTTTGTGGTCTATCATGTACATTCAAAATCAAAAAATAACTCGAGGGGCTATGGCCAAATGGATAAGGCGCCTGACTACGAATCAGGAGATTCCAGGTTCGACCCCTGGTAGCCTCGATTAGTTGATAATAGCTTGAAACGAGCTGTTTGTTCCTTTTTCTTGTTTTCCGTCTTGGGTCACGTGACTTTTTGGAGGATGCCTTTTGGCTGTTGTGAAAGGAAAGTATTGATCCATTATCTTATCAGCAAGCCAATAAATCATCTCAATCCTTCGTCTTTTTTAAAATCTATTGTCAATGGTCCCACCTGTTACATAGCATTGCGCCTTGGTTGATGATCCCCTTTCATTCCTTTAGATTGGTAACGTCTTTCATTCATTATTATTGTTATTCTTTATTCGAAGAGCATGAATTGCAAATTCAAATACAGCATAATAGCAAAGCAAAGGTGATGATAATGAAGGTATAAATGGTATTGGTATCCTAGATTCAGATATCTTGTTCATGGAGGGAACTTGCATTCAATGTGAATAGCTCATAAGTGGTCATCCAACGGCCAACATGTTCAACATGAAATTCGGGAGCTCGTGCTGGTGATAAAGATTTCTCCAAATCCTCGTCCATCATGATGACGTCTTGTCGATCCTGGTTGCATTCTTGTTGAGCAAGTGCCATGCGTTTGTATTCACCACTCAATTCAATGGACGTATTGTTTTGGAAAATGACGGTGATGCGTGATGTGTTGTAGGAAGCTAGGATGAATCGGGCGAGGATGGGTTTGCATGATTTGAAGCCTGTGTTATTGACGAGCGAAAGGCGTAGCTGTATGAGATGTTTGAGTCCTGTGAGTGCCATGATGTTGCCGATACGAGCACGTCGACGATGCAGCTCATGATCCATGCCAAATATTGTCAAGTGTGTCAATACTGAATCTTGCATTTGTTGTCCAAAGCGGATCAAGGCTCGTGTTGTGAATTCATAAGGAGCACCCAATACAAGTCGCCAAATTTTACTCTTGCTGTGAGCGAGAGCATCCAATAAATCATCATCCAATCGTCCAGAAAAGTTGCTCAATATCAGCTCCTCCACCTTGTTGTTGCAATTCTCCACAAATCCCATCATGGCTTGCGTCGAGAAACTTGGCTCTTTGGGACCAACGGTTCTGTAGGGCGTATCAAGTTGTAGATAGCTGGGGAGCGGATACATGCTGGAATGACCACTAGGATAGTAGATGCTCTCCCTCATGGACTCGGTAGCGTAACCCAAATTCACATGTCGTAGCTGCCTCAAAGCCGCAAGCTCTTCCAATACCATATCAGTGACCAATGTATCCGATCGAATGCACACCTTTGTCAAATCCGGTGATCCAGCTAGTAGCTTGCACATGTCTTCTGAGCCAAGATACGCCATTGCACGAGTGGGTGGTATGGATGGCACGCGGCGTATGTTTGGTACTTGTTGTCGTCCATGTTGATAATTGAAAGGCTGGATAAAACGATTGGGTGGTTCAAAGATCGTCAAGTCTTGTAGCTGAGGAAATGAGAGCTTCGCAGCGTGTTGTATAACTTCAAGGCCGGAAGGATTGTAGTTGTATACCAATCGATGACCACCCGCTTGACAACCCAGTGCCACATGAAGCTTCTCCAAAGTATTCTCGCTTCTTTCCAGGAATCTGATAATCTGCTTATCCGCCTTGTAGCTCTCATTGGTCGTACCAGCAATATAAACAAGGCACCGTAATCCATATTCCCCACCAGTAGTATGCGGATTATAATACTCATGACCACCTTGCTTCTTATACGAAAAGGATCCAGAACCACTGTAAAAGAGTGACACCAGCTTGGGACAATGAACGTAAACATGATCGAGGATCTCCACACGCTGAGGCTTATCATGATCATGAGCATCGAGGACAATGTGTTGCAGATCAGGACACCAAGGCAACAACTTGTCGAGATAGTCGGCCAAGGTTGTACGGGTAATGCTTAGCGAGGTGAGCCTCAATGGTGCGTCAAAGTACAACGGCTGTGTGACCATGCGTGGACAAATGGCGGCATATTCATCACGTGCGCATTGCAATGACTTCAAGTTGGGGCATGTCTTGAGAATGTACTGGATCGGTTCAGCAGCCCACTTGATACCTCGCGTATCCTTGAAACGAATATGCCGAAGAGTAGAACCGTTGGCTTCAATGATCGGGAATACGAGCTGGCGTTGTGTGAAGTAATGCAACTCTAATAAACAATGTTGTCAGTAAGTAACGTTGCTGATGATGATGGTATGACCCATTAACCAAGACCAACATACCTAATGACTCAAGATTCCTCCAATGTGTAGCAGCGTGTAAGCATATCGATTGCAATTTATCAAGGATCTCCACGTCAATGATGAGAGTGCGCACTTGAGAGTTGATGACACAATCCAGGAATTGGGGCAAAGAACGAGAGATACGATGATTGATCCATACATCATGCCACATGCCGGTCCATTCACAAAGGAACTCATTCCAATCCATGCAAGTAAGTGATAGTTGAACGCGACTCAGTAGTGGGAGCATCCTCAACACATTTTCAATGACATCAAAGGGAAGCTTGTTCATGAGCCACCGGTTTTGCTTGTGGACTTCGCGTGAAATGCTCTTTTCGAGTTCGACCAAAGCTTCATATTGTGGATGATCCCAATCTGCCTTTTGACATCCTTCACGGCTAAGGAGTAAAGCTTCCCGGTACTTGTTCTCAAGCAATAGTGTGTTGCAAGCTGATAGATATCCATCTGGCAACGTGCTGTCGATTGCTATAACTGCCTTTGCGTCGTTCAAGGCGTTGTTGTATGAACCAGCGATCTCATGTATGGTGGCACGTTGAAGTAAGGTTGTAGTTGCAAGGTTGGCGTTCAATTCCTCCATGGCATTGTTGTAGTGGTTGATGGATTGGTGGAAGTTGCAAAAGGAAAAGGCGTTTTGGGCTTGAATTACATGACGATGGAATTCGGCAGGATTGGTGTTTCTTGTGAAAACATGGGACATTGCACCCGCTTTACCCAAGGGTTGTGGAGTGTACGTCTTCATAATACGAAAAGGTGGCGATGTCATGGTTGACAAAGAAGAGTTGTGAAGAGCAAAGAGAAACGTTTGGCTGCATAAAAGGGGTAGCAGTAAAAAGCCCGCATGACCTTTATCCTCGATATCCCTCGACAAAGAAACAGAACAAAGAGACACCCATCCATACGCGTGTACAATGAACCTATTGGCTGGTTGTTGCACAGCCGTCTTGTAAGGTTGGAACAAGAAAGCTCTTAGACTCAAAATGGTAGTAGCCGACTCATTATCATCATCATAGCTGCTTCTCATTGATACCCACCCACCACCAGACCATTAGACCTTCTATCCCAGTAGTAATATTATAGACCTTCTTCTCTACGCCAATAAATCACCATATAACACGTATAAGACTAATGCATGACATGTGTCAGGGCAGCGTCACCATTGCAGCACCCATCACCACAACATACGATATGATTGGGCTTCCCACGCATTGACAACTCGGAGAAAATCCCTTCTTGTACTTTAACCGAGATTCCACCCCTTTCTCCTTTAAACAGCTTCTTTTTCTTCTTTCTTACACAAACAACAACAACAAACCATGGTCCAGATCAACACACCTTGCCAAGTGATCGACACTCATGTCCATTTTTGGGATCCTGAAAGGGTCTCTGTGCCATGGTTATCAAGTGCTCCACACTTTAACGAGCGTCGTGATGGTGAAAAATACAGCAAAGAGATCCCCAACGGCGTCCAAGTACGAGGTGCTGTTTACGTGGAAACGGATGTGGATCCTCGGCAAGGATTAGTGGAAGCGGATTGGATCGCACAATATGCTGAACGGCTCAACAAAACAAGTACAGCTGTATTTGGTGGGATTGCCGGCATTGTAGCTTATGCACCCGTAGACCAAGGTCAGCCTGTACGACATTATTTGCGGCTGCTTACACAGCTTGTACCTTCCCAACGGCTACGTGGTGTACGTTATCTAATTCAAGATCCATCACTTGATCCTGAAAGGGTCGCTCAACCACCCTTTGTGGAAGGGGTAAAGGCATTGGGTGAATACAATTTGAGCTTTGACTTGAATATCAACTGCAATGAAAGTCCTGCTCAATTTCCACCTCTAATTCAGCTGGTACGGCAGTGTCCCGAGATTACGTTTGTGCTCGACCACATGGCCAAACCTCCCTGTGACAGTCATCCGGGCGAACCAGCCTTCATCTTCTGGCAGGATAACATGATGGCCTTAGCACAATTTCCCAATGTCAGCTGTAAGGTCTCTGGCCTAGTCACAGAAACATCCACTCCCAGTGCGAAGCAACTTGCGCCATTTGTGGAAGTAGCACGCAAGGCATTTGGTATCGATCGGCTTATGTTTGGTGGCGACTGGCCTGTGTGCGAAAATGGAACACGGTGGAGCAAATGGCTCGAGATTCTAGCGGAAATTGTCCATGATTGGTCTTCACAGGATAAGGAAAAGCTCTTTGTCACAAACGCCATTCGTATCTACCGCCTTTGATCTCTTGTTGTAAAATAAAAAATTGACCCCGATTAGCTGTGCCATTACTGCATACGCACACACTACTTTTATATAACTCACACCGCCCTTTGTGCTTTCTTTTTTCCACTCTCTTCTCTTTTCCTTGCACTTGACACTATAAAAACTCCTCCCTCGTTTATTTTCGTCACTCACTCATACCTATATACCAATGGATGATAAGGTAAGCTCTCCGTTTATATATACACAAATACGCCAATGGATGTCAATTAATAATGTAAACAGCAATTCACCCATCATCATCAACAACAACGACCTCCTACTCCAGCACCATCCTCATCAGCAGCTTCTCAAGGTATTTGACATTATCCATTTATCCGATGACGCGGAATTGAATCGGCATCACTTAATTAACATGTTGATGGTGCTCTCTTCGAATGCAGTCGATGGATTGCGATTATCTTTACCAAAGGCTTATGGCTCATTTATGAGTACAGCATGGGGATCAGGTAATACAATGGGGGGGGTTAATCCTTATCCCGCTTGTCCCTGTTGACACAATGACTTGCTATATTCAAGAGGTAGATCCAATGATGGTGCCATCTGACCACAGTGTCCCTTCCACACCACCCCACACGACCGTTAGTGAGAATGATAACGAAGAAGGCTTGTATCTTTTATGGACACATCAAATATTGCGTGATCGTGGTATGGCACCCCATTCCTGTAACGGCGAGGTGAACGATAGCGACGACGATGGTAGCAGCATTACCCAAGAAGATTATTATATGGATACCCAAGCAACAACACCGCATCGATCATCACAAGAAGCATCCTTATCATCCCCATTATCTTTCTCTAGTATGATCGATACCTGCTTTGGTTGCTTCTCATCAAAGCCCTGATTGTGGCACTTTTTACCATATACGTCGCTTTTTTTCTCTCTCCTCCTCCAGCATCATTATCCGCTTTGCACTTGACTTAATACATTATTTCCCCGCACCAGGTCGTGTGACCTACATTATCGGCTGTCGTTGTTTGTGTCGGATAAGACGTGATGATGATGAGTGGGACGTGGGGAAGATTCCTTCATCTTTTCTCTTTCTTCTCTTTTCACTTTTTTCACACACTCACGTACATACAAGATTATTCAATATGGGTGCTGAACAATCCAAAGCAAGCTCACATTATGATGAAAAACGTTCAGCTGCTGTAGCAGAAATGACGTCAGCTGCCACCTCCTCATCTCGTATCTCCCAGCAACAATTATCCAAGTCGCTTGCCAAACTTTCGTTGGACAAGGAACAAATCGAAAAGATCCATGCAAGCTATGCACCTATTTCTTCCGATAGCTTGGAACGCTATTCCAAGGATTTTTGGGATGATAATAAGAACCGCCTTGCATTGAATGCTGTCGTTGGCAACGATCCTACCAACGTATTGGTCAACCGTAGTGAAGCTATCAAGGCCAACCATGTGTTCAACGTCAAGATTGATGTGGAAGGCAAAATCACCAACCAACGCTCTTCGGGTCGTTGCTGGTTGTTTGCTGGTACCAATGTGCTAAGATTGGCCGTTATTGAAAAGTTCAAGCTTGACGATGATTTCGAGTTGTCGCAGAGCTACTTGTTTTTCTATGGTATGGATGATGGTGTCTTGTGATGATAGGGGATATGCGGATACGCCCATCTGATAAGCTCTCATGATACTCACTCCGAACGATAGACAAATTGGAAAAGGCCAACTGGTTCTTGGAAAACATGATTGACCTTGCCGATAAGGATGTGAATGATCGTGTTGTGCAATACTTGTTGTCGTCACCAGTGGGTGATGGTGGACAATGGGACATGTTTGTATCCATCGTACAAAAATACGGTGTTGTGCCCAAATCCGTATATCCTGAAACGTATTCTTCGTCCAATTCCCGCCGCCTCAATTGGTTGGTCACGGTCAAGCTGCGTGAATTTGCTGTGCAGATCCGCGAACATTTGGCTGAACAAGATGCTTCGGAAGCATCTGTGCGTTTGCTCAAGGAGCAAATGATGCAAGAAATTTATCGTATTATGGTCATTTCTTTGGGCGAACCACCATCCACCTTTGATTGGGAAATCCATGACAAGAATGGCAAATACATCGGCATCAAGAATCTCACACCTACCAAGTTCTTCAAGGACATTGTCAAATACCCCGTAAGCTCATTCATCATCATCAGGGTTTATTATCCAAGATGGCTAATGATATGCATACATAGATTGCTGATACCATGTCATTGATCAATGACCCTAGAAACAAATACAACGCCCTTTATACAGTGGATCGCTTGGGCAATGTTGTAGGAGGACAACCTATTCGCTATGTGAACACGGCTGTTGAGACCATGAAGACGTTGGCCATCAATACGTTGAAATCTGGCAAGCCTGTATGGTTTGGATGCGATGTGGGTAAGTGAATGCATGTTGCCAACCAATGTGAAACATATTCTCATGGCTGCATAATACATTACATCATGCAATGTTACAGGTCAATTCTCGAATAACCCATTGGCTGTCATGAATACCAAGATCTACGACTATGCCCTCGCTTTCAACACTGAATTTGGCATGTCCAAGAAGGAGCGTTTGTTGTATGGCGAAAGTCTTATGACACATGCCATGATGTTCTCGGGCGTTGACCTTGATGATGCTGGAAAACCAATCCGCTGGCGTGTAGAGAACTCGTGGGGCGACTCAACAGGTGATAAAGGCTTCTGGATTATGACGGATGAGTGGTTTTCAGAATTCGTGTATCAGGTTTGTTTCATATTTTTCATGCAAATGATCCCAATGACGTTATACCCACATTTTTTGATTCGTAGGTTGTCCTCGAAAAGTCATATGTGCCACGCAAATTGGTGTCATTGTTGGACACCGAGCCCACTGTTCTTCCTGCCTATGACCCTATGGGTGCCTTGGCTTCGCCCAAGTAGATAATGGATATACACGTTTTATATGTACACGACCAGCTATATAAGTGTGTTCTTGGAATAAAGGTCTCACCATGATGCTACATCATTAACGTATCTATCTTGATGGTGTCGCGTTCTTGGGACTCGTTGAAATCGATCATGGATCGATAACTTGTAGTTGTCGATCGTCTCATGTGGCCTTGTTGAGATGATGTGCCTGTTGTTGACTGTTGAGTGATTCATCCACAAGCTGCAAAAAGAGACTCCATTTGTCATCCATGCCTTGATGGTCGCTTTAAGAGTCGTCGTACACTTCTTCCTATACGCGTTATGAATCATCATCCATTGCTTCATAGCCGCGTGCTTATAGGAGCGTATAGTTCTTGTGGCTGATACCATCCTATTTGATTTCCCATGCGTTCATTGTGGTCTCTCCTATATTTTAATCCTCCCACTCGAAAGCTTCATAATGAAGTACAGGTTCTTTTTTAATACAAAGTTGATCAGCATGTCCAAGAGCATCTCGTGTGAAAGTTTCAGGTTCGAGAGGGGCAATCTCAATATCAAGAGTTGATTACAGTGTTCATGCATTTATACAAGAGGTGTCCGACCAGATTAATTTCCACTCCTTGTCTCTTCCTCCCATTCTCAACTGTTGCCCCCATTCAAGTACATACAACTACCACCTGCGAACGATTGTCCTGCTTCAACTCATCCATGTCAATGCTGCAGCTCTCTTGATCCGATTGTCGTTGACTGAATGGCATGTCCATGGCGTGTACACCCACCACAACGCACGCCTTTGACGATACTCGCACTCTCTTGCAAGGCCCTCACTCCATTGTCTCAAACAGCGTTCACCTCTTGTCATTCTACTACAACACACGCTCTCTTGCACACTCCTCTGCCACAACCAACCGTAACACCAAACGCTATTATGAAGGTCTTTACTTCAGTTTCAAACAGCATCCTTTGCTTGCAGTCTTTTTACGTGAACAGCAGATAGCCGTTGCATAGAAGCAGCTTTATTTACACGTAGCAACTTGTTTGAATACATACGACTTCTTATGGATATGGATAAGGGTTTGGCATTTGGAATGGAAGGGAATTGGGTATATACAACGCATTGAGAAAGAGTGTATCCGTTGTCAACTTGATCACTATGCTTCATGCTTTCAACCTGAACGATTGGTGCATCCAATCATTGTGCTTTATACGCTATGCCATGGCAACCATTATCATCACCCTTTGTGCAACCTGTCAACCATGTACAATTATCACCATCATCAAATTGCATATAATTCGCCAAGACGCATGAAGAGATACCCCACGTCCATCCCTCCACCTTTGCACAATGCACACCCAAAAGGATAGACTTGAGTTGGATCTTGTCGTGTGTGGCGCTGATGCGTTGTATTATAGAAAGATGTGTGAGGAATGCACTTGTCAATGCTGTGAGAAAGGAAAAAGAGAAAGCGGGATGGATATGGCCTTCTTGCCAATGGTATAGACGAAGAACAGGTGTATCAATACATGCCTTTGGAAAACAGTAATGTCACTGGTGTCGTGAGCTTTTGCTTTTGCCGCAGCCGATCCCGGTATAATGCAACGTGATTAATGCAGGGAAGACAATCAAATAGCCGTGCAGCTACATGGACGAGCTTGCTGGTTTATACGCTGACGAATAAAAGAATGACGTGGAGATCCAGGTGAATGCTTCTATACGTGTCAATCCAAATGGCTAATGGATAAATCCATGATACCAAGAGAAGTTGGCAAGCGCTTTCCAAGGCCCAGCGGTAGTTATTATACTCAAATCCATTTCTGTTTCATTATTGTCCTTGTTCTTTATTAGAATAAATGATACGTATGTAGTAGGCAGATAAAGATGTTTAAGCCAAAAGGCACATGATGATAGCAAAGGATGCCGTGCTGATCCAGCTTGACCAGGAGGACCAAGAAACAGCTTCATTCTCCTGTAGTTCCTTATCCTCATTCATGGCATCATCGGACTTTTTGTCACTCGTCACTTGGGGTGGTTCATCAACCATCTTTTGACCTTGCTTGTAGCTTGATGCACCAAGTGAATGCTTATCGCTGACAAACTCCTTGGATGTGGCAGCTGTGAAATTGTCACACGCATGAGCGAGCGACCTCATCAATTCTCATCCCAACACCCCCATACTTACATTTCTTGTATGGCTTCTTGTCATTGAGACATCCATCCAAGCGCACCATGGTGTAACCAGCTTTATCAATTTCGTTGATGGTATCATAAATGGCTTGCCATGATCCAGTATCAGGGATGTCGTATTGCACTGAAATGAATGATCCCTTGGAGTCATATGTATCAAGCTGCTTTTCAAAGGTTGATTTGTATAGCTCGGCAAGGCCTTTAGGATTGTTCTTGTAGTTGTAATCTTGTGTATCGAGATTGTAATAGATAAGGGTGTAGCCCATATCACGCACAATATTTTCCAAGCGGGTGTCTTCGGGTTGAGAGTAATGCAAACGGATGTATTTGGGTGCAACGCCAATCAACGTCTCGATCACCTTGGCCGTGTTGGTAACATCATCACGAATCTGTTGGTCCGTAAGTCCTTCAGATGAATCACCAGGTGCTCTATATGTCATGCCGATCAAATGACCGTCGTTGTATGCACGTTGCAAAATCATGGCGTATTGCTGGGTGTACAACCTTTTTGATGGTGTCAGTTATAAAGAACAACATGTGCATCGAACGTTTCTTACCAGGTAGCATTGACGAAAAAGCTTGCTTTGGCTTGGCCAGCCTTGAGCCCATTCAATACCTTGGCAGTGACATCGCTAGGTCCCTCATTCTAATATACTACGTCAATCACATTATTCATCAATGATCATGATGGCGTCCTACTCACATAAGTCATTGCAATATGGCCTTGATGCGCACATGCAGTTGCTTGAGGGGCAGGGTTATTGGTACCGCTTGCACTAGGTGCATTTGTTGGATGGTTCCAGATAGGCAACAACATGGTATCTGCCATAGTATATTATATATGCACATGTGAGCTGATCCATGTAGTACAACCAACACACGCCTCATCCCCCATTTTGTTATACCAGCGTCAGCCCGCACCCCATGTGTAATAAACAAGAGTAGCATCCATGCTATGCCTGTACAAAACGTAAACCCTATTGGTTCTCGTGATCCTTGCTTTTATACACTCCCTCTTTCTTTGTTACCAGATAAAAGCAAACGTGATCGCATCGTGGTCGCCTTGGAGAAAAAAAAACAACGATAGAAAGAAAAAAGATATACCAGGTGATTGTTCAGCATGGAATGTGGCGGCCCTTTTTGTGCACACGCTTCACTTTTTTGGATCGATTCAAATTCTGCCTTGAAAACACATACCTTGCAACGATATCCTCCATCGTTGTCGTCTTTTTGGTCTCCTTGTAAAAAGAAAGTGAATCAACTGCAAAATACTAGTGTTACATGCTGCTTTGTTTATTGGGGGGATTGATGGGAGGACAGCGGCGTTTACATTTACTGGAACCATGTGACATGACAGAATGTGTGTGAGTGAAAAAAAAGTATCATTCTAATACGCTATACAAAGAAAAAGGGTCCACTAAGATATACGTGATATATATAAGAATCCATGTGTATGAACAAAGAGAAGGAAAATGATGCAAATGTGGAATCAATGCAGATATATATGTTTGTGTGCGTGTGTGTGGATGGGGGAATCATGAAAAGTGCTGGAGTTGAATTGCATGTGTTGTGTGTGTGAGTGTAAGTGTGTGTAATGTATGCTGCTTAATGGGTTTGTGTTGTATGTGATGCCATGAAATAAGGAGAAATATGTTGTTTGTGCCGTGCATAAAGAAAAAGAAATCGAGCATGGAAAGTAAAATCACATTTCATAGGGCCCAACCTTGTTGCGTTTGCGATTTTCACGACAAACGGTGCTGCAGCACCATTGCTGATCTTGATAGGCAGCCGTTGTGATTGCAGGAATACGACATTGTTGATGATAAGCACGAGAACATCCACCTTCACAAGGGATCAATTTGTTGTCATTGGTCGATTCAGGCTTTTGACAGACAACACAAAATTGCTGCACAACCGGTCGTCGCCGATCTTCCAGTTTTTCGTTTGAAAATGCGGACAAGTCCAATCGTGGTAGTCGGCTTGCAATGCCATAACCCTTATAGTCACATCCGTGTTTGCTATAATGCAATGCAAAGATTAATATAAGGATCACTCATAACCCATATTATGATTACTTACTTGCACAAGGTGCGTTTGCCCCATGGACCTGGACGCCAATTTACACCTTCGGTTGTACCACAATAGCGACACCAATCAATACCAGCATGTGTCAAACGTTCAAAGATTGTGCGGTGTACACCATCTTGTTCATCTTCCAAATCATCGTATACAGCAGCAGCAGGGATTGCCTTGGGTCGTGCACCACGTCTACCAGAATGTCTTTTGGTGCGTCTCTTGGCAGCAGGTTTGGGCTTTTGCTTACGTTGCTGATTGACAGGTGTTTTGCGCGTAGCTGTAGTTGTTGGTTTGGATACAACAGGTGGTGATAGTCGTAAACGATGCAAACGTTGTAATACTGGAATATTGTCCTTGGCCAATCCTTCTTGATCTTCTTCAACATGCTCCATGATACCTTGATCACCTTCATCTTCATCATCATCATCATCTTCCTCATCACTACTCAACATGGATCGTTTTCGTTTGAGTGATGTGCCTGATGATGGTAGAGCATAACCATCCTCATCATCTTCATCATCTTCTTCCTCTTCATCATCATCAAATGATAATTCACGTCGTCGAGTGACATCTTCATCACTGCATATGCTGCTGATTTCATCATCAAAATCAAGTGGCTCATCGACATCGCCAAACAGACTGCAGGATTCATGATCGGAAGCTGTTGGCGAAGGAGTAGGCATGTGTGCGGCATTATCGTTGTCATCCTTGAAATCGTACCAATCGAATAATGGCGGTGGTGTTGCAGGTGAATCGCTTGTTTCAGAAGCAGGATGATCATCATTGGTGATATTGGAGGTGATTTGGGTATCGTCATTGTCGTCAAAATAGTTGCTGTTATGTGTGTGTTTATGTTGTTGCTGTTGCTGCTGCAGATCCTCGATGCCGTCAAAGAGCGGCTCGTGGTTGCACAAAAAGTCCGAAGGAGATGTTACGGGGGACAAGCAAGGGGTAGGGGCCCACCCAACAGTTGAGTTAGGGGCTGCTGCTGCTGCTGTTGCACTGCTGTTGCTGCTGCCATCATCATTGCTGCTGTTGGTTGTGATGACCGATTCATTGTCATTGATTACAGAGGGTGCTGCTAGAAATACATCATCCTTAACCAAAGGAGGTAACAAAAGTTGTTGCTGATAATAGTACGATAACAACAGGTGCCATGCAATCGGACCTGCAGTTGGTGGTGGTGGTGCGGGAGAACCAGTCGCCATTTGTGAGCTTGCTATTGGTAACAATGTCGTGTTCTCGTGACGTGGGGGACCTGCTGATACTTCTTTCGGCTTAGCTGAAAAGGCCGATGATTGTTGCTCCGTGCTGCTGGTATTCATACCACTGAAAGGAAAAACCATAGCAAGATCGTTAGCTGCGGCTGCAGCTGCGGCTGCCATGAATACTGGATTATTGTGGTCCATGGATACGCTATCACGGTTGGCTGGGAAAACAGGTTGTGGTGATGCTGTAGCAACTGAACTTTTCTTGGCAGCATTGTTTCGTTGTTTCTTCTTGGCTGGTGATCCGGATGCTTTTACGGCTGCGGGGGTTGTACTTTTACTGATAGTTGTAGTCATGTCTCAAATAATGGCGGATGCTGTGTGTGTGTGTATGTGTGTGTGAATAAGGATAAGTTGATGTGGCGTATAAGCTGTCGAGTGATATATGCACTTGAAAAGAAAGAAGGTGGGAATTGTAAGGAAGAAGAGGGAGGCAAATGGATAGGAAACGAGATGCCGTGATTAAAAAGATACAAACCAAAAAAGGGGTGGTGGGAATCAACTTCCGACAACCAAAAAGGTTGGCACAGCCGTATTATCGAGTTGTATTCATGTACGTCGATGACGGCATGACCATCTTGTCTTAATTTGCGTATGGCTTTTTGGTGTTTTGCCCGGTCCGATTAATCCGTTTTTGCATAAAAGAAAATACTGGTTGTTGCCCACGCCGCTGTTGTCGTTTCTAATCATAACTCAATGCAGTGCTGCTTTTCCTCTTTTCCAATCACGCAACAAACAAATTGTATTGTGGCGCCGAGTCATTCGCTGAGCTGCTGCAGCTGGTTACATCGAGATGTCATGCAATCCTCTTGTACCACGCCATCAGGAAACACCAATACTCTCTTGCTGTTCCACCCCTGCCTAACCTCCCCCCAACATAGCCAACCATCAGCTCATGTCCAATTTCACACACTCACACATGTATACTCCTCCTCCCTTTTTACCCTTGGAACCTGACCACATAAACAACGATATCACAAACACGCCTCAGCTTGGCTTGGCATTCCATTCTTATGGTGGCGGTGCAAAGTTGTACAAAGGCTGGGATCAAGCTGTTGTTGCAACAACATCCGTGCGCATCCTTTTAATACATTTCTCTTTTTGCTGAATCACTCAAGATAGTCTTTTCATGTTGCATTCATGATTCATGGGTTGTAATAGTAATGTATTGACAAAACGATGTTGATTATGTGTGACATGTGTGCGTGTATATATGTGTGTATGTGTGTGCGTGTGATGTATGTATACATGTGGTTGCTGATCAACAAGCCAAGGCGTGTGCTACTGCACGAGCACGCTTGACGACAGGGGTGTCATTCTCTTCGTTTGCTGATGTGGGTGCTGCAACAGGTTGTGGAGCGACAGCTGCGAGAGCGGCTTCTGCATCAAATTCAGGTTGATCAAAATCAGTTGTTTCGGGAGGAATCATGTCTTGTGCCTGTGTCAATGTTCGCTATTCATGTGATATTGGTTAATTTATATACCATTCTGAAACCTTATCTCTCTCCTTCGTATCATCATCACTATTCCCCGGCTTGCCACTTACATCTCTTGCAGCTCCCTTGAGACCTTTCAGGTATTCCACCAAAATGTCAAAGTCAGATTGCTCAATCTACGTGCATCATCCAATATTAGCATTAGGGCACCCGATTCAATCCGGGAACTATATTGAAGCACTTACCGTATCCAGATCATACATGTGTTTGAGTAGCCATGTTTGATGCACCTTGTTGAACTTCCATGTGTCCCGGTCAGAATGAAATTGACGGAGGTAGGTTATGCCATCTAATAGATTTCGTTCCATTAACACACACGCTAGCAGCAACAACAACAACAACAGCCCCCTTGATTCTAGGTCACTCACCTGGCGCCGATGTAGCAGCCCGTTTGACAGTAACTTCTGGTTGAGACTTGGCTTTGCGCTTCTTTCCCTATTTTACCATTAGCATACGCTCACCTCTTTAACCATCCTTCTTTTATAATCACCTTGTTCTTCTTTGCCTTGTTATCGGTGGTTGAGTCGACATTGTCATCAACATCCACGCTTGATTGCTGATCAACCTATATACTCGCCATCCAATCAATATACCATCATCATACCATCACCATTGTACACTTACTTTTTCAGTAGTTACATGATCTTCCTTCTTTTCAACGGTAGTTGACTTCTTCATGTCTTTATCCTCCTTGTTGCTCTTTTTGCTCTTCTTTTTCTACAACATGAACCCATGAGTTGCCATGGCGACACAAGAACTTTTCAACTCACCTCTTTCTTTGGGGACGATTCTTCAGGAATAGCCTGGAATAAAGGTAAAGTGTCAATGCAACAAGACGCGAGCTGTGATCGATCAAGTCAATGCATACCTCGATTGACTCTTTGGCTGCCTTCTTTTTCGATTCCTTTTTCGAATGCTTCTTCTTTGCCTCGGATCTGTCTGCTGCCTTGTCGGATCCCATTGCGTTGGTTGATACGATCGGGTATAGTAAAGAGGTAAGTGTGTCGAGTGTGTCGGGAGAAAGAAATTTTGTGTGCAAGCATGAGCGGGTTGCTTTTTTGTCTACAGCTCTACACAATGATCCATTCCATCATCACCTCGCATCCACCTGGTTATCCTAAAACGCAATTCTACACCTTAACATCATCTATTGTAATGAATGGGGGTGAATGGAAAATAAAAACAAAGGAATGCTCCAATGCTTTTTTTATCTTAATTCTAGTATCGGGTTATAGTGTATAGTATGCTGGTAAAGTAGGATACAAAGGATGTGTGTGGTAATACATGTAAATGTGGTCGTATTGTATCGTGCATACGTATGGAAAGGTCCGTGTGTGCTTGCATTGCTATTATGGATAATGTTTAACCGATGATCTCAGCGTCTTTGTTATACGTGTACACCACATCCATTATGTAAAGTGAAAACATTTCCTATGTCCATATACTAGAAATCGAAAATACAAGTTGTAAGACACCATGGCTATATCGTGTCCACATGACAAGCAGTAACGTTATACTTTATTGACAAATAAATGGTTGTTTCTTGAAAGCTATCAATGGATGCCTTATTTACTACTATAACTATTATATTGCATGTTGTTCGTTTCACCACTAGAAGCGGAATTCGATGAATTTTATTGGCCAGAAAGCTCAGGGTTCAGGACCCTGTTGCTTACGTAAGCTTACGTAAGCAATTTCGGTCATATACCTTTTCTTGCTCAACTTATCAAGCGATTCCATGGTGTAGTTGGTTATCACACCTGTCTAACACACAGGAGGTCTCCGGATCGAGCCCGGATGGAATCAATGGTAAAGCATCTGTTCTTCTCTTAAAAGAGATCGGTTGCATGTCTTTTACACTTTTTCTTGATATCGTAGGTCACGTGATAGTGTCTTTTCTTTTGTTTTGCGTAAATAAAGTGCTACACAGGCAAACTAAAGAGAATAGTAGATGATTCAATAACGTTTATTCATACGTTATGGTGGTGCATTTATTTGTGATGGAAAGAATGTAATAAGGGTATGTGAGCTCAAAAGCAATGTTATGCAAAGAGAAATTAACAACGTGGGGATCCAACACAGCTATTATGTGCTGGTGCATCAATTCTCTGCAGCGTTAGCTTACCACATGTCATAGATAGCCATCTCCAATAAATAAACCTGTCGCTCCATATGAATAGACATCATCTCTTTAGGTTACAAACACTTCTTTATTATATTGATATTTGATGTTGCTAAGGTATCCTGCCGTTCATTGGAGGCTTAAACGAATGTCTTATCAATTTCCTTGTCCTGGTGGATACTTGTTTTTCCATCTTTTTGCTGTTGTCTTCCATTGTTTTCTGGTGATAGCAATCCCAAAGCTTTCTTGAAGGTATCATACGACCAGGTATGCTTGGTCGAACAATAGATCCACGACTTCATTCATATGTTTCTTTTTCAGATGTTGATAATAACGCGAATTCTTGTACTGGCCTGGTCGATATGATTGAGTACATGTTTGGAAATGGCATCTGAAGCTGCCATCCTCCTGCTCCACTACCGGATGCTCTCTTCTGAATATGTGTGTCTGTATGCTTGCCGTACCGAGCCCTGCTATCGGTGTTGAAGTTCGCCCAAATTGGACTCTTGAACGAAATAAATAGGTGATCCATGATCTCATTGTGACCTTCATACTGCCGTGAGCCGACATACATGAAGGTGTTATATAACCTCCGTGAGGGCTGTAGTGTACCACCAAATCCAGCTTTGCATATGCATCTCGGGTGGTAGCTACATCAAAAGGAATGTGAGCATGTGCATCATCAAGCATGATGATTAGACTATACCTTAATAAAGGAGCTGAATGCCACAATGACAGCAATGATAATGAAAATAGGATCACAATGACCTGCTAAAGACCATTACAAATGAGTCCATGGATCGCTCACAAACAAAGTAAGACCATCAACCATCATGATACTCACATCAACTTGGGCTTCGGAGGTGTCAGCAACCAGAAGGGTGGTATAATGGAAGAGAAAGAAGAGGTGTATGGGAGTATGGTAGTAGCTAGCAGGCGACAACATCCATGGTTTATACGGGCGGCGTAGTGGGCGTGGGTATTTCTTTTATGACCACAAAGACTGATAAAATGTTTGTTGGGGATGGTGACGGGGCTGATAGATTGATGGGACAAAGAATCTGGGTACGATTGATTGTCGTTGCATGAATCAGGTCGATTTCAGATGAACAAGGTGGCAATATCCATCATCGTCAAACCCATCACCTGCTATCACGAATCACGTGCTGTGCCCAAATTTCATGAAATAAGACGTTGTTCGATGATGCTTATGGATGCTTTGAAAAAGAAAAGTAGAGAATCGTCGGCAAACATAGTGCTCACGTATGATACGGCATCCGTGGTCTATGATCCATAACTGGAATTTACCCCTTACAGATTCGCACCGTATGAAAGGATGATGGTGATGTTGTAGTGGGGAAAAAGAGGGGTGAGAGACGTGAATGATATGCACTTGTAGTTTTATGATCCCCTTTTTAGGACAAAGTTAAGTGCAACAAACAATACCCCTTATCAACAAGCTTGTTGTATATATTCCCGCCATACTGCTGGCTATTTTCAACCAATATCAAGTAGGCTTATGAATGACCTCAAATGATGATGGCTAGCAGTGAAGAAAAAAGAGATAGCACGTTGTCTGCTGCATGTAGTGAAACATGTTACGTTACATTTCATGAACTTTGTAGAACGTTATTGTAAGCAGCATATACACATAAAGGAGAACTATGCATAATCGACCAATACTACTGCTATTACTATTCTTTCTTTGGGGCAGGTTGTGGATCCTTCAAGTATGTATATTTAATCTCGACGACGGGATCAGATTGTGACATGATAGGATGGTTTTCCCATGCAGCAGCAGATAAATCGTGTTTCCTAGCAACAGTAGTTGGCATGTAGTATGGTTTGCTTGACAACAACATGACAATACCTTGGATACCAAAAGGAAGGCTCTTCTTTTTTTACGTTGCTGTTCATAGCACCGGCATGAGGTGGAGGGCTGCGAGGATTCCAAAATGGCATGACAAGAGCAAAAAGCGTGTGCGTGCGTATGCGTGTGCAAAGGAGATGATCTTTTAGTGTCCTGGTTTCCAAATCAAGTGCAGCTCAAAACAATGTCCTTTCCCAGTAATAGTAATATTAGGCCGACATGAAAGTGTATATTATAGAGATAGAAATCAACAATACATAAGAGTATCAGGAAAGAAATCAAAAAGAAAAAGGGATATGCGATGATGGCGTGAAAGGGAGACAAGAGAGAGAGAGAGAGATAGTGAAAGAGATAACTTTTTTCCCCGTATTTTCTGAAGGTATCTATAGGATAAAAGAAAGATCGTACTTGAACAATAACAAAATCATGAGGTATACGTGCTCCAATCGATTGATGGCGTATCTTTAAGACCAAGACAAAGTTCAACATGTGTAGAAACAGGACGTCGAATGACACTGCGAATAGGCTGATCCATGGGATAGATCCTCTCATTCTTTTCATCCGATATCACAATACGTTTGCCTGCTGGTGGCGATCCAATCATCTCCACTTCGGTCAGTAGATCACGAAAAGTGAATAAATCCGTAATGGCCAGGTTGCGAACGTAGTAAGTGGGTTGTTGTGTGTTGCTGCTCTTTAAAGAAACTGTATCCACACTGGGTGCATCCAAAGATGGCGATGAAGATGATGAACACGATGCAAAAGGAGCAGGACCTGGAGGTGGTGATTGTTGAAAGTGATATTGAGGAGACGACATTCTTCTACTTAAACCACCAGGAATACCATCATCGGATGAAGGTTGATATTGTCGTGGTAATGGTAGAGCTGACATGGAAGCTGTAGGATTACGTGGAGATGGTGCTTGATGATGATGAGGATGATGAGGAGGTGGAGGTGGATGATGATGATGATGTGGTAATGGATGATGTGGACCTGCAGATGGTGGTGGTGGCGGTGGTGGTTGCTGTTGCAATGGTGGAAGTTGATGCATTGAAAAGCAGCTACCGTTGTTGTTGTTGTTGTTATTGTTGTTATCTACGTGGGGTATCGGAGACGAGGGTGATGTGTACGGATGTGCTAAAAGTGGCGTAGATGCGCTGGATCGTGCAGCACCTTCAATGCGTTTGCGTTTGAGAGATGTTGAACTCGACATGTTGGATAAATCAGGTGGCTCTCCATGATACTGTTCAATGCGTCCCATATTGCGTACTCTTGCAGCCAGACTACTACGGCCATCAATCATCATGGGTTGATAAGGTGCTGATTGTGGAGGAGGAGGAGGAGGAGGATGGTGATGATGATGATGGTAATAATCCATTGGGCGATGATAATCCATATCCATAAATCCGTTATACTCTGGCGGAGGCGAGATAGTAGGCGGTGGAAGGGAAGGCTGCTGTTTGCTACGTTCGTGCTTCTTTTGGGCGCGGTACAATGTGCTGCTATGTGCCTTGCAAAGAGACACTTGTGCCATATCGCTGAGACCCACCACAACTCCATGCTCGTCCTTATGCATCCCATGTGCATGATCAGTAAGCCATTTCATGGAAAACTCGTAATCGTCCTTGTCCTGTGGATGTAGCTTTTTGGCCCTCGAATCAAGTGTACCCTCTGGAAGATTCTTGCCGCGTCGTGGCTGGATCTCGTTGCATACACAATCTTCTCCATAGTACTATATACATCATATGTAAACATACATATATATCCCTCCTCATTGCAACACTCAACTTACCTTGGAACACGTAAAGCATATGCCACATACAATGCAGGCATTCTAAAGAACAACTTTAACCAATGGACATGGGAATGAGAATAAAAAAGAGTGACATACCTTGCGAATGGGCAAAAGGCGTGGACTATTGGTGCTCGAACCAGACTGTGGGTTGTTCTGCTGTTGCTCATTAGGGAGATGGGACGCGGTTCCTGAGAAAGAAGTGTACTTACATGAGGAAATCCAAACGCTTGATTCTCGGCCATGCGAAGTGCCCTTGTAAAAGTGATGAAGAGGGAAAAGAAAGTACGTGGAGAAAGAGAGAGAGAAAAAGAGAGCAAGAGAAAGAGAAAGAGAGAGAGAGAGCAAGCAAAGCACAGCAGCGGGGCCCGGGTATTGAGCCTTATTTGGGAGTATGCACTTGCAGCAACATCAGCAGAAGTAGCAGCAACAGCAACAACAAGCATCTTGTTTTGAGATCGCTCCTCATCATCCTTTTACGAGTAATCATGTAAACATCCATATCCACTTTTAGTCTTTTTGTTTACATCGTGTTGCTATTGATACTTTATATAAACCCCCATTTTCCATCGATTACTACACTACTACTACTACTCACCTAAATTACACTTTCACTGATGTGCCAATGCTATATGCAAGATTGGATGCAAACAACCAAGGAGGTAACCAAGGGCTCTCAGATCCATACCAATCGATGGCACGCATGATATTGCATAGTACACGCGTACTTGCACATGTAAAAATCCCCCATCCTAAAGAAAAGCAATGTCCGTGTGCTTGTGGGTTACACAGCTCTCTTCCTTGGTGCTTCCTCCTCGATACACACCCATATCATGCATCACACACGGCACTTTTTTCTCTTCACATATCAAAGCACTTGTTAATTGCTTCAGAAAGTAATGCACATGTTCAACTTGGCCTTCTCATCCATTGTATTGGTTAACAAAAGCCTTAATTCTAATCTTATTGCAGCATCTTCAATTTCTTGGCACACAAAAAAAAAAGTCCGTCAGTTGTTGTGGAGATCAATCCCTTTGCTTCATGTGACACACACTCACGCACAACCGAGCAACAACGTAACGCACAGCCTGCTTGGTCCCTGGAATTGCTTTGCACGTTGTTACTTGATCACACAACACAGCCAAAAAGTACGCTCACGTAGCACACCGCAATGCTAGCTTGATCCCACTACCACTTTGACAACATCTCGTCATCATGTAATGGTGGCAATATAGATTGTATACAAGTCGTGGCACTAGTGACTCAATGGCTCGCACTATCCAAGCGTAGCATTCAATTCTATTTGGGGTGATGGGTTGATTGGCATGTATCTTCCACCGTGAATGAATTAAGAAGAGCCCCTAAACTAGTGAAAGTGAATTCCCCCCTTTTCATTTACTACATTTTCGTTGCTCCTCTCCTCCATCTGGCTCTTTATTTCTTTCTTTCTTTACACAGCCATGAAAAACAGCCTTGCATTAAAACTCCCACAAAGCAAATTATGTTGGCGTGCATTCATTATGCTTATGGTAGCATCCATTCATATCGCAGTCATTGGTGAGCTCTCACAATGAATTGCCGATTTTGGACATGACGACCACTGATGTATGATTACATGCAGTACCAACTTGGAAGGTGTATACAATGGAGGGAAGGTAAGCACCGCATTCTTTATATAGAGCACCGCATCCATATTGAGCATACAGCGTAGGGATTCCACCTTGATTCGGTACAGCGCTGCAAACACACACGGCGAATCTTTGCACATTAGTAGTACAGTGCTCGATGTTGATTTTGCAGAGAAAAAGTTTCGTATGCACTGCATTGTACAGCCCAATGGGACCCTGGCGAATCAATACGGGCAATTAAAGTACGTTCATGATCATTGCCATCGCATCATACATTAACATCTCATAATAGCCAGCCGATCAGAGTATCCTTCTCATCCATGATTAGCTATAACATTGAAGCAGGCGAGAGTGACAATCCGCTGGATGTGAGCTTGAGTTACAATGATGGCGATGAGATCGATTATCCTTTTGACAAGTACACTGGATCATTTGAAGTGGCAGCAACCTATACGAATGATACAAGCCATGCTATCCCCATTACTTTTCAGCTAATTGCAAGCTTGACATCATATGCTTTCGAGCCTACATTGATACCATCGGAGCCTAACCAAGATCGTGTTGGCTTGCATATTGTCACTGGCCGATCTACCACAACGATTGGCTTTAGTCTCTTTGTATGCGTACTCATGTGGGCCATGTCGCTTGTCATGTTACTTTTTGGCTATCAGGTGGTACGCTGTAGACGCCACATCAATGCCCATGCAAGTATGATTGGGCTTACCATGTTGTTTGCATTGCCAGCCTTACGCTCAGCTCAACCAGGGGCACCAGCCATTGGATGCACATCTGATATTCTCAGCTTTTATTGGTAGTGTTTAAACACCACATCAACGTCATTTTTCCTTTGTTTCAATTAACATACATCTTGATGATAGGAACATGGCCATCATTGCCTGTGTCAGTATAGCTATTCTATCATGCTGGGTCATACGATGGAGCAAGGAGGATGATGTAGAGCATCGTTTTCATTCTCAACAACGCTTTGGTTCAGCCGATATTGAAAAGCCATGCGTTGAACATTTTGAGCGGTTACCGTCTCATAGCAACCCCACGAACAACAGTGAAATTACAGTGGCATAAATCATTTACACAAAAAGGACAGCAAAAAAAAAAGGCAAATTTAAATAGATGATCAAGATGTTGTCTATTGGTCTATATGATACTCTAATTTTTCAATACTCTGCCAGCACCCCGTCTCCTTGTGAGTGGGCCAACAAGATCATGGAGTGGTGTAGAGGGTGGATCGACATAGTAGCTGCGTACCGGGCTGAAAAAGTATGGCTTCATCATTTTGAGATCATATGAACTTTCCTCCTCTTCTCTTCCATCTGGGAAACTTGAATAATCCAACCACACGAGCTTGTTGTGTCGACCCCGATGCGTACTTTTGATCTCTAGTGTCATACGAAAATCTTCTCGTGGTCGTAGCCAATCCTTCATTTCGATATACACTGTGCCATCCGATTGCTCAAAATGTCCACGGAATACTTGCTTCCGGCTGAATTCGGGAGTCAACAAGCGAACCACTTGGGCTGGCTCATCCGTCGATAAGTATTTAATGATCGTGCCATCGGGGAAGAACCGCAAGTACCGGTAATAGGTTACCAAATGCACGGGTTGATTATACGTGTTTTCATTGGATCCAGGTCTAATAGCATAGTCCATGTGAGTGAATGTCTTTACAAATTGCCAACCGAGAGAGAAGCTTACCGGACGTAATTGCATGTAGAAATGTAGATACCATCATATCGTAACCTGGGTCGTTCAATAAACATACGCATCCAATGGCCACCATAGATCTTTACATAATCCGCTTGGAACTTGCGAGCATTGGCAACCGTCATGTAAGGTGATTTGAAGGCGTGTTCACACGCATATCGCCACAAGGAAGGTGACCTTGTCATTAAGAAAAAGTTCTTGCACACCAATGCAAAATTCGCCACCGACGAGACGGAGCGTAAAATGAGGTGTCGCAGCACATGAAGCATAATTTCGGCTACAATCAGCGATGATGAGTAAAAAAAGAGCTTCCATACACCAACAAAAGTCATTATTACCTGGTACATTGGCAACGTGAACGGGTTTGTAATCGACAAAGGGGATATATTCAATAGGTTGACTGGCTGTGATTTCATCGATAAGCTCTTCCAATGGATCCTTTCGATCAGCCGAGGGTGCTTGCCACTCACGCCCAATAGGGACAAGATGCAAAAAGTCATCATCTTTGCGATTCTGGAACTGGTTTGTGGGTGAAGTTGGCTGCTGCTGCTGCTGCTGCTGTTGTTGTTGTTGTTGTTGCTGGTCATGGTTGAATGTAGGTGCAATATGCGTCTGATAATGGCGTTTGTAAGCATAATCGATATCGGGATCCATCTTGAAAGCACGTCGATAGGATGCCAATGCTACACACAAACATTACGTTATATTTACCGCAGCAGCTTTATATGCTTTTTTGTACCTTCACCAAGCCTGCCTTGTCGCTCACTGTTGACAGCAAAAATGTAATGATCCATAGCTGACACTGCTTTTGGCTCCTCTTTTACGGGTTCTTCAACTTGTTGTTGCTCTTCATTCTCTTCCATTGACAGGGAGCTCATTTGCTGTTGCAGTGTGGCTGCATTGTGTCCATTGATCAATGGCGGCGACGTTGGCTTCTTGATTGACAGGTTATCAGTGGTTGGCGGCGGCGACTCTACCGGTGTCGGTTGTTTTTGTTGTTGGTGGTGTTTACGGCTCTCAACTTCTTGTCGCCATTGACGACGGAATTCTTCCAGTTCATTGGTTGCTGGTGACATGTTGCCGAATGGAGGAGAAGAAGTGGGGGAGGAAGAAAGACGATATGCAGTTTCTTTTTCAGAGTACGATGCTACATTGTAATACCGACATCCATGTAGCAACGCTGCTTACTCGCCGGTGGTTTAATCTTTCGAGAGTGGGTGATCACACACACACACAAGAGAATGAGATGATGTTTGTGGACAATGCATACCAACTTGTCATGATTCACGTGCTATGCTGCAGGTGGTATGGTAACGTGTTGCTATCCAGGAATTGGGAATGGATTACCTTTTAATCAGGTTGCTATAGGCAACAACCATCATGTTTGGCTTACATCCAATGGTTACCCACTTGCCATCAACCTACCCTCCCTTGCGTTCAAAGTGGCCGTTTCATCCCTCTGTGATATGATATTATTGGCGTATGAAGAGTACTGGAATGAGCCTTTGCATAATGGGTAAGTGGAGATGTGAGCATAGCACGTACTATGCTGGTATGGCAGCATTCATTTGGACAAGGGAAACGCTCATTCTTATCGGTAACAAGGTCACCATTTTCCAAAGTTGGTGTATCCAAACGCTTTCTCTTTCTTCTTGATCACAATGGAGACGACATTGTGTAACATAATCACCATCCCCGCAATAGATAAATGTAAATCCGACTCTTTATGTGTCTTAATAATGGATAAAAACATCTCTTTCTCTTTGATCAAAGTATATTGGATGGGCCGACTTATGATATAACAAGGATGGGGTCTATGACAAGATGGATGTACTATATAGCTTTGTAACAAAACGGGTGGATGTTTGCCACGGGAGCCATGACCGAGGATAGATTACATATTCATGTGCTTTTCCATACGTCATTGACCACTCTCATCTGCCCTGGAGTTTTCACGTGCAGTTTTTTGTCCTTCTCAACTTTTGTGCGTGTGCTTCTCAATTTCCTTTTTCCCTTCTTTTTTCTCTTTGCACTCCAGTGACACTCTCTCCAAAAGTCAATGCCGAACGTCCTCTCCAAGCTTGCATTGTCGCAATGGAGTGCAATGGCTCCCATGCTAAAGCAATGGGCCTCTTTATACCTTAAGCACAGAGACACTATACGACGAGTCTTGTTGCTCTTGTTTGTGGTGCGCTCCTTCCTATCTATTCGCAAATCCATCCGCTTGTTCAAGAAAGAGACCAACAAGCCTACCAAACCACGATTGGATACAACCACACCTGCAACGGATGAGAAGAAGAAACGCAAAGTGGAGGTATGTAGAGGAAGGATGATGATGACAAGGAGAAGGAAGCAGGTATACTAAGAGTCCTCTATAGGTGGATATGGCCTTTTTCAAACAAATCCAACGTCTTTTACGTATTGTGATGCCAGGTGTACGTTCCAAGGAATTCTGGATGCTGGTCGTTCATTCCTTCTTTTTGGGCAAGTTGATCATCATTGAAATGTAAATGTGTATGATGTTAACATGGCCAAATGATTCATGTAGTATTCCGAACCGTTTTATCAGTCTATGTTGCATCTTTGGATGGTCGCATTGTTAGTGCGTTGGTACGGGGCAAATTGAAGGAATTTATGCTCGGCATCGGTTGGTGGATGACCGTTGCTATTCCGGCCACTTACACAAATAGCATGGTGAGTATTACATAAAGGGTGTATTTCCTCTTAACGGGGCATTACTCATCCATTCACGCATTTATGTAGTTGTCTTACATGCAAAGCAAACTGGCATTGGCATTCCGCACACGGCTGACACACCATATCCATGAACAATACTTGAGCGACATGACGTTTTATGCAGTGGGCAACTTGGATGACCGTATCAAGAACGCCGATCAATGCATCACCGTTGATACGATGAAATTCAGCAATTCACTCGCCGAGCTGTACTCGAATCTTGCCAAACCCATCCTGGATGTGTTCATTTACAATTACCAGCTTACACGCAGCGTTGGATTTGAAGCTGTGGTGCTGGGTAGTGTGATCATCAACTTGTCTTCAGCCACCATGCGTCGCTATACACCCTCCTTTGGTAAAATGGTTGCTGAGGAACAACGATTGGAAGGTGAATTCCGCTTTGGCCATTCGCGTGTGATTGAAAATGCCGAAGAGATCGCCTTGTTTGATGGTGAACATGTGGAAAAGGGCATTCTTGATCAACGTTATTACGCTCTCATCAAACACGTCAACCGCATTTTCCGCCTAAGAGTCCCACACGGCATGCTTGAAGATTTTGTCATCAAGTACTTTTGGGGTGCATGTGGATTGGTCTTGTGCTCTGTACCCGTTTTCTTCAAGGTGCCTGGCATCTCGGCCATTGGAGATATTGGCGGTCGTACCGAAGGCTTTGTCACCAATCGCCGTTTGCTCATGAGTTCATCCGATGCTGTTGGTCGTATCATGTACGCCTATAAGGAAATCACCGAACTGGCTGGCTACACGAGTCGTGTATGTTTTATGGTTATCATGTTGCTGTTGCTATTATCATGCTCATGTCGTCTTTGTATTAGGTAACGGATCTTTTGGATGTGTTTGAAGATGTCAAGGCGGGTCGATACCAAAAGCGACTTGTCTCATCCGTTTCAACGGATGCCAATGCAAAGATGCTGGAAGGTCGTGGTGTCATTGAACAAAGCGAGAATATCGAGTTCATCAATGTGCCTATCATCAGTCCCAATGGAGATGTTCTTATTCCACAACTCACTTTCCACGTCAAGCCTGGCATGCACTTGTTGATCGTTGGCCCCAATGGTTGTGGCAAATCATCCTTGTTCCGTATCTTGGGCGGCCTGTGGCCCGTCTATGGTAAGAAGAAATGGTGCTTGATATAGGACGGATTGGGTATTGAATCATTGAATTAGGTGGTACCCTTCACAAACCCCATTATCGTGACATTTTCTATATCCCTCAACGACCATACCTTTCCTTGGGCACTCTCCGAGACCAGTGAGTATCATGCAACAATGATGATTGCTTTGGATGATAGCCTAACGATTCAACTTAGAATCCTATATCCCGATACGCTTGAAGATATGAAGAAACGTGAGTCTTAAGGGGGGTGTTATGAAATATCCTATAACGCTAACTTACATGCTTATTCAGGTAATGTCACCGACGACGACCTTTCAAAGATCCTCAAAGTTGTGCAAATCGAACACATTGTTGAGCGCGAAGGAGGTTGGGATGCTGAAAAAGAATGGGCCATTGCTCTTTCAGGAGGTGATAAGCAGCGTGTAAGTGGGATCATTGTGTGCTCCAAATGATATAGCTTGGGTTGACATTGTTCTACCCTTGTAGATTGCTATGGCTCGTCTCTTTTACCACTCTCCTCGCTATGCTATCCTTGACGAATGTAAGTTTGTATCATCTGAGATAAGAACAATATTGACATTGTGATATGATTATAGGCACCAGTGCTGTCAGTATGGATATTGAAAAGATCATGTATACTCATGCTACAGGTAAGTTCTTGTATAGTGTCTAGCATCCTTACCATGCTGACAATCCTTTCAATGGCAGATCTCGGCATTTCCTTGTTGACAGTGTCTCATCGGCCTTCCCTTTGGCAATATCACAACTTCATCCTTCAATACGATGGACAAGGCGGTTACGTATTTACCAAGCTGGACGCACAAAAACGTCTTGCTTTACAGGAGGAAAAGAATGCTGTAAGTATACATTTTTCATGCTTTCGGATATCATGTATTCACACTCTCTCGACCCTGCAGATCGAACAAAAGCTGATAGAAGTGCCAAAAATGCAATTACGTCTGCAAGAGCTCAAGGAGATGCAACAGCATGCAGCAGCAGCGAAAGCATAAGCCAACCCATTTGCATATATAAACACATCTTTCCTATCTCCCTCTCCCCATCATTTAATTCTGGTCCCTAGGCTTCTTCCCAAACACATGCACACATATTTACAACACACAACAACAGCACCTTCTTCACTGATCCTCTTGATACATAATGTATGATTACCAAATCACAACCACTACTAAACACCGATAAATGGATAATAGCTTTTCTTTAGTGATGATGTGATGTTGTGGTATAATGAACAATGTATGCTATGGCTTTTTGTCAAAATTGAAAACGAATGCTGGATCCAAGCTGCCTTGTTCCATGGGCTCCAATAAACCAAAACACCGAACCCATTGATCTGCAGGTACCAGTGTACCATAAAGCTCCTTCATGTTCTCCCCGAGCTATGTACCAAACACGTCAATACTTGAATTGCTACCTTTTCCCCCTTTTCCCTTACCTTATCTAATTCCTGGATAACCTCCTCCATCATTCCTAGGTAAGCGTAGAAGACCATGTAGCTTTCGTCTTGGGCAGAGGCTGCTGAAGTAGATGGCAACACTTCCTCGAGTTTATCAAAGAGGACTTGGCGTGCTTTTTCAGCTGGGGGCAAATAGGGTGGCAATGGTGTCTTGAGTTGAAGAGCCGATGCGAGCAAATAAAAGTACAATAAAATGTTGCCAGCCATATCCATCCATTCTTTGCAGGCGGGTAGCATGAGTGCACGACGTACTTGGATCGCCCATACGTCCTTCAAGATCACAATGCGCATTGACAAGAGCTTATCAAGGATATTTTGACATGAAGAAAGCATCGACTCGTACATCTTTACGGGGAAGGGTCCCTTCAAACGGGGCTCATTGGGTGCATGTGTCAAGAGACCTCGCAGCGTGACCAAGCTCACTTGAAGTGCCAATTCGACCTTTTGGAACCGAAGTGCCCGGATCTTGTTGCGTGCTGCTAAAGCTTCCATGGCAGCTGCTGTTGGCATATTGCCGGTAGTAGTACCATTGCCACTGCTACTGCTGCTTGTGCCTGGTGCATCAGGGTTGTTTGTTCGGGTATCATAAAACATTTGTTCAATCAAAAGTGAATAGGCATCCGCATCTGTCTCAGAGGTCGTCTCGGAATAAACGGATACGAGTTGCTTGTATAACCAAGAGAGATGCAGCAAAAGATCAGAAAGGCCCTTGCGTAACTCCTTGCGTGCTTCATATGGCCAAATGTATGCTGTCACCACGAGACCTAGATAACATCGTCAAACAATGGCCGTTTCCATCACCCCATCCTTGTAGCATGCTTACCAATAATGACACCAAGAGACACCGCCACACATCGTTTCCATGCCAACTCATACACATCACCCACATCAAGATCGTCACGATGATTGTAGCTGTAGAGGACTACCAGGTTGTACGCCAATAGGGCAAATTGACCAAATCGCCCATGCTTGTGATTGAGGATGATATGGAAACATGGAAGAGAGAACACCCACGTGCATAGCATTAGCAAATAAACATTGCCATTAAAGGCAGTGTATACGAGTGCCGCGACAATGCACCCCAGGATGGTTGCAAGTACTCGTAGCACTGCCACAATATTGGTACCACCCACTGTAGGTGACATGACAGCCATAATCTACACAATGATTCCATTTAATTTGTTGCAATCCTTTCCAAAAGTATGACTTACTGTAATGAGTGTCCACTCCATCCGGTATTCTCTGAAATAGTGCTGTGTGGCAGGAATGAAAGCCAACATGGCAACACCCACTGAAACGAGCGTGGCCTTGATAGCGTAACGCACGGTATGATTTCTGAACCAGGAAAAGAAGCTCCAAAGTTGAAGGAAACATTTGCGGATGTAGGTGGTGGGTGATGGTGTTTGAAGTGTGTCGGTGGTGTTGTGATTGTTGGGTATGAAAATCTCTTCTGCTGCATGTTTCTCGGGTAAATCATCATTAGGGCGTGAAGCACGGGCTGCGTAACAAACATTGTCAGTGACCATCAACATTCATATATCCCCCCCTCAAATAACGTACCAAACATGAGATGAAAGAATTCCTTGCAATGTGCCCAGAATCCCATGGTATCACAATCGCTCTCAAACACAGCTTGTACTTCCTCGATCAAACACATCAACTCCTTGGCAAACTCGACCATGCAAAACACGAAGAAATAGACGAGAAAGACATCTTCGGCTGGAAATTGTTGCATCAATTGTGAATGTAGTTGACGTGGGTCCATTTGTTGTTGTAGTTGTTGCCATGATTGTTGTCTCGCACGCTTATGTTTGCGTTTACGTCGATAAAGTTGCATGAGGGCACGTTGCTCAGATTCTTCAAACACGGCCAAAGCAGTTGTCAAGTTTTGCTTCAAAAGTTCAAAGGAGGGTGTGCTTGCTGTGATGTTGCCAGTAAAATGTGCCTGGATATGGATGATGGTTTGCTTGCAAGTGTACGCCAATGACTTCATGGGGGGTCGAATGGTGCGGATGAATTGAACCAAAGCACCTTCCCCTCCTTCGATACCAGGCGTCTCTGGTACTGGATCCAGGGGAAAATGTTGACCATTGTTGTTGTTGCTAAGCACACTCGTATTTGATACTTGACGTTCCATACTTGGACTTTCTCCCATCATATCATCATCCATGTAAAACACCATGCTGTGTTCTCGTCGTAGCTCATTTTCCATCTTGCGTCGTCGTCCATCCGCTTTGACGTGAATGGGTGCCTCAGGTTCAATCTTGCTGGATGCCATTTTTTGTTTTTGGCTTTTGGTGGTAGCTGATGGGATGGGCGTGGGTGCTGCTGCTGCTGATGCTTTTCCTCGTTGATGTTGTTGATGCTCTTGCATAGCTTCAAATTGAAGACCACAGCTACTACGTAGCCCACTAATATGCTGTGCCAATCGCTGAAGACTTGATACAGTTCGATCATAGCCATCCGAATGACGCCACATATCAAGGCTGTAAAACTCCAGCTTGGCCTCCTTGAGCGAAGATCGTAATGCAACAAATGATGAGCGGTGGGATTTGATGGCACTCTCCAGCTGCTTGTTGGCTGTAAAATCAGGCAAATCGGCATCCAACAAAAACGTCTTGGTGAGCAACTTTAGCAATATGCGAATGGATTCCAAGGTGGCATTGATATCAGATCTTCATATAAACTTTGGTTAGTGAGGAAAACATCATATTCTATCATGGACCTTGATACAAAGAAAAACACATACTTGAGCTTTTTGGTAGAGCGAGTTGGCCACACAAGATAGCACACTGCCACTGAAATGATGGTACCAATAATAACCACGTTGAATGTCAATTCGACCTTGGTGGCATCAAAGGGCTTGCTGGCAGATGTTTCACGTATAAGAACCGAAAAGAGAACAATGAATGCTAGGGATGATGCTGGAAATGAAAAGTTAACCATTGTATCCATGGCAACCATCAATGATCACAATGACACTTACCCGTACGTATACTTGGTTTATCCAAATGTGCCTTGAGAAATGCCACAAGAAATGTGCCTCCACCAACAAATACGCCAAGTGTAACAATGCATGACGCGAGATACATGTGATGGTCCACCAAAAGATAATCCATGCATGCCAAACTGCATAGGCATACCAATAGCCCCAGTACACCATATAGCAAACCGAATCCTGCAGCTTCCACCATGCCACCCATTGATTTAGCGGGATTGAAAAAGACTGTTACTGTGGCAACGATATGGCTGCTGATAGCTGTACCACCGACGATTTGGTTGAGGAATGGAACAAACGTAAAGAGAGAACCAAGAAAGTATGCAAAGCTGCATTTCAAGATCATCTTTTGTTTGTGAGGAAGGCCCTTACGCCACTGATAGATGCGTTGTACAACAGGGTTCTTGTTGAGACCAAACAATCGATCCGGTTGCTCCTCCCCGTCATCAGATGAATCATCGTCGCTATCCATTTTGGCTCCTTCATACTTGCGTTTCGGCAGCAACAAGGTTGTCTCGGAGGCCCTAATGAAGTACAAGGTTTCAGCTTTTGATGATGATGATGATGATCACGCTACTTTTGCTTACTCTCGACGCATAGGCTGTTGTGGATGATGATGGGGATGATATTGATTAGCTGCATTGGTATCAAGATAGAGCGGTACAGTGGACAAAGACACGGATCGTTTTTGACGTGAGCCATCATCGAACACGACATCAAAGTAGTTGTAATCGTCGCTGCTGTTGTATGTTCCCATATAGGATGTTGGTGATTTTGACAGCTGAGCATCCGGCATTACAGCGGCGGCAGTAACGCTATTGCCTGAAGTACTACGAGGTATCCACCATCCATTGGTACGTTGTTGTTGTTGTTGGGTATGATTTGTAAATGATGCTGCGGTTTGATAGGATGATAAAGGAGATGTGCCAAGCTGTTCAGGTGCAAGTTGATATGCTGAGGATGCAAATGTTGCTGGGAACTGCTGGTGGTATCGTTGCTGTTGGCATCGCACACATTGTGCCGAATGACGGCCGTGAATACAAGCTATTGCTGAACCGGTCATGGTGTAATGTGAAGGATCGTCTTCTGATGGCAATTTCCATATTCCAGATCGATCGTCAGCCATATTGTGCTCGAATGTCAAAAGGGGGGGGGGGGAAAGAAAGAGAAAGAGCGAGGGGAAAGGGACCAGATAAAGAAAAAGATAAGATATTTTACCTTAAAGTTATGATGCAACCCCTTAAGCACCTCGTATGCACATACACAACCAGAAAGAGAGAAAGCACGCCTATGGGTGGGTGTGCTTGGATCAATTCCAGCCTGCTGATTCCCCCCAGCCGAGGCACATCGTTTCATTTTACATCATCATTCTGTAGTACAAGGATAACCAACCACCTCTCCCACATCGTTCAGTCATCTCCCTTGCTTGTATCATCCTCTTGTCATGTATCAACGAAATACGTTTTAAAATCATGTCATTTATCTTCATGAGGACGACGGAGTCGGTGCGTCTGAAACATCAGGGACAATTGTAATGCATCGCCATTAATAGGACACAATGATCCAGATCCAGTCGGGGCTTACTACTGCAGCTACTTGTGTTCCCAACAACTTGTTGCATAGCTACCACCACTCATCTTCATTCTTGCACTCTTTTGGGACCTAGGCTAGTAGTGATCATTTTCATCAACGTTGCATGGACCCCAATTCATTCCATATATAGAGATATCCATCATCATCGATATGAATAAAGCCCTCAGCCAACATGGTTTAAAGGGGAAATCACATAATGCTTATGGTATCAGATTCTCGTGTGCTGGGTAATGATGATCGTTTTAGGGGCAGATTGCAAGTCGAGACCTTATAAATGCCCCCAACGAACAAGATGTGTTCGCTCCCACTATGATATTGGAGATCCCATGGGAGCCGTCGTATCTCCCCCGATCATGGGCCCAGGTAGATCATGTTGCCATCAATATCAAGTAATTTTTGATTGCTCGATGCCATTGGATCGTATTATTGCGTAAACATACACGTATACTACCACTGTTAAAGTGTAACAGGTAGCCTAATATGCAATTGAAGGGATGATTTCCTATGGACACAACAGCATTACCCGATAGCAGATCATTGCCATTGTTGTCTGATGAAGATGGATGTTGCAATCTTTCTAATTTGGATTCGCTTAGGGTGGGCTGATCTATGCATGGATAATCAATCACACCATGGCTTCTGGAATGCAAGGAATTGCATATAAAACGTGTGGCCATTCATCTATGTATCAGCTTACCATCATTCCCTCTCCCTTTTCTCCTTCTTTCGTGATCGCAAAATACCCACGACCACCATACAGATATGAACGAGGATGTTGCCCCCACCCACACAATATCTCTTTCTTCCATCTTTGCGCTCTTTGATTGTTGAAACCTTTAAAGCCCAAATTGACGTGAGCTGCATGATCCTTTTTTCGGGATCCATGTACCAGTATTCGAAATGATCTTTAGTGTTTCATTGTTATTCTATTTTCATTGTCATTGTTGTCATTGTTATAAGGCTCTTTCATTATTAAGGTAAACCTAGTCATCTTGTTTCATGAAGCTCTTTTGCTCGATGCAACAAGACCTTGGGCATCCACTTGGTTTCGGTAAAGTGAAACCTAGTAACAGCTCCTCCAGCAAAAGTAGTGACTTTCGGCTTGGCATTATTTCAAAGAGGACTATTGACAAGTGGGGATTGGATACTTGGCTAGCCTTATTATGATCAAGATTTACTATCTTTTTCTTCACTCTTATCCTCTTATCAAGCGCGATGGTGTTGGATGTATAACTGTTGCCTTATCATTATCAACATTGGATACCTTTGAGACTATGGATAATGACTTGCAATGCTGTCACGTGATGTGAGGGATCCATTTCCCGCTAAAAGGCTTGATCCTGTATTACTGCTGATGTCCGAAAATCTCAATGTCATCTCGAGTTCCCATCGTGCCGAAAGAAAAAAAGTGCTCATGAGCCATTTTATTACCTTACACATCATCTCCAATAAAATTATCACCATCTTCTCATATCCATCATCATTGTATTTATGGACTACCCTGGTATTTTGATCGTATTTTGGCCGTAGTATCATTATCATCATCCTCATTACAACAGCTTATGAAGGGAACTACAATGACGTCGATCGTATTGGGGCCCTCGTGTGCTGGGTCATCATAACAATTTTAGGGGTAAGCATCTATGAAAGCATTGGCTAGTTGCTAGATAGCACCTTACGAATGCCCCCCAAAAACGTGCTCGCTCCCATTAATGGTCTTGAAAAAGGGAAGGGTCAAACGATAATATCAGTCATCCAGTACCAATATAGTATGTTGCGTGGCTGATTCAGACATGGGAGAGAAGTATTGTATTTAGAGCCACCTCCATTCCTTGTGATGTTCCTAGTCATGGCCTTGCAAACTTGTTAGCTCATTTTTGTCGGTATATGCAAGAAGCCATGGATCTGCATAAAGCGTAATCTTGAATTCCCCAAAACAGGGTCTGCTGCTGACTCAATTTTACATAATCAAATATCGAACATCTCCATTTGGATGACGTGTCCTTTACAATTGGGTTATGGTACGCAAGAAAAGTTAGAGTCTACTATAATAGGTTTCAAGAAAAAACACAATAGCATCCACGTTGCTAGAAATGGGCTGAAGAAAATGGCATTCTCACCAATGCTTTGATTGGTTTCTCAAAAAGCACCTCACGTGAGAGGTTGGTGCGCTACAAAAAAAGCTATTTTACTATGTAAAGAGATGTTTGGTTGCGATCCTTGACAATACCTGGATCGCCGACAGGTTGCAAGGATCAACATGAGCCATCACTTTTTCGTCCTAAGCAAGCAACCCACCTTGATTATTATACAGGGGGCTTTTGTGTATTACAATGCACCTTGCATACCTCCAAGAATACGATACCATGTAAGTAGAAGCTGCACACATGTTCCCTTCCAGGATGTGAGTGAGCTATTTGAAGCGAGGTGCGATTAAAGTTATCGGCCACAATGCGTAAACTAAGGTTTAATTGTCGACGATCCATCATCTAATATAGACAACACCAACAGCAGACCTTGTCCTTTTCTTTGGTATCGTATAGCATTGAACGGCTACGAAGCGTAATAGCGGCTCCATTAGACATTTGCTATGAAGGATGATGATGATAAAGCTATGCGATCCATTTCCCAGAATATTATCAGCTACAGGATATACCTTGCGTCACGCGACATGTGTAACCACCAATTGCATATGGAAATCAGTGTCACGCTAATGCGGGTACATAGGGGGGAGGTTTCATTTTAAGGTGTGGTGGCACTGCATGCATGGTTACCATGCAAGAGAGACCAGCCGATGGCACCAAGGAGACTGCACACCATAGTATGCAAGATACAGGTTACCGGTTTCTCTTGGTTGTGGTGATAAATGTGCATCGTATCACTGCAATAAAGAGGATGGTCGTACGTCAAGTCGATCTCTTTTTGCATTTGTCAAACACACGCGTTCACGCGCTCCCGCGCAAGTTTCCGGGGGAAAAAACCTTTGTAGTAGTGCAAAAGTAAAGCAAGCCATCTTGATCACCCACACCTCCTTTTTGTTTGGTTGGCCAGCTTTTTTTTTCCCTTTCCCCTTTCCCACTCTTCCCCTTGATTTCCTTTTTCTTTTCTTCTTCTTCCTGTCATACATATATTTTTGCATCTATTTCTTTCTTTTCTGTTATGATGACTACAACGGCTACCTCTGAAAACAACGACTGCAAAGATACCATGAATCTTCCACAATACTCGTACATGTCACCTTTTAGCACTACAGCTTCTACCACTACACAACCACCCGATTCGTTTTATCCAAGCCATCATGAGTTTATTCATGAGCTGACATATCCACCTACGCCACCAAGTTCTTCTCAGCAACAACAACAACAACAACAACAACAACATCAACAACCATCACAACAACAAGTACAACGTAACATACAAGGAGAAGATGAAGAAGCATGGCTTCCTAAAGGATGGAAAACAGTTGGCAATAGTCGACGTCGTTCTTTACTCGAGGTAGAGACCAACATCCGAACACTTGGCGAGTTGTACCGCGCCTTGTCCGACATCCGTAACCAACTTCCAAGTCCGGTGGCAACGGCTATGGAAGAAGCTCATGCAGCAGCAACAGCAAACAGACCAGCCATGTTAGCTCGTGGGTCATCCAACAATACAGCTACACCTACTACACCTGGTGGTGGTTATGATCCATGGAACCATATCAATGGTGATACTACACCGTCAAGCTTGCTGAATAGCCCTGGTACATTTAACCAATTTGCACAACAGCTGAGCCAATACCCTGCATCTGTGTTTGATGCATTGGTGCGGCTGCACTTGAACTGCACATCGTATCGACGTACAAACAAAGATCGCTTTCTTGAACAATATCGACAAGGTGAGTCCTAGCAAGGTTCATCATAGCAACATGAAGAAGGAAAAGGATTGACTTTTGGGGATCTTAGGACACGTGCATGCAGGACTTGTGTGTGCCATCTATGCATATAGTGCAGTGCATGGGATGGTATGTCATCCGGATCAATTTGGGATATACCCATTCATGGACAAGCTGGCAGAGGATTGCTATCAACTTGCTCACGATCTTGTGGAATTCGATCGACCCAGCAAAACCACCCTTGAAACCTTGATCCTTATGCAACTTTACTCGGCTGCCACCAGCAGCAGCAAACCCACTCAACAATATTCCATGTCCTTGGCAGAACGACACATGTGCATGGCTGAGAAAAATGCAACTCGAAAAGAGGACTTTGCAAGACTCAAAGCATGGATGTTGCAAACCGATTTGCTATTAGCGATGCGTACCATGTCGCCACCTGTGTTATACAACAAGCAGCAACAACAACAACAGCCGCTGGTTCGGTTACGCCCTTTATCAGAAGACGAAAGATTACCACTCCTTGCTCTCGAAATAGAACTTGAAGGTCTTGCTCGAATCAGCCAACATGATCATGATTTGGGATCCTGGCGTGATAAGATTCGGAAAAACTTTCCATATACCAATCATCCACATCCCAGTGATAGCACATCTCGCCTTGTCAACCGATATGCGTTACGCTTGCACGCACTCTTTTTCGCTGGCAAACTACAAATTCATCAATCCAATATGATGCAGTCCCTTTCTCAGCATAATGATCGTGGATGGTCAGATTACTTTACCGAGTTGCCTAGCAACAACAATGACATGGCAACAACCAACCAAGTGGAAGCAGCCCTCATGGAAAGTATGCGTGCAGGATTTGGATTGGTGCAGATCGTATGGACATTGTTCCAAGCCAATGATCGTTGCATGATTATCGAGGTAAGCAAGAGAAAAAGAAGGAGGGAAGAAGAATTGCAAGAGTATTAAATGGGTGTATGTATAGTTGATGGATACCTTGTCAGCGGCATTTTCAGTGTTGTACTATGGTAACAAGATGGTGGAGCGTGTTCATGTTGCATGCCAAGAAGCAATGGTGGGCCTACTTCATGCATTCATGTCATCACCCTCCATGATGCAATCCTCCGGTATCAGGCAATTTGTACAGAAATGGCAGTGTGTTCTTCCATCCAATACCCAAGTTTATGCGTAAGCATACACACACATCTATATACATATCTTTGCATTCCACTACCAGCATATGAAATAATATTGATTGGCATCTTTTATATTAATGGTGATGAAGAGGATGATGTTTACAGATGTATACGAAAGCCAAATTACACAAAAAAAAGAGAAACAAGTAATAGGTATCATGGGAAGAACAAAAAGAAAGAGAGAAAAAGGAAAAACAAAGATGGGCAAATGAAGTATGCTATGGTTGCATCATTTCGTAGTAACGAGAAGGAACTCCAGTGATGCTTGTTGTTTGCTTACTGTATTGGTGAGGTTGATGATGATGATGATGATGATGGTGAGCGGCTGCTGCTGCGGCTGCTGCTGGAGTGGCGGATGAAGAGGAGGAAGAAGTGACTGGAAGATAAGGTGGAGAGGGCATTGAACTGTGAGATCGTAGTGACCATCCATCTGATGAAGAATCAACGCTGTTGGTCCGTTGCATGTGTGGAGGTGGGTAATAATGCGGCCACATGGGAATGTTGTTGAAAGGCGATGGCGGTGAAGGACCACATAATGCACGTACATCTTGCTCCATCACACTCACAAGGGTCTTTGCACGCTCAAAATCATACATGTAGGTGACCGATGCTTTGGAAATATCCACCGAGAGTTGTAAACATTGACGCGCAAAATCGGACCATCGTTCATGCTCGTGATAATTGAGTAATTTGATATAGACAATGTTGGCGAATAGGAACCCAATCAGTGGCACATTGCATTCGTCGTGTTGCTGTGACATGTATTCAAGCGTTTGTGTGATGGTCGATGCTGCATCCACGCATGTATATAAACATTGGATCGAGAATGGTACGGTTGGAAAGTGCTCAGATGGAAAGAATGCTTGATACAATAGGATTTTGTTGATGTTGTAATAAATGTGCACATGCAAAATACAAAACCTTGCAAAGCTTGCAATGTCAATATGATAATGTCGATCGGATGATCCTGCTGATGAGGGTGATAATCCATCCATGGCTGTCGCTGGTGATCCTGAACATTGGCTATTGCTGCTACCACCACCATTTTTGGCTGCCGCTGCCATGGCTGCAATATCGGGGCTACGCCATTCATCGGGTAAGCTGCTGTAAAATTCCTGGAGACGATCTTGTAATGCAAGTAATTCAAGCGATACGTTGGGATCTGCTTTGCCGGGAGTCGTCTGAATAGCCACTAATCGAGACATGACATCGTGTCGAAGAATCTGCAATCGGATAAGATAATACCATGTGCTCCACACGTAATAATCCACCAACTCTTGACGAGTTGCTTCATCATCCTCATCCTCCTCTTTCATGGCATTCATATCAGGCTTGACGGGTGGCTCTGGTAATTCTTGACAAGCCGCTTCATCATCATCCTCAACCTCCTCTTTCATAGCACTCATATCAGGCTTAACGGGTGGTTCTGGTAACGGACAGCATGGATAAAATTGACTCGATTCCACTGATGCACTTGATCCACCTTGCAAGACACGATACCACGTATTGAAATAATACAAGCACCATACAAGTTTGCTTTCAGCCTCAGTAAATTCGCGTCCACTATCATACAATCCAAGCTCTCGTGCCATGTTGTATGCGATCCACTCGTAAATATAAATCACACCCGAATAGCCATTCTGATAGCTGCAATAGGAGAGTAAAATGGCTGCTTTGCAATTGTCAAGCGATGGTTCATCGAAGCATTCGGATAACATTTCACGTCCTTTGAGACAATAGGCAATCGACAATGCTTTGCCCATGTTGTATTGTGGTGATTCGTGTGCCGGTCGCTTACTCCACATATGCAATTGAAATGCGTTACGGGCTGACATGGAGCACATGGCATAAATCAATACTTGGGAAGGGCGATTATCGGGATCGTGATAGCGTCTCATGAATTCGGTCGTATCAATGATTGGAAGTCGAATGGCTGAACAGCATGGTGATCGACAATACAGCTCGACTAGGTTATCTGTCAACTCATCGGTGATATCGATAGGATAATCCTGAGGTACTGCGTGCATGGGATGTGACCAAGAATTCCACACTGCAAACGAAAACCCCGATGATGTATGTACGGAGCTGGTATCATCTAATTCCACTGATTGCGCTATCCTTTGTCGTTCATCGGTTGCTGCTGTTCTCATAGACCCAGGTGATTCACCACCCACTGCTGTTCCATCATCATTGTCTCGATCCCCATCATCCACAGGTGGTCCAATATGCATACTTTTCTTAAATTGATCCACTAGCTTTGAAAGGTCATTGTACGAGTTGACGTTGCTTTCCACTGATAATCCTCGACCTGTGGATGTGATCTTCCATGCGAATGGCTGTAATGGTTTCATTCGAAATGCATTGTTGGTGCGTTGAGAAAAATCTCTTGTCTTTTGCGCAAAATCACGAGCCATACGATCGATCGATTCCTGCCATTGATCCATCACCTTGTTCATTGTCGTCAATACTTGAGACACATGGTTTGCCTTGGGTTCCGTTTTGCCATAGACACATTCAAAGTTATTGGCCTCGCAACGACTACATTTGGGAAGTGTCAAGTCGCATTGCTGTAGATCCTTGAAACATTTGCCGCATGGATACACAGAAAAGTTGCTGGTGGAAGCTAATCGATGCGGCTGTTGTTGTTTGCTACTACTTTCGCATGTTGCTTCTGATGACGCCATGGATAACGTGTCTGATGCTGTATCTGGAGTGGGTGGTGATGATGTTGATGATGGTGTTGCTTGTTGCTGGGCAAGTCGTTGTAATGAAATGGCTCTAAATTCTTTGGGCATTCCAGCCTCAGTCGACTTTAATCGATCACCAAACTTGCGTATCCTATCGCCAAGAGTCTCTGTCGCCTTTTGAAGCTTCTTTAACGTTGGGGCAGCTTCAGGATACGTGCATGTAATGCCTCGTCGTTTACACCGAGAACATGCTGGCTTTTGACGGTCGCACGCATGTCTATATACATTTAAGCAAATGGGGTGTTAAAAGAGGAGTCGAATGAGGGAGAGAGAGAACAAAGAATACATGCCTAAAACCTCTGCACCGAAAGCATGCAGCCCCCAGGTTATTCGAGTTGTTTTTGGGCTGATTGTCGTTGGTGTCGTTAGGTTGGGGGTCTGATGCATCAGCCATGCAGTTGTGGTGGTGTGTTTAATCGGATCGAGATGAGAAGAAAAGAGAGAGAACGGCTGTAGACACGTCAATGAAGTTGGGTAAAGGTGAAGCTAGCGTGAGAACGCGGGAGGAATTGCTGTGTGCGTTGAGGCGGTGGTTGCTGCTGCTGCTGTTCACTGACGGTACAAGGTGCAAAGATAAAGGTTGTGGCAAAGTTATACAGAAAAGAAATAAAAGGAAAGGAGGGGTTGGTGAGCCAAAGGGGAAAAAAGAAAAAGAGACCAGCGCCCAAAGCGCCGCTAGATAAGGACATTGTTGTTGCTGCTGCTGCTGCCCTAAGTTATTATCCCATCCATTATCAATCTTCGATCATAAAAGTCTATTTGTACCTGTCTAGATCATATATTCTTCCTATGATTCCATGTGTTGCCATCTTTGTATATTCCTCTTGAGCCACATGTACCCTATTATCATCATTTCTTTCTATTCTTGACACCAACAAGCTATGTACTCATCCTATCATGGCATTACTACTACAGATATATGATTTCTTTATTCCCTTTTGTTTTCAAGAATCAATCCATGTGCGTATTGTGTACCATGTCCTAATGGCGATATATGATGTCGCGGGCCTTATGGCACCATCATCCGATGTTGTGTGGTATAATTTACCCGTCAGCAGCATCGTTTTTGATGATGGTGCAGCACAAACCCGTTACTATAGTCCCATAATGGGGATCAATGCCTATAGTACAACACCCTCTCCCATTTCTTCTTCCCCTGCATGCGCTTTGATACCGTGCCGAAGTTTATTTAGTAAAGTGACAACATACGCAGCAGGATGATATCCTGAAAGACAAGGGGGGATGGATGATTGATTGTGTTCAAGCGGAGCCCATGCTATAATCGTTTCAGAATACAACCCATCCACATGGTGGTGCAAAAGAAAAAGGAATGGGCAAACTCATCCAAATTTGGCTGGCTACAAACAAAACACATACCACATGTGCACTGGCTATTTCAAATCAAGTGACATGAGTAATAATCTGAATATCAATCTATCGTCTATATTCCATACCACGTTCATTGTGTTGTGAAATAATGAAAGTAATCATCTTCCCACAACTAAAAGATGGTTGAAAACGACAAGATCCGAATGTCTGGATAAAACGGCGGCGAAGCTCCCATCGGCATGATCAGGGCATACCGGCTAAGCTTTACCGGTACATCATGACACTAAACAAGCATACTCATGGTAGCTCTTAATGGCCAGCATTATAAATATGGAGATAATCGTTGCTGATCAAATCCAAAAAGCCATCCTTTATCCTCCAGCAATAGACCAACAATCTATTTGGTACGCCATTTATAGCATCTTGGTCTTTAGCCACCTTCACGTGATATTCTAGGTACGAGGCTTGAGCACTGTAACACGGGTTTTTAGCGTGTGCATGGCCGTCAAGACCTGTCCGATAGTTTGAGTACCACGAAATCTTAATGGCTTTATGCAACTCTCTTATCTAAGATGCAAGTAATCCACGCAATTATGATCCTCAATGATTCGAATAATACCATCTGGTCTTCGTTGATTATAAGAGGACGTTCGTGCGGTATTTGGTAGAGCTATCCACCGCGTTGCCAAGGAGCACCTCAAGAGCTTGATCAGCAGTGATGGTTGTCAAGGAAACAAGTATGAAGATAAACAGTATGGCCAGTGATATTGTTACCCGTGTACCGGGGATTCGCCGCAAGTCGAATAGCATTCCTAATATAGCATTACAATGAAGGTCTTGGCATGTCCGGAAGATGATGCAGATAAAATGGCAGCTCTTGTAGTGCAGAGCAACCAAAGCTTTGATGCTATTTGGTCGGGTAAATCAGCGCCGATGTCTGCTTTGGATATTGCTATGCATTCCACCATCAATCATTTATTATCATTGCTAATGTCTTTACGCGTCAAAAGTATATCGCTCCAAGATCAGCATGGGGTGAACAAGCATCATCTATTGCCTCCTGAATCACACACATCCTTTAAAAAGATCTTTATTGCTTCTTGGATTCACATGTGACACCAAGTAATATGCAGCGTAACTTTATGGGGCGACAAGCGAGCTGTATAGAGGTCCGCATCCTGATTCTTAATTCCTCTTCTTTCTCCTGCGTGTGTTTCGTGTTTCTTTTCTTCTTCTTCACTATGCAACCAGAAGCCTTCCACTCAGCCAAACTCAACCTCACCGAAACGCCAGCATTCACCGATCTGTCACGTTGGCGTCTACGTGTTGAAGAAGGTGCACAGACATGGCATTACCTTGAGACGGACGAAGAATGTCGTGAATGGCCACAAACATTTTGGGACAAGTACCATCTCGGTCTTCCAACAGTAATTTACCTTGCCAGCCTCTTCGAATGCGTTTACACATGTTTAACAAGTTCATTTGGATATAGAATGCACCCACGTTGCCACGAGCCAAAACGCCCCTCGAAGCAGCACGTAATGGATTCGAGTTTTATCGTCAACTTCAAACCGAGGATGGCCATTGGGGTGGTGAATACGGTGGTCCAATGTAAGGTTATATATATACATATCAACAACAACATGGTTGACATGGTACCCGTTGCTAGGTTCCTGATCCCTGGTTTGATCATCGTGCATTATATCACACAAACACCTGTACCTGAACCAATGCGTCTTGAGCTTATCCGTTACTTGTTGAATCGTGCGAATGCAGAGGATGGTGGATGGGGTATCCATATTGAAGGCATTTCGACTGTATTTGGCACGGCATTGAATTATGTCACTTTGCGTATCCTTGGTCTTGGTGCTGATCATCCTGCTATGGTCAAGGCAAGAAACACGTTGCATAAATTGGGTAAGGATCATGTTATTATTGAACCATGGACATCATTTATTCAAGCATGGATCTACTCTAGGTGGTGCTACCGGTGCTCCAGCATGGGGAAAGTTTTATCTTGCTGCCCTTGGTGTATATGAATGGGAAGGAATGAACCCTGTGCCACCTGAATTATGGTACGTGTTTTTTGAATTGACATGTGATTCTATTTCTATTATGAGCTGACATGATGGATGTGCCTTAGGTGCATGCCAAAGTGGACACCATTCAATCCTGGTAACTGGTGGGTGCATACTCGTATGGTGTACTTGCCCATGGGTTACGTTTATGCCAAGCGTCTTACAGCACCTCTCACCGAATTCACCCAATCTTTGCGTGAAGAGTTGTATACTCAGCCCTACGATCAAATTGACTGGAATAAGCAGCGCAACAATATCTGCCCAGCTGATTTATATTCACCCCATTCCAAATTGATGGATGTCCTGAATGGTAGGTCGCTCTCTTCGCAAAGGGGTATATTTGAAACTGATTCACTTTTGATACAGAGGCCTTGACCTACTATGAAATGGTGCCATCCAAACTCAATTGGCTTCGTAGTATGGCTCTCAAGGAAACGGTCAAGCAGATTCAGATGGAGGATGAGAACACCTTTTTCTTGGACATTGGCCCTGTCAATAAGGTCATGAATTGGTTGGTGGTGTATGACCACTATGGCAAGGATTCACGCGAATTCCGAGAACACGTCAAACGCAACCAAGATTTCATGTGGATGGGACCCGAGGGAATGATGATGAATGGCACCAATGGCAGCCAGCTTTGGGATTGTAGCTTTATCATTCAAGCACTTGCTGAGGCACAATTGGCGGATGTGGAGCTTTACAGGGATCACATGGTCAAAGCATTGGAGTTTATGGATATCACTCAGGTAAATATCTACATGGATCTAGCTATTTTTCTTCGTCCCTAACGGATAGGCATTGGTAGATTCGTCGTAACGTGCCCAACTATGAGCGTTGCTATCGTCAAACTTCCAAGGGTGCATGGCCATTTAGTACACGTGATCAAGGCTACACCGTTTCTGATTGCACAGCTGAAGGCATCAAGGGTGTATTGACACTGCAGAAGATACCTGGTATGCCACAATTGGTGAGCGTAGAGCGGTTACGTGATGCCGTGGATGTGCTCTTGTCCATGCGTAACAAGAATGACGGCTTTGCAACCTATGAGACTATCCGTGGACCCCATTGGCTTGAACAACTCAATCCTGCTGAAGTCTTTGGCAACATTATGACCGAATACAGCTATCCTGAGTGTACCACAGCGGTGCTTATGGGCCTGGTAGCTTTCCAAAAAGTGGATCCTGAGTATCGCAGAGATGAAGTATTGCAAACGGCAAAGGAATGTACCGAGTATGTCAAAAAGGTTCAGCGTGAGGATGGATCCTGGTATGGATGTTGGGCGATTTGCTTCACCTACGCAGCCATGTTTGCTCTTCAAAGTCTCGCCAGTGTTCAAGAATATTATGAAAACAGGCAAGTTGGGATATATATTAACCCGGCAAGGAAGTGCTGATTATGTTATATACAGTGAACATGCTCGCAAGGGATGCGACTTTTTGATTTCCAAGCAACAAGCCGATGGTGGATGGGGCGAAACCTATCGATCATGCGAGGACAAGGTGTATACCCAAAACGAGAAATCCCAGCTATGTAACACTGCTTGGGCCGTGATGGCATTGATGGAAGCCAAATACCCACATGAAGAACCTATTCGTCGTGGCATTGAGCTTATCATGCAACGTCAACAAGAGACTGGTGAATGGCTTCAAGAGAATATTGAAGGTGTCTTTAACCACAACTGTAAGTGAAAGGAAACATTGTATGACCGGATCAATGATTAACAGGCTATTGCTTGACTTTAGGTATGATTTCTTATCCCAACTACAAGTTTGCTTTTACCATTTGGGCCCTTGGCAAGTATGCTCGAACATATGGCGACAAGGTGCTCAGAGCTTAATACAGCAACGATCCTTAAAACTTTTACTTATACTTACTACCACCACTATTGAGAATAAAAATGATGTTTGCTATTAGACGATCCATCTATGCTTGCTAAAGTGTATTGATTTCATGTAACAAATTAGCACTAACCCCACAACAATGCGGTGCCAAAGTAGTGGATCTTGGCAGGAGCGTCCATTGCTCTCGTTGTCTCCGATAGAGGAGTTTCCTTTAGAGTGCAAAAGGATTACATCATTGGATAGTATGACATCAATGACTCTTCTCATTTTGTGTACCCACCCATTCTTCATAGTAGCCCTAGCTGAACCCAATTATTTATGCCTTTAACAACAAGTTGAATAGCTAATCTAATATGGTTTTTATTCGCATTAACCGGCAATGGCTATTAAGAAGGAGCATTAAGATAATAAAGCTACATGCGAGACACAAAGATATCAATCATCAATTGCTGTAATTGAGAGGAAGGAGGGAGTTTATAGAGACAAATGGGAAGACAAAGAGGAAAGGATGAGAGAGAGAGGAACAACGATGCAGTGAAACCGTATCCTGTGTGTCAGCTGACTGGAAAGGAAGGGGTTATTCAACACCGGATTTGGGAACGACCTTGTTCTTTCTCTTTCTCTCTCTTCTTCTTTTACACGTATACAAATCGTCACACCATATACATACGCACACACCACATATAAAGCAATGTTAGGCACCTATGGCTGGATATTTCTTACCGGTGTCATTGTGTTCTTCCTTGTGATTGTACTTCTCTTGTGCTTCACCCGATCGCCTATTGCGTTGTCCGAAAATGTTGGCAATGCCGACTTTGACGAATGGCTCATTGAACCTGAAGACGAAGTAGCGACACTGCCTGAGGATGCAAGACTAAGTTATGAACGTGCAAAGGGTAAGTCCTCTGAAAAAGGAATGGGTATTGAATACTAATATGGGAGCTCTTTTATAGTCTTTCAAGAGAGGCATCCACCTGATAGTATTCCAACGGATCTTACTCCCCCGCAACTCATCTCCATACAAGAAAAAGGCGTTTCTGCATTTGAATTCGAGTGGGAACCCGATGCCAATTGTTTTGTGGCGGGTCGTACAGAAGTTCAGTTCATGTATGGCGAGTCTTGCGTACAAACCAACTTGCCGTTGCCACGGAACCAGGATGTATATTATTGGGAGGTATGTAATAATAAGAGTGATGTGATCTATATATTCACAGGAGACTACGTATATAGGCCAAGATGTATGATCTTCCTGATACAACCACTGTCTCTGTTGGCGTTGCTACGAAACCTTATCCAAGTTGGCGGTTGCCAGGTAACAAGATGCTTTATGCGTGTGTGACACTAATAAATACTCATCACCGTCATCCTTTATTCTAGGCTGGAATCGATACTCAGTTGGCTATTTTTCACACAATGGATGCAAATACTTCAGCTCTGTATTCAACGGCAAGCCATATGGGATTCCCTATCAGCACGGTGATGTGATTGGTGTTGGATATCAGCATCGCACTGGCACAGTCTTTTTTACTCGCAATGGACGAAGATTGGGTGATGCATACACAGGTCTACGCTGGAACTTGTTCCCCACCGTTGGTGCCAATGGTCCATGTCAAATCCACGTCAACTTGGGTCAAATGGGATTTGTATTTATTGAAGCGAATGTGAAAAAGTGGGGTTTGGCTCCTTCTCAAGGCACATTAGCACCACCACCAGCCTATGGATTGGAAGGGGATACGATTCTTTTGGCAACCGGTAATAACAGTGGCAACAACAACAACAACAATGATGATGAGGAGAATGATGATGATACCGACAACCAACGTGGTAACGATGATGTCGCAATCAATATGGAGCCTCCACCTTATACATCACCTTCAAGTCAACAAACTTCATCTGCTGCTTCCAACACGGCTGAACAATCGTAACAAGTCCTTGATCCCTCTTCGTTTCGGTGAACAACAATTACAGATACCCCTACACACGCACTCCAACTTTATTATATTTACCCCTCCTCCCATCAATAACATCATTTACTTTGTACATATTTCCTAAATGAAAGCATGAATATACATTATCCCGAAGGCAGGAATAAGCTATTGAATGAGTGATGACAACGGTGATACGAGTATATTGCATTGGACATTGATGATGAGGAAGAGTTTGCTACTATGAGAACTACCTGGTCTTGAGTATGAATGATCTCACAAGTATTTACTGTAGACCAAAGTGAGTACTTTTTGACATTCAACCAAGCTGGATTTAAGTTGTTACCTGAATTGCATACATGAACACCTTGAACCCTATTGATTCATGACAAAACACTTGTATTTATTGAAAGCAAAGGGTGAAAGCAATGAGTTCATTAATGGACGTGTGACCATTGGCTGACAACAAAGTCGTTTTAGGGCGCATGAAGATTTGAGTGCTTTACTACCCGCCCCCTCTCTCTCCTTTACCTGATGCCCGCTGACGACTTCAATTACTCAAAGTAAGTCCATGAGACCAGGAGTTTGACCGTGCCATGGAGTTGGAGTTGGAGCTGACAATGTGCATTGTAGGCTTTCTGAAGAGCTGGTTGACTTTGTGCAATACTTGGCGCCAACGGCTACCGAAAAGCGAGATCGCAGCTATGCCTTTAACGAGATCAAGAAGGTGATCGAAAGGGAGATTGACTCGAGTGAGGTGCATGCGTTCGGATCGTATGAAACTGGACTTCTATTACCTTCCAGGTATGTATGTATGTATGTGTGGGCATTTTAAAGGGTTGGATATTGACATGGTGGTTGATAGTGACATTGATATGCGCGTGGCATTGGAGACCGAGCTTGAGCCAGCCCAAGTGAGACAACTGATGCATCGACTCACCAAGGACTTCAGGAGGTTATCACGACGGGGCTTTTTTTATCGTCAAGTCATGTTCATTCCTGCAAAGGCAAGTTGATCATTGTGGTACACAACGTACCACTCGTAGCTAATTTATGGATGGGCATTTATAGATCCCCGTGATACAGATGGTTGTGCAGCCTTATCGCAACGAACTTTCCGCCGACATATCCATAGCGAACGACACGATTAGCTCCACGCGCACATTGCAATGGATGCGAGAACACAAAGCGCTCAAACCCATCTACTTGTTCTTGAAATTTGTCTTATTACGCATTCAACTTGCCGACGACCCCAACTATTGTCTTATATCTGCAAAAACATCAGGCTTAGCCGGATACTCTTTAGTATGCATGATTGTACATTATATCAAGGTATGTAGGGTATTTGGATGTGGAATCATCAAAGTATTGATCAACCGATGATTAGTACCAAGCTAAGGACAATGCGATGGATCCCAAGGCGCCTGATTACCTAGGACGTTTGTTGATGGGGATACTGGAGTTCTATGGCAACTTTGATTATACCAAAAAAGGCCTACAATTTGATGATACAGGATTCTTTACCAAGGTACTTTACACCTTTCTCCTTCTTTAAACTCGTTGCTCATACTCATTCCTTGTAGCCCAATATATCCGAATGGAAGCATCCTCATAAATTTATCATCCATGATCCAGATCAACCGGGTAAGTTTCGATCATGAGCATCGTAGGGAGCATGTGATTGATAGGATATGATAGATGTGAATGTGGCACGTTCTACCACCACCATGGATCGGATACGAGCTGTACTTGATTGGATACGAAGGGCATTATTGGATACACCTCAAAGTGCAGCATCAATGATTGGCCCACTGGTAGCACCATCATGGCGATTTGGAGCAAGGAATCGAGAAGACAAATACCGAAATGACAAGATTATACTCACAGCACAAGACATTGAATTGAACATCGCTCGCCCTGCAAAGAACTTTGGACAAAAGAGGAAGAGAGAATCATTTGATAATAAGGAGGAAGAAGGTTACCGTTCGTATCGAGACAATACCAACAACACAAAGAAGCCCAAACGATGGAGACAAACACGAGAAACAAGATCACCCCCTACTACTAGTAGCAACCAGAACAATCAACCCAGAGTCAAAGAACGGTGGTCCAGGGAATACAAAGCAAAAAGGAAACAACAAGAAAGACCCTCGAGATACTACTTGTACAGCCGCTCTTTACATTAGCCAACAATCAAATTATCATAGTACAACATTCACATTGATTTGCTTCCTGATTCCAACCTTGCTATTACATAAAAATTTCCACCAGATTTGCTTTTCAAATGATACATCCAACTTAGCGAATTAATAAAGAATTGTACAATAGGTGCATTGGGCACGTGAGTATTTTCGTTGATGTTTCGAGAAAAGTGATTGGATATTTGATAGATAGGGATGATGGAGAAACTTCACGAAACTTCGATTGTCATTCAGCTAAAGCTCAGCAGCAGGGTAGTATCAATAAAATCTTTTGAGTTTTCAAGTCAATTGAGTACCCGGATCCATGTCAACATGCTGTATAATGTGTCAAGGATGTCATTGTAAGCATTGGGACCATGGGATGTGACACAAATAAGGTGGTTGCCTGCCGCAGCAGCAGTAAGCATCAGCAAGGAGGAGATGAAACTATTTCCCATTGTAGATGGTATGCTTCGATGTTTATAAAGTGATGAAAGAATCAAATTTCTATAATAATAATGTACTCCATATGATGAGATAGGTGGATAATGAAATTATGGGTCAAAAGTGGGAGGTGGGGGTGCAGCAGTAATAGTGTTGGTGGTGAGAAGAATGAATTCGTATGCCGAGCGTGACAAAGAGTGAAAGCGTGGCGCGTCGTCGTCTTGTTCACAGCCTTTTCTCTCCTCCTCCTCGTCAAGTACTTGTGAGTCTTTTTTTTTAACTCTCTCGCTTGAAAACCAACGCATCGTCCCTTGCATTGCATTGCTCACTCGTCCATTGTTCTTCCTGATTGTCAGATCTGTCTATACAATATGACTGCCACTGTTAGCCAGCCAACTCAAGCCGATGTGCCTGTAGAAAACGGCAGCAAGTCCCCTCTTGCCTCGCATGAGATTGGTCTCATCTTTGTTCGTGAATATTATACCTTCTTGAACAAGAGCCCCAACAAGTTGTACGGTTTCTATGGCAAGGATTCCTTCATGGTGAGAGGTGATGAGGGTCAATCGTCACCATCGACGGCAATCCAAGGACAGGAGGTAGGTTGATCAATCTCTCGTTTACACGCACACCCCATCCACCCACCCACCCAACAACCCCCTCACTCTCTTTGTTGCATGTGGTATCCCCTTGTCGCTTTCTTTCTCTCCTCTTTTTGTTAAGGGTGACTCATTAATTTTTCTTATACAGGAAATCCGCAAGAAGATTGAAGATTTGCACTTTGAAGATTGCAGAGTACTTGTTTCTCAAGTGGATAGCCAAATCTCGGCCAACAATGGTATCCTCGTACAGGTGTTGGGTGAAATGTGCAATATGGATGGTCCTCTTCAAAAGTTCAGTCAGACCTTTTTCTTGGCTCCTCAAATCAATGGTTACTATGTCCTCAATGACATTTTCCGTTTCCTCAAGGATGAAGTCAACATTGATTATTACACATGTGATGAGGAAAAGGCAGCAGCAGCAGCAGCAGAGATAGCAGCAAAGGATCAAGAAGAGCAAAAAGAGGCGGCCGAGAATACATCTGCCAAGCCCATCACATATCCATCAGTCGTCGAATCGAATAGCACAGCTGCTACTACATCATCTACACCTGTCATTGAGACTGCATCAGTCACCACAAACACACAATCGCCCGTTGTTGCTGAGGAAAAGCCTGCTCCCGCCACTACAGAGAAACCTGCCGCTGCTGACAAATCAAAGGTGACAGAAGGAAAGGATCAGGAAAAGACAAAGGAGCAAGAACAATCGAGCAAGGCACCAAAGACCTGGTCCAACATTGCGGCTGGCTCTGACAACAAATGGGGTTCGTCGTCAGCCTCATCTCCATCGGCTACAGCTGCTACAGCAACTACTACAACTACACCTGCTGCTGCTGCTGCTACTACTACTACTGCCAATGCCACATCCACTACGACCACTGCCACCACCCCTGCTGCTACTACAACCAATGCCACTCCTGCTGCAGAGACCAAGCCTTCTCAAGGCAACAAGCCCTCGCATGGTAAGGATCATGGTAAAGACCAAACCAACAAAGGTAAGTTATTATAAAGGGGGAATTGCGTATTCAAGTGTACTTATGGATGGATGTTTTTCTTTATAGAAACCACGGACGTGTTCCTTAAGAATATCAAGACTTTGACGATTGATCAAATCAAGGAAGCCTTTACAGCTGAATTTGGTGAAGTCAAATCGGTGACTATTCCTCCTGGTAAACCCACTGGTTTCTTGACATTTGCCAACCCTGAGTCGTGCCAGAAAGCTCTCAAGCAACGTCGTGTGGAAGTGGGTGAAGTCCAAGTGATTGTGGAAGAGCGTCGTGTGCCTGGCCGATACCCACGTCATCAACAAAACGGTACTGGTGGATCCTATGAACGTAGATTCCAACAAAACCGTCGTGGTGGAGGACCTCCTCGTGGTGGAAAGTCGCGTGGTGGCGGTAACCAAAAGTAAAAAGGCGCTCTCTTTCGATCTCGCTCTCTCGCTCTGTTTCTCTCGCTGTTTGTCTCTCTTTCCTTTTATTCCACACACACACACACACAACCAACCAACCATCCATTTGCATGATCCAAAAAGTAACAACCACATCATACGGCGCGTAAACTCAAGAATGGCTTAAAGAGAGTCTCTTTCCCTTTTTTTATTTCTTTCGTTTGCTTGTATCAAACTTGTTCTTTATACACCAACCTCTCAACCTACCCAACAATGACCATCACCACTCACTTATCACCTTTTCACACACTCACACAACTCTCACACTTGCTTTATAAAAAAAGGCAAAATAAAAAAAAGGCATGCTTCCAAAAAGGACAACAAAGATTGTATTATGTATTAAGGTATATTTAGTTAATGCATGACACCAGCAACGGTACTCGAATTGGGACGTCTATTGGGTATAGCTTGGTTCTTGTTATTGTTGGCAAGCTATATCAAGAGGAATGAGTTGGCTGGGGGATGTGACTCACGTGACAATTGAATGATTACTTACAAGACAAAGACGACACCAAGGATCAAGACCACCGCTACCAGGATTATCATGCACGACAGCAGCTGAATCAAGCACCTTGGCACAACCCTGACAGCATAAACATTTCTTGTGCCAGCGTGTTGCTCTTGGACCTGGTTTTTCATCATGGACAGAAGCAATGGTCTGATTGCAACCAGCACACACTTTACGCATACCAAATTTAGGTAATGGTTTGGCACGTCGACTCATCAAGGATGAAGGCATCACTTTTTGCTGCTGCTGCTGCTGTTGTGCGGGTTGTTGTTGTTGAGAGGAGGGTGATGTTGGTGTACTGCTGCCGTTAGAATGGCTACTAGCAAGCGTGGAGAGTGATTCCATGGATTGTGTCAATGTAGGTGACAATGGATGGCTATTGATTTGTGGTTGTGGTGGTGGATGTAATTGTGGCACAATACGAGTTTCAGCATTGTCAGGAATCTTTTCGGTCTTTTTCGCACATGGTTGACAATAGGCCGCTGCCCCTGTGTCGGTGTAAATCGACGATGGAGAAAGCACTTTTTGGCATGATGTGCAACGAAAACACTAAATCACTACAAGTTAATCACATGCTCATTTTCACAATCAACGACTACTTGCCTTGGGATGCATGTGAGCCTGATGGATGACGAGATACGCTTCCTTGATATCGGATGAGCATCGCACGCACGTTTGTGTCTCTGTCATTGCTGCTGTGTAACACTTGAATGTCATTTAAGCATACATGTATATGTGTGTGTAACCCTGCATATGTGAAATCCTACCTTGGGATGATAAATTTGACGTGCATTATCCGTGTAAAAGGATGTATCCTTGAAGGGTTCTTGACATTGAGCGCATTTGAGACATGCCCAGTGATAGCGAGTGGTGCTCTCTGGCAATCGCACTGTTTTGCCGCTCAACGGCTGATGGCATGCAGCACATGGACCCGACGACTTTTTCTTACTCTTTTGTGACAAGGATGGTTCTGGCATGGGCTCCTTTGGTTTCTTTAAGCTTGGGTTGCTGGCCATAGGTCTTGGAGAAGGTGCCACTCTTTTCGAATCCCAAAACGATGCCAACGATGAAGGACGTCGTGTTCGACTAAGCAACGATGAAGGTGACCTTATTGGACTACTCACAGCACTCTTATTCCCATCACCTGATGATGATGGTGGTGCAAGTTTGTCAAGCCCAATCACACTTCCAAGATAGCTTGACATAGGAATTGAGCATAAAGAGCATGACCTTGCATAATGTTCACTGTACCTTGTTTGCCATCGATCCACTGAGGGTGTCGAACATGCTGATATTGTATGATCTAATCGGAACATTTTTTGCATCAGTAATGCATGTACACCCAACCCGCCCACTCAGGGACGTAAATGTAAGCTCTAATTACCTTGAATGACGCTACCACATTTACTGCATTTTTCAGATCGAGCCAATTCACCACATCTTTTACAGAATGGCATGATATCGCGTGACGATGGTGATGGGAAAGTAAGGGGTTTATTGAAAAAGAGAGAAAGAAAAGAGTGAATTGAGATGGCAGTTTAAATTTCAAAGTAATCGTCAGTCAAACGCAGTATTCTACCCCTCATCCCCCATAAACCTTTTAAGACTTGCAACGGGTCGTTGTTTACATGTATCTTTTATTACGCAATTTGATCCAACAGTTTTCGTGCATTCCTCACTAAATATTTGTCCTTGTTTCTTGACCATTCCGGTACCACAAAATCATTCAACATGGGATCAGGGGCTACTATTCGTGCCTTGTCGCCCAACAATGAGAATAGACCTAGCCATACGGTGTCTGGATGTCGTTTGGCAAGTGATATCATAAGCGTGATGGCGTATTCTTGCAAGTCCGGATGAAAACGCTCGTCCAAAAAACGTTGAGTGGCTGCCTGCAGCTCGGGAACAAGTTCAGCGGATACATCCACGTGATCAACTACCTTGGTGATAGCTTGAAGAATGGATCCATGCAAACGACTCATGTAAGAAAACGGCGAATAGTATTGCGCTACACCTTCACTTTGTCCTTGTTGCATCAATGTACGAAATCGTGGCCACACTTGTTTCTCAAATCGGCGTGATAGTGCATCCCCCACACTCTCTGCTAGTCGTCCAACGCATACCACAGCTTGTATGATCGTATGATGTTGTTCATTGTCGGATTTCAATCGTTGCATAATGGATGGCCATACTGTAGCAATCAAAGGTACCAAAGTCTCGGGTCGTCCTTGTAATACAAACGCACCATTACCAAATAGCGCAAGTATTTCTGATCGTACATTGGGTGATGGAGATGTCAAAAAGTGTTGTGCCTTTTGCAGGATATCAGCCGTCATCTTTTCAGTTGGCGAAAGGGGTATCTTATCATCATCATCATTGCCATGATTCATTGTTGCTGTATCATCTTCATCCTCATCCATTGTCATTCCTTTCATCTTCTTCTCCTCCTCCTTCTGTTGCTCGTTCTCCTTTTGACGTTGTCGCTCCAAGAAATAACGTCCAATTTCTTCCGTTGTCGCCTTGTCAACTGGGTCGTCAATACACTCTTTTTGTTGTTGCTGTGCCTGAATAAACTCATAAATCTCCTTCGAAATAGGGTTGATATCCTCTTGATGCTGTTCCACTTTTCCTGTTGCTTCAATGTCGTCATCAGTGAAAGGCTCAATGTCGAGTAAGCCGGTGGATCGATAAAAGACAAGGACGATCTCCGTAAGCACGCTGCATAGTTGTGCACATAACCATCCATGCATGTGGAACCTGTCAAGTGCATCAAAGATTTCTTCAACTGTATCACCAAGATAGTCAACCATGGCATGACCACCAATACGAACAAGAGCCTTGAGCACAAGTGGACCTCGCATGTTGTCAGCAAGCACCGTCATACGGCGTGTCACCATGTTGATGATATAATCACAATTGGCCACTGATAACTCCTTTGCGCTCCTCTGCCCACATACAAGAGCAATCACATCCAATGTTGTCAATGCGTAGCTGTGGATCGAAATGTTGGGTGAACCGAGATGTGCCAGTAGCGGATACAATATCGTGATCAACTCATCTTGCATATACTCTCGCTCCAAAATACACGCCAATAGTCCCACTGTTTGTAATCCAAAACATATTGAAAGCACCTTGGAAGTCTCCATCTCAGTGGTTGTCATCGTCGTTGCTGGTGTGGTTGATACCATGGCCTTGCTTTGAGACAATGGATCCTCTTCTGCTGGATCAATCACCATTTCCATCATATCATGAAGCGCCTGTAATGCCACAGTTTTGAAGGCTTGCTTTTCTCCCATATCATCTTCTTCCTTGGGTATACGCAATCCCCAATCGCCACCATCATCTTCATCACGAGAGGAAGCGCCTGAAAGAAGGGCATGAATCACGAAGATGGCTTGTGGCTCCCATTCATTGTCGTTAAATGGATGAATGAATCCTTTGAAGAAATTGATCCAATAACCGACATCACTGCTCTTGCTTCCAATGACATTCAACATGCGTGTCGCCTGTTCAACCGTGTGCTCGGCAACCAGATGCTTGAATCGGAATTTGGGATAGACCAAGGATGCTGTGGCTGAATCCTCTTGTTGCAAATCGACGTACTTTTCACTCTTTTGCCATGCTTCATCAAGAATGTTGAGACCATCACGATCCACAGTGAGTGCAGCAAGCCATGCATCCGCATTGCGAGTGATACCCTTATCAAGAACACTTTCAGCGTGCTTTCCAAGAATGAGGACGTAGCCAGTGATCAAAGCCATAGCACTCGCCTTCTCTTGTTCGTCACCACCAGAGATCAAACATGTAGGAAGACTTGTAAGAGATACATAAAGATTGGATTGAAGAGTGGGGATGATCGTCAATTGCGGAGAAGATTCACTTGTCATTAACTCCCCAACAAGCATCTTACATTCGACGGCTACTTGCTTGTATGGATCATCAAAGTGTAGCACCATCGTCTTGAGTAACAATGGCACACATTTGTCCAATGTTTGTGTACATCGTGTCAACAGCTTGTTTGCAAATCGAACATAGGCTCGTCGTACACGCCATTCGCTGTGTTGTCCACCACCTCCCAAAATAGTCTGCAATTGCTCCTCGATCCGCTGTTGAATTGTTTCATACCATTCCTTGGTGCGTTGTTGTTGTTGCTGCTGCTGCTCCTGCTCTTCAGGTATTGTGTTTGTCGTCTTTGCCAAAATGCCGACATGTGCCAAATCCTGAAATGAATGAACGGCTGGACTTATATAATCAGGAGTGTTGGAATCACAAAGAACATGCACCAGCACATCACCCAGGACATCCAATGCAATCACCAAAATGCGATGGTTCTCTTTTTCCTTCTTTTGGTACATGATACGACATAGATTGGATACGATCTTTGGCAACATGAAAGCAATGATATCCTCATCTCTGAGATTGTCCAATAAAAGTTGTCTGAGCGTTGCCATGGCATCAAGTCGCATTTCCATGGCATCGGCTTTGAGCGATAATTCGAGCAATGCAGTGACGGTGTAACCAATTTGAGATCGAAACTTCACATCCTGCAACGCTTGTATCAAATCAGGTCTAGGCGATAATGAAGAATAGCTGCCTTTTTGTACTGGAAGAATCGATGAGAGACATTGGATTGCTAAATGCTGGATTTCTTCAGGTTGCTGTTGTTGCTGGAATGTGGTTCCGCGTGCTGTTTTATCGGGTGGCATAATCATGTCTGAAAACAAAATCACGAGCTGCTGTACAAGTTGTGACGAAGCAAGAAGCTGCCACCGTTCATAGCTGACAAGTGCAAGCATACATTCAAGCCATATCTCAACGGTGCTGTCGTATCGTGCATTTGCCTTTTTGATACGTAAAAGTGCTGCCACAAGCATATCATTTAGAATGCCATAGATCGCTGCATCGCATGTCTCAAATTCTGATCGCTTCTTTAGAATGACGAGTAGGTCGCGTAATCGCTCATTGAGTTGCTGGCTATCTTGTCGCGAAGTCAAAGGGTTTTTTGAAAAGCATGTTTGGCGAATAGGAATAAGTTGCTCAAAGAGAGGTGATAAAGACATTCGAAAGAAGGGTTAAAGTGTCACCGCATTGACATCCAATGAATTTTGATTGTCCAAACTCCACGTGATCTACGCTACCATGTTGTTCGTTTAATTTTATTCATCCCTTCATGCATCATATGCGTATTTGGCTATTATCACTTTACAACTTCTTTTGTTCATTATCTACCCTTCTTACTATGTTGGGTTATCGTGCCCTTTTCTTCATTGCTCATGTAAATAGCAAATCTGCTTGCTCTAACGAGCTGGATTTCTATATAAGAGTGGAGGAAGGATGTGTGATCTTGGGTAATGCGATCAATACGGATGAGCATCATCGGTGTCGACTTTTCTTGTAGGTTTCAAGGTCTCTCTGGCCGTTTCTCTTCAAGTCTGAATGTCCATTCTTGTTTACAGTAAACCTGTGTATGAGGCCTGGGGATCTAACATGCGGGGATTGGGATCCATCCGCAACCTGGATGGCCACATCTGTATGGCTTTGGCTAAAACGAGGATTATAATTAAGATGAGCACCTTCAATGGTGAAGTAGAAAATGTACCCTTACGGAGATTGATCAACTTCGATTGTTATTCTTCGTTTGCAAACTTGAGAGACCACTACATAGGCCACTCATACGGTGTCAAGTTGTTCTAGCAGAGTGAAGAAATAGTATTAGAATCACATATGAATAAAACACATCCATGGATATATTCTACATACTGGCCCACGCTCCTTACGTATATGAACGTTCAAATCTCTAAGCCTAGGTGAAAAGTGAGCATGGCCGGTGAAGGTGAGGCATGGCGATAGGGCCAGATTCCCGACAAAGAATGTACATGTATTGGTAAAACCTGCCCAGCTCGCTTCGTGAAAACACATACCCACATTTCTTTTGATACAAGCACCTCCCAAGATGTTTCTGAAAAGTGGAATTTGGTGGATCAACCTGCTACAACCTACACAGTGGTGATATGACGGCTTCAATCAATCAGGCGGTGTTTATGTACTCAATACAGTCGCCTCAAAGTGGGTGGCTAGTTACCTCAAATTCCATGACGCTCGGCTATGAAGGCACCAGCAATTGAAGTGATGATGTGATGGAAGAAAGAGATGTGTGGGAGTAACATGGCGGGCGACAACATTATTCTTGTTTATATATGCATGGTGGGCGTGGGGAATTTTGTAACCACAAGCAGGAGGAAATAGTAGTGACAAGCTGATAGATCGATGGGGTGCCTTCACATACAGCATAAATCAGGATCTGATAAACAAGGTGACAACTTTATCATCGAACAATGAAATCAAGATGCTATCGCAAATCATTTGATGTGCTCAAATTTCACGTTGTTTGTGTGTGTGAGGGTTCGTTTCAGAAAGGGAAGTTAATGGCACCTTCATTATAGATATGATGCATCATGCATAAATGTTCATGGCCACCACAGCCCCCCCCCAGGGTGATGATACAACCTCATCCACTGCCACTCTTAACCAAGCATCTATGAATGCGTCTACCAATTCATTTCCATGCAACGTAGTTATATTTTTACATGAGGCTTTATTGAAAGCATGAATGGTCTTGCTATTCAAATTGGAGGTGAATCCATCATTTTGGGTGTTGAGGATATAAATAATAGTGCATTTCAGTGTGTGTGTGCGTGTGCGTACGTGATTAAGAGAGGGAGGCATAATTAGGTGGGTGTCGTCAGTCACGAGCTCAGTCTCCAATTCATTTGATTCTGTTGCTTGGATTGAAATACTACTTCCTCTTTCTCTCTCAGCACGTTTTGCCCTTCCCAACAGCCCAGTGGAATCCCCGTACAACACACATTCCCATCATGAGCGAGCAGGAACAAAGCAACAGTCAAAGTCAACCTTGGTAAGTACTCGAATGCAAGCATTGGGTCGACTGCGCAATCGCGTTCTCGTGTGCATCATGACACTTACAGGTAACCTTTTAGGTCGGATCCATGGCAGCAACAGCAAGCGCAGCCCTCATCGCAAGCATACAATGGGCAGGCGTATCCAGCAGCAACCGATCCCAACTATGCGTACTATCAACAGTACCCTGATCAGTATTACAACTATTACCAACAGTATCAGCAACCACCAAGCTCGGCAGCAGCAGCGTCCGTTCCTCAACAGCAACATGCAGGATACCAGTATGACTACAACTATGCTTATTCACAGTACCCAGCTACCGCAGCTTATGGTGCTTATGATTATTCACAATATGGCGCAGCTTCATCCGCAGCAGCTCCAGCTCCAGGTACATCGCATTATGCTTACGATCATTACTACTATGGTGCATCACCGACATCATCATCTTCGCAACAACCAAACACAGGGTAAGTATAAAAAAAGGAAGAAGATGGATGCATGGATGATAGTACAAGAAGACTAATCATGGTAATGTGGTTTAGTACATCCTATCAACGCCCACCACCTCCACCTCCTCCCCCTTCCAAAGCAGCGGCATCCTCCTCTTACAAACAGCAAAAAAAGGCATCCCAGCAAACACAACAGCAACAACCACCTTCGGGCCCTCCAAGTTACATCGCTGTACCACCAACAGGTAATAACAATGACCCCATTGCAATGTATATACTTTTTATACTCATAATGGATACAATAGGTGGAAAGAAGGCCAAGGCAACGAACGAATCTACTGATACAAGCACTGCTGCGACCACTGCATCCCCTTCTACAACAGCACCACCAGCAACAGTACCCTCCCCTACCCCATCCCATGCATCATCATCAGCGACAAGTACAGCTAACAACAATGCAAGCAAACCACCCTCAGTCGATTCATGGCCCCCAGCATTACAGTGAGTCATTGAGAGCTATATCAATGAGAATGAGGGATTGAGATTAATTGTTTCTTGTGTAGGGAATATGTGGAAGAGGTATTTAACAATTGTTTACCAGATAAGCGTGATCAGGCGGAGAAGCAGCTACGATCTATCATCATGGAGAAGCATAAGCAAGGCACACTAATGACGACTGATTGGAGAAACATGGATCTACCTTTGTAAGTCAATAATGTTGTCAATGAGCAAAATCATGATGGATTAACGCCATTTTATATAGAGCATGTGGTTCAGCACGTTTCCGAAAGCAATCAAAACCAAAGTAAGTGGAGGCATTTAGGAAAGGAAAGGAAAGGAAAGGAAAGAAAGGAAAAGGAGGCGCTCATTTGTATATGTGTGTAGGAAGTTCAAAGGATACCAGGATCAGCATGATAATCAAAGCGTACCTTCCGTTGATCCACCATTGACACGAGAAGAGGAAGAGCGTCGACGAAGTCGTTTCTTGCGGTTCCAAGGCACATTGGCAACCCCACGTCGGGCTTCACCTGGTGCAGATGATACAGCGGTGAGAAATATGGATCATACGATTGTAGGAACGTGCCAAACACTCGAGAAGAACTATCTTCGGTTAACATCGGTAAAGTCCTTGGCTTTGATGAAATTTCGAGACTAAATCATCTTGCATTTTTTTAGGCCCCTGATCCTGCCACAGTACGGCCCTTGCCTATTCTTCGACAGACATTGGAATTGCTCAAGAACAAGTGGAGAAAGGAGCAGAATTATACCTACATTTGCGATCAATTTAAATCAATGCGACAGGATCTTACGGTAGAGTATATATGGATTTGGATATGGAAATGGGTTGGACACTCATATAGGGTCCTATAGGTGCAACGGATTCAAAATGAGTTCACAGTCAAGGTTTACGAGATTCATGCAAGAATTGCATTGGAAAAGGCAAGTTCGTGTTACATGGGAGGAACATGAGGCTGATGCATATGAAATAGGGTGATCTTGGCGAATACAACCAATGTCAGACTCAGCTCAAGAGCTTGTATAAGAAGGGTATTGAAGGCAACGAGAATGAATTTACGGCATACAGGATTCTATACTTTTTACATACAAGGAATTGGTCAGGTGGGTGGTTACCATGGTGGCATGTTTATATCTTTTGCTGATGGATGATCTCTAGATATCAATTCTGAGATGGCTGGGATCTCAATCGAAAGCAAGGAGGATCCTAATGTGCGTCATGCATTGCAAGTACGATCATCCATTGCGACAAACAACTATCATCGGTTTTTCCATTTGTATATTCATGCACCCAACATGGGCGGTTATTTGATGGACCAATTTGTGGAACGTGAACGGGCTCAAGCATTGATGATTTTATGTAAAGCGTAAGTCACAAAAGGACATACACACATTGGCAGGCAGGGTTTATTGATTGATGATGTGCATGGCTATCTATATAGATTTCGACCCTCATTGAAATTGAGCTTCATCGCCAAGGAGTTGGCTTTCGATAACCTGGAACAATTGGAGAAATTCCTCAAGGAACACAAGGCATGGCACGTGACTGGCAAAGGAGAGGATGTTGCCCTGGATACCAAAACGGCATCGGCCAATCTTGCAGAAAGCGCAAAACGGTATAAAAAGATTGACATCAAGGGTCAAATGTAATTTGCAGGGGAAAGATAGCGTGGAGTGTGTGTGTGTATATGTATAAATGAGGCTTTCACAATAAAGGGAAAAATAAAACTTGCTGATTCGTAAAAAAGACAACACATTCACATGTTGACTACTGCTACTACTACTTTTCAAGAATGGCGTCTGGACCTTGCCAGAGATTGATGAGCACCGCTAGAAATAGAATAAGCGAAAACTTGTACCATGCCCAAATCTTGTGAATCATCAACAATGGGAACCACAAAAGCATGGAACACAAGGAGGTGGATGTTGAAGATGGAACAACAACAGAGCGTCTCCTGAAGCGTCGGATAGGTGGACTAGGAATCAAAGGCCGTCGGCTGCAACATGCTGAAAGGTTAGCATACAATGACGGTGGAATGGTACATGAGCCATCTTCAAATCCAGCAACAATACTACTTGGGGATGGATGTAAAGATCGAGCGTATTTTTGTGATGATAGTGATGAATACGTCGATGGAGAAGGAAGCAACATGCCACCTTCACTGGATGATGATGATGATGACATGCTGATATTGCTACCACCACCGTTTGATGTATGCGTTTGGGATTCATATAACATGTGGTGGTGCTGGTGGTGTACAGGCGATGTAGCGGATAGAGGATGTGGTAATTCATGTACGCTGCTTTTTCTATTGGTGGTGGCGCTATCGGTGAAAGTGGATGATGCACGACGACGATGATGACGATGATGATGATCATGATTAGAAGATACAAGTGTGAGAGGTGGTGGAGGAGCTGCTCTGGTACGACGTTCCTTTGCCCATGTCCTTTCAAGCTCACACAATAAACTGGTCGTCTGGTTACTTTTGGATGGCGTCATTGTTGCTGGTTGTTTCAGCTTATCGCTTGAATAGGTGATTTGTGTATCGTTGTCCAAGTACGCATGCTGCTCAACTCGACTACGACGGCTACTCTTATTGCTTGTCGTATCGTCTTGTGTCATTTGTGTTCTGTAATCCTCAAGAGCACCTGTGAGTCGAGTAATATCGTGTGCTTGCTGAGTAAATGCCATTTGCTGTACTTTGTATTTTTGGTCAATGATTTCTAGATTGGCAATTTGTTGTTGCCACTGTTCCAAATCCCAAGTTGCCTTGTCAAGCTTGCTTTGGGTAGTTGCTTTGCCTGCTAACAAGCGCTCATGCTCTTGTTGGAGCTGAGCAAGACGTGCCGTGAGCATGTGATCGTCATATGAGGAATACATGGATTCTTCTGCTGCTGCTGATTGTTGTTGTGATGCCGCTGACTTTGACTTTTCAAGTCGTTCTATTGTTTGTGCTGCTTGATCAAGCCTTGTTTGCAGCTGGTTCATTTCTTGCTCGAGTCGTTGTGTACGTTCCAAATCCGCTTGACGTGCCGCCTCATGTCGTGCCAACGTGGTATCAAGTATGTGCTGGATCTCAGCATTCTTATCGGTTAGCATGCGTACAATGGCCTCATCCGCTTGCTCCCTTGAAATCAATCGCATGGTGCTATTAGAGTCATTGCTTTGTTGACTATCACTAGAATCGACACGTTGCAAAATACGAGATGCTGTGGCGTGGGTGTGGTTGGATCGGGTGAGAATGGATGTCGATGGTTTCATATCCAGTTCAGGACTGCTAGCTCGATTCACATGAAGCGATTTTTCCAATGTCTCGTGCCTGGCCTTGAGTTCCAAATTGTTTTCAAGCAAAGCCCATCCCACTTCAGCTGCCAACTTGATATCTACATCATGGGATTAAGCCTTCGTATCCATGTAAGACGTGTGTAACGTACCTTTTTCTTTGGCTCGAAGTGTTGTATATGCCTCTTGTACAAGGGATCGTAATTCTTCGGGAGATTTGGTATCCAATGTACCTGACAAAATCATGTGCTGATAAATGGCAGTAGGTGAAACAGGTGGATCATGGTCCTTCTTTTCGGGTGGCGATGATGATGATGATGGTAAAAGTTGTGCACTAGAGGATGGTGTAGGCAAATCGACAATGGGATGTGGTGGGTGTTGTGGATGCATTGGAAGAGATAGATGCGGAAGAACAACAGCAGTGGGAGATGGGTTGAAATGTATTTGTATCAAGATAAACAAGGTTCATTCCGCGCATCATCTGTTCCATGCGTTTGAATGCGTGTGAGTGTGTGTGTAATGACTTTGTTTCACAGCAGGTCCCTTAATCTATACATGTATTGCATTTGCTTATCATTCTGCCATTTTCCCTCTTACTTTTCGTTCACCTGACGATCCTTACCATTTCCGATGCTTGATCATCCTTCTTTGGAAATGAAACAAGAAGTGCAAGCCTTTCATGCAACACGCCACCACAACCAAATACTATTTTCTCCCATACACAGACACACGTACGGCCATGTTCAGATGTATAATCCCAACATGAAACTCAATTTCATGTGCACATGGATCGATTTGATTCGAAAATCCAACCCGGGATATGTCGGTGTTCCCAAGATAGACGTTGCAAACTAATAGTAGTAGTAGCCCGCTTTTGCATATACGTGCAGCTGCAGTGCTATTCATATTATGTTTGTGCTCTCAATTGAAATTCATCAGCAGCGTATACGCCCAATAGCTATCACTCAGATCCAACATGTACATATATTTGCATCAGCAAGTTGGCATTTTTTATACTACAACATGCAACAGCTTGATGTAGCGTGGTGGTCATGCACCAGAGGAGCAAAAGAAAACTTGCGCCCAATGACGATACTCCGACTCACCATCTCCACATGACATTTTGTGAAAGAAAAGATGACAATGGAACGACAAAGAGGCTGATTTTCAGGCCGCATCCCAAGTTACAATGATGAACCTTTTGGCTTATCGAAGAAGGACCATGTCTGTGCTTATGCACAGCTATTTACAAGCATGCTTTTCATAGAGGGAGGAAACTTTTTATTAAATCGAACCATTTGAATCTTTCTTGACAATACAGATCCGCGTGAATTTCACTGGCCGGTAGATCATCAAACGAGCCTATGATCCCTGTCACGCAAAAGGGCTCTTTTAATAATGCAACGTACCGCTCGTTGTTGTATCGGCGACCGTAGTGCAGTAATGTTTATATTGCTTCCTCTTTTTTCTGGTGCTGATGACATCCTAAGCGCCCGGCCGCATTTGTTGTGTTGCAACGCATGAAAAACGATATCTATAATAATAACAAACGTGCATATATTACCACAAACAACCATGCACACAATCAATGGAGTCATCAGGTTGAACAAGAACAACCCCACCTTTCTTTTTCTTTTATCGATGGAAGTGTATACGTCGATGGTGTCATTGTCTGCTATTGTGATTCAAAATCATGAGCTGATGATGATGATAGTGGTTGGCATTTAGGAAACGGCCATGGTGCATATCATTGATGGCTGGCTGATGACTTGACAAATTGGGTAATAGCATATGGCAAGGGGTTCATTGGTCTTCTTAAATAGTGCCTTGCATGTTCTATAGAACACATCCCCACCACACCCCGTAATAAAAGCGATGCTGCTGCTAGTATAGTAGTAGTAGTAGAGATTACATCTTGGCAAACCCAAATTGTATGACATCATGTCAACCAAAAACTAAGAATCCCGCACACTTTGTGCTACGCATATGCAAATCGAGTTTTTATATAAAATGGAGTGGTCTAAATTGAGTGTGGAATGAATTATTATTGTGGGAGGTGCATGGCATATAAGCTACTACTAAACAATGTCTGTGCGAGCAACCCCTCCCAATTAAAACAGAGAAAAGAGAACAAGAAAGAGATCGGGTATTATAAAAAAGATGCCCCTGACGTATTACAATGAGTAAAGTTGATATAACCATCTCCTCCCTCCTCTCTCTCGATGCCTCTCATTACAAGATGCTCCGCTTGAACATTGTTTGACACGCGCTCATTGCCGTTATACTGCATGAAACGCAGCTCCAAGCTCCAATGGCGATGCCAGAGTCACATGGTAGGACATAATCCAGATTTGGGTTTGTCATTTTCTCTCTCTCGCTCTCTTCTCTTTTACATTTCCTTTCTCTCTCTCTCTTTTTTGGTCGTCCTCTGGACGCAACATGTCTATTATCCAATATGCACTCGTCTTGGTTTTATTTGTCCTTGTTCTACGTTTGATTCGCTGGATCGTAGCGTTGCGTTTCCATTTGCAGTTTCGTCGCGTTGGTTTCTTCTCCATCACCGGCATTCGATATCATCAACCAAGCAACATTGACAACACCAACGCATGGTCGATTGCTGTTGGCAAAATCAAGACACGTCTTAAACGCCCGGCATGCGCCACATCCACAGCTTGGATAACCATTCATCTTTCCGACATTGAGCTATCGTTGAGCGATCTAGGTGCATTGCGAGCAGCAGGACAAAAAGGACGAGGAGGACTACAACAGACGCCTAGCAACAGTTTCAATCGTCGACTATCGAGTGTTGGGGATCAGATTGGAAGGATACCATGGTGGTATTCGATATCGTTGGTGAAGCATGTGTTAAAGTTCATGTCTGCACTTCCAGCACAATTGATGATGGCAGGATTAGCCAACTATGTGGATGTACGAATCGATCGATTACGAGTATCATTGGATCATGTGGGCGTCTTGGAGATGGAACGCCTCGATTTCAGTTCAATCATGTTTGCTGCTGTTTCAAGAGTGCCTTTGCATCGGCCATCAAGGATAACACCAACAACATGGATGGATGCCGTACAACACCATTTCACATCCGACTCTGACAACAATAGCAGTAGCAGCAGTAGCAATCATCATCATTTCCATGCCAGACGACAACGCCATTCACTTAAACGAGCCGAGCATCTCTTCAAGGAGAAGTTTTTCGAGATCACAGTCCAAATGGGCCACGTGGGTTTCCATCCAGCAAATGGAACGACGACCAACGACATTTTAAGTCTGCCGAAGGGAAGCCGAGTTGCCATCTCATGCCACTTGTCAGCAGGTTGCGTCACACTTAAAGATGTGGATGTGAATATGCATGTTGATGCTATCCAGGTATGGATGAGTTGGGTGGAAAATAAAATATAGGGAGGGTTGCTAATAGGCTACTATTTAGCTACGACTGGATCAGGTTTCTCGTATCACACAAGCCATTCAATCGATTCGTCAACAAGCAAAACCATCACGGCAACAACAACAACGTCGTCAAGGAGGAGGAGGAGGTAGTGGTGGTGGCAACAAACTCACACGACTTGTACGCAACATGACAATCACCATATCAGACACAGCATTTACATATGAAACGCCACTCGGCTTGTATTCATCTATTCGATTACATACATTTATGATATCGGCAACAGTCGCAACGATGGTTGTTCAGGGTAGTGTGGAACACATTAAATGGTCCGTTTTCAACGACAAGCCTGAATCAGCTACTGAATACATTGAACCTCTCAAGATACCCCGCACTCGAATTTCAATGGCTATGGTGAATGGTCCATTAGTGAGCAATATACCAGCAACCATACCCGAAGATGGCGAGCAGCTCACTACTACCACCACCACAACAACAGCACCATCTTCGATGCTCAGGAACATGGCATTGGATCAATTGGTAGGCAACAAAAAGGGCAACAATACCAATGCAGCACGACGACGACGACATGTGGAAGCGAATGTTTCTTTCAAGGAGCCTAAGTTGACTGTGGATATGGACAAGATTGGACTATTGCGCGCCTTCCTCAGTGATCACAAGACATCATCATCATCATCAACAGAAGACACGAGACATGAGAAGAAGGGCACATGGATTCACAAAGAAAAACAATTTGACAACTTGCCCAATGTTTCATTATCAATACAACTGGAGCGGCCCTTGTTGGACTTTCGTCATTCAAAGGATGGTGGTCATGGACTTGTTAGCTGCGTGGATGTGACATTGGAGGTATCCGGTGGTTATGTTCCATTGACAAAATCAGTAACGTCACCACCGATATCTCCTCTTTGTGAAGAATTTGGCGTACGTAAGCGGCGACAACCCAAGCCATGGAGCAAGTTATTCAGAAAGAGTTGGAAACCGGAGCCTGAGGAAATAGCAGCAACAGCAACAGTGGATGAATGGATGTACCATGCGAGAGCAGGGATCAAGATTGAGCATTTAGCAGTACGTTGGGCACGTAGCTTGAATGCTGTTGCCAAGGAGCCAGCCTTGGTGACGGTTGAGCGTGGTGAATTGGGTGCACGTGTACAAATGGCAGCAAATGTAACGAAGGATGATGATTCAAAAGTGACATGGGCATGGGAGAAGCAGCACAACCAAGTCGAATTTTCGGTCCGTGCACCTGTGTTACATTTCGGCATACACAAACAGCGCGACCTTGCATTTTGGATCAATCAAATTCTCAATTCACTCAAATCACCCAAAATACAGCCACAACAACAACCACGACATACACCACCTATGGATCCAAGGATATTGAAGCACATCAAAGTATCAGTATTGGTAGCTGATCTTGCAATCATCTTGGTCAGCGTGGATAAGGGAATCAAAGGTCAACGTCCTGTACCGGATCAGCACATGGATAACGCACCAGAGCACGATATCGATTCGCAAATGACGGTGGGATTTGAATCACTTTCTTTGGGATTCAGTGGAACAGGTGTTGCCCGCCAGCATCGATTATCCGTCTCATCCGAAGATTCGCAAGAGTCATCTACTCATAATCGCTATGGCATGGTGCGTGGTTCGATCCAAAGCTTTACGGTGCGAAGCGGCTTCAGTCCAAGCGAAGATCACGATTATCATGGCGATCATTTGCTCTTTTGGAGTTCTCGTGTGAGCTTATCAGCTGATTTATTTATGGATGAGACATGTGCAGCTGTCTTGTCACCGGCAATGGTTGTCAAAAAGTGCGGCTTTCAGTATTCGATTCGTGAGCATTATGCAATCATCTTGGCATTATACGACTTTATGGATTTGAAACGACACGTTTTTTCGACAACACAACAAAAGACAACAACACCGGGAAGACGCCCTAGGGTCAAGGTGGAAAAGGCCCAGTTGCAGATCAATCGAGGAGACGTTGCTCTTTCATTACCCAACAAGACCAAGTTGTATTGGCGTATGGATGGTCTACGTACAGAGATCAAAATGCATGGCAATGATGATGATGATGAGGAGGAGGATCGACAACAGCAGCAGCAGCAGCAGCCTACGCTCAGCATTCGTAACATTACACTTTATGGTGAAACGCCCAAGCAAAAAGGCAAGTGGGATCAATTATTGGAGCTGGACAATGTTTCTTTTGAGCTCATCAAGTCGAGGGATAAGAAAACATTCCAATTTGTCATGTCCAAATTGATGCTACGTGTCCCCTATCAATATGTGGTTGCCAATGTGGTCGACAATACGGTCAGCTTTATCAAGGCTCTCAAAGCCATGCATGGACGATTCTCCAATACCAAGCCATTCACCTACCTTGGGCCTTCATTGTCACCTGGTCCACGTGCACTGCCAACCATTATCTTAAAGTGTGATGCGTTTCGATTGCATTTTGATGATGATCCTTTCGAGATACGACTACGCATGATTTGGCGTACCGGATTGGCTGAGCAGCAATCAAGGCTTGCTTTGCAGGAAGCGTTTCAAGCCAAGGCACAGACGATCATGCAGGAGGCATCATCACCCAAAGATACCGCCAACATGAACACCGCCGCCACCGCCACCGCCACCGCCAACAACGCACCTAGTAGCGGACGTCGAGCTATGGACAATGAGCAAGCACGTAGCAAGTTTTTGGGCAGTGGAATGAAAAAGAGTGGATCAAGTTCTGGACGTGACGATGATGCAGCTAGCAGCACAGCTACGGATGATGACAATGATTCTGCCAATGTGCGTGTGAAAGAAGCATGGCATGGGTTGCAAGAGATTCATTCCAATTCCTGGATCAAACATATCAATGAGGCTATGCATAAGGAGGAATCAGAGCACGAGTCCATTCGCTTATCCGATTATCGACATGCTTGTATGATGGGTGGATTGGATGATTTGTACGATGAACAACAGCATGATGAGGAATCCATCGCCAGCCTATTTTGTATCCAGACCATGCCTATTCCACCGCATCCACCCTTATTTGATTTCACCATCATGAACATGTCTTTTACCATGAGGCAGCCTGATTTCCCATTGGATGAGACGCGTCAATTTGTGCATGAAAACGGCAAAGGCATTCCTATTGATACAAAGTTTTCCACACTGGTTCCCTTCCATTTGGATTGGTGTGCGGGTGAGACATGGGCCCAAATTCGCGATTATCCATTGCCGGTCTTGTTGGTACCACCTCCTACAGGCCATTGTGAAGTTGTTGGCGATGAGCAACCTCCCGTATCATGGTCATTGTCGGGTGACTACGTGTTGGGTGATGAGCTAGGCCATTTGGATGCTACACGACGCATTAATATACCCATTGTTGTTGCCGAGGATACCCTTTCCTATTCCATGGATATTGCACGCACCAGCACACCAGCCAAATTTTATTCGATTGTCAACATTGATGTGCACACCCAAGACATGTCAAGCATTTCATGGTCGGTGCCATATCAACCTGCCATCCAAGATGTGTCAAGAGTGCTTGATTCGTTCACACGACCTCCTGTGGATCCATCACCCAAAGTCGGTTTTTGGGACAAGATTCGATTACTCATCCACACACGTGCCAAGATCTCTTTTGTTGGTGGTGGTGACTTTGCGTTCTTAATGAAGGGTACACGTGATCCCTATGATACCAGTGAACGTGGTTATGGCCTAGCCAAGGTGTGGAGCAATGATGTGGCATGGTTGATCAATCACGACAATCCTGATCGCGAGGTGTTACAAATTATCAGTCGAGATTATGCATTTGGCGTGCCTGATTTGGATTATGGCGGTTACACAGCGACCTATATTTTGCCGGGTATCAATGCCAAAGATGATCAGCAACAAAATCATGATACGCACGACAAGAATGCATGTGCACCCAAGCGAACGAGGACATTGACATCATTGCTTAATGCTACGCGATCGGATCCGAGATTTGTCAAAGTGGCGCTCAAGCTTTCGGATGGCATTCGTATGGGTATTGGATTTCATCTTGAAAGGATGTGTGGTTGGGGATGCGAGAATTGCAAAGATGGTGGATCAACTCGACGTATCTCTATCAACCCACGTCTCGACACGACTCGATGCCGCTTTTTGCATTTCAAGCCCCATTATGGAGTCCGTTTCAAGACACCACAAGCAGTGAAAGCATTACCCGATCATGGCGAGGTATGGATAGGATTCATTATGGTTGACAAAGGAAGATCACTCACTCATTGTTTAATGTAATTTACAGGGCTATGATGCATACGAAGGATTTCGATCACACTTTATTCACATTTCGATCAGCATCATCAAGTTATCATCTGAAAAGAATGAAAAGATCGACATCTCCACGGCCAATCTCAATTCGATGCATCTCTCACCAGGCTTTATGGATCATTTTGTCACGTGGTTCCGATTATTTGGCGGTGCTATGGGCTATCCAATGCGTAATGGTCCACTCTTTCCACGCAGCGACCCACGGCCCACCAAAAAGTTTGGCAAGCATATGACGAGTATGAAGTACAAGGTGATGCTTCATCCATTGGTGATTGGATACTTTTACAAGGATGAATTTACGAGCGATGATAACAAGCATGTTGAAGAGACGGGTGATTCTGTTGGACTCAAAGGTGTCGTGGCTGGCTTCGATGTGGACATTCATCAGCGACGTGAGATTATTGATGTGACCAACCACAAACTTGACAGCAAAAGACTCAAGGCCAACTGGCCAGTGCATGAAGCGGAGATTCATTTGAAGAGCATTGATCTACGTGCCGTCAGGGCAAGATTTACTGGGACTTCTGCTACTACTACTACTACTACTACAGCTACGAATGGTCCTGGAAGTATCAACAGTGGTAGTGGTGGTGGAGGTGATGCCGGCACCATTGGAAGTAGTGCACCACCCTCTATCAACATCACGCATCGTTCAAGCGATTCCATGAGCGACAGCAGCGTGGATCCAGATCTCATGGACGGATTGGATAAGCGAGCCAATGAGGACAATGAGCCATCCGATTGGGCTGATCCTGATGACTATATCGAATTGCGAGTGACGGCTCCTACGACCCAACCCACTGTACAAGTCCTTCCTTTTGTCTATTCGCCACTCGTGTACTATCTCAAGCAAACCAATCGTGGTGGTCGTGACAAGTATCGCTATCTGAGAGATACACATAATTGCATTGTGGATACGGCTGGTGGTATGTATGAGCATAGGACAAAGAAAATAGGATACAATGACCAACGACCTTCATTGTATAGATACACGTGAAATCCAGATGGAGCTTTTGAAGCAACGTAGTCAAGACATTGATGTACAAATCCGCAAACATCAGGCTCGTCTCCATGTGGTTGAGAGCAAGTATTCCGAGACCGACGATGAAAGGTTCTTGGTAGAGGTATGTAAATTGTAAAGGTTGATTTAGCATGCATTTTAACGCGTTTCTTTATTAGTCACAATCCATTGTGGAGAAGACTGAGGTGTTATTTGAAAAGCGCAATCAGCTACAGCGTTATCTTAAGCAACTCTCGACACAAACGATGCCGAATGTCTCTGATACCAGCAGCACGTCTGACAACAGCACCACCTATTCCACATCAACCGTATTTTGCAAGGATTCAGTTGCCCGATGGGAGGAATTGATGGGTTATTTCAAGCAACGCTGTATTGTCCACAATCCACAAATCATTTGGAACAACTCAGTCCGCAACATCATCTATCATTTCCTCGATCTTCAAGCGCATCGACGTGCATTGACGTATTATGGCTCTATGCGTGCTGTCAAGTTTTTGAGAGATCTCACTGAAGCAACACAAAAGCAGCGAAGATGGAAACCTGATACGGTTGTGGTGGATGATGATGGCGATGGCAACGGCGGAAGTATGCCACATGAGCTATTGGAGAAGCTTCTTTCCGAACAATACACCAAGCTTGTGGCAACCAATGAGACCGAGGATGGCACCGATACAGGTCGTGCACCCGACAATGATATGCCTGCATCAGGTGGCAGTATTGATGTGAATGATCCAGTCTATCAAAAGAACAGTGTCCCTGAAGGATACAGCATCAAGAGCAGTTATTTGGTGGATCTTATTCATCCTCAAGTCAGCTTGCAGAGCGATCGTGATCCCGATAGCTTGGTGCTCATGTCCAACGAGCGTATGCAAGTGAAAGGATTTGCTATCACCGATGTCAATGACCCTGATGAGGAAATGGATCTTGTAAAGGACCGTACGATTGTCAGCGTGGAGAATTCACAATTCTTTGTGGCGAAAAAGGAACGATTTGACAGCGTGGATCTACTTCTTGACAACCATTATGGTGCTAAGCAAAGCGATCGATGGCTAGCATGGATTCCACCAGAGATGTTGATTGATTATGTCAAGCGCACGGACAAATTCCAGCGAGTCGGTTTTCGATTGGCAGCTTCGATCCAATACGACAAGTATAATCAGCTTCGATTCAAGACGCATCCAACATCCTTTGCAAGAATTCATCCATTTGAAGATCGTTGTGATTCAGTGCATCTCAGCTTCCCCGAATTGACATTGACAGTCAACTCGCAGCAGTACAATGCTATTTACGAGGTGGTGACGGATTTATTGTTGTACAAGGAACCAGCCAAGAAAGAACGCCTTGATCGATTGCGTGAAATTATGATGGCAGCGGATCGCAATAGCCTACACGAGACAACAGAGCGTATTGCAAGACATCAAGATCACGTGCGTCAACTTGTTTACATGTACACCCAATATCGACAACGTCTACCGCATCTTGATCAAGGACGTATTGAAGAATTTCGATCCATTCGAGCGGCTATGCGTGAACAAATGGAAGAGTTGTATTTGGGTATGGAGGCTATCAAGCTTACACAACAACGCAGCCAACGTGGCAAGAATTATCATGAGCCCAAGACGAATCTCAAGTTTGTGTTTTCTGCCGAGAAGATTGTATGGAAGATGATGCTTGATCAGGACAAGCCATTATGCGAGTGGAATCTTACCAACACCATGTACATGCTTATCAACCGAGAAGATCGTTCCAGCAGCAATACGGTGGAAGTCGAAATGTTGCATATCAAGAATACCACGTCATCTCCAGTGTTTACTGATGTGATTGCACCGTACTATGGAAACAACAAAAAGGCACCTGATTTCTCACGCAACAAGATGCTTCGTGGCTATCTCGCTGATTTGCCACCCGTTGGTGGTATTCCCGTGATACAACATTTGGAGATCAACTTGTGTCCATTGAGGTTGCAAATCACCTATGAACTTGGCAAGGCGTTGGCATCTTTCTTATTCCCAGTCGAACGACGCAAATCAGCAGGCAATACCACATCCAACAGCAATGACAAGTCGCCTGTGTCTCCTGTGACAGCAGCGGCGGCAACGGCTCTTGAGAATGAATCAGGCATGCAGGTTTCAGCTTCCACCGGTGACATGTTTTTGGCAGCTTCAGGCTTGGAAGATTTCCAACAAAGTGCACCCGCTTTACTTGAGAATAACAACAACAACGGCAATGCTAGTACAGCTGCAAGCGAGTCGACCTCTGCACCAACATCCATGAAAAAGGGTCTCAAGCAAGCCAAGCGTAAACGAGCAAAAAAGGCAGCAGTGGATGATTTATCGGTCATGAAGAAGCGTGCATCTAGCAACAGAGCCTTTTTGCTAGTCAAGATCCCAGGCACTCGACATTGCTTGAGTTATCAGGTAAACATTCTATTATTTATTCATTGAAAACGCCATGTCTCTTACATTCTTCCTTTATTGTATTCAGGGTCCCAAAGAGAAGAACATTGAGGATTTACGTGATTTTACTTTCCAGCAGCCTACTCTTGAATACAGCAATGAGACGTGGTCATGGTATGAGTTGCTTGCCACCGTTAAAAGAGGTATGTGTATGTATACATTGTGCGAGGACTTCATGCCAACATGTGTGTAATACAGATTTCATGCGAGCTGCATTGTTACACAACAGCACAGCCTTGTTGAAAGAAAAGCTCACGATTCGCCGACATCATACAAAAGAACAACCACCTCACAAGATGACTGAATCGGGTATCTCGACGCAGAGTACACCTTCCGATATGTTTGGGGATGCCGATACACGTATCTATGGCGACAGTGATAATGAGTCAAGTGATAGCACGCAGGATGAATTGGAAGAAGGTGAATTGGATCATGATGCTATATCGCTTCGGTCAGTGAGTTTGTATGATCAAGATGCAGCCGAGTCAACAACAGCACCCTCCACATCATCACATACACCATCACGACGTTTTATACCCTGGTCTCTAAAGTAGGTTTCTCTATGGATGGGTGGATGTATGAACACGTTTGCTCACAATCAATTCTTTTTTTTGTAGATCTCGCAAACGTCAAACCTCCGATCAATCACACGACCATGAACAACAACAACAACATCATCATCATCCAAGAGACAAGCGCCATAGCGTTGATAGCATTGAACTTCGAGGGGAAACATCCACAGCACTCGATGAAGAATTGACTACCAAAGGACGTATGCTTCTTGGCAAAAAGTACAATGGACCCATTTATGCATTCGCAGCTGGCCCAAGTAAACCTCCCAGCAAAGGACGCAAAGTCAAAGTCAATGGAGGCATAGACTAGTTGTTGCATGCAGCTTAGTAGTACCAGTGTAGTTGTAGATAATCCATTCCAGAATAAAGCATCATTCGATAACACAAAAGAGGTCAAAGCTTAACGAGGTATATTAAAGATCTGCTTTATAAACAAAGAACTCTGATCACAAGTATCATCATCACACATTATTGTTAGAGAAGGTCGTGTATTGAATGCATTAATATGAAAAAGCAAGTATGATAGGATGACTAGAAAGAGGCGCGCGTATGATGGTCATTAATTGGGAACGGTGAAAGCACGATAAAACTCTAGACCGGTATCTTCAGCAGTTGCCGAGATGGAGACATTGGCACCCACGAAATAGACGTATCCATCTTTGAGGTCGAATTGAGAATTGTCGGCTTCTAATTTACCAGCACCACGAGTGACGATGAGGATGCTTGGGCCTGAAATGGGTTCATGCGTTTCAGCTTGTCCTTCTGCAAGTCGCGTCAACACCACTGAGAATTCATCGATGGGTGGGTCGTACAAGAGTGAATGAAGACCAAAGCTTTCCCCCTTCATCTTTTGTGATTCTGCTGATCCATATCGATAAGTGAGCATATCCACCAACACGGCCACATCCTTGAACTTTGGTGTTAAACCAGCACGCACCACATTGTCACTAGCAGCCATACATTCCACACAATCTAAAATGATCCTCCTTGTCAATAAAACAGCTTTATCCTTATTCCCCATCCATACATACCTCCAGACAAATAAGCATGGGGTTCATTAGCACCCAAGAACATGGCTTGACCAGGCTCCATGGTAACATAGTTCATCACGAGCATTGAAAAGACGCCAATGTCACCACCAGGGTACTGTTGATCCAAACGCAACACAAGTTCATCCACCACGGTCTTTTCATTCTTGCCTCTTAAACGCTCGGTAAGGTGTGCTAGTTGTTCCTTGACCTTGTCAGCGGAGCTATTCATGATGGCAGCAAACACATCCTTGAGCACAGCCTTGTTTTGATCTTGATTCTCTTGCTTGATGGTATTCTTAAATTGCTGCACCTTCTCATCGCCCACCAAAGCTGCCAATTCGGGGTATGTGTCAAGATGTTCAGCAATCTCATTCAGGGGCCGGAAGCCGCATAACGCTTCAAACGGGGTAAGAGCAATTGCCATTTCGGGCTAAACAACGCGTCCAAAAACATAACAGGCATTATATTAGTTCGATTGGTTCCATATTCCCTCACTCACTCGTTCCATCCAATATTATTACCTTGTGATTGGGATCCTATGTTGAGTGTAATCACGCGACAAGAATTAGAATAAATCATGCCACTCCAAATGTATAGTTTTACCTACCTTGTAAATGTTGGGGAACTCGCTATGAAGACGTGCACCTAGCGCCTTATCAGGATGTGCCTGAATAGACAATGCTTTGCGAATAGATAAAATCTTGAATAAAAAGGGAAGGTCACCGTTGTACTGGTTGTAGATTGTCTCGGTACTCAATTCTGAATGAGCTTGAATGAGATCCTTGAGTGGCGTGCGAGTGTCATCCATGACAACGGATGGTGCATTGGGATGAGTGCCCATCCATAGTTCAGCATAAGGCTTGGCGGGATCCACGTCGACGCCAGACTGCTTTGCATAGTGTGCAACCTTGGAAACGTCACCAAGCTTTCCCCAGTCATAGGATTGTGTTTTGGCTTCAAGACGATATACGGCGGGTTGCTGAGTCATATCAAAAGTAACGAAATGGAAGAGAAAAAGAGAACCAACAAGAACGTGTAGAAAAGGTAAAGGCGGGAAAGAGAGGGAAATGAGATCTACACCCGCATATTTATATGCACTATTTAGGGAAAGGTCCATTCAACCTCTCCCGCGGGATTCATTTTTTCCCGTTCAGCATACCGACATCCCTTGCCTACTCGTATGATGATGATGTTTACTTGATAGATTATGTAATCAGGTGCATCCAGCCACTTTATAATAATCACCTTGGCGAGAAACATGTACGAATAAAGACTCTTTAGTGATACAACATCATCAAACTTGGAATTACATAGTCGATTGTGGTGGGTGGTACTAATAGACCGGTTTCTCGGATGGCAAGTTCTGATATCGATGACTTAACACGTCGGCAGGTAACCCCCTTTAGCCAATTTTTTCAGTATCCGATAGCCTAGAGCAAAGTTCGAATGGTTGTTGCCTATCCAACAATAATCTTCATTCAAGCGACCCGGGTATTGTTGATATAAAGAAAAGACCCTTGATGATAACCAATTGCCTGCTGGCTTGTTGCTTATAAATAGGATCCATCATCAGCTTGTCGCTTTCCTCATTTTGATATAGCACGTTGCATGTTCTTTGAGTACGATCTATGAGAAATTGGGACGCGATTCCATTGCCGCTATCAAGATCCATCTTCTTCAGCTGACTGAGCATTGATCATAATGATTATGATTTCCCAAGTTGGAACCAGGTGATTGAAGCATTTTACTGCAATGCAGCAAATGATGGTCAATCCGCTCAAAATGGAACTAATCCATCAATTGTGGTCAAAGAGTTCCCTTAGAAACCTTCAGTAGTGGTATTAAAGACGACATTATTCGCTTTGCATTGAAACACACGCGACAAGATGAATATAAATGAGTTGTGTTGGGATGGATAGCATCATCAGCATGACTTTATATACGTTGTCTAATATGAAAATGAGCTACATTGGAATCTAGGAGCACTTGATCACCGGCAAAGATCTCATGGTGGGTTGGTGTCTTTTATTCCCAATGCCAATGCTTGCGGGAATTGAATCGATAAGCTGTGGTATGTATGCTGCTGCTGCTCGCCTTGTTCTCCAAAGAACCTTTTCGTAACCTCCTCCTTCTTGTCACCCGTTCACAGCTCTCGTTTTCCTGCATGGATATCAAGAACTGGTTGCAGACCGTCTTACAATCGGTACGTTGTGCGTCGAGATAAACCTTGTCTTTGGAGTGCTAACAATGCGTATAGTACAAAGAGCCGGATCGAACCTTTCGAGATGTCGATGCCGTTTTGGAAATGTACTCGTCCTTGAAGCCAAAGATGGACACCTATAGTAAGCATTGAGATAAACGTATAGATTGTGAGCGTCGATTGTATTGACAAGCATTTGAAACCAATAGCGTACAACGATGGCCATACGCAACTACTACTTTGTGTACACGGCACGGTTCCAATCACCTATCGATCGATACCATACTATATTCCAGTAGCCTTTTGGATTCCAAGCGAGTACCCACGAAGCCCGCCTATGCCTTATGTTAAACCGACATCCAACATGCTTGTACGCGAAGGGAAACACGTTGACAAGAGTGGTTTATGCTATCATCCTTATCGATCCTCTTGGAAGGAGAATCCGAATGTGAGTATCTATCTCGATCATGATGGGTATCAAGCTGTTATTGACAAGGGATGATGGGTGGGGGATCGGATTGATTATAGAAGCACAATCTATTAGAGCTGGTTGCTATCCTTCAACAAGTGTTCGCTCAGGAACCACCTGTATACAGCGTTGTCCCATCAGCCGCCACCGCCGCCGCCACAACTGGAAGTCCTATGTTATCTCATCCACCACCCTCCATTCCTGCCAAAGTGAATGATAATCGACATTCGTTGCCAAACAATACACCACCACAACCACCATCACAACCACCCGCCATGCCTCCACCGCCACCACAACCACCACATCCCGTTTCATCCACCTCAACACCTTATTCACCTTCAACAACTACTTCGGATTCTCCAACATCCAGGTGGCCTTCAGGTGATGGCACAGCGTATTACAATATCCAACAAGGTCTTGCCGTAAGTAAGATGGTGGCATGGAAATGGGTAACCCTCAGGAGGATAACAAGTTGGGAATTATTAGGCCATGAGTTTGAGTCCACAAGGATACACATCATCGACACCACCACCCATGCCGACATCCACAAGCAGTACAAGTGCCATTCATAAACCAGCCTCATTACCAGCTTTATCACCCGCACTTGCCAATAGTAGTATTACAACAACTACATCAGCAGCAATGAACAATAGTACACCCGCCACATCAGCAGCACCTGGTGCAGCCACACCACCACCTCGCCAAGCCTTGCCAAGAACAACCCCCGAAAGTCGGGAGCGTGATTTACAGGATCGATTGTATAGAAAAGTGGCGGAGAGGATGCAGGCATTCAATATGGCAGTATCAGGCGAAATGGATAAGTTATTGGTCATCAATCGACAACTCAATGATGGCGAAAACGAAATCAGGCACGAGCAACAAACACTCACAGACATGCTGCGTCGTTTACAAGATAACATCCACGTCCTCAAATCAAGGGATCATGAAATTCAAGAGATCACTGATACCGTCAATGCCATGCCCGATATGGCGGTCGATGAGGCACTTTGCGGGACTACCATCGTTTATAATCAGTACGTAGAGGAGATGTGTATGTATTTGGAATATGCGATTCATCTTGTTTTTTGATCTAGGTTATTTGATTTGGTGGCGGATGACAATGCTATTGTGGATACGATTTATTATCTTGGCAAAGCGCTTAATTCGGAAAGGATCGATTTGGTCACCTTTATGAAGGTATAACAAGGACGCTCAGTGTGTTTGAAAAAAGCTAATCTATGTGTGTATCCTACACTAGTTAACGCGGACATTAGCACGTGAGCAATTTATGAAGCGGGCCTTGATGAAGAAGATTGGAGATGCACTTAAACCCCCATCCAGTGAGACATTACCACCATCATCCTAATACACATACTATTCGGCTCTTTTTTTTTGCTGTTCAATTTGTTGGAGTGAATGACAATGGCCATACAACACGTGTTGTTCAAAAAGATATTTATGCATGAGCATGCCTTGTGAGAAATCTCCGTAACGTACTTACCGATACACACACACACCTATGGATCTAAGGAGGCTTTTGCAATGCATAATGTCGTCAATCTCTCTTTGATTCATTCTCTCTCACTCTCACTTTCCCCTCTCCTTTGCTGTCATATATACCCACTTGGGGAGTAAACTACGCGCGCAATGCATCGGAGCATCTAAATGTGTGTGCGTATATGGATCCCCACTTTACAAGCTCGCTCTTTCTCTCTCCTTGGATGATGCATTAAATATATTTTCTCATTTTATACTCTCACGCCTTGATCTCTCTTTTGATACTCCATCTCAACACCTTGTCGACCCAAAGATGAGGAAACTGCAGCAGTAACGAAAATGCACGCCAGTCTCAATTGCAATATAGGAGAAACAGCCGTACGTATATGAATGGATTCGGAACAAAGAGACCACACCACCACCCTTTGGTATGCATATCGTGATGTACACCCTTTGTGATTATGTGCAAAAGGCCTAGCATGTTGCGAAAAATAGATCGCTTCATCCCTGGGATCGATGCCAATCCATGCACATACATAAACAGGCGGAGAGAAGATACAAATAGATACATAAAACTATGCTCATTATCATACTCACCTCCTTGTCAGCATCACCATCACCACCACTACCACGATCACGCGTTCTTTGTCTTTATCGCTCTCTTACATACAAACCCCCACTCCCCTTGTATCCCCTTTTTTTGCTTTCCTTTTCTCTCTCCCCCACTACCCCTCTTTCTCTCTCTCTCCACATAACTTTGACTTTGCAACATGTCTTTTTTTCATCTTTTTATATAATGGTTTTCGAGATTACAGCTTACGTAAATGATAGTGAATACGTTTGTTGTGAAAGTAGACAAAAAGGGGAATCAATGGTGTCCTGGTTTAAAGAGGAAGGGGGTGAAGAGAGAGAAAGAAAGAGAATGTATGCGCTGCATGAAATGCGTGATGTATGCCAGTATGATTTGGATCGTGCAAAATGAAATGTGTGTATATTAGTGTTATAGCTAATGTAAAGAAAAAAGGCAAAATGATGAAGCGTGGTGAATGAAAATGTCATGATGAGGGAACAAGTGCGTTGAATGTGCGTGATTGAGTGAGAGAGATGAGTAGGTTAAGGATTATGATGACTTGAAAATCAAATGATTAGGCCGCTCATTTTCGTTTCTCTTGCAATGAAAATGATGGCATAGATTGCTACTGACGTTGATGAATGAAACGATAAAGAGCGTTATCATTTGCTTGCACGATATCCAAATCATATATATATATGCATACAGCAACACAAGGCATGTCCCTTTCTTCACCCCTTGAATTTTCATAACATCAATAAAAGGGATGCGTTGCATGATAATGGTGGTGGTCGTAGTGTCGATATGATGATAACGCGTGAGGATGGTAATGGTTGGGAGGAGATGGCGGTGGTTGTGCAATAGCAGCATGGATGTGTCGTGGTTTGCGGATGTACATGTTTTTAATGCTGTCAAAGCACCAGCAACGAGTGCAGTGTTCACCAGCACTTAGAAATCGATTACATGTTGCACAACGTTGGTGGCAGTCGGCACAAAACCAGTCGGACGAAAGCACCTTGTCGCAGGATCCGCAAATGACCTTGCCGTCGTTAGGATCATCATGCTGTGGCTGTTGCACGGGTGAAGATGGTGGTGAGGGAAAAAGATCCATATTTGCAAAAAGGAAAGTATTGGGTGCGGATAAAAAGTGGTTGAGTTTGCAGGTAGATGGATGAGAAAGAGAAAGAGTGGAGAGAAAGAGTGGGAAAGAAAGAGAGATTTCTTTTTCAAGTTGACAGAAAACAGCTGTATATTTATAGATGCGTAGGATGTGATGCGCACTTGCCATTGCTTCAGGGCGTCAAAATTTGTCAAGTTGGAAACCGAACCTTATTAAACAAGACCGACTCCCCCGATATACATGGCCATGACGAGCAACCAAGCAACCAGCAACATGCTGAGTGAAGCAAACGAACGATACAGGAAGGAAATATTGCATAGCCAACAGGTTGTATGCACCCAATGTGACACTGCGTTTTCCCCCCTCCCTTTTCACCCCCTCTCACTTACTCTCTTTTTCTCGCTCTCTCACTCCTCGTCGTCCTTTCTCCTCCATAGATCCCCTGTTCCCCTCTTGATTTTTATTTATTTTTCTACTGCTAACCCTCCCTTATTTCATGATCGCTTTGGCCTAGGCCTCCTTGTACAAGATCCACACACGTGGATCATCGGTGTGTGTGTGTGCTTCGTCATGATCGATCTAGAAAAAAACATTAATCCCGGATGATGATTCAACTCTTAGGATCATCACCACCATTTCCCTTATCACATTCTCCTCCTCATCATGTTTCATCCCGTTGTAATACATATATCCCGCTTTGTTACACCCACATCTTAACAAGATCATGATTACATACATCGTGCCAAAGAAAGCAAAAAACAGGAAGCAAGGGTATCTCAGGGGTGGCTAACAAGTGAAATAACCTGCATTGCTGTTTATCACCATTGTATCCGGATGATATTAGCTGGTGCAATCTCTTGTTGTATTTGCTACTTACCCCTTTCTCAATCCAATCTTCGTATGTAAAAGGGCCGAATGAGCCGTATCATAAAGACCCGAGCATCGTGTATACCATGATCACCAACAAACAAAGGAAAAGGTTCTCATTGTGTTGCTTGACATTGCATACCATGTATCCACAACATCATACGCCATATTTAGTAAACATAACATACGGCTCTTTCAGGAATGACGACCGATCAATCTACTGCGTCTCTTCTATAACATTAACCGGTATCCATTATACATGCTTGAACATCCACCACAGCATGTATGGGTCGGGGTAAAACAATGTCTTAAAACTACCTCCTTATAAACCTTGTAATGGCATGAACGTAAATGTACGTTTGATTATCCCACAGCATCCACTCAACTTCGATACCAAAACGTGTCATATATGTACATGTCACTCATGTCTCTTTAATTGGATGATCTTTTGTGTGTGTATAAAGGCTGTAAATTTCTATGCCTTGGTAGGAAAGCAAACTTGCTTGCCCTGGGTGAATCCTTGAATACCTCCGTCAGCAGCTTGTTTCATGCTTCCTTCAGACCATTCCACCTCAGTCCAGCGAGGTTCACGCAATTGACCCTTATCCATCAATTCGACAAGATCCTTGAGCATCTCATAGCGTTCTTCATTGGTGTGGTTGTCAGTCCAACGAGTCATCCAAAAGCCATGGAAAGAAAAGTTCTTGAAAATCAACATCGAAGCTGGGATAGCCAATGGAGCACGGGCCATGGCACCATAAGTGACATATTGACCATTGTGGCTGTGGATAAATGTGTTGATGTAAGCGTCTTGTGTATGTGAGCGTGTGTCCTATCCCCTTTCCCATGCATATCGTCATATCCCCATGTCATCCAACATCGTTGATAAAGGAAAACCTCCTCCCAATGCCCCTTCTCGCATTCTTTCGCTGTACCATAATCATCCGCAATGGTGAATAACCCGCCCTGAACTTACCCCAGATAACGTGCCATCTCCGTGGCGCTCTTGCCACCAACGCAGTTAAGACCAAGCAATGGGGGTTTACCACCAAACCACTCCTTCATCTTTGAACGCATCTCGTGAGTACCAAGCTCCTCGTCAGTGACCACATGGGTAGCGCCCAACTCCTTGAGTTCTTCTCGCAACTGCTCAATTTCGGGTCGATTGCGCACCACGTTGACAGTATTGATACCCCAAGCCTTGGCAATCTGAATAACAGCTTGACCCACGGCACTATTGCCTCCATTTTGAATCACATAATCGCCTTAAATATAAAAAAAGTTAACTTTATGAAATCCATGATCCATCAAAAGTTGCTGAACTTACCAGGTTTGAGTTGCACAAAATCTTTAAGCATACGATAAGCGGTGCATGGATTCACAGTGATGGTAGCCTTTTGGATCAATGATGTGTTGGTGGAAGCAGGCAAAGGTTGGAAATCAGCTTCGGGACCAGCAGCATGGGTACGCCATGTTCCATAACCACTACGAGCCATCACTACTTGGTCTCCCACTTTGAGGTTCTTGACATTATCACCCACAGCAATGACTTCGGCGACACCTTCGTTACCACCCACGGCAACCTTTTCACCTTCACCAAGCTGTTCAAAGGGAGGCTTGAGGGGATACACGCCTTGCACTTGGTTGATGTCAGCAGGGTTGATAGGAGAAGCCAAAAAACGCACATGCACCGTATCAGACGTCAAAGCTGGAAGCTTGTAAGAATGCATTCTATTATACATGCAATCCATGTACCGTCAATAACATAGGCACGCGTATTGTATGTGTGTATGTGTCAACACTTGCCTCAAGACCTCGGAAGGCTTGCCATACGATCCATACACCATGGCATTCACCGTAATGTCAGAAGAAGCACTTGAATAGGCACGACGCACCAATGAGCGACCGCCCATTTGCTGTGTATGTTGCAACAACGATCGAATCAACAAGCCCATGTCGACAGGTTATGTAAATATGCAAGAAGCGAGCTCTCACGCTTGTATTTGCGAGCGGGGCTAATCAAATCTCAGATACCCGCGCTAGAGATCAGTAGAGAAAAGGAACTATTCGGCAGTGACCACAAAAAGCACGTGCACACGCGATATCTTAGCCGTGGTGGTGTGGATGAGTTATACTATTGAATACAGCCTTTGTTCAAGACACGATGAATCCATCAAACCCTTCCTCTTCCTTATTTTTTCCTTTATCTTACACGTGGATAAACTTTTACTATCTTTGTATAATACAATGCATAAAGTACCCAAGCACTACAAGGTCTCTTACATTATGGAATCTGAGAAATGGCCCTTTAATCAAAACATAATTCACAAGAGATAGAATGAGAGGTACAATGAATTGCTTTTATGGGGGTGATCCATCGATGTGGAGAGGTTCTATCCTTTGAGTGTGCATTGTGCAAGGATGCGTGTGAAGTGGCACTCAATGCGTGGTGGCGAATTATGCACGAAGGGTGATGGTTGTATACGGTTGACAGGTTGCACAAAGAATGATGGTAGTAGTTGTCATGAATAGCGTGTACTATACGATAATTGGATGCACCGACCCGTTCAGGATGATAGTATCAAGCACAATAGCCTTCCCCACGTTTTATGTCCATGTCCTTCCTTCCAATGTTCCAAACCAATATTGAGATCCATATCCATATCCATACCCATAAGAAGTCGTATGTATTGAAACAAGTTGCTACGCGTATATAAAGCTGCTTCTATACAATGGCTATCTGCTGTCCACATGAACACAAGTTGTAAGGGATTTTGCTGCAAGTAAAGATCGCTGTTCGAGACAATGCAGTAAAGACATCGCTGATAGGAGCTGCTGTTTCGCTAGAGCGTGGCAGAGGAGTCTGCAAAAGCGTGTGTTGTAGTAGGGTGACAAGATTGCGAACGCTGTTTGAGACAATGGAGTAAAGAGCTTGCTAATAACAATTGCTGGAATGAATGCTGTTACCCTTGAACGTTGGTGGAGGAATGTGCAAGATAGGGCATGTGTCAAGAGACGCGTGTGTTGTAGTGGGGTGCACACGCCATGGACTTGCCATTCAGTCAAAGACAAAGCGGATCAAGATAACCGTAGGAATGACATGATGGGGTAAAGCAGGACAATCGTTGGCAGGTGGTAGTTGTATACTTGAATGGGGCCAACAGTTGAGAATGGGAAGAAGAGGCAAGAAGTTGGGAGTGGAAGAGCTGCAAATTAAAATTGGGTGAATGTCATTTCTTTGTTTGAGTGCTGTTCAATCAAATCCCTTTGGATCAAGAAAGTTGAAGGATGGACATACTGGGCTGGAGCAGGACAATCGTTCACATGCATTGGATTGGACAGCAAAGGTGAAGGGGAGGAATGGGTTATTAGCTGGCAGTTTACAAATAACTTTGCAAAATGATCTTTGTGAAAGTGGATGATGTTTTGTGTTTCAGCGTTTCTCAGCCAAACCAACACGGATCAAGAAAGTTGAATGATGGGCATGCTAGGCTGGAGCAGGGTAATCGATTACATCCATTGTATTGGACAACAAAGGTGATTGGGAGGAATGGGCTATCAAGTGGCAGTCTACGTATAACTAACCAGATAAATTTCTCTGATTTTGGATGATACTTCTGTGTTTGAGCGTTACTCAGTCAAATCCTCTCGGATCAAGAAAGTTAAATGATGGGAATGATGGGCTGGAGCAGGACAATCGTTCACATGCATTGGATTGGACAACAAAGGTGAAGGGGAGGGATGGGTTATTAGCTGGCAGTTTAGGAACTATTCCTAAATAGTGTACAAGAATCATGCATCACCTGTGCTGACTGACTCAAGTTACACAACACGTCCCTCTGCATCCTTGGTTCTATCAGGATCTATCTACTTTACAATGAATAAAGACCTCTTTTCATATAGCATCACGCTTAAAACATAAAGGTGCCTGTATCTCCAAGCTTTACAATCAAACGTGGGCTCTTTAATAGATGAACGTGCTCGTCGGGGTCAAAGGAATCTTGTGTCAAAGTATGAAGTTCATCGTGGCCATTCCCAGATTTCGCAATGTCGCTACCAGCCAAACTGGATCTGGGGGTCGACCTCTTCGACGACGACGACGACCAAAAAATATTTTTTGGGCTAGTTGCGACATTGAACGTGAAACTTTCACACAAGGTGCTGTTGGCCAAGCCGACCCCATTGCTCTAATAAAAACCACACGTTTCATTGTAAAGTTTGGAGATACAGGCACCTTTATGTTTGTAAGCGTGATGCTATATGAAGAGTGGCCTTTGTTCATTGTCAGTCAAAGTCTCTCCTGACAATGGAGCAAGTCCATCGGTGTCAAACCTGACACATGAATGCTGTGATCTAATTTCTCCGCTTTATTGAGCGAGTGCAGCTAGAAAATTTGGATACAATAAAAAGTCTAATCTATAAGTCTAAATGTTCTTTGATCTTTTTCTTCGCTCGCTGGTCAAAACCGCACAATGGATCAACCCTCGCACAATTCACCACCTCCCAATCCTATGTCGGAAGATGGCTCTCAACATGCATCTCCCTCTACATTGGATATACAAGCGATGGCTCAACAACTCCAACAGCAGCAAATCCTATTGCAACAGCTCCTTCAACAACAACAGCATCAACAGCAATCGACAGGGTTATCCTCTTCGGTACCTGGTTCTCAACTTCATGACTTGCCTTCACGTCCATCCTATGAATGGCAACCTGATGAACACTTGACGGCTCGTATGCCAACCTTGTCGCTCCCACTGTTTGATAGCACACTATCAAATGACGAGAAACAAGTCATTTTTGATCGATATCCGCCAGTATCTCGACTACGGTATGCTCCACCTGAGACATTACCAATCGCAGACCAACGCTTTAATAAGTCGCAGAAACTACAAGACCAGACTCTGCGACAAATTCAGTATGGCTTGTCGGGTGTCTTACGTCCTCTTGATGTCCTTGGTTATGTCTTACACCAATCTTTGCCACAAGACCAATTGGATCGTGTCTTTGCCATCCTTCATGATTTGAGACTTTTGGTGCTGCACAATTGCGGTATGGTCAATTCCGCTCGTAATCAACTGGCTTTGCGGGTGGTGAATCCTGAGTACAAGATGCCATCAACAGACAAGACATATACAATGGATCTCACTACTTTCAAAGATACGTTGTCCCACCATAATGCCTTGCAGAAGGCTATCAAGGAAGCCAATCCTCGTGGTGGCACGCGTTATGGTAACTCGTTTTTTCGAGCTGGCCCGTCTCGAAATGCCGATGGCGGGCATCACAGTTCCGGCTCCCGTTATTTTCAACAACAACAACCACGACGTCCCAACAACAACAACCATCGAAGAGGAAACAGCAACAACCCCTTCAGAAACAATGCACAGACCACTCAACACAGCACCAACAACAACTCCCAGTAGGAGGTCGTCTTCACCATTTCCATCGAGCCTGGTTACGTTTAACCAACAGCAACTGGGTTCATTCAGTGATCAAAGACGGTTTCAAAATTCATTTTGCTCGCCAACCTCCTACATCAATGCACCATCCTTACACACAACCACCTTCACAAGAACAGAAGAAATTGCTTCGTCAAGAAATTGCGGATCTTCTTCTCAAGAAAGCCATCGAACCAGTGACAAGTCCATCACCAGGTTTTGGAAGCACAATGTTTGTTATCCCCAAACGCAATGGCGGCTTTCGTCCCGTGTTCAACCTGCGCAAACTGAATCAATTTATCAATGCTCCTCATTTCAAGATGGAAACCTTACAACATGTCGTCAAGCTCTTACAACCAGGAGATTTCCTCACTTCAGTGGATTTACAAGACGCTTTTCTCCATATATTGGTCCATCGCACATCAAGAAAATATCTACGCTTCCGGTGGCAAAATCAGCTCTTTCAGTTCAAGACTACCCCTTTTGGCCTTTCCGTGGTTCCTTGGCTCTTCACTCGTTTGACTCAACCAATCCTCAAGTGGGCTCGTTCACAAGGCATAAGGGTATCGGCATACTTGGACGATTGGCTAATCATGGCACGTACGGAGGAAGAAGCTCGAGATCACACCAATCAAATGATCTCTCTTCTTCAACATTTGGGCTGGTTGGTGAACTTCAAAAAGTCTCACCTCCAGCCCACCCAGGTAATAGAACATTTGGGTTACATGCTGGACACACACTCAATGACTATAAAGTTGCCAGGCACCAAACTTCGAGATCTCAGGCGGTCGATCAAACAGATCTTGATGCATCCTTCTCAGTCTGCTCGCAAGATTCACAGCCTGACAATGCGGATCAAGGCAGCAACCATGGCAATCTTTCCAGCAGCCATGTACACACAAGGATTGATGAGGTTCAAGAATCATTATGTACGCCATCAGCAAGACTGGGATCAAGTGCGACCTCTTCCTCAAGAATGCATAGACGAATTGACATGGTGGAATCTCAACCTAGAGAAGTGGAACGGACGATCAATCATGAAGCCAACACCATCATCACGGGTTTTTGTGGACGCCAGCAATCTGGGATGGGGAGGTGTAGTACAAGGTCAAGTGGTGCAGGGCACTTGGACACAAGCGGAAGCACAACAATCGATCAATTGGAGGGAATTGAAAGCTGTACAACTCACTCTTCAATCGTTTCCCACACTGTGCCACACCTCCATTCTCATCCGATCCGACAACACAACAGCAGTGTCATACATCAACAAACAAGGAGGCACTCGTTCGGAAACCTTGAGCAAATTGGCGACAACGATTTGGGAAATGTGCCTTCAGCGTCATCTCCATCTACAAGCACAACATATCCCAGGGATCCTCAACTCAATCGCCGATCAAGCTTCTCGACAAATATTTGCCAAGAATCAGTGGCAACTGCTGCCAGCAACCTTCCATCAACTTCAACAAGCATGGGGTGTACACGACGTCGATCTCTTTGCGGACCGCACCACAGCATTACTTCCGAAGTATGTGGCGTGGAAAACAGACCCATTAGCATTGGCAACAGACGCCTTCACGTTGACATGGAATCGGTTCAAGAGACCACTCATTCACCCACCTTGGAATCTGATTCTCCCAGCATTGCAGAAGGTCAAGAGAGAGAAAGTCACGGCCACAGTCATAGTACCTTGGTGGCAGAGTGCGATATGGTACCCACTTCTCAAGCAGATGGCAACACGTCCTCCAATCATTCTCAATCCGAAAATACACACTCGTGTCACATCATCTCTTACCCCCAATCCATGGACAAACCCACGTTGGAAGCTTTCCGTGTGGAGTGTCTCAGGCGCAAGTTTCGCTTTCTAGAATATCATGACAACACGGTGAATCACCTTTTGGCAACCAACAGGTCCCTGAATGCTCGCTCTTACCGCAAGTTTCAGCTTGAGTTTCTCAGTTGGTGTATCACACAGCAAGTGGATCCAAACCATTTCACCATGGCAACACTCATCAATTTTCTCTCCACCATGCGCTCTCGTTACTCAGTGAATTCATTACCGCTTATGCGTACAGCCATTATCCATTTTCATGTTCAACCATCACTTTTTCAACATGATTCTCAACTCGAACAACTATTCAACATATGGCGTGAAGAGGCACCACCGGTCCCAATCGAACGTCCCCCTGTTGATTTGACTCCTTCTTTTGCATTTTGTCGCACGATTGAATCTTCGGCTCATTCATCTTTATACAATTTGGCTCACAAGACGGTTTTCCTTCTTGCTATCACGGGTTTCCTTAGACCATCGGATCTACATCGTATCAATCTCCAAGATTCCTTTGTTGATGGCTCTCGTTGTTTACATCTTTCTGTGGTGGCACCCAAGGAGAAACGGAATGGTCGTCGTATTGTTAAGGTGGTGCGCATCAAGCCATATCCTCAAGATGCTACTTTGTGTCCGGTGACAGCATTTGAGGCTCTACGGGATCATCCTAATACGGTTAATCGTCCTCCGGGTGCACTATTTATTAGTACCACCAACGCTCGTGTGGCGGCTTCTTGTGATACCATATCTCGTTGGTTACGCAATGTGGTGTCACGTTCCATCAATTCATCATCGTCGGCTTCAAGACGACCTGCTATGCGTTCTGTGGCTTCGGATTTGGCGCTCCAACATGGCATTCCCCTTGATGATGTAATCACTCACGGCAATTGGGCTTCCTCCATGATGTTTGATAATCACTATCGGCGTTCTCGTCATATTTCTTCTGATATCACATCTTCGGTGTTACCTGGTTCCTCTTCATCGTCTTCGGCTTGATCCTGGTTCACGGTTTTTCTCTGGAGCTGCATTCATGTGTCAGGTTTGACACCGATGGACTTGCTCCATTGTCAGGAGAGACTTTGACTGACAATGGAGAGCTAGTCCGGAGGACTAGCTCAAACCTGACACATGAATCTTCCCACCCACGCCTCCCTTTTCTTTTCCAGCTCGCTCATAGATCAAAGAACATTTAGACTTATAGATTAGACTTTTTATTGTATCCAAATTTTCTAGCTGCACTCGCTCAATAAAGCGGAGAAATTAGATCACAGCATTCATGTGTCAGGTTTGAGCTAGTCCTCCGGACTAGCTCTCCATTGTCAGGTAGGTGGACCCTGGCAGAGCAAAAGATGCAGAGGGACCTCTTTGTGTAACTCAGCTACTTTGCATGACTGCAAGGATGGAAGGATGGTACTGTATACTATTGACAATAGCCGATACATTGCGAGCTAACAGCCATCTCCTCATAATCGGTACTGATGTCCATTCTATGCCATGTGAACAATGCTCCTGCTCCAGACATTCATTTCCTTGATTCAATTATCTTGATCCGAGTTGATTTGGCTGAGCTACGGTCAAAGAGAGATTACATCAATCCATACATCAGCATACATTCGAATGTCTCAGCTGATTAATCCTTGTTCGACCGTAACTCAACCAAATCAGCTCGGATCAAGCTACTTGAATCATGGAAATGAATGTCTGGAGCAGGAGCATCATTCCCATCACGTGGATTTCGCAACTATGCTGATTGGATAAAAGTGGCTATTAGCTGCCAATGTATGACCTGAAAATGAGGGTTGCGTACCGTTCATGCAATGTCCCTGAAGTCCTGACTTTTTAGCTGAGTTACCCAAAGAGGTCCTTCTGCATCTTTGGCTCTCCAGGGTCTAGCTACTTGACAATGAACAAAGACCACTTCTCATATAGCATCACGCTTACAAACATAAAGATGCCTGTATCTCCAAACTTTACAATGAGACGTGAAGTTTTGAATAGAACAATGTGCTCGGCTTGGCCAACTGCACCTTGGGTGCAAGTTTCACGATCAAGCTTGCCAATCCCAGATTTCGCAATGTCGCCACCAGCCAAACTGGTTGTATCTCGTTCCTAACACAACCCCCGTTGGTTCCGCTTCAACTCGTTCAGATGTGGTTGGTCTACCCAAACCGCGCTTTATTTTCAGATATAATAAAAACAAAATTTTTCTCTATGAACCTCTTTAGATCTTCTCAAGCCGCGCATCGTGGTATTTGGTTATGAATCTTAATGAGCTATCCCAACAGCAACTGGCATCCATCCTACGATCCACAGCAGGAACAAAGGATGATCCTCTACCGCTCCCAGAACCAATCATCGACGAATTGGAACAACTTAACGAGGAAGACTGTGCGACCCTGGTCCACAAATTTCCCAAAGCCCTCTTACACTATGAAGGACAAAGCTGGACCCAATGTGGTGCGATCAATTCTATCTTCATGGACCGAATCAAGAGGTTCAAGATGGATGGCAAACAAGTCGTCCAAGCAAAATACAAAGACAGCGAGCGATTGCGAACAGCAGCCAGAGCCACAACAGAGCTATTCGAAGAGCTCAATGACATTATTAACAACCCCAACACTGATGTCAAAGAAGAACTTATGGGCTTACAAGAGAAAATCAAGCAATTGGCAATCTACACATTTGCAGCAGCAAAGACAATCGACATCGATGCCAAAGCCATTGCTGAAAAAGCCCTTGGACTCCACACTGACCGAACAGTCATTGACAGGGATTTGGCATTCTCATCAGAAGAAGTGGAAAAGATTCAAAAGAAGCTGTTTGAACAAAGACTCACCAGTTTGGCCACAAGACAACAATCGGGAAACGGATTCAGGGGAGGACGTGGATATGGAAGAAGCCGAGGTGTCAAGTCTTTCCCAAATCGTTACACCAATCGTCCATGGACAAACAAGTTTGCAAACCACCATTCAGACAGCACCACCACTTCCAACAACACCAACAACCAATGATCACTCCACAACCCAACATGACAACAACAGCCTATTCTGCTCCTTGCGATGGCCTACCATTGGGAGGTCGTCTCCAGTACTTTGTCCACAACTGGAAAAAGCATGTGCATCATCAATGGGCAGTATCAGTGGTCGACAAGGGTTATCAGCTACAATTGTCTCAACAACCGATCCCATGGTGGTCGGGGAAAGAGACTTTGAACGAAGCAAAGTTGCGGGAGTTGGATCCAGTGGTGAACCAATTTTTGGCGAACAAGATAATAGAGGTGGCACCGATTCAGTCACACGATTTTTTGTCCCGCTTGTTTTTGTTGCACGAGAAAACGAAGGTACGACCTATCTTGGATTGCACAAAGATCAATCAATTTATTCAACTCAATCATTTCAAGATGGAAGGCGTGCCTGCCTTGAGGGAATTGGTGGAAGAAGGCGACTATTTGGGCAAAATCGATTTGAAGGATGCGTATACGGTGGTCCCAATTGCTCAAGATTCACGAAGATATTTGACATTCAGACATCGAGGGGTGGTGTATCAGTACCGCTCCCTTCCATTTGGCGTGAGTGCAGCACCAAGGTTGTTCACAAAGATGATGCGTTATGCGTTGGAGCCAATGAGAGAGAAGGGCATTCGCTTGGTGTATTACCTGGACGATATTTGTATCCTAGCCAAATCACGTCAACAGTTGGTGCAACATTGTACCAGGATTATGCATCATTTACAAGACCTGGGTTTTATCATCAATCACGTGAAGAGCGATACGGTACCCAAGATACAACAAGATTTTTTGGGATTCACGTTCAATACCAAGGAGATGATAATGAGAGTGCCCAAACAGAAGTTGGAGAAATTACACATGAGGATTCATCAAGCTTTGAGGAAAACATACTCGTGCAGATGGATAGCAGCTCTTTTGGGGAAAATGACTGCAATGATCCCGGCAGTAGGCGAGGCCTTGTTGCGAATTCGCTTTCTTCAGAGGGATCTAGCAAAGGCGTTACAAGGCAAACACCATCGATGGGAGAGTCCTTGTCATCTATCCGTGGAGAGCAAGAAGGAGCTGACTTGGTGGTTAGAGAGCCCTTTGACCACGAAGGGATTGCCAATCAGGCGTCAGATGGATCCAGATCCACAGGTAGTGATATACGTGGATGCATCCAATACGGGATGGGGCGTAGCAAGCGATCACGTGGAGACCCATGGCTTTTGGAGCAAGGATCAACAGACCAAATCAATCAATGTCAGGGAGTTGACGGTGATTCTTTATGCTCTATTACTCCACTTGCCAAGATACGCAAACTCACACATCCTAGTACGATCCGACAATGTCACAGCTCTCAAGTATGCAACCAAGGCGGGTGGTACAGCATCCAAGGATCTTCAACTTCTAGCCTTACGGATTCAGGAGTTATGCCACCAACATGCAGTGACCCTATCTTGTCGTCATATTCAAGGGATTACCAATACCAAGGCCGATGCTCTGAGTCGAGTTCAAGTGCCAACTTACGAGAAAACGTTGCCATGGAACCTATTTCACAAGATTCAGAAGAGATGGCCACACGTGGAATTGGTGATAGATGCATTCGCATCAATGACGTCAACTCGCCTGAAGAGGTTTTGGAGCCGTCATCACGATCCATTAGCGGAAGCAACGGATGCTTTTATCCAACAATGGCCAACGACAGGCTTGTATCTGTATCCTCCGTGGAGGTTGATTCCGAAAGTGATGAGGAAGCTGATTCGAGACAAGGTCAAGCAAGCAATAATCATCACTCCCACATGGCCGACTCAATTTTGGTGGCCAATGATGTTACAACATACACAAACACGACCATTACGACTCAAGGAATCGAGCACCTTTTCAGTGACCGCATGGCTCTTCTCAGGCACTACCATACACAATTAGGTGTATCCGAGTCTTTGCAAAGGTTTTTGGAGGGTCATTTGCGAGAGAATACTATACGTCAATACAATGGAAAGTGGCGAATATGGGTCGAATGGTGTACAGCTCAACAGCCTCCGATTCATCCTGTTCATCCTACGGTCATTCAAGTGGTGGAATATCTCAAGGTCAACCGTGCATTCGCATCATCAAGTCTAAGACAAATGCACGCTGCCATTGCTTCGGTGTTCGATCTATATAACCCCAAACAAGCTCCATTGGCAGCACACAAGGTGGTCCAAAAGTTTTTTCAAGCCAAACAGAAGACTACGTTGGAGGTTCCTCGTTCACAGCAACCTGCTTGGGATCCAATCTTGGTACTTACGTTGTTGCGTTCATGGGGTCCTTCTGATCAACTTGATTTGCCACAATTACAGAAGAAAACGTTGATGCTTTTGGCACTTGGGACTTTTGCTAGGCCAAGGAATGAATTGGGGAACCTGCGTTATGAGGATGTTCAAGTTTGCAAGGATCCGAATACCGGTGTGGCAACAGGTGTCGAATTGCTTTTCCGATGGCATAAGACTGGTTCAGCAAAGAAGAGTTTTTTGGGTGTTGTGGAAGATAAGGAACAATGTCCGGTCACGACTTTACTGTTATTCATCGACAAGACCATGCATTTGCGATCGGGTTTACCTTCCAACCATACACTTTTCTTGAAATATCTCATGAAACCAGAGAGAGTGGGTTCTGTATCGGAAAAAACTGTGGCCGAATGGATCAAGGACATGTTGGAGCAAGCAGGCATTGACATCAAGAAACATACACCTCATTCTGTGCGATCAGCAGCAAGTACCAGGGCATCCGCTCGAGGCGTTCCCAATGACAAGATTAAGGACCATGGCCATTGGAGTCGATATACAGACACATTTGAGCGTTATTACCTTCGTCCTGCGGATCCACACGCTACTTCAAGACATATTACGACAGCCATCTTGGATACGGAGAACGAAACCACATCTGAACGAGTTGAAGCGGAACCAACGGGGGTTGTGTTAGGAACGAGATACAACCTTACCGTTGGTGGAGCTGAGACGAGTGATGATGTGGTTGGGTCCCGCCCTTGGTCTTCCTTATGGAATTGGTTTTCCCTCCCTTCATAACAAGATGTCTGCCGTTCCAATATTGCTTCGTTGAGAAGATCTAAAGAGGTTCATAGAGAAAAATTTTGTTTTTATTATATCTGAAAATAAAGCGCGGTTTGGGTAGACCAACCACATCATCACTCGTCTCAGCTCCACCAACGGTAAGGATCTGGGGGTCGACCTCTTCGACGATGACGACCAAAAAATATTTTTTGGGCTAGTTGCGACATTGGACGTGAAACTTTCACACAAGGTGCTGTTGGCCAAGCTGAGCCCATTGTTCTATTCAAAACCCCACGTTTCATTGTAAAGTTTGGAGATACAGGCACCTTTATGTTTGTAAGCGTGATGCTATATGAGAAGTGGTCTTTGTTCATTGTAAAGTAGGTGGACCCTGACAGAGCAAAAGATGCAGAGGGTCGTGTTGTGTAACACAGCTACGTTTGCATGAATGAAAGGGTCAATATATAATTACTTTATGGATCATCTAGGAACAGGCATGTATTGCTAGCTAACGGACACTTTTATCCAATCACCATTGCTGCGAGATCCACTGCATGGGAACGATGCCCCTGCTCTAGACATTCATTTCCATGATTAAAGTAGGTTGATCCGAGCTGATTTGACTGAGCTGCGGTCAAAGAGAGATTACATCACTCTGGACATAGAGCACGCTCGATGTAGCTCAACCGATGTAATCTTGTGTGAGCGTAACTCAACCAAATTAGCTCGGATCAACCTACTTTAATCATGGAAATGAATGTCTAGAGCAGGGGCATCGTTCCCATGCAGTGGATCTCGCAGCAACGATGATTGGATAAAAGTGGCCGTTAGCTAGCAATGCATGCCTGTTCCTAGATGCTCCATAAAGTAATTATACATTGACCCTTTCATTCATGCAAACGTAGCTGTGTTACACAACACGACCCTCTGCATCTTTTGCTCTGTCAGGGTCTAGCTACTTTACATTAAACAAAGACCACTTCTCATATAGCATCACGCTTACAAACATAAAGGTGCCTGTATCTCCAAACTTTACAATGAAATGTGTAGTTTTTATTAGAGCAATGGGCTCGGCTTGGTCAACAGCACCTTGTGTGCAAGTTTCACGTTCAATGTCGCAAACAGCCCAAAAAATATTTTTTGGTCGTCGTCGTCGAAGAGGTCGACCCCCAGATCCAGTTTGGCTGGTGGCGACATTGCGAAATCTGGGATTGGCCACGATGGACTTCATAGTGTTGTGATGTAGCTTGAGACTGTTATTTGCTCTCACACGGTCATGCGATTGTAAGCTTAGAGATGCATGCAGCTTATAAACCAGTGAAGTACGATGAATAAACAACAGGCTCTCTTCCCGATTTCATACCTTGGGGTACGGATGGACACGGTATTGTCAACGCGCTTTTTACCCTATTGGTATTGAATGAAGGAGACGTTTACGCACGCTTTTTCTATTCTTTGACGTTATGTGAGAGTCTCCCTTGTGCATCTTATCCCCATGTACATTGTATACGGCGTCCGTTGTGTGTGGTGCTTAGTTAGTGTACACGCTGAGCATCACGGCAGTGCAAGATCGCATTGCAACAATAGTTTGACACAAGATCGCTTTCGTCCCGCCGAGCAACATGGTTCTATTAAAGACCCCACGTTTCATTGTAAAGTTTAAAGATACAGGCACCTTTATGTTTTGCATATGCTGTAAGCGTGGTGGAGTTGCTTTCTCCTAGTGGATGCTGGATGGTGTCGGCTGCATTAACGGAAAGATGGTGACCTGAGTGAAATGGCACGTGGTGGTTACACACGCACGTCCTTCACAGTTTGTTGCACAAATGGATGGTGATGATGATTGTCTTTAGGAAGGTATGTATGTAAGTTGGGGTATATACATCATCCAATAAGGAAGGTGTGTCAATGGCAATAATAATGGTTCCATAACACATTTGGATGTAGGAAAAAGTCGAGCTGCATAAACCAAATTGTACGTGTAGACCCAATAATGAATTCAGTGCGCACGGACATGGCAGTAAGATGTTATTGATGGTTCACTTTTCCTCTTCTCAATGTCATCCCACTCCTCCTTATTGTATCACAAAAGGCATATACTTCTTGCATGAACGATACATAAGCGAACCACCTTTATTATTCCATCTTCCAAGCTACATTATGTAATCCACAAGCTAGCAAAGTCCAAGTAGTGCTATCATCCTCGTCTTCGTCTTCGGTCACCATTGTATTCGTACTCGTACTTGTCTACAGTCGTCAATCTGCTCATCACCAATATCCAAAACACGCAAGTAGAAAAGAATGGGATCTTGCAGGTTTCCTTTTGAATCTCGTTGTCGTTATCATTGTCATTGTTGTGAATGTGGTAATCATCGTAATCGTCATTGCTGTGAATGTGGTATCATCATAATGGTCGTCTCTATAAATAAAAAGCAGCCAAGTTAGATACCGCTAGGCGATCCTCTCAAAGGAAGAAAGCAAATCAGAAGCAATTCACAAACCAAATCACCCACCATACGAGAAGCGTCGGGCGATCCCTTGTCTTTGAGAAAGCACTGCACGAATCACACAAGGCCAGTTGGGTCCATGGCAAGGAAGGACGTCACTTGAGTAGAGTCCAGGCACATAGTTGTCCTCATTCATCCTCTCCAAAGAAAGAATGATCCCCAATCCTTCCAATCATTTCCCACCTCATGAAAAGAAATCCTGAGGGGAAAGAACGAGCCTATCACGAGAAGAGCGTGTTGGTTGCCACTGATGTCAATCCATAAGCTGTTGCAAATCCCCTTTTACCTCAACACGGTGACCATGCTCTTCCAAAAACCCATCGTCACCGACCCATCCTCAACTCAACGCAGGCCTATAGAGCCCTGGACGCGTTCCAAGAAGCTTTTCCAGCACACTTGGCTAGTGCAGAGCGACGCAGCGACCACTTGATACAGGCTGGGACTTGAGCCCAAAGAGATGACGATGATGCCCCCAAGTTGCATTGCCTGACCAAAGAAATCTATTCAATTCATTATTAGCACACACGTACAATAAAACGCCTCTTTTCATTGTTTGTTTCATTGTACTTGCCTTTTCCATATACACAAAGACCCGTTGTTGTTGGTTACTGGAAACCGAAAACGATGGTGTAGTATAGTTGAGCCGAAACAAAACGCCAAACCAGCCAACGTCTTGAAACCAAACTTGCCCTCTTCTATACAAGCTGACGCATCAATGGAACCAATTCGGCTGCAACATTGGACTCTGAATGTACCTGTTGACACCAAGCGTAGACCGGGAATAGCAACGAGCAAAAGGAAGCAACCATATCGCCATGGCAACCACCAACCACCAACCACGCTCATTCCTCAGCACTTGGACACACACTCACTCCCTGACAATGCATGTTCAGAACTACATTAACACCTCACAGCCAACAAGAGCACTCTTTGATAATACATTACCTTGATCGAGATGTCGTGAATGGAATAAGCAGGGGTGGGAGAAAAAGAAGAGAAGCGTTGTCTCAAGTCGTGGAGCTACCGGCCCCCAAGTTTAAATCCCCTACTGCTATTACACTGAGGCCACTCATCAATTACCCCACATACACCATCCACCCATCATGATCATCACCCTCACGATAGACAATAGGTACACGCAAATAAAAGAAATGATCCTGACGTATAGAAAAAGGGTGTGTGCCATTTTACACTTTACATGATAATGATGATCCAACAACAGCCATTGCCTTTACTACCAGGTTACCTCGAATCGAGAAAGTTAAATGATGGGAATGATGGGCTGGAGCAGGACAATCGTTCGTATGCATTGGATTGGACAACAAAGGTGAATGGGACGAATGGGCTATTAGCTGGCAGTTTACAAATAACTTTGCAAAATGGTTTTTCTCATATTGGATGATACTTCTGTGTTTGAGCATAACTCAACCAAATCCCCTCGGATTGAGAAAGTTGAATGATGAGCCTGCTGGGCTGGAGCAGGACAATCGTTCACACGAGTGGATTGGGCAGCAGTTGGGAATGCGTGGAAGGGGCTATTAGCTGGTAGCCTATGAATTGGAATTTGAATATGGTACTGTGCATTGTTGTTGAGCTGACTAGTTCGCTGTTCAGAACATTGTTCCAGGGCATCTTATTACATAGTCCCTTACTGTAAATATGAATAAAGCAAAGGGTTGCAGGTTTATTTGAAGGTGAATGCTACGAGGTTGTAATGCAGCTGCGTAAACGTGTAAACTTTTCGTAACATCATTACGCCATAGATAGTATTAAGCCATTCAACAAGCAATCAAAAGGTTTACGAACGAAGCGAGCTAGCCTATTGATTAAAGAGCATAGCAAATGGGTATATTACAAGACATGGCGCATCGATCGTTGTTTTCATCTAAGATGATATTCCATTTGCACTAATGCAGTATCCAAAGTATACATCCAAACGTAACCAATTTATTCAAAATCATGGCTTTTGTAGTTGCTATTCTTTCCATCATGTCTCTACCAATCATTAACGCTGCATGGATGCACAGTTCGCCCTTTTGGACCGACACCAGAACCATCGAGATCAAATTGCCAATTGTGCTTTGTACAAATGAGTTTGTTGCCCAATACTTGGCCCCATGTTGCCAGGTCAACGCCTTTGTGAGGACAGCGACGATCGCATTCATAAATTTTCCCCGCCGTAGTGCGTACATGGATCCTGCTAGAGCTTACAGCTTTGATGGGTCGTCCAGTGAATGCGGTTGCTGCTGATGCAGAGGATTTCTGTTGCTTCTCGTCTTGGTTGTCACTGGCTGATGATGATGAGGAGGATGAAGACGAACTATCACTTTCATGGCGGTCATCGTCTGCAATCACAGGTTCACCAAGCTGCATTGTGTTGCTGCTGAAATCATTCTTTTTGTACTTTTTCTTCTTCTTGTCCTTCTTGTCCTTCTTCTTTTTTTCTTTATCCTTGATTTCTAACATGGGATTATTAGTATACATCATCACCATGGTACCTGCTGATACTTACTATAATAACGTCTCTCCCAGTCAGGGTCGACAGCTGTTCGCAAAAGATCCCGAACGAGTGGCAGCAATTCAATCACCTATTACGGGGATATTGTTCAGATCGCGAGTAACACAAGCACATCCTCATCGTTCCACACGTACTGTCCAGCTATGGTTGGATAATGCACGGAGATCACGCACCTAAATCATACATTGAAGAGTCAATATCAATGCCAAAGAAACAATGAACCCATCATCCAGCTCCTTACAAAGTATAATCGATTGTCATCCAAGATATTGAGGTCACGGTCTATTTGATCATCGGTCCACGATCGTTCTTTGCCGATTTGCTCCAATAGTGTTGATGCTCTCTATGATAATGGCATACATAGACGTGAGTTGCATTCATTGTATATATCGAATAAAAGACGCATACCATGGAATCTGGAAGTGGTACTTGCTCCTCTTCACCTGTATTCATTTACGTAATTGAGTGAACGATCTCCCATACTACACACATAGCCCCTTTTGCCCCTGTAGTCATTATAGCTTACCGTTGTCGCCAATGTCACCATTTGAGTACATGAAGCTCTCCAACAGGGAGCGACCAGCATTCTTGTGTTTGCCCATTCTGGGTATTTGCAAAGGAAAGGCGAAAGGTGAAAGGTGAAATCAAGTCGGCCCCTCGTCGTCCTTTTTCCGGATTAGTCGGGAGGTCACAACCAAGTGAAAATGAAGCATGGGAGTACCATCATCACCTATCTGTTGACAGCATGATTACACATCACGTGCAAAAGAATGAAGAACTACATCAAAAGGAGTTGGTTTGCTTTTCTTAAAGATGGCGTTTATTAATAATTCAAGGTGCAGAGGTATAATAGTACACGCAAAGAAGAAGAAGGGAGAAACAATATATATAGAGAGATGAAATGTAATAATAAAAGGTTAGCTGAGTCGTCATGGCAACATGCACAAGCCTGACCCTGTGGTAGAATACTAGTACACAATGATGGTATGCTATGTGTGTGAAGCGTCCTTGATCACTCCTCCTTGTAATCAATCGTTTTTTCAGTGATGATGGGCTCGTCAGCAGCGACACGCATTGGATCACTGCTCACATGTGTTTTGCGATAGGCTTCAGCTTGCTCCTTGGCTTTGTCAACATCAATTAAGATAACCAAGGCAATGGCAACAATGAAGAGTCCCAGGATAAAAGGCCAGCCCTTCCAGAGATTGGATGTATGTTGAGTGATGGCACCGATAACAATGGGCCCGATCCACCTATTATACATGATCATGCAAAGGATCAGCTGATGTCACTGTTGGATCAACTACTCTACACTTACGAAGAGGCTTTGTTCATGACACCAAATAAACCGAAAAACATGTTTTCTCGTCCCTTGGGAATAAGCTCAGCCAGCATCGTTTGTTGCCATGCATAGATGGGGGCTGTAAATAAGCCTTGCCATACATAAAACACCCACAACTCCCATCGTGTCTACATACATAATACGCACACGTGAGATGACAATCACACCATCATGATGCTGTTGTCTTACCTTGATACCAAAGTTATCAAGACCAATGCCAAAGCATCCCCATACAGGTACGACAGCCGAAAGCGTCAGAATGATCAGGAGATTGGTTTTAGTCTTTACACCAAACTTTTGGGAAATAACCAAGAATATGAGGCAACCAATGATGGAGCACACCGCCGAGATAAGATTGAGTAGTGTCACTTGCTGGGCTGAAAAGCTGGTAATTTCACCTTGCACGATCGAGATCATGGAATTGATGGTATTAACAGCATCGGAAAACATGAAATAGGAAAAAATGTACAAGAATAGATAGCGCAATCGTCGTACTTCTCTGCAAACAACAACATGTGTACATGTCAGCAAGAGGCTTTGATGCATAAAATTCACACAACATAGACGCATAACAATACGTACCTTAACGCTTCAAAAATAGAAATCCATCCAATAGTGAAATGATTGCCACGGGTAAGAGGTGGTCCTGAACGGCCTTTGGGTTGGAAAAAGAGATAAGGAATGGCGTTGATAGCCCAATAGCCGCCACAGACAACAGCCGAAATAAAGTTGTAGATGGGTTGATCACCGAGGTAACCGCCACCTGCCCATGGGTAGAAGGATGCTCCAGATAGGACACCTAGATAGATATTAAAATAAACCCAAGGTTGTTATCAGATGACTCGTTTTTGGCTGTGCAATCCTTTGACCAAATATAGGACTCGCATGATGGTGGTGGTCGTTGTTACTGTACCTGTCATCACCAAGAAGCCAATGTTGGAGAAGGTAGTGGACCAAGCAGATACATAGTTTCTCCATTTAGAGACCTCGGCTTGTACTTCATCTTCCGTTAAAGATGGATCAGCTCGGGCTTTTCGGACAACCGGCAAATTGTCACTTTTTGATGGTGATACAAGTTGTTATTGACCTGTGATCCGCTGTTGCAGCCCAAAAACACTCCCCGATCATTCCCCACAACCTTTTTTCTTTACCTCAAAGTCGGAAAAGCAGCGGCGTAAAACACCAATGATGTGCCATAGGAGATCAGAGCCACAATTTGAATAGCCATCATGGCACCCCAATGGCTACCATCGTCATTGACCAAGGCGATTGGCACCATTTGCGAGGCACAACCAATCACTGTTGCCAAAAGAAGGATATACCGGTTCCATTTACCATAATCTGCCAAACTGCCAAATGTGGTGAATAAAAGAAATTGGATCGAGAATGCAATCGCTTGTTGATATAGAACCATCGAGGATACAGGAATGGATCCACCCAGCCAGTGGACGTTGCACGGAGCCATCGTGTCATTCATATCACACCCACGCACATCCGGGGTAGCAGGGTTAAAGCCGGCTTGATACGCGAGGTATTGCAAAATGTTTGGCAAATAACTAAACATCACATAACCATTGTCCTATAAATGATCATAGTGAGTCGATAGGGTAGTTTAAAAGATCATTCATATACATACGCCATTATAATACAAGTAGTATCCCCATAGTTCCAAACGCGTAGCAGCAGGTTGAGGCTCCACCTCCTCAGGTAGTTTAGGCTCTTCCTTGACGAAGGGATTAGCAAATAGCTTTTTACGAAGGGACATTTCCCAATATGTGAGAGAGAAAGAAAAGGGGAAAGAAGAATGAAAAAGAGGAAGAGAAAAGAGCCTAATGCATGCCTTGTTCAATTTTCCCACTCGTTATATAAAGAAAAGAGCGACAAAGACCCTGAATCACATGACAGGGATTTTTTTACAGGGTTGATTCTTTCATTTTCGTAACATTGTACACTCGTATGCGATCATCATCATAGCCGCGGATGGACACGGAATGATGTGTGGCTCCGCACAATCTTATGCTCCTTTGCTGTTCTTTATATTGCCAACGGCGTGGCTCATTATTGGTTCAATTGAACGCCGCATAATAGATCCATTGACGTCGTCTTGATGATCCAGTGAGTAATGTGTGCGGGCTTGTGTGTGTGTGTGGGAATACCTATACATAGGCTAAGTACGTGATCTTGCTGACTTAGTAATCGTGGATTCAGGTTCTCAGGGTCGTTGTAGGTATGACAGATGATGAGCTGAGAGAGAAGAGAAACATTTGTGGATGTATGTGTGTGCGACCATCCCTCCTATTCTGGAGGCCTCGTATCGTGTTACCAGGAGCATGAAAGCAAATCATGCTGTGTCGTTGTTTCTATTCTCATTCTCCAAGGTGACCGTGTGTGCGTTTGACAAAGAAAATGGGGCCCCGCGGAAGAAAAAAACGCGGCACAGGGAACCCCATCTTTCACAGGACCCTGTTTTATCATCATTCAGGGTGCTGTGCTGTGTTCTTATAAGCTATCATCAGCATCCCAACATATCTCACTATTCAGGTCCCTGCACTTTTGCCCCACAATCGATCACTTTTGTCTCCATCCATACACTACGCCACAATCAATGTATTCATGTCATTCATTGTTGGACATCACTCATTCATTGTATGATATAGATCCATTCACCCCCCCCCCATTTTAATTGAGCATGCATTGTATTGATCTCTTCAAAATATAGGATGCGATACATATGAGATTGTTACTCCAATTGCGTGCTGCTGCTGTGTGGATCAAGATCAATCATAATGTTGACGGCGCCACCATAGATGGACTCTGACCTCCGACATTCAAACTGAGCAACAAGCTTTTTCTTTTTTTGCTTTGACCGATTCCTGCAAAAAACATGGCCACCATTGAACGCAAGGCTGGTGAGGCTCCCATCAAGCCCGAGTAAGCGATCACTCTCTTTTTCCAGCCGAATCATGCTGTTTGACTTACTTCAATGCACCTTGTGACAGATACCGTAAAGAGAAATGGTTCGACGATGACTCCAACGAAGACGGCTCCAACGCTGTTTTCGGCGACGACGACGCTGAAGGCAAAAGGTTTGGTGGTGGTGACAACCAGAAGAGGGTACAGTGAATGCTTGCTTCATGTATCAAAGTGCCCTTGTTATTGACATTGTTGTTATAGAGGAATACTCGTGGTGCCAACAAGGGCCAACGAGGCAAAAAGCGCATTGTCGATGAAGTCAAGGTACGTATCAGGCACATGCATGATATTGTTACAAAAGTGGATGCTGACTTTATGGTTTAGATCTGTAAGATGTTGGCTGCCAATCAAGAATGTATCTTCAAGGAGGAGTAAGTACATACAATGAAGGACGCACCATCTTGCATGCATAAGACTCATTCAATCTTGGATTATTTAGATGCCGATTCTCGCACGATTTGAAAAAGTACCTCGAGACAAAGCCAGCTGATCTTGGTGATCGTTGTATCCAATTTGATCTTTTTGGAAGGTATGGTGATGAATGAGAAGATTTGGATAAGGTATGGATTCTCATGAGATGATAGTTGTCGCCATGGCTACAAATGCCGCTTCCTCAAGGCGCACATGGATGCGGATGGTAACCTTATCAAGAATGAGGAGGTGAGGATTACAAGGAGTGATGATAATAGGATTGGCAGCTAATCCCATTACATCCATAGCTTATCAAGAAGAACCCTGTCTACACAACCAATGGCATCTCTCCCGAAACACAAAAGGCTCTTATGAAGGGAAAGGTAAGCATCATGGATGTGAAATGGAAGTTGAAAGGTATTAACATGATGTTGTTCATCCAGTATGAGTTTCCCAAAGCCACTGCGTTCTTGAAAGAGATGGAAGCCGAACTTGCCAACCAGCCTGGTGCCCAAAAGAAACGCAAGATTGATGATGTGGAGACTGAGGATGGGTCAAAGGAAAGCAAGGCTGAAGAAAAGGCTGAGCCAGCTACCGATTCTTCGTCCAAGCCAGAGATTGATGCAGATTTACCTGATGTGAATATGAATGTGGAGCCAAAAGTTGGTCCTATTGATGAAGAGCGTCCCTACAAAAAGGCAAGTGGCATTGTTGGATAAAGTGCATGAAACAATGGTGGAGCTAATAGGTGTATCCTACAGTTGATTGATTTTAGAAACAAGACTTATCTTGCACCTTTGACCACGGTATGTAATGGAGCACTTTTGATGATACTTTCTTTGGGTTGTTAACATTAGTATGAATGAATGGTAGGTTGGCAATTTGCCCTTCCGAAGAATTTGCAAGGAATATGGCGTCGACATCACATGTGGTGAAATGGCTCTCTGCAAGAATCTCTTACAAGGACAACAATCTGAATGGGCATTGACCAAGCGTCACGTATCAGAGGACATTTTTGGTATCCAGGTGAGTGAGCACAGACCAAGTGATCCATGCACCCCTCCCTTGTTTATTAAATTGCACGTGATTCATATAGATTTGTGGTGCCAGACCTGATCAAGTTGCTCGAGCTTGCGAGGTGATTAATGATGAGATTGATGTCGACTTTGTGGATCTCAACATGGGATGCCCCATTGATCTTGTCTTCAACACGGTGAGTGTGAATGGGCGGTGTATAGCGAAAGGTGTCCTTATTAATCACTTTAACAGGGTGCTGGTTCGGCTCTCCCCGAGTCTAAGGGAAAGATGACACGAGTTTTGAAGGGCATGCGTAGGATGCTGGACGTCCCTGTCACTGTCAAATTCAGAACCGGTATCAAACACGGCGTCTTGACCAACCAAAAATTAATCCCTGTATTTGAAAGCTTGGTATGTATATATACTTTTTGCTACGTGTGGTTGCTGTGACTAATATACTCTACCATAGGACATCAGCTTGGGAACTGTAAGTGTTTGCATGAGAGGCAAAGTGATTGGAAGGATAGGGAAAGCTGACATCATGTCAACTAGATCCATGGCCGATCACGCCAACAACGCTACACCAAATTATCGAACTGGGACTTCATCCGTGATGTGAAGCAACTATCCAAGAATATGCCAATCTACGGTAACGGTGATGTTTTGAGTTTTGAGGATTACAACAAGCATAAGGAGGAGACCGGTGTTGATGGCATCATGATCGGCCGGTAAGTGTACTCATTTATGTATGATGAATGGGATTGGATAGTAACAAATGGGTTATATACATAGTGGTGCTCTCATCAAGCCATGGATCTTTGATGAAATCAAACAACAACGTCATTGGGATATCTCATCAAAGGAACGATTTGAGATGCTGAAGCGATTCTGTGATTATGGTTTGGAACATTGGGGAACTGACAGCCAGGTAAGTAATCTTACCAGATACCAATTACAATTTGCTGACATGTTGGCTTTAGGGTGTAAATACCACAAGACGCTTCCTTTGTGAATGGCAATCATTCTTATACCGGTATGTTTGTGTGGATTCATCTACGGCAAGAATCTCATTGAAATGTCTAGCTACATTCCTGCTGGTTTGTTGGAGGTTTTACCACAGCGTATCAATGAACGCGCACCACCTTTCCGTGGCAGAGATGAATTGGAAGATTTGATGGCAAGCCCTCGAGCATCGGATTGGGTGAAATTAAGGTAAGGGTTATTGTTGCAGTGCAAAGGATTGCAATTGATGATTGTATTTTCATTCCATGTAGTGAACGCCTTCTTGGTCCAGCACCAGAGGACTTTGTATTTATGCCAAAGCACAAGGCCAATTCATTCGAGGTAGGCTTTCAATGGCAGATAGAGACTTACAATTTGTGGACCTAATGTTGTTTTCTCTAGGGATAACCTTCTCGTCGATGAAAATGAAGATAGTTGTTGCCTGAGTATAGCTAGCTTGTTTGTTAAAAGTACTATTGCTTTCTACCGCTTATATAACGGCCTAGACCTATTTTAATTCCAATGTGGCTACCAATGATGGTTGTGAAATCCTTGCAGCGTAATTCGTGTGATGATCTTTTGACTGCGTATGTGGAAAATGCTCATTGTGAGATCATATACATAATTCGCCACAGTATAAACATATCTGCTTTGACGCTTTCAATCCAATGGTCAGTCACTTGACGAGCTTCTTCAGTGATACTAGCGAAAATACAATCACTCGGTATGTAGAAATAGACAACAGCATGTTACAACCAGGATCATAACGATAAACAAGTGCAATAAAGTGATCATTTGCACATGATTAGAATGAAGCTTCATTTTTTTGCTCGTTATGGCTACCAGTAAACAAAGAAGGTCTCGGTCATGATTGTTTTCACTTTGATCGCCCAATTAGGAAATCCACACAGCGATGCATGAAACAGCCGCTTTGACCCGACGTCGAGTCCAAGGGCATCTCTTTCTCTTCTCTCTTTTAACTTTCTATAGACATTCCCCCATTTATCTCTTTTTCTACTACACGTAACAACTTGCAGCTTTCTTTCATCCCGTTGCATTCGAATCCATGGACATCTTTTCCAACATTGGTGGGAAGCGACATGGCCATAAAAAGACGACCAACAAACAACATGGCCGATCAGCGTCATCGCGACCACCACCGTTGACGACCAACTTTTCCCAACAGAGCATATTGAGTATCCTGAGCACACCTCGTTCGACATCGACGCATGAGCACTCTTTGACTGAGAGTCCAGAGGACACACAGCAACATGACTTCTCGCCTGGTAAGGCATTGTTTGTGTGACACACTCACTCAACAACTCAACATTGTTTATTAGGATCATCCACGCATAGTCTACAATCTGAAGGTGGAGGACGATCTTCATTATCGAGTGGAAGGAATCGACCCTCTGATCAAGAGATTGAACGCATGTTTGCACAAGCAGCTGTAAGTGTTATAGCCATCGTTGTCAAGGAGATCAACACACTCACTCATACATACAACTTGTTGGTATATCTAGAGCCGCCTCAATTTGAATCTAGGAGATGCTGGTCTACGTGCATTGCCAGTGGATAAGAAATGGTGGATCCTTTGTAATGAGAACCAAGGAGCTGCTGCTACTTCAACCTCAACTGCCGATCGCACCAAATCATCATCTCATCACCATCACCACCATCACCCCACTACGCATCATAGCAACAATCATACCGAAGATAAATCAGCACCTGGTTATTATATCCAGTCATTCTCATCACACAAGAAAACACATCCAGCTGCACGCACGCTGTCTGATTTGGCTGTGAGATTAAGAACAATGCCCCTAAGGTATTGATTGATGTATGCATATGCATATGCAGGATCTTGCTGACATTTTATCCAACTCCTATAGTTGGGTCCGTCAATTTATCCAAGAACGAGGGATGCAGGTCATCTCCAAGGAACTTACACGCATCAATCAGCAACATGAAAGGTAGGCTTATTACATTGGATACATCATCATTGGTCTTACGTTGTATGCTTTAGGAAAACAAATGACTGCCAGCTTGAACTTGAGATTATCAAATGCTTAAGATCTATGCTCAACAATACGGTAGGTGATATACAATTTGGGGGTCACGTACATATAAGCTCATGACGTAAATATGTAGTATGGTATCCAAGAAGCACTTCACGCACCACATTGTATCCAAAGTTTGACGTCTTCATTATTGTCACCATTCATGTTGGTGCGGCGGATGGCATGCGAGGCGTTGACATTCATGTGCTACTGTGAACCACCAGCAGGCCACTCAGCTGTGCTCAAAGGATTGGAATTTACAAGCAAAGGAGAGACATCAGGACGGTTTAGTGGTTATCTGCATGCATTACTTGAAATGTTGGATGGCCGTGGGAAGATGGGATCGCGTGTTGGGGCAAGCAAAGCATACAAGGCATTGAATATGAATGACGATCCCGAAACCCAGATGATAGAATATGCAGTAAGTATAGGAAAAAGGTGCCATAACAAGTTCATAGCCTGAACCTTGATGTTTTCTAGGTGGCCAATATGCTATTGATCAATGCATTGGTGGATCCAGATACTACAGAAGATGTTGACCAACGAGTGACATTGAGGAGCCAGCTATACCAAGGTGGCCTTGATCGCGTATTTGCCAAGATGAATACTTTGAACAATGAATTGTTGGTTCGCAAGATCAAGGAATTCCATCAATTTGAGGAACGTGATAAGGCTACCATTTATGGGGGACTTGTGAGTGGCGATCAGGAGCCAAGTGACATTTTGGAAAAGCTCATCACTGCAACAAATGGAACACGTGCCTATCGCTCGCTACAATGCATATTGCAACAACTGCTACTGCTACAGCAAGATCCAAGCAAAAGGTAAAGGATAATACATAGGTCCTTTTTCAACGTGGTCCTCATACTTTGATTATAGAAATCGTTGTTGGCAAGTGGTAGAATCGTTAGTCAGTAGTATGTCTGCTGAATGTGATTTGGATGATTTGGAGAACACGTATGGTGTCAATGTCGGGACTCTGATATCCAAATTTGCCGATGAGGATGAATTGAATCGAGCACTACAAGAAGCTGAAGATTCCAAGGCAATGGCACAACAAGCTTTGGAACGTGAAGCAGAGCTCAAATTACAAGTCGATGCAAAGAGCGGTAAGTTAAAGAACAGCATACAGGTTCAGGACATGATGATAATTGATTATTGTTTGGATGTAGATGGATTAGTTGGGCAACTCAAAGTGAAGAACGAGGCACTAGAACGCATGTTACGAGTCGCCAACCAAACCAACAGCGTGCTTCAGCAAAGACTCGGTGATTTGGAAGTTGAGCATCAGCATACGTTGGAAGCCATGGATGCACAAATCAAACGACTCTATGAGACCATCAAGAAATTGACCGACCATAATCGATCATCACCTGACAGCAAGAACAAAGCGAAGAAAGCGGGAGACATCAAGATGTGGAATGTCCCTAATGCAGAATACGATCCAGAAAACAAAACGTTATCGGTAAGTGTGATGCACTCATTTGTATTATGCAATCTAATGATGTCTTTATGAACATTTAGGTCGATCCAAATGAAGAGCCTATTCCAGTGGGGCAATCCAAAGGCCTATCCGAGTCATTTAAAAAGTCATTGAGATCCAAACTTGGTACACGTGTCAACACTTTGGTGAGACGAGGAGCTAGTGAGGATGACAACAAGCAACGTCGAGGGAATCTTGCACGAGTTTCAAGTCTTCGCAGCTTAAGGAAACAATCAAGCATAAAGGATGATACCAGCACTGATGGATCTAAGCCTGCAAAAGAAGAGGAGGTTATTCAAGATGATACATCAGCTGTGAGCAGCAATCAATCCATCAACCAACCAATGTCCATTTCACCTGTTACAGCAGCTCCTCCACCACCTCCACCACCTCCACCGCCACCACCAATGCCATCATCAGCAGAATCTATTGGTGTATCTTCACCACCCCCTCCACCACCACCTCCACCTCCACCAATATTGCCTTCCGTTCAAGCAACAGCTGCTGCAACTCCTCCACCACCTCCACCACCACCTCCTCCTCCACCAGCAGGCTCTGGTTCCAATCCATCATCACCACCACCTCCGCCACCACCTCCCAATTCTGATGCTAGCTCTAGTCCACAGATACCAGGTATTGGATCGCCCACTATAGCCACCACACTTGGCATGGCCAGCCGTAAACCATGTGCTTTTCAACCTAAGCAGCGTCGAAATTTGTCGAATGGGAAAAGATGAATTTGACCAACGTGGCAAACAGGTGTGGAGTCATATGGAGAAGGATGATGCTACTACTACTACTACTGCTGCTACAACAAATGATCAAGAATCATCATCATCCTTTGAACAATCAATCGAGTATCCCTCCACCACCACCTCCACCTCCACCAATATTGCCTTCCGTTCAAGCAACAGCTGCTGCAACTCCTCCACCACCTCCACCACCACCTCCTCCTCCACCAGCAGGCTCTGGTTCCAATCCATCATCACCACCACCTCCGCCACCACCTCCCAATTCTGATGCTAGCTCTAGTCCACAGATACCAGGTATTGGATCGCCCACTATAGCCACCACACTTGGCATGGCCAGCCGTAAACCATGTGCTTTTCAACCTAAGCAGCGTCTGAAATTTGTCGAATGGGAAAAGATGAATTTGACCAACATTAGCCAAACGGTGTGGAGTCATATGGAGAAGGATGATGCTACTACTACTACTACTGCTGCTACAACAAATGATCAAGAATCATCATCATCCTTTGAACAATCAATCGAGTATCAGCTTGCTGAAGCGGGTGTTTTCAAGGATATTGAACGACTCTTTGCACAAAAGACACCTACTGCAAAGAAACCACAGCAGCCCAAAGGACCTGTGCAAATCATTGACGCTAAGAAAGCCAAGAACATGTGTAAGTGTATCCATGGAATGACGTTGTTTACATGTATTTATTCGACTTTTAGATATTGTGTTGAAGAACATTGAAAAGGCTATACCGTTCCCGGAGATCAAACCACGCATTATCAACATGGATCCTTACTTTGATGATGAGCAGATCTTGTCAACTCTCTTAAAGAATGCACCCACCATGGAAGAAATCGGCAAACTCAAGCCATATCTTGATGCTTCAGAGGCAGAGCTCTCGACATTATCCATGCCTGATCGTTTTGCATTACAGGTTTGTTGTTGTATATCTCTATGCATACTACACGTGACTAAGAGCCATCATCATTAGACGCTGGAAATCCCTCGCTTTCAACAACGTCTTGAGTGCATGCTGTTCAAATCGGTCTTTTGGGAAAAGTATCAAAACCTGAATTCGGTGAGTCTTTTACTTGATCCATAGCTATACGATGGCTTACCTCTATTCAAAGCAATTGACAGCTGTATCGGATGCTTCTGAATCAGTCAAGCATGCAAAGCACTTCAAGCAGCTACTCCAGGTAACAACTTCAGCTGATAGTATCGTGATTTAACGCTAATGTGGATGTAATTACATAGCTGATCCTGCTTATTGGCAACTTTTTGAATGGAAACACGTTCCGTGGTGGTGCTTTTGGTATACGTATTGCTAGCATCAACAAGGTAAGGAGATTTGAATCTCGTGATGTGAAACCGAATCATTCATCAGGCGTATCGCAATAGCTGGTAGACACCAAGGGCATTGCAGGAACAATGACGCTTTTACATTTCCTTGTTGAGACGACACAAAAGGTTTTCCCATCCATCACCGGTTTTCTTGGAGAATTAAAAGCGTGCGAAGATGCCTGCAAAGGTGATTACATCCTCTCTTCATGCTTAATTTATTATAACTCACACACATACACCTATGTTTAGTCTCTAAAGCTGAGGTGCAAAGCGAATTTCAGGAACTCAAGACGGGCTTTAGCTTGATTGAAAAAGAGCTCAAGACGCAAGGTGTTGACACGGATGCATTATTAAACGATAAACAAGTGGAGGAAGATGATGATGATGCTCAGCAAGTGGATGATGAAGACAATGATACCTTTCGAACCGTTATTCGTGAGTTTTACAAGGAAGCCACCAAACGATTCAAGCGACTCGAGCTATTGCGACAAGAATCCATGTCTGCCTATGAAGCCGTTGTCAAGTACTATGGTGAAGATCCCGGCAAATTACATCCAGATGCTTTCTTTGGTATCTTTAAGGAGTTCGTTACTAGCTGGGAGGTAAAATCCATGATCTCTCTTTCTCGTTTTTCATCACTCACTCACTCATCCATGATTTAGAAATGCCAAGCAAACATTGATGAGGAGCGTCAAAAGCAAGAACATGTTGAAAAGCAAAAGAAGATGCGTGAAATGCGCAAAAAAGGAACTAAGAGTGGCGTAGAGATGGGTATGTACATCGATCAAATCGATCACGTGTCATGCTCTACTCACAATCATTATCATTGCTAGGCCCCAATCGTGATGAAATGGAACACTTGTTGGCTCAATTAAAGAATCGGCCCGTATCAGCAAAGCCATTGAGACGTAAACGAGCATCAGCACGCCATGACATCAACACCAACGCTCGCTCAATTTATGGCACAGACTCGGTGATGTTGCAAGCTGAAAGTTTACTGCGTTCGATCCAAGCCGAGGACAATGATATGGATGACAAAGAGAATGAAGACCATGGTGCAGGAGGAATTATCGAAAACGATGATGATGATGATGAACGACTCACCAACACGTACAGCACTGAAGATGATGCTTGGATTGAGGAAGAGGAAGAGGATCGAACAAGCACTACTGGCAGCAGCACTAGTATTAGCAGCATCAGTGGATCACCTAGTCCTGTCAGCGATAAAGAAGGAACCCAATCGCATTTGGATGTACACAAAGCACCATCATTGCGACAAAAGCATTCATTACACGTGAGAAAGAAACGAAGTTTGCGTCGCCCTATGGTGGATAAACCAGGTCGTCGTAGTATACGTAAATCATAATCCTAGATACCAGCTAATACCCTTCTCCTATACATAATCCCACTTTTTTTATGATCAAGAGCTTGTAAAATGATATTCATTACTGTATGTAAAAGTAAAATCTTGGTGTTTTGATATGCAAATTGATATATCTCAAACGTGATGTATATGCAAAACGCTATGTAAACATGCTTTTCATTATACTGTACGACGAACGAAGCGAACTTGATAGGGCGGGTGTGCAGTAACAAGCACCACCTCCTGTGGAAGAAACCTTTTGAGGTTCAAGGGCACAGGACAACCTTCATCATCCAAACGTGGCTCAATTGTGCATCGTGCAAAAACACGCGAGAATACGTTGAACATGTGAACTTCGGCCTATATGATACACATGATGCAGGTTAGCATGTATGGGTGTAAAGATTTATGCTCAACGTGGTGATTACCAAATAGCTTCCAGGGCATAAACGTCTATGGATGATTTTAGCATCTCGTATCCATAGCAACCTTGATCTCCATCATGATCAATTACCTTCCCCATCCAAAGTTGTATTGATCACGATCCTCGATTTTGGATTTGGCTGATGCTGTAAATGTCTCTGTCTTATCGAGGAAGCGTTCGGGTCGAAAGACGTGTGGTTCAGGATACACATCAGGATTCATGTGCATAGCAACCATATTGGATGCGATGATAGCACCTTTTGGAATGATTTTGTTTCGCCATACAACTATAAATGTGGCCGTCAGCCACATGATCAACATCGAAAAACCTCAAACTTACTATCCTCAGACGCCACATGTGTTACTCCTAGAGGTGTGGTGGGTCGAAAACGCATACATTCCTTCTGAACAGCGATCATGTATGGGAAATGATCTCGATCGTTAAACATTGGCATCCGCTTATGGGTCTCAATAAAATGGTCGAGCTCTCGCTGGATCTTGCGCTGAACATCTGGTTTCACTGACAAGATGCCAAATGCCCATCCAATGGTCATGGTCGTGGTATCCGTTCCAGCAAAAAGGAGATCATCTATATATACATACATCCATCAATGAACACGTCGAAGGATTGATCCGGATACTTACTCAATGTCACAATGGCTGTGGCTTCATCAATATCGCCAGCATGCACCGATTCTAGCAACGCGGTTGCCATGCAATCTTTTCCATCATTATGGGCATCCAGCATCCATTCTCGTATCCAGGCATCACGCTCCTTCTCGATATGCTTTGCATAAGCTTTCTTGCCACCAATCAAGTGATCAAGAAATGACAACACCGGGAGATATTGGGAAATCATGTACTTGAGACCCGTGAACTCCGTGTTGTATTCTATAAGGTGATCACATTTTTTGAAGATTGGATCATCGGTAGATGCTGCACGTATACCAAAGCAGTTGAGCATCATATAGTTGAGCGATAAACGCAAAACATGATCATATGGATCAATGTTGTTTCCAGTCGCGAGAGCATTGACCATTTCCTCAGTCTCCTTGCACATATCTGGAAGCCTTTTGTTCACGCTGTTTGGTCCAAGAATAGTGGTTGCTATGTAATGTTAAGGAAGATGGATGACGACGTGAGTCAAATTTGCCCGTGTGCCCCATCCTGGTTAGCTTACCAATACCGCGAGCCTTCTTCCATGATTTGCTATTAGTGTCGGCAAAGACAACACCTCTACATAATACTTGTGTCATTATAGTCATTCAAAAATCCTATCATTTGGATGCACAAACCTCCCATTGTGAGCGTAGATCTTCGTCAAGTATTTGTTGTATGGCCTATTGGCTGCCAAACTACCGTTGGTTCCCAACACTTCTTGTGCAATAAAAGGATCAGCTATGCTAACCATTTGCTTGACACCCATTTGGATAAAGATGATTGGCCCTTGATTCGTTGTGGAATGATCAGCTTTCATGCAACCCGAAATTACCCCCCCCCCCTATTCGCGTATTGTTGTACCATAACGTTTATGCCATTGGCAAAATGTCTCGATAGTGTTGGGCCCCAAGTTGAAAAGATGACCTACGTTGTATATGTCATGAATGAGCATAGGCCAACAAGAAATCCACTTTTGCGGAAAACATACCGAAATATGGAAGAGCAAACCTTGGAGAAGGGAGTTTGCTGTTCCTGCTTTTGCTAGCAGATACATATCCTTGCAAGCGTGAAATGATCCAAAGCACTGCTACAGCACCAGCAATGGGACCCAACGTCGTTTTCTTTTTAATGACCCAAGCACGAAGTGGGTCAACTATAGTAGTAAGACGAAGATCCATGATGACTTTTCTTGACGTGAGGTATTAGGTAGACAATAAAAGATGCAAAGGAAAAAGCAAGATACGAGTTGAAATGGGGTAAGGGTATATATTGTGTGGCAGAAATTTAAGTTCACAAAGTACGTATACATGCTTAATGTGGATTGCAATTGACTTTTACAACCTCGGCTCTTTCCTTGCCAAGGTAAAAGCCATTCTCATGGCTGTGGCTCGGCTGCCAATCACAAGAGGTATACCTTTTCATACCACGTCCGTTTTCAGCTAATATGGGCTTAGGAGCAAGCGTGTGTATCACTAACAATGCAACATGGACAACATCATCTGGATTTATGCGTGGCTGAAGGTCAACTCCATCTTGGCATTTACATGGCTGAAGGCAAACACTGCTCCGGTGGTATGTCAAATTGTATTAAACCCACCATAAGGGGCAATTTTGCCCATAGTAGAATGTATCCCATTATCCGGTTTTCAATAGCTTAAATGCTATGGTCGCTATATTTGATGGTGATGTAATATAGATGCAAAGTGAAAAAGAATTGCTAAGCTGATTTTTCCGTACGACGTACGAAACGGACTTGATATGGCGGGTGCGCGGTAACAATCACCACCTCTGGCTGTGGGAGAAATCTTTCGAGGTCTAAAGGCACAGGACAACCTTCATCATCCACCCGCGGCTCAATCGTGCATCGCGCAAAGACATGGGTAAATGCATTGAACATGTGAACTTCAGCCTATATGATACGTATGATGCACGTTAGTATGCATGTATGGATGATGTTATCATGCTCAATGTTGTGATTACCAGATAGCTTCCAGGGCATAAACGTCTATGGATGATTTTAGCATCTCGTATCCATAGCAACGTTGATCTCCATCATCATCAATTACCTTCCCCAACCAAAGTTGTATTGATCACGATCCTCAATTTTCGATTTAGCTGATGCTGTAAATGTCTCTGTCTTATCGAGGAAGCGTTCGGGTCGAAAGACGTGTGGTTCAGGATACACATCAGGATTCTTATGCATAGCAACCATGTTGGACGCGATGATAGCACCTTTTGGAATGATTTTGTTTCGCCATACAACTATAAATGTGGCCGTCAATCACATGATCAACATCGAAGGACTCAAACTTACTATCCTCAGATGCGACATGTGTTACTCCTAGAGGTGTGGTGGGTCGAAAACGCATACATTCCTTCTGAACAGCGATCATGTATGGGAATTGATCTCGATCGGTAAAGATTGGCATCCGCTTATGGGTCTCAATAAAATGGTCGAGCTCTTGTTGTATCTTGCGTTGAACATCTGGTTTCACTGACAAGATGCCAAATGCCCATCCAATAGTCACGGCGGCGGTATCCGTACCAGCAAAAAGGAGATCAGCTATATCCACATCATTGAACAATAGGATCATCAAAGCATTCATCCGGATACTTACCCAGTGTCACAATGGCTGTGGCTTCATCAATGTCACCATGATGCACCGATTCTAGCAACGCCGTTGCCATGCAATCTTTTCCATCATTATGGGCATTCAACATCCATTCTCGGAGCCATGCATCACGCTCCTTCTCGATATGCATTGCGTAAGTTTTCTCGCCACCGATCAAGTAATCAAGGAATGACAACACTGGAAGGTATTCAGAGATCATATACTTGATACCCGTGTACACCATGGTATACTTTATAAGGTATACACATTTTTTGAAGATTGGATCATCCGTAGATGCTGCACGTATACCAAAGCAGTTGAGCAGCATATAGTTGAGCGATAAACGCAAAATGTGATCAGATGGATCGATGTTTTTTCCAGTCGCGAGAGCATTAACCAGTTCCTCGGTTTCGTTGCCCATTTCGGGAAGCTTTTTGTTCACGTTGTTCGGTCCAAGAATAGTCGTTGCTATGTATAACGGGAATGTTAAGGAAGGTGGATGACGACATTGAGTCAAATTTGCCCTTGTGTCTCATTCTGGTTATAGTTTAGCTTACCAATGCCGCGTGCCTTCCTCCATGATTTGCTCTTAGTTTCGGCAAAGACAACCCCTCTATATGTACAACACGAGCGTATGACCATAAACATAGAGCCACATACGTCATTAAATGCATACACGAATCCATACATTTGGATGCGCATACCTCCCATTTTTACCAAACAGCTTCGTCATGTACTTGTTGTATGGCCTATTTGCTGCCAAACTACCATTGGTTCCCAACACTTCTTGTGCAATAAAGGGATCAGATATGCTGACCATTTGCTTGACACCCATTTGGATAAGGATGATTGGCCCTTGATTTGGTGTGGAAGGATCAGTTTTTATGCTACCCGGTTAACTCTATTCGCGTATTGTTGTACCATAACGTTTATGCCAATGACCAAATGTCTCAATAGTATTGGGTCCCAAGTTAAAAAGATGGCCTACGTTGTCATGAGTAAGGATGATCCACACGTTTGCCGAAAGCATACCGAAATATGGAAGAGCAAACCTTGGAGAGGGAAGCTTGCTGTTGCTGCTTTTGCTAGCAGTTACATATCCTTGCAAGCGTGAAATGATCCAAATCACTGCTACAGCACCAGCAATGGGACCCAACGTCGTTTTCTTTTTAACAGCCCAAGCACGAAGTGGATCAGCCATAGTAAGACGAAGATCCATGATGACTTTTCTTGACGTGAAGTATTAGGTAGACAACGAAAGACACAAAGGAAAAAGTAGAATACAGGTTGAAATGGGGTAAGGATATTTATATCGTGGCTGAATTCGATTTTAAGTTCATGCAGTATATGCTTAATGAGGGTAATGCAATTGACTTTTGCAACCTAGGCTATTCCCTTGTCAACGTATGACCATTTCATAGTTATGGATCGGTTGCCAATCACCACAGGAGGTATACCATTTCATGCATGTGCCATGTCACCTCCGTTTGCAGTCAATACAGGCTTAGAAGCAAGCGTGTGGATCACTGCTAACTATGCAACACGGTAAAAGCTATCTGGACGTATCCATAGCTGAAGGTAAACATCACTGCAGGCATGTCCATGAATACAAATAAAGGACTCGTGGCGTCTCAAATTCTCTTCAAAATCCAAAGGGACAATTTTGCCCATTGTAGAATGTATCTCCATTATCAGTTTTATGATAGCTTATTGCCATGATCTACATATTTGATGATGATATCGAGGCCAAAATAGAAAATTACTAGGCTTATTCTTCTTTACGACGCACGAAACGGACTTGATATGGAGGAGGTGCAGTAATAACCACTACTTCTGGTAGTGGGAGAAAGCTTACAAGATCCAAAGGCACAAGGTTACCTCCATCATCCAAACGAGGCTCAATGCTGCACTTTGCAAACACGCGCGAGAATACATTGAATAGATGGACTTCAGCCTAAACAATACACGTGATGCAGGTTAGCACGCATGGATCACGAAATGCTATGTTATGCTCAATGTGATTACCAAATAGCTTCCAGGGCATAAACGTCTATGGATGATTTTAGCATCTCGTATCCATAGCAACGTTGACCTCCATCATCATTGATTACCTTCCCCAACCAAAGTTGTATTGATCACGATCCTCGATTTTCGATTTGGCTGATGCTGTAAATGTCTCTGTTTTATCAAGGAAGCGTTCGGGTCGAAAGACGTGTGGCTCAGGATACACATCAGGATTCATATGCATAGCAACCATGTTTGTTACGATCGATGCGCTTTTGGGAATGATTTTGTCTTTCCATACAACTATGTAGCAGTGGTTAAAAACCCGCTTGTATGCCGTAACAACAAATGACAAGTGACCAACTTACTATTCTCAGATGCCTCATGTGGCAATCCTAGTGGTGTGGTGGGTCGAAAACGCATACACTCTTTCTGCACAGCGATCATATATGGGAATTGGTCTCGATCAGTAAACATCGGCATCCGCTTATGGGTTTCAATAAAGTGATCGAGCTCTTGTTGTATCTTGCGTTGAACCTCTGGTTTTACCGATAAGATGCCAAATGCCCACGCGAGGGTCACAGCCGTGGTATCCATGCCAGCACCAACGAGATCAGCTATGTATATGCATCAATGACCAAATTAACACCCATCATGCAAGATAACCGAGAAGATACTCACAAATGGTCACGATGGCCGTGAGTTCATCAATTTCACCAGATTCCACAGATTCCATCAACGCTGTTGCTATGCATTCTTTGCGATCCTTATAGGCCTCCATGATCCATTCTCGATACCATGCATCATTTTCGGTTTCAATATGCTTTGCGTACTGCTTTTCGCCACCAATCAAGCCATCAATAAACGATAACACTGGTAGGTATCCACTGATGGTATACTTGATATTAGTGAAATGTACGCCTGTTTTCACAAGATACACCGTTTTCTTGAAGAGAGGATCGTTGGTCGATGTTGTGCGTTTACCAAAACAGCTGAGCGTCATATAGTTGAGCGACAAAAGTAAAAGATCTTGGGATGGATCAATGTTATTCCCTGTTGCAAGGCGCTCAACCAGCTCATCGGCGTCACTGCACATCTCCGGGAGCCTTTTGTTTATATTATTCGGGCCGAGAACGGTGGTAGCTATAGCAATGTGCATGAATAAACAATGCTGTACTGGGACTTTGTGTACTTTACTCACCAATGGCGCGTGCCCTCCTCCATGTTTTGGTATTGGTATTGGCAAAGATGACTCCTCTATATGTAAAAAGCGGTCAGATGATCGCGCGTTTGTATGACAAAGTCATGCCAGACCCCCTCTCACGTTTCACAAACCTTCCATTCTTGCTGTAAATCTTGGTCATGAACTTGTCGAAAGGCCTGTTGGATGCCAGACTACCTTTGGTACCAAGCACTTCATGTGCAATAAAGGGATCGGAGATGCTCACCATTTGCTTGACACCCGTTTGGATAAGGATAATGGGTCCTTAATACGAGATGGCATATAACAATTCATCATCAGCCTTTGTGTTACCCGGGATATTCTATATGAAAAACGTTCTTATTTACCATATTGCTTATGCCATTGAGCAAACGTCTTTGGAAGATTAGTACCCAAGCTGAAAAGATGGCCTACGTGAATGATAGTGTTGGTTCATCAAGATGTCTGAGTAGATGTCTAAACGTACCAAAATAAGGAAGAGCAAATCTTGGAGAAGGTAGTTTGCTGCTGTTGGAACCAGCTTTTGCATGTGCTCTCAAACGCGAGACGATCCAAAGGACTGCTACTGCACCAGCAATGGGTCCCAACGTCGATTTCTTTTTAATAACCCAATCGCGAAACGGGTTAATTACCGTAGCGATACTAAGATCCATCGTATCCTTTGTTATTAAGTTTGTAAAACGAGATGCAAAGGGTAAAAAGAAGAGCAACAAGTGCGCAAAGGGGCTCGGAAGAGCTACTTTTTATGTGGCTGAAATTTAAGGTTATGTATGCATTGCAGATAAGTTTAATGAAAATGATGCGATTTACTAATACAATCTAATTTTTGGATTTCTTGCCCTTGCCTAGATATAATGGTTTGCCCTTCATCTTGTTGTAGCCACCCAATTCAGCAGATGATGCAGCAGTGTTCGACTTCTTATTTCTTTTCCTTCCACCCATGCCGTACTTGGCATCCTTGCTTTGTCGCTTCTTGCTCTTTTCCATCTTGCCACCAGTCTTTTGCTTTTTGTTGGGAGTCGTAGCACTTTCCAATGCAATATCGAAATCGTCGTTGGTTGTGAGATCACCGCCACCATCTTTCCGTTCTGTATTATAAAAACAGTCAATGGGATGATCGTTACACTTTTCGGGTTCTCATTACTTACTTCGCTTGAGTAACTTGATCTTCTCCAGCGTTTCGGATTTCTCCTTTTGTCGTTGCAATTGCCTCTCAACTTGCACCTTCTTGCCGAATTTCTTAAGCTTGCGTTGCAATTTGGCATCTTCTGCGGCCTTAACTCGAGCGTCTTCATTCACCAGTCGTTGACGGATCTATCACACAAATATCCATTATTACCCAGAATACCCAAATCCAAATGCCTTTTACCATACCTTAGCCATATGCTCATCACTCTTGATCATCTCTGCAAAGTAATCATCGGGTCGTGAGAAGGGGACACCAGCATCAATGATCTTGTCTCTGGCAATCTGAGCTGCTTCGAGAGCTTGTTGATAGAATGCCAATTCACGTGCCATATCGTCTTTGATATCTTCAATCACAAGGGGCTCTGAGGATGTCACAGTCAACGTTTCGATCCATGGCAAGTTCTTGAGCTTGATCTCTTCGGTCAGTCGCTGCAATTCAGCCTATGAACACACAACGATCGTCAGTGTCAAACTCTAGATCGCGTCGTTTAATAGTAGTACCTCGTTGTTGATCGGTTGACGTTTCTCTCGCTTAGGGCGTTGTGTTTGATCGACCAATTCCTCTTCCAATTCCTCTTCGGATTCCTCGTCCTCGTCCTCCTGATCGTCTTCAGATTCTTCGGCCTCGTCGTCTAAAGGAACAGCGATCGGTGCTTCTTCGTCGTCGTCTTCCACCTCTTCCTCGACAATAGCTTGCTCAACAGCCTCAGTAGGTTCTTGTTCTTCTTGAAGAGCCTTTCGTTTCTCCAATCGCTTGAGTTTGCTTTTTGATGGCTTCTTGATGCCCATAGTGTGTGTATGTAAAGAGTATATGTAGGTAGACAAGAAGGTCAAAAGGTCAAAAATTTGCTGGATTTTTTGGGCGGACAAAGTCCTCCACTGTGACACCTACAACCAATACATTTCCATGCAGCAATAGCACCCTCTTCCACTATCATAGACTTGTTTTGGGGCTTAAGAGAATAAAGTACAACTCAACCCACAAGCAGTCTATTTGAACAATAACTCAATCCAAGTGCTTGAAATGCCATCGTTTAGTTGACGTTCATTTTCCTTCACTGAAACATGATGAAATTCAGAGTATGGCTACTAAACCAACAAGTCGAGTCTACTTGCATGTTAATGATGGAATCATGACTATTATGACATGGAGGATATACTTGTCTTTTGCATTGATCAAATCAATCAGGGCTGATGTTGACGCTGTATGAAAGGGGCCCTTACATAATCCACATCACTCAAACGAGTTACTTCCTATCATGAATGCAGCATAATTTTTATACTTCATTACATCCATCTACATGAATGGCGTAACTTTTTTGGATGTAGAATAGCGTAGCCGTAATCGACTTACAATACCAGCGCTCTCATTATTGTTGAAGTCGAGAATGACATCGCTAGAGACATGTCCTCACAAATGGTGGTGTATCATTCGTTCATAGAATAGGATGAAAGTCGCTTTTAGCAGCATTGATGTCGTCTTTTTGATTGCCAAGAATCAGGGTAACCTATCGTACATGTTACCAACATCCATCACTTTTTGTAACCATGCTTCATGCACCCTGTTTTGTTCAAACTCAGACAGGCATCATGTTCTCTCACCGTTATCAAAGCCTCGAGTATCACAATGACAACCACGACAATGAAAGTGGAATAACAATGAACGTGATGTGGGTTACACACTTTTAAGAATGATTGGATAGGAGGTATTCGGGTGACAGCATCCTTTTATTATGCAACCTGGGCGTTTGGACTTCTGTACTCATAAAGAGGAAAAAAGGAATAAAGCGTGAGCTGAAAAGTTGGATCGAAAACCTACACCAGGATCGGATTTGGTAATGTATCAAAAAGTTTGGGTGGGATGATTGTCCATGCAAAAGCCTAACAATGAACCTGACTAAATAAGGCAGCAACCGGCAATATCAAACGTCAAACAATGTCGCTCACCATATATCCTATAAGAGCATACCCATCACAATCAGCAATCAAAGACCATCATTATTGGCAGCATGACGCAAATGGCAAAGCGCATCAACAACACACGCTATTAAATGAGTATCACAGGATTGTATTGGGGGCATGCATTGATTCGTTTTTATTGAGATCTATATAACAAATGTTGTTGATGGAAGAATAGAGCAATTAGAGAGCAGTAGGGAAAGGAGGTGGGCATGCATCTTGGGGATAGCGCTTTTCAGCCTTGAGCTTGACAGCATCCTTAATCTTGATATACTGATCATCGAATCCAGGCACTGAACCCTTGATGAACAACAAGTTCTCAGAAGGATCCACCTTCACAACCTATCCCCAATGGTCAAAATCGATTTCATTTCATTATCCCCATCTTTCATATTACTCACCTTGAGATTTTGAACAGTGACACTGTTTCCACCCATACGGCCAGCCATCTTTTTACCCTTGAACACCTTGCTTGGCCACTACAACCCAATTACCAATATCAGCCAATTGTCCTTCTGTATACGATTGATGATACATACCTTGCGTTGACCCGTTGAACCAGCAGAACGGTGAGACAATGAATGACCGTGAGATGCAGGTTGACCAGCAAAGTTCCATCGCTTCATGACACCAGCAAAACCTTTACCGATCCTAGATACAAGAAATGGATGAATATCACATGACCCCCTCCCCATCCACAAATCCACTTACGAAGGAGCAGTGACATCAACGTATTGACCGGTGACAAAATGAGTTGCTCGTAGTTCAGTACCCAAGGGAAGCATGGCATCTTCAGTGACACGGAATTCAGCGAGCTTTTGACGCAAACCGACACCCAACTTTTTGAAATGCTCTATTAAGGGCTTGGATACGTTCTTTTCCTTCTTGATGGTGCTGCCGATCTGGAGTGCCGAGTATCCATTCTTTTCAACTGTACGAACATCCGTGACAATAACATCCTCCAACTATGTAGCGTATAGGGTAAATAAATAAAGACCTCGGCTGCTCTTTGTTGTTGTTATGACTTACTTGAAGAACTGTGATAGGCATACGCACACCCTTGTCATCCCACATTGAAGTCATGCCCTTTTTACGAGCAATCACACCTGTTCGAATCGATTGAGGGGTCCACGAAGAAGAAGAAGCAGCGGTGGCATTGTCTGTAGGTGCAGCTTGTTGAGCGGCTTTTGTGGTGTGAATGGCAGCTGTCTTGGTCCATTGCATAGCAGGAGTAGCCAATGCTCGGCCCACCAATGAAGAATGGCTCCACAATTTCAAGGACATTGGGACGTGTATGTTTGTAAAGGAACAAGGAGTGGGAAATAAGTGTGGCCTGTGGTTGACACCTCTTGCTGATGCTGCTGCTTCTTTCAAGCTCACATTTTGGCCCCCAGCTTCAACTCTTCGCCCCCGCTTGGTGACTGGGTGGCTTTGATCTCAAGGTTGTCAAAGCGTCGCTGACCTTCTTTATTCGTCCTTTTTTCAAATACCTTGACATTCCTGCAACATGGCCCCAAAGCGATCTCGAGACGATACCACCGTTGACGACTCAACACCTACAAAGAAGCAATTGTTGGAGAACAAATCAGCCCTCAACGCTATCCGATTACCGAGCGAAGCTCATTCACCTGCTTCAGACAACGAAGACTTTCGAATCATTACCGGCACTTATGAACGTATCCTCTATGGTATCAACGCCTATTGGGAGAAGGAGAATGGATCGGTAAGCATTGATAACATATGATAGCGAATGGACACGTGATCTAATGATTGAGTGTGGACGATCATGCATGCATTAGACAAAGATCAAAATGCAACCTGTTTTCATTGTTCCTGCACATACGGGATGTATCAAGACCGTAGCCGTTGGTGGTCAATTCCTAGCATCAGGAAGCACAGACGAGATCATTCGCTTATACGATGTCAAGAAACGCAAGGAATATGGATCATTGGGTGGTCAGCATTCAGGCGACCTCACAGATATTCAATTCTTTGGACGCTATATGCTTACGGCCAGCGACGATAAGACTATTTGCATTTGGAGGAAAAAGGATTGGGAATACCTCAAGACATTGAAGGGACACAAGTAAGTCATTGGATAAATGATGATTCATTGAAGAGTATACTAAGTATCCTTTTTCAGGGGTCGTGTTAATTCATTGGCCATTCATCCATCTGGCAAGATTGCACTCTCAGTATCAGCCGATAGAACAGCCATCGTATGGAATCTCATGACCGCACGTAAAGCAAGCCAAAACAAACTTGGACAAGGTAAATTGAATATCATGTGATATTATGCATGAATACACGGCTTATCATTGTTCATAGAGGGATTGTGCGTACGATGGAACAAGAGTGGAGACCATTATGCTATTATGTTTGACCGACAAATCAATATTTACAACGTCACAGTAAGTTTGGGGACAGTGGCAGGAGAATGGGACAAGATGGCTAAAGTGCGTCGTTGCTAGGATGCCGAAGTAGCAGTGTCAATTTCACAACGTTCACGGTTTTTGTGCATGCAATACTACACATCCAAGGCAGGCAAAGAATACTTGATTACTGGTAGCGAAGATCGGATCGCAAGGATTTGGGATGCATCCACTGGCGAGTCTGTGGTGGAGTTGAAGGGACATAAGCTACGTGTCAAGACACTCGCCGTGATCGAATCAAAACCAGGAGAATCCGACGAAGAAGTTGGTGTCCTTGTTACCGTATCATCCGATGGTATGATCAAATGTTGGGATATTGAAGCAGCCTTGGCCGGTGATGAGAATCCACTTTTTGGCGAATACGATACCAAGAGTCGAGTAACATGTTGCACTGCCCATCTTGGATTCAAGACCGTTGCATCATCATCATCAACAGCCACCAAGAATAGTAATAATAATGTAACAATAGCCGAGGAAAAGGAGGAGGATGAGGAAGAATAAACACACGCATGTTGATTGGGATTTGTTTTGTTGTTGTGTTCTTAGTATTTGCATTGAAAACAGAGAAGAGAGAACAAAAAAAAAGATGGGGGGCTGACCTGTGCTACCCATTTACGCCTTGCTTTTTAAAGCAAGGACCATGGATCATTCACACAAAGCTGCCAGCACGCCCTCTATGCCAGCTCCTTCGAGTCAAGTCGAGTCCACCATGAAACGTAACAAGTCCAGTAGAGCTTGCAAGGAATGTCGACGTAAAAAGGTGAGCTAATCTTGGGTAACGGGACATGCATAACATGGACGACTCACTTGTGGCGCAATGACCTAGATCAAGTGTAATGGAGAGAACCCTTGCGATCGCTGTCAACGAGCAGGGCAAACGTGCGTATTCGACGCAATATTCACTTCCAAGAGACCAACACAGCATAATTCACGGTTGAGGCAAGTGGATAACATGTTGATTGTATAAGCAAATACACTGATGATATGATTAGCCCGCCATCTTCAATCATAAGCACCAAGGTCGACAAAGAAAACCAGTGCTATAAGGCATCATTTCTATCACATGGTTAGTACGCCTCTCTAGTATTGAACATGAGGACTCATCAACAAACGACCATGCAGAGTATCAGTTGGGCGATGACAGCGCCATCTCAGTTAATGCAGCTGGGCGACCCTTCTATTTCCCGGATTGGACACGCCAACCTAATGCACCAATTACAACCGCAACAAATTGGGACACCACGCTCATCAACTTGTACTTTGATTCCATTCATCCCTTATTTCCAATTTTTCATCGTGCAACTTTCCATGTCCAACTACAACAAGGAAACATCCCAAAGCTACTTTTAAACGCCATCTACGCTGTGGCATATCTCTGCTACCAGTCAACGGAGCTCCAACAACATCTAACAACGATGGGATTTACTTGCTATGAATCAGCATTTTCTTTATTGGATGAATCCCTGGATATGCCGCGTTTATCCACAGTACAGGCACTGTTGTTGATGGTGAAATTCCAAGAACATGCTCGACCACCAGGTTATCAGTTTCGGATACAGCTGCTTATTGACATGGCCTATCGCACGTGTCAAAGTCTCAATTTATCACATCGATGGCATCAAGATCCCGTACACGCCGAAGTGGGCATTCGTGTTTTTGGGGCTGTTTACGCATACATGATATTGTTCAGGTAATGGATGCATCTATTATTGCTTTTTGATACTTGCACTAATCACTGTTGCCCAAAAAGTATTGAACAAGGCACCCCTCCTCCTCTCCATGATATCGACTTGCCTATTTTGTTACCGGATGAACATCAACAACAACCCATAGACGCTGAAGCCATCACCAGCTTTTTTACGCAATGCCAAATTATCCAGCTTCAAGGCAAGATTGCAAGTTTTTTGCGAGTCAAATACGGGAAAGAATCGAATGAAGAAATGACTTTGAATGAGGAATCAAAGCTACACAAACACCTCACAGAATGTCTCGACCGTATACAACAACGGCATAGCAACAATATCCATACCACGGCAAAAAGCAACATCCATGAAAAGGCATCCATGCTTATGGCTCACAATGTTCGCTGGTTACAAATATCACTCCACTTCACTACCATCTTGTTACATCGACCTTATGCGACGAGTGATTTGAAGGTTCGAGAAAAGTGTGTGGTTGCCGCATCAACATTGTGTCAATTAGTGGATGATTTGATCAAGTCCACAAGCAACGAAGCAGTTACGTTGTTTGGAATACCACGTGGACTACAGCAATTGATACATTGTATGGCAGCAAGCGTTACGATCCATCGACTTGTTCAATCATGTGAGGGGAAGAAGAAACGGGGCAACAGCAACAAATCCTCCAAACAAGTGGACAAGGCCTTGGATGTCATCCATACCCTATTGAAATCGCATAACAAGAATATTGCTCTTGACGACCAGGCACCCAAGATTAGCCAACAGCATTCACATTATCGATACTCAGCTCCATCCATGATGCAACACTATTCAACAACGTTGACGTCAGGCCACCAGCAGCAGCAACAACCATGTACCTTTGATGCCGTCAATGGCTTGCCACCCACGACAACACAATGGCTCTCATCAAAAAAGTCTTCCAAAATTGACACAAGCACGATGCAGCAATATGATGAAATGCTTCTTGCAGCACCATCTGATGTATCCACCTTAGGCGACCATGATGATGACCCTATGTCAATTGATAAACAACAGCATAGCATTTTGGATTTCACATGAGCTAGAAAAGTGATCATGTATATGGTTGATTGGAATTATAAAAGGAATGTGTATAGTGGGGTAATTTTTAATGAGGACAATTTGAGTATACAATATATGCGTGGAATAGTATATGGAAGGGGGGATGTGTTTAGAGGAGCGAAATTGCACCGGCAACAGCAGCCAAGACAATACCACCAACAGCGGTAGTAACAGAAGAGGCACCACTTTCACCATCAGAGGAAGAACCGCTATCTCCAGGCTTCGAGCCATCAGCATTGACACAAGCGCTAGAGTTAAAGTTGGAGGGGTTCTCGACAAAAGTGACATCCGTGCACTATATCAAATCATGGATTCGTTAGCATGAGAATCATTAAATGTTCTTTGTTTCTTCTTACCTGATACAAGGAACCATCACCACCGTCATAGGTGATTTGGATGGTGGCGTTGGTGCCAGCCTTGATATCGGTGCCATTGTTGGTGCTGACAGTGAGACAAGCATCACCAGGGTAGTTACGGCTACCAGAGCCGATCACAGTAGCATTGCTTCCAGTGAAATCAGAAGTAGAGGGGTTGCTGCTGGTGATCACCTTGACAGTGTACTTGTAAGAGGTATGGCCAGAGTTGATCTGGACAAAACCATTCTCCAAGGGAAACTCGGAACGCGAACCAACATTGTTGAAACCGCCACAAGGAGCTTGGGGTTCATTGTCCTCATTGAAACCACGTGTTTGAGGATAGGTCAATTGGAAATGAGCAGACACAGCCGAAATAGTGGCAGCACTCAATGCAATAAGGGAAAGGCGGACCATTGTTAAAACAAAGAAAGAAAGAGAGAGGGATCTTTTCCATTTGCTGCACCCCTTGATTCTCCATTTATATTCGCTGGGTCTCCCCGAAACACCGACATGCGAGAGGTTTTTGCTATCCATTCGTATGATCTGATTGGGTGCACAAGTTTCTTTGACCGCCAAACATACTCCCCGTTAGCTATCTTTTGGAACCGTTATTTTACATACACAAGAGCGCTCTCAATAAACATCAATGCACAGGAGTACATGGCATCATGCGTGTGAATGGATCAAAGAGGCATTTACTTGTCATTTGATTGGGGAGTAGATGCCGTTGTTGTCAATGGCAACCAGTAGCAGAAGGTCCTAATAACCGACGCACGCATTCAACAATGGTAGCTATCCATTCATCCTATTAATAAAAGGTAATTGATAAAGGAACATCAACATAATCAATGCTATGTGAGCTTATTTTGTGGATAACGTCCTAAACTCATTAAAGCCTAGAAAGCTACTATACGCCTTTTTTTGTTTAGCATGGTCGCCAACTTTTGGAAAGTTTATTTGAAATAAGGTTTTACTATAGTTGATGGTCAAACTTGGTAGTCCATAATGCCTGAAACGCGTGGGGATGGATCATAGATTACTTTTATCCAATGTCCATATGTACAAACTCCTCGTTGGTAAGCTGAGAACCAATAGCATCAACAGCCGGTATGGATTCTTCCAAAATCTCAAAGTACATTGTTGATAATAAGGATCCAAGTGCAAAGGTATCCATGTTATCCCTGCTATGGTCATCAGGTGCAAGGACGAGAATGAATGTCTTTTATTATTGGACCGTCTAAGCTATAATCCGTAAGGGAAAAGAGGAGATGAATAAGCTAGCTAAGTCCAAATGGATCATGAACAGAGCTTCTAGCTACTTTGCCATGGCCATCTTCATCCATCGTAGCCACCGCGGTCATGAAAATCATATCCAGCACACAAATGGAAAAAGAAATGGGATATGGGGAATCCATCAAGCAACAACACCATACCAAGAGAAAGGTAAACCACGCTTGCCTGTGCCATTATCTTCGTTATCGATGTCATTGTGAATCTTGCTCGAGTTGTCATTGTCATCTCTATACATAAAGGAAGCAATTTTGCATGAATCACATGACCCAATCACCATTGATGCCATCACCTACATAGTATCCCTGTGGCCCATAGTTATCCTCATTCATCCGCTTGAACAAAGGAAGAACAACCCTCATGCGTTCAAATCCTCAAAGGCTAACCACCAGCATTATCACGAGAAGAGCGTCAAATGTGACTCCAAGGAGAGTTGATACCCAAAGTTGAACAATCTGACCAAGAACCTATTCAATAATAGCATCATTGATTATTACATCAAACATGTTTTTCATTGTCATTGTTCACTGCACTTGCCTCTTTTCCGTATGGATAATGATCTTTGATGTTGGGTTGCTTGAAACTGGAACCATGGTGTAGTGCAGTCGAAGCGAAACAAATGCCATATGAACCAACGCCTTTGCGCTCTAATCCTTGTTGTCTACAAACTTCAATGAAACAAGCTCATCTCCTACATGGGGGCTCTGAAAGTACCTGTTGCACCAAGCGTAAAGCTGCATAACAATGAACAAGAACGACGATATCACCATGGCTACGACACTTGCACATACCCCTTGCCTATGTACATTCAGCACTATACCTGTATCTCACAACCAACAAAGCATTACCTTGATCGAATGACGCGAATGGGTTAAAAGGAGAGGGAGAACGAGAAGCGTTTGTAGTAGCTGCTGGTACCACAATTGCGGTTGTCATGGTGATCTTGCGTCCACATAGATTCCAAAGTTTTAGTCAACCATGCCCAAAGTACATGCCAAGATCTCAGTGTCGATCGGTAAAGAAAGCCCTGAATGCCACCATTGGTGAAAAGAAAGGGAGGTGTCAACGATCTCGCTGGCAACCACTTGCTCCTATTGTCTCACACCACACATACTCTCCACCACTCCACCTCCTGATCCAAATAAACTTGCATATACTTTATTTGTACACCTTCATCACTCGACTCTTCTCTATCTTTTGCAGTATTACTCATGTAAAAAGGATGGAATATGGGGGAGATAGCTATTGGCAAAGGAATGGGGAAAAGGCCGTGTCTACCAGCTAAAAGCGCGTTTTTTCACGCGTCTCACAAACATACACCCCACAATATATAGATCATATTGATCGCACGGCTTTTCTCTATCGTTTGATATCTTGTTTGTCTAGAAACGATGAAAAAATGCAACTATTAACGCGTTTTTAAGCGTGTGCCACCCATTAACCCCACCCAACCTTGGTCTCATGTTGACCGCAGCACTTTTCTCTATCATTTGAGGTACAACTATTTGTTTATGAAAGCTCAAGTTTATGTTTTGAAGAGAAGAGAGTTTATTATGACTTGAATTCAAGACTACAACTAAGGAGGCAATTGGTTTCCACAAGTCTAAGACGACTCATGTACTCACAGGAATGACCACGAGAAGGTTTGCCTCATCATTCCCGCCTTAAGCCAAGGACACCAACCTTGACCAAGGCACAGAGGAAGCAGCCCTTAACCAGACCTTAAAGAACTGCAAGGTAGTTACGGTCGCATTTAAGGAAGCCCCCCTTGAACAGGCCTTTAAGACCTGGAAGGTGTTACAGTCCTCTGTTTACGGAATTGTAACGGTCAGAAGGCTAACAATCACGAAGACTGCTCCCGCCAATCAGTGCTCTAAAGAAAAGAGGGAAAAGGATTCGGGGAAACACCCCATCCTTTATGATCCCAATTTCGATCCCAGATGGAAGGTGCTGGAACCTTTCGGGGCCCTAATTTAATTGGCTGATGGTTCAGCGTGTAGAAAACAGTAGTAAAAGCATACGTTTTACGCGTGTAAAGGACACTTCTTGAAAGAAAAGGTGTAATGTGCATGGTGAAACATAGTAGTGAAGCGGAGACGTAGCTTCTCCTTACTTCATATAGTATAAAACCTGCGCACAGACCAAGTTTGTGTATTGAAACACCCACACAGCCCGCATGCTAATTTGTGTACTACTCAGCTGGTCCGATTTCATGGTACTTTATTGTTTATCGTAAAGGGTCATTCAAGGATACCGACAAAGGTATAAGAGTACAAGTGGTTGTGTTGCTGGAAAAGGAAGAAGGGGTAAAAAGTGCACGATTAAATACTATTACAATGCGTGTACATGAGTTGATGATATAACCAACAAGTATTATAGCTCGTGTAGACCGACTAGCCACCAACAAGGATATAACTGAGATAGAGTACACTAATCACGGTTTGCGTTTGTGTTGTGATGCTCGATTGCTGCAAGTACCACGATCTAATGGAGTCGAGATCAGGCACCTCCAAGCATAGTTTGACGCTTAGTATACATGGCAGAGCATACCTCCACACATTAGCGAGCTACATTGATATTGCCGTGTGTTTATTGATTCAATGTATCGTGTTTTATGTAAACTGCCAGCTAACAGCCACATCATCCATCTTCAGGTGTTGCCCAATCTACCACATGTAACGATTCTCCTGCTCCAGCCCATCATCTCCATCCTTCAACTTCCTTGATCCGAGAGGTTTTGACCGAGTTACGCGCAAACACAAAACATCATCCAATTTCACAAAAATCATTTTGCAAAGTTATTTGTAAACTGCCAGCCATTAATCCATTCCTCCCTTTCATCTTTGTTGCCCAACCCAATGCATGTGAACGATTGTCCTGCTTCAGCTCAACACTTCCATCATTCAACTTTCTTGATACGAGAGGATTTGACTGAACAACGCTTAAACAAAGAAGTATCATTCAACGTCAGTTGATCAACTCTTTTAATTTCCACTTCTTCCACTCCCAGCTTACTGTTCTCTTCCTCCATTCTCAACTTGTGACCCATTCGAGTACTTACAACTACCATCTGCGAACGATTGTCCTGCTTCAACCCATCATGTCAATCCTACAACTCTCTTGATCCGATTGTCTTAATGGCAAGTCCATGGCGTGTACACAACCTTCTTGTCGCTCTTCTACAACACACGAGTCTCTCGACACAACACACGCTCTTGTATGCTTCTCTGCCACGATCAAACGTAACAGCATTCATTCCAGCAGTTGCTACGATCAAAGTCTTTGCTCCATTGTCTACAGCATTCGCCATCTTGTCACCCTACTACAACACACGCTCTCTTGCAAGCTCCTCTGCCACAACCAAACATTCCAGCCGTTGCTATTAGCAAGGTCTCCAACAGTGTTTTTTACTTGCAGCAACTTGTCTTACAGCTTTCTTTCGTGTATAGAAGCAGCTTTGTTTACGTGTAGCAACTTGCTTTGATGCCTACGGATACCAATGGACGATGCCATATCAGCCGTCAACTACATCACGATACGACTTATCTTCACCTGGTTGAGCTGCAATGAAAATGAAAATGACCAAGAAAGAGATAGACCGACAGCCGGATGGAAAGGGACGCATATCACTAGCAGCGATCACAGAAGCTCTTATTGGACTTGCAGTGGTCGTGATCAAGGAACGTATTACAGTGATGGTGAACTTTGGAATGTTGCTACGGCTACTTGTCGCATAGTCAGCAGGAACGATGGATCATGTAATGTGGATACGGCTGAGGATGATGATGGGTTGGATGGGATTGTCGAGAGGGGGGCTTTTATCTTTGGCGAAGGATGTTGGTTGATCACCATGGATTAAGATTGGGACACACGAGTCAAATCACGCCGTTATGGGATTATGAATGATACTGCTACTGATGACAGCAACCAAGAATACAATGACACATTCACTCACGCCTTCTTCATTTGGCAATGCTATTCCTTTATCTATACCATAGCTACTTGATAAATACCCTTACTTCCATGTCTTTTTCTTCACTTTAATCGAATAAACACTAGATTCAACATAATACCTAGAGTGTAGTGCTATCAACTCATATGTGCAAGGTGTGGATCACTTGGTTGGATTCTGGATCGGAAGGCAAAATAGAAATTTGAAGTTCGGAAAGCGAGGTTGAATCATTTACTGTACATCATCGTATCGAGAAGCTTTTATCGTAATCAATTACGTTCAAGAAAGAGTGAGGGATGTGATACAATGTGACATGAGAGCATGAACTTATCATGATTACCTTTAACATCTTTCCATACGGGCTATCATAACTTGCTTCCTCCTAATGGATGGTGTAGAGAGCACTATAATCAAGTTGACGAACGGCGTGTAATGGCACGTGATGGTTACACACACGTCATTGACAGGCTGTCGCACAAATGGATGATGGTTGATCATTGTTGCTTACAGACTCGAATACACCAGACATACACGTACGTCTTTGATTAGAATTGCCTGACAATGGCAAACCCATTTGTGACAATTGGAATTTGCCTTGATGTACAAGTAATTGGGTTTTCATTGTTGATAGATTTTATCACCCGCTCTATTATTATGGCCGATGTATTATACAGTGATCGTATTACACTTTGACTTTTTAGACTTAATCCTGATCTATACACATCATCACTTTATGAGCTCATGTAACCATCTATCTATGCAACATTCCTGGTCCGTTGCCTGTGAATCCAGAAATTCAGTAGGAGTAGGATGGCTCTATTGTGTGCGGTGGGCTTGAGAAATCTTGTCCTCACAAGGAACGATGTGGATGATCATGAAATGGAACAAGCACCTACAAAAGGATTGGATCTACATTCAATGGCAACATCTCCCAAATCCATCATGGTATAACGACATCAATATGGTATCATCATGGCACATTTTGCAGTCATGTATTACGTGCTTGTATCCATATTGGTGAATCAAAAGTGAAGGTATCATAGCACCTTTCAGAGCCGTACAAAGGGCTTCTTCTTGTTGCTTGATTCTTGATCTAGTAAATCGCTTGAAAGCGCTGTCGTATTCCTCCTCTGGCGTTGCATTTTCAAGAGGTTCAAGGGCAGGGAGTGTCTGCAGTATGAAGACAAATGAGAGGCAATGGGTAATCTTTTATTATAGTATCACGTACAATGATATGTAGTATCTATGATTGCTATCCATCAAGATGGGCAACGCATTACATTTGAGTGGTGGTTGCATAAGGAAACTGTCAAGGGATGAATGGGTGGCTTTTCGTAGGCGCCAGTGTGATCTTTTGAGCAGCGATTGAAATAATGGGGGAGCGAGCCATATCACTCTTCCGCTCTTATCCTGCACGATGGCTGAATACTTGGCAAGCATCTACGGTACCGAAAAGGACAAGTACGTCTTTATCAATGACGGCTCTCATTCTCTGTTACTAATCAACATGTCTTGTTTACAGGGTCAATTGCTCTTTTTATTTCAAGGTAGGAATATAGGTGGATACGGATGCGATGGAGTTGGATCGACTCATGGGGTAGTATGGGATTTGGATAGATTGGAGCATGTCGACATGGTGAACGGTGTTCTCGAAAGCACGTGAAGCCAACGTTCTCCCAAACCATCCTCATAGCCAACATGTACAAGAATCCAGCACATGAACAACTATACACGATACCCCCAGACCAGCTACAACAAGATTTTGATCTGTTTTATGAGGATGTATTCATGGAACTTGCAAAGTTTGGAGAAGTCGAGGAGATGATTGTATGTGACAATATTGGTGATCATCTTGTGGGCAATGTATATTGTCAATATCGATACGAGGAGGCAGCTGGTAATGCAGTGGATAGCTTGAATGATCGTTTCTATGCTGGTAAGTATGCGGATGGTACATTTGAAAGGAAGATGGTATTGATGATGGGATGGTAGGACGACCATTGTATGCCGAATTGTCACCGGTCACTGATTTCAGAGAAGCTTGCTGTCGACAACATGAGATTGCAGAGTGCAATCGTGGCGGTTTTTGTAACTTTATGCACTTGAGGCATCCTTCAAGAGCACTGAAACGAGATCTTCAAGATGCACAACGTCTATCTGTACGTGAAAAGGAACGAGAAAGTCGACAAAAGCGACGAGAGGAAGAGGATGATCGATACAGCCGGCATGATAGTGACCATCGTCGTTACAAGTATGATGATGATCGTTAGACTATTAAACACCCCTCTTTTTCTTGTACGCGTGAATAAATACATCATTGGTCATCTTCGGTTGTACACAAAGGATCTTAAAGTGAGATACAAATGAGGTATGGATGGTAAGCGTGGATGCTCTTTATTACCAATACGCAAGAGCAAGTTATTTAAGTCATGGAAGATTGGTTGTCAAGGCAACGACTCATGATACCCGGCTGTTTCTGAGTTAGGGTCATATTCCACATATACAGCGCGATTGATTGAATTCCCACGATCCAGAAGGACCTGCATAATGAGCCCAATTCTGTATTTGAAAGAGTCAGGGTTCTTTGTATGATAAAATCGCTCGTAATCTTATTAAGGAACGGGGGGTGGGAGGGGAATGTCGGCGGGGAAAGGTTGCAGAAACAGATTAGTGGTCATCACCAATAGCAGTGGATTGTTTTTGTGGATAATGACACATCGGGAAATATGATTGCTAACATGGTGGTGGTAGCCGAACATTTGAATGATAAGCTTCATCTTTACACGTATAAGTGTAGACATGAAAGATACCCCAAAGACATATTCACATGTACTTTAAGTATAGAGATCAAACGCAATCCATACCCAAGATAGCACTGCATAAGTAGTTGTAGTAGTAATGGCTGTAAGAGATACCAAACATGACATTGTTTGGCGAGCGCTGCCCAAAAAATGATATTTTTGGTTGTTCATCCTTCCTCCCACTCTTCTTTCTTTATTCCAGATATCATTTGAACACTACCCTTGTCTACTTTCAGCCATGCTGACCAAGAACCATGCGGATGACAACCTGTCACGGAGTCGACATGTGCGGGACCCGGAAATGTGTGTCGATTACTTGTCCTATCGCTTTGACGAGATGGATCTCGCAGCTTCATGGCGTGTCATGACCAAGCAAAAGAAGGAGGTTGTTAACGGGATACGGCTTGAGAATGCATCATGGCGGACGTGGGCTAAGCATAAATACAATCTCAAGACTGTGAGCCCCGAGACACTTAACTGGTAAGTGAGGTGACATCATGATAAGGGAGAATTACACCACTCATACATCTTGTAGGCTGAAGGATAGTGATGTAACATGGCTATATGGTCCATTGCATACGGTTATCAAGAACATTGATGAAGAGGATCGCTATGCCCAACCCAAGATATCAAAGACGGAAGATACTTTAGGCCTCATGACCCGAACAACAAGAGGACAGCCTCAATCTCCTCGGCCTGAACAACCACCGCTCAAATCGGCTTTGAAAAAGGTGACAACATCGGATTTATTACGACGTTCAGCTATCGAATTACCCAATCTTGTCAATGATACACCTGCTGCAAAGGCATCTGCACCAAAAGCAACCATGATCGACGACGACGAAGAAGAAGAATCGGCATCCGCTACAACTACAACATCGTCATCCAACATGTCACTCACTGAAGCAAACAAGAAACTCAAGGTCTTTTCACCTTCAATTGTTGCGACCCATCGACAACCAAAACTTCGATTCAATCAATACGTTGAGCAATGTGTTGCATTGAGCACAGGCGAACCATCATCTTCATCTTCATCATTTATCCAAAAGCCTGGACGACGAGCACGATTTGAGAACATGGACGACGAAGACGATGATCATGAAGAAGGAGACGACGACGACAATCATTCTTATTTATACACCGAGGATGACGATGACAGCAACCATTTATCACAATCGGCAGTACCACGATCATCTATCAAAAAGATTGCACCCACACGACTCAAAACAAGCTCACAATCAGAGCAAGAAACAGACGATGTGTCATCACTTTCTTCATCCTCTTCATCATTTCGAGCAGAGCACAACCATCGTTGGACGATAGATCATGCGAATGATGACCACGACGAGGATGATGGATCGTCTTCTTCGGAGAATGAGGAAATTGAGATTCGATCCCGACAGCATCACACTGGCACAAGTCCTCCACAAGCTATTCAATGGGTAGGGCAATCCTGCGTATACAATCATCAACCACCCATTGATTACGATGAAGAAGATGATTATGGATTCGATGATGACGATGATTGGGATACCCACGATGAAGAAGACAATCATATATCATCTTCACCTACAACAGCGACTTCTCCTCCCACCATGAATCACTTTCTTTCTCCTCCAGGCCAACAGGGCTTTGGAAAGGCATTACCAGTGAGCGAACCATGTACGATTGATGCTACTGAGCCATCCATGTCACGTTCAACGAGTCAGCATTCCTCTACTGTGGTTGATATGCATCGAAATATGGATCAACGAAGCACCGGCACCACCAACAATGCATCATCATCATCATCATCCTCTAACATTTTCACCAATTTCACTCAATGGGCTTCATCATACCTTTGGTCAAAACCATCCTCATCATCTCGCCAACAATGAAAAACCATTTACATTACATGCATTCGCGACATACGTCCTCCACCGATCTTTCCACTTTGCATACTCTTCCTTATATCTACTCCATTTAGACAATCCCCTCACTCTCATATATATATATATACACACAAACACAACTACCCATTTGCATTCATCTGTTCATTCAATACACAGTATGGTCGAGGACTTCATTTACTAGCAAACTCTACTTTTCATTTGATTTGGCTTTCATAATATCATCCAAGTGTGTAGTAATTTAATCATGAGCATCATCCACAAGGAGTGGATGATGACCCACGCTGTGCGTGTATGGGTATTTAGGCTGAGAGCGAGTGAATGAGACGAGAGGTTGACATCACGAACAATTTGCATGATGAATGTCTGCCGTATCCAGGTATGGCAAACGCCCAATGATAAAGTAACCATCATGTATCCAAGGCAACCACGCACATACATCTTTGCTGTGTGTGAACACAATTGGCTGTTCTAATTCAGGAGTCAAGATGCTGCAAACTTGCATGCAATGCACATATCTTAAAATCATTGGTCATCGCCATTCAACTTGTCTTTTTCTCTCTTCCCTGTACATCTTATTCGCCATCATACCACCACGAACAAAAAGATACGATGGATTTTCGTGACAGAGCGATTGCCCCACTTCGTGCTTGGATCATTAAGAAGAAATCAACACTGGGACCCCTTGCTGGTGCTATAGCTGTGTTTTGGATCATTTCACGCTTGCGAGCATACATAACTACTAGCAGTAACAGCACCAAGCTTCCTTCTCCAAGATTCGCCCTTCCATATTTTGGTAATTTCAACATACGCAGATAGCTGGTGGAGCTCCATCCATTCATCATACCTACAATGTAGGTCATATCTTTCATCTGGGATATGACGTTATAAAGACAGTTTCTCAATGGCATGAGCAATATGGTATTGGCTGCTTTGGGGAATTCGGTCGTGTTGAGTGACGTAGCAAGCTGATGATAGTAATGTTATCCAAGGGCCGATCATCACTATACAAGCTGGTGTCAAACAAGTGGTCATCATAGCTGATCCCTTTATTGCACACGAAGTATTGGGGATCAAAGGTAGCCAAACAGCAAACCGGCCGTACAACAAGGTGATAACCGAGATATACAGCAGGAATGGGAGGTTAGTGAAAATGCTAAAGGTGCTCTTCATGATTTGGTTTATTACATATCATTTGACTGGCTTTGTATACATAGAGGGATGAGCGTTGCCGATGTCAACACCACCTCATGGAAAAAGTCACGGGCTATTGGTAAGTAAGGCTATAAAATATACATGAAGCATGCAAGCTTGGTTCATTATCTTCATCGCCATCCATACCTTTTCTCCTATTCCACTATAGCCGCAACCTTTTTTGGACCAAGCGGTGTGAAAAAGAAGCTTACGGATATATGCAATGAAACTGAAAAGCTAGTCGATCTCCTTGCGACCGAAAATAATGTTGATCCGTACCCCCATCTTTTACGTTTTGCACTCAACTATATGATGTTCAGCTGCTTTGGTAAACAGACAACATCTATCAACGACCCTCTTTTCAAAAGTGCAAAACATCAAGTAAGCTATGCTAAGGATTTAACCAAAATCAAGCATATGGCCAGTGGATACCTTCCAGTGTTATCGTTTATTGATAGTTTGCTGGGACGTGAGGAGACTATTGAAAAGCACATAGCAGCGCGTGACTCATGGACGTCAGCGTTGATGATGGAAGCCTATAATGATCGCAAAGATTGCATAGCAACAACATTGATGGACTCTGTATATGCTGGTGAAATTGATGAGATGACAGCCATTGTGACAGTGGGTGAGTGTTTCTTTGGCTACCTTAACCATGTTTCTAATACTTGATTTAATCAATAGTTGATATCATTGCTGGTGGTATGGAAACAACAGCTGTGACCATGACATGGGCATTTGGCATCTTGTCAGTAAAACCAGAGATTCAGCGCAAGATACAAAAAGAACTTGACCATTTCATTGAGACTCACAAGAGGATGCCAATGTTCTCCGAACGTGAGCAATTCCCATACATGATTGCTGTGCAGAGAGAGTGTATGCGTTTTCGACCCACCGCAACCATAGGGTTACCACATGAGGCAGCTGAGGATAGTAAGTAAATCTCTTGTCATTTGGTTGCTATGGCTACACACAAGTTGCTAACCACTGCTACGTACAAGTTGTATGGCGAAACAAAATCATTCCCAAAGGTGCAATGATTGTAGCCAACATGGTTGCAATGCATATGAATCCTGAAGTGTATTGTGATCCACACGTCTTTCGACCCGAACGCTTTCTCGATAAAACAGAGACGTTTACGGCATCAGCAAGATCCAAAATTGAGGACCGTGATCAGTACAATTTTGGTTGGGGAAGGTAATTGATGAATCCGATATCAGCATAGCTTCGAGATATCAATAACTGGAATTGTTCATAGACGACTATGTCCTGGTATTTACGTGGTGAGTACCTTACGCTATTGAATCTACACCCACAAATGCTAAACAAAGCGTTGCATGATGCAGGCCGAGGTTCACATGTTCAGCGTGTTCACCCATGTGTTTGCGAGACATACGATTGTGCCACGTATGGATTACAAAGGTTCCCCTGTGCCTTTGGATCTCGAAAGCTTCCTTCCACGACGAGAAACTACGATGATCGTAGCTACACCACCTTCCTACCAGGTCCGTTTTGTACCCCGTACGAAACATCTCGTTCAGTAATCGTGTGCTTTGATATCGATATCATGCATGCTTCAAAGCTATTTTTTCCCAAGACGTAATTCTGATATAAAGTATGCTTGAGAACGCTGTTGTAAAAGCTAAGCTATCATAAAGGAATTAGTATTCCCGACACACACATGCACACCAATTTACAACCCAAGAATAGGCGAATGAAAGCTTCTTTTTTATTACTTTGCTATCACTTAGTATAATAGCGTATGTACTGCTAGATGGCTGTTACAATGCATTTGGCTGGTGGAGTGAGCGGGATATAGACCCCGCATAATAAATTTTACTTTCTGGCAACTCCCCCTTCTTTTTCTCTTGACGATCGATCTTCGTTCTTTTCGATCATGGCCAAATCAGCTGTCAGCAAGAGCATGGCACGAAAGCGATCTCAGGAACCTACACAACATGTGTCTGGATTGTCCACTGCAAAGTCGGGTGCAAAACGCAAGAACGACAATGTCAAGTTTGGCAGCCTTAGTCGCAAACAAAAGAACGATCTCAAGGAATATGGTACGCTGATCCCGGACGATTTCCACGACGACGATGACGACGACAATATGGACGAGCAAGGTCCAAGCAAGTATGGATCAAAATGATATATAGACTACGAGGGGGGATCACTCATTCTTTTTTCATGTATAGACGTCCTCGTCGTGTCGTCTATGAAGAAGATCTCGATCGTGAACTCGAGGAAGAAGCTGGCATGGAAGAATCGGATGAAAGCGAAGAAGAAGAGGAAGAGGAAGAGGAATGGCAGAAACCATCAGCCTATTCTCGATTGGTTGGCTCGTTGCAAAAGACATCCAAGCACCGTGATTTCTATGAGCGCATCAAACGTGAGCAACAAGGTGTCGAGGACATTGAAGAGGAGTTAGAGGACGAGGGTGAGGAGGATATTGAGGGTGAGGATGAGGATGATGACGAAGGTAAATATACATGTTTGGTTGCATTTGTGGTAACCATGTGCTCAAAAGACCTCATTGTTAGATATGGATGATGAAGAAGAACTTGTCGATGAGGATAGCGAGGATGCTGAAGAAGATGAAGAAGACAATGAAGCAGCTGTGGTTGAAGAAGAGCAAGAAAATGATGATGAAGAAGAAGAGGAGATCATGATTGGAGATTTGTCTGATGACGATGAAGAAAATGGTAACAAAAGGGACAAGCTATTGGTAGTATTGATGCTCATGATGGATTTATTAGTTGATCCCTTTGAACGCCGATTATCTGACGAGCAACCCAAGTCATTCGATGAAGATATTGTTTTGGCTGATCAGAAAAAGTGGACTACAGAGATGTTCCAAGATGATGCATTGAAAGAGGTGGCAGCATTTACTCTTCATCCCGACAAGTCTGTGAAGGAGCAAAAGCCGATCAAGGATTTGGTTGAAATCAAGGTCAAAGAGCGACTTGCAAGACGATGGAAGGAAGCCAACTCTGATTTCGTGGATGAAAAAGGCAAGTGATTATTATTGCAGTATGGGAGGAGGAATACAATGAATAACATGTCTTTGTAGATGAATCAGCCCTTTTTACCCCTCTTCAAGAACGTCTCTTCCGCTACTTCAATGAGCATCGTGATGTCTTATATTGCAATCGCACCGTCGAGAACGCAGCCGAGATCAGAAACGCTTATGCATTGCATATCTTGAACTACATTTACAAGTAAGCCGCTCTTACTCCACACACCATGAATGTGATCACTGATGACGACCCTAATAGAACCAACGATCGCGTAGTGAAGAATAATTCCAAGATCGCCAATGCACATAAGGAAAACAAAGAGATTGGGTATGTATATCAAAGGAAGGGTAGGGCAAGGCATGATATCTAATGTGCAATTGAATACGTAGAGAGATCCGTGACCAAGGTTTTACACGTCCCAAGGTGCTCCTTATTCTTCCATTCCGTAATTCGGTTGTCAAGGTGGTGGATGCTCTCATTAAGGCTTCTGGAACAGATCAACAAGAGAACAAGAAGAGATTCTATGACGAGTTTCGATTGCGTGATGACGATCAGCTCAACAAGGACAAACCAGCAGATTACGTGGATACGTTCTCTGGCAATGTGGATGACCATTTCCGTTTTGGTATCAAGTTTGGCCGCAAGACAATGAAGTTTTATTCGGGCTTGTTTGCATCAGACATGATTATCGCCTCTCCTCTTGGTTTGCGTACATTGATCAATGGTGAAGAGTAAGTTGATATTAGGACATGAAAATATCGAGTGCTAACAATGACATGTAGAGGTGATGAACGAAACCATGACGCCCTTTCATCGATTGAGCTTGTTATTATGGATCAGGCCAACCACATTATGATGCAAAACTGGGAGCACGTAGAGGTACGAGGAAAGCAAGGATGATAGTAGCACGTAGCAGGATGCTAATCCCGACATTAGTATGTGATGCAACATCTCAACTTGATCCCGGAGAAAACTCACGGTTGTGATATCTCGCGTATCAAGAGCTGGTACCTGGATAGAAAGTGAGTAATCCCATTCCTGCATCGACGATGACTCAAGCTAATCCATTACATGCTTCGCATAGAGCTTGTTATTTGCGACAAACGCTTGTGTTTTCCGAATTCTTGACTCCTGAAATCAATGGCTTGTTCAGCAAATACTTCAAGAATGTATCTGGCAAGATCAAAATCAAGCAACGCTATGAAGATGGTAGCATTTTGGATGTCATCCCACAAGTGCAGCAGACATTTACTCGCATCGACACAACATCTCTTGCCGCTATGAATGATACTCGCTTCAAGTATTTTATTGAAAAGGTAGCTGGGATGAATCATGTGGAAAAGGATTGGAAGCTGATGGTATTTGATTCTTGTAATAGACACTTCCCACCTTGCGTAAATCAGCACTCATGCAAACACATACCCTGATCTTTGTTCCTTCTTACTTTGACTACGTCCGGCTACGAAACTATTTTGAAGACAACATGTATTCTTACGATTCTTGTTGCGAGTAAGTTATCATTATCTTGAGGATTGCTCATATGATGCACTAACATGGATGATGACTACTCTAGGTACACTGATCCAAGGGATATGACACGTGCCAGAGGCAATTTCTTCCAAGGCAAAGTCAGCTTCCTCTTGTACACGGAGCGTTTGCACTTTTATCGACGGCTCAACATTCGAGGCACCTTCCATGTCGTCTTTTATGGATTGCCAGATCATCCTCAATTCTATTCGGAAGTGGTCAACTTTTTGGGTCTCAAGTTTGATGAAGCAAGTGCTGCTGAAGAAGCTACATTTTCTTGTACGACGCTGTTTTCACGCTACGACCATCTCAAGCTAGAACGTATTGTTGGCAGCGACAGAGCTCGCAAAATGTGCACCGCACAAAAGAACGTTTTTATGTTTGCATAGATGACATTTATACACCACAAAAGCCCTCTCATATTACACCCCATCCTTCCTGTACAATAATACATATACAACATTCATTTTGCGATTATGGCATCATCATCATCATCATCATTCTCATACATGGTTACACATTTTATGCAAGGTACACACATAGCCCAGATCGGGTTCTGCATTCATATTTGTTCGTCATTGTATCACTCTGTTGCATAATGCAGCCATTTGTTGTTATCAACACGCCATTATGGATGGTTTTCCTTCATCAGCCTTGCAATTTGAAGTTCTTCATTCGTCTCAACGACCAGCACACGAATAGATGAATCGCTTGCTGTGATATCGACGACCTTATCCTTGGTGGTATCTGCGTGATTGTTCTTGTCCAAATCAATCTTGCATCCAATGCATTTCAACTTTTCACAAACATGTTGTCTTAGGGGTGCCGAGTGCTCGCCAATACCACCCGTAAAGACAATGACATCACAACCTTCGAGCAGTATAAAATAAGAACCAATAAAATTTTGGATACGGTTGACAAAGAGATCGAACGTGAGCTTGGCTGGTTCATCATTGTGTTCAGCCTTGGTAGCAATGTCGCCCATATGAGTGAGACCACACAAGCCCTTAAAACCACTCTCCTTGTTCAAGACATGTTCAGCCTTGGCTAATTCGACGCCACCACCAGGCTTTGGGTCAGCGGGATGGCTCACAAGATGAAAAACCGCTGATGGATCAATGTCGCCTGATCGTGTTCCCCCAGGTAGCCCTATGTGTTCACATTGTTGTCAGCGCATGTGGTCTTTTTTATGCATATGGTGATATTGAATTTCATGTGTGTTACTTGCCTGATACGGGAGTAAGGCCCATGGTGGTATCGATGCTTTCACCATTGGCGATGGCACAAGCACTGCTTCCATTACCCAAGTGCAAGGTGATAAGCTTGCTGTTTTGCAGGGGTTTGTTAAGAAATTTGGCTGAACGACCAGAGACAAATTGATGTGATAATCCATGGAATCCCCATTTGCGCACGGCATTGTCAAGGGCATGTTGACGTGGTAGCGGATACGTATAAATGTGCTTGGGTAAAGTGGCGTGGAACATTGTATCAAAGTACGCATAGTTATCACTATCGGGCATTCGTTTTAAGCTTGCTTCCATTACAGTGACAGCACGATGATTATGCAATGGTGCAAGTGCTGTTAACTCATCAAGTTGCTTGAGCGTCTTTGAGGTTACTTTGACAGGCTCTCTACGGTCACCGCCATGGACGACCCGATGACCGATAGCTTTGATCATCTTATCATCCTCAATCACATGTGCATCTTTCAGCTCTTGCAATACTGTTTTTAATGCATCCTCGTGCGACTCTAATTGACACTGCTTAGGCTCCTGCTGGTTGAGTGAGAATGTTGATTGAGCACTCCCAATCTCAGAGCATGCTCCTTTTCCTTTCTCTTCAAGGGTGTCGCTGTCAAAGAGCTTAAACTTGAGACTAGATGAGCCGGCGTTGAAGATGAGAAACATGAAAAAAGAAGATAAAATGATGGCCAAAAGGTAAAAAGAAGACACGTTCTTATTGTTTCGATTACGTCAATGCTACAAAAAAAAGAGCGCCATGATGGAAAGAATCGGGGGGAATGGGCACATGATATAATCAGCCGACACCTACCAAATATAGAATTGGCATGCGGCATGAGAGAAAGTGAGTGAGAAGAAAACGAGCACAGCCATTGCATCTTTCATCGGATCGCCCCTTTTTCCGTTTTCTCTTTCAATCGGTCTCCGTCCCTTTCACAGAGCGGCCACCGACTCTCATTTTTTGCTTTGGTTACCCACTATCCTTATTGATTGGCATTAACACCACTCGATCGAATTAATACGATCTTACCATACAAGAGAGAGATAAGCAAGAAGAGCAAATCTATTATCACAGCTTGATACAAGCACTTTTCTCTTCTTCCCAACTCCATCAAATTATGCTCAGTTTGCCTTCTCTGTTTCTTGTTCGCATTCATCCTACCTATGAAGACATAAGCAACGCAGAAGAAGCGCAACCACCATTCAATATCCCGCCACCATTATTATCCACAGGTTAACCCAAGCATACTTATCAAAAAAAGAGAAAACCTCGAAAAAAAAACGGAAAACGAGATAACCAACAAAAAAAGAAGCATTCTCCCCTTGTCTTTTGTTGTTGATATCCCCCGCTTAGCTCACTTATAACTATCGATCTATATATCCCAACCCCCTATTATTCTCCAAATCACCCGTTCACACCCACACACACACATCCCCCCCTTATGGCTACGACCTCCAGACGCCTGTTTGCATACATCCTATCGTTCATTGGTCTTGATCGGATCTCCCATGCAAGCCCTACTACTATTCGAAAGAGTCCTACTGCCACCAATAGTTGCTGCAGCAGCACTACATGTTCTTTGGAATCATCATCCTCATCTTCTTCTTCAGCAAGCTTTATGACTGAGTCAACCTTGATAGTGAATCCAGGGACAGCAGGGTTGTACGATGAAAAGCACATTGAGGATCCAGGCGTCACCATGATGGCGTACGATGCATGGTCGGTGCAAGCCCTTTTAAGCACCTTGCCAAAAATGTCATTGTGTCATCTACTCACTACCACTGCACTCAAGTATCCCAAAGTCATGGAGATGGTTGCCACCACGGTCACCCAAGATGGCACCACCACTGCTGATAAGCAACAACCATTTCCAGGGAAACCATGCAATCTCAGCTCTTCTCCTTTGGTGTCATCATCAGCTCAGCTGCATCATCATTTTGACAATGAGCAACAACAACATCAACACCACCACAACCCCTTATCGTATTATCGTGAACTTGTAGCTATTCAAGAACAAGCCTATGCCATTGTCCATAGCTTGGATGGATTACGACCATCAGAGCAATTTGCAAGGGAGGCTGAAGTTGCCCAAGAGCTTCAAAGGCTTGTTCGATTGTGTACCAATACGCTGTATGCTGCTCCCCAAGGTCATTCTCTTATCGCTCTTATTGGCTTGCTTGTCATTGCTCGTGAAGGTCTTGCTGCCTCAAGCACAAAAGTGCGTCGCTACATGTTTGGTGGAAGTGGTGGTGGTGCTTGCCTTGGTCGCCTTGTTGTCTTGGAAATGCAAGCAGCTCTCAAAAACTACAAGGTGAATCCCCTTGAGCCAAACGAGCAACGTGGGAGTGAACATCAATGGCCCCATTTATTGCGTGTTCTTTCACCACCCAAATCCGTTCTTGCTGCAGCTGATAACAGGCACCAGCTTACATGGATCATTGATGTTTTGAAACAGGTTTGTGCTCAGATGGCTGAATGCGATCCCCATTGGACTTTTGCTCAAGAATACCACAATGTGGTGGTTATCGCTACTCGCAACTGCCGCCTGTAAACATACCCCCCCTTCTCTCTCTACGATACATACAAGCATTGTTTACTTTTTTTTCTTTCATTGCCTTTGATTTTCTCTTTATGCTTTTGATTCGTTTTTCTTATCTTGCAGCAACACCCTTCTCCTCTTTCCAAGGTCTTCTTTGACCCATTTGATTTTGTACATAATCAAGCCCAATGAACCTTTTCTTCTTAGCTTTAACCATAGGGTGCTTTGAAATGTGTGTGGTGTGTTATCTAATTTGTAAGTTGACAGCTTGCTTCCATGTAACAAAAGAGCGTGTGATGCGGGAGATGTACATGTGCAATGTCATATGGCTTATCTTGTGGCCAATTTTGGTTCCCTTTCATCATTGACCGGATGCAAGCAAGCTGGTATGAGAGAACATGCACGATGAATACTACTACTACACTCCGCTTGTGCATCACCCCTGGTGCAGCATGTGAAAAAGAAAAGAGCTCAACTGCCATCTATACTGTGTCACTCTCTCATTTGCAATACGACGATGACACCATCATCTACGCTTTTGAGTATCAGATCGACGCACTTTTTTTTTCTCACACGTTGCTATGCACACCATTTCATTTTGAAACCTTGAGTACGTTGTGCACAGACATGATGATGGAATAATAAGGTCACACATACGTAGGCGTTGTCTAATTTATGCACCATGGTGATAGCCAACATGATCGAGTTCATTCAACCCTTTATTCTTTGTATACAAGTACTAAAATGGGGGCCACTTTCTTTGTTGGATGATGACTCACACCAGTCGTTTATTTATATCCTAGCAGTAGTAATAATGAAGATGATGCCTACTTGTCAACAAGGTAACAACTTGTGTCATAGCACACTTGAAGATCGACCTCTGCATTGATACCTTTGTATGTATCGACCGTTTATTATTAACATTCATCATAACTATGTGTAGCTCAAAGTTGTAGTTGGTATGGAACTTGCGATGGCTGCATGAACGAGATCACGAGATTTCGGGGTGGCTTGCGGGCTACAGAAATCGGGTTCATCAGCTTCCCTGCTGCCTCTTTGCTTCCTGCCCGCCCATAAACCACGACATACGGATCCACAGCATACGATGAGTTTCAACGCATGGAAAACACACATTGAAGAAGGCGACACGGTCGTTGTTCACATTGTAAGAGCTTGAGCCTTCCACATGTCCCCGATCGCTTTCTGATCTGCTTTCATTGGATGTATAGTCTCGAAACAATATGCAGACTATTGTTGTCAAGAAAGGCGAAGAGTTTACTAGTCGTTATGGCAACTTCAAACACGATAAGATGATTGGAAAGGAATATGGATCCAAGGTATATAAGAGGCGATAGCAAAGTGGGATAAACGTTGTGTATTCACAATCAATGTATTAGATGGTATCAACCAACTACAAGGGCTTTGTCTATCTGCTGCATCCTACTCCCGAATTATGGACGCTATCTCTGCCTCATCGAACGCAAATCTTGTACATTGCCGATATTTCATTCATCACAACATACCTTGACATGAAACCTGGATCACGCGTAATTGAATCTGGTAAGACATTTAAAAGAGGGATATGCATTGTGAAAGAGCTGACATGGATGAAACATAGGTACTGGCAGTGGATCATTTTCACATTCTATTGCACGTGCTATTGGACCCACCGGCAAATTGTATACCTTTGAATACCATGAGCAGCGTGCAGTGCAAGCAAGAAAGGAATTCAATGACCATGGTTTGGGTGATATTATTCAGCTTGAGCATCGTGATGTATGTAAGGATGGTTTTGGATTGAAGGATGCTGTCAATGCAGGTAAGCTTTTGATGGAGGTGATCAAGAGGATGAGATGGATGATTTATATCTCTATGTTAGTGTTTTTGGATTTGCCTGCACCATGGGAAGCCGTCGCATCAGCCAAAGAGACCTTTATTCAGCATCGAACGGGCAAGATTTGCTGTTTCAGCCCATGCATTGAACAAGTGGCAAAAACAGTGGAGGCACTTAATTCAAATGGATTTGTTGGTAAGGATCTCAATATAGAGGGGGTATACATGTGTGTAACATTAACACGACTATCCTTTGTTAGATATTACAATGTACGAATGCCTTGTTCGCAGCTATGATTTGATGCCCACCCGCAAAGTGACATTTGAGGAAGCCATTGAAAAAGCCAAATTGGGCCAAGGTGTGTTACCCAAGAAACGATCATCGGAAGAGGTGAATGAGGAGAGCGAGAGGAAGAATCAAGTTTGGGTCACCAAGACGCCTGTCGACACTCGAGGACATACCAGCTACTTGACCTTTGCTACATTTTTGCCAGCCATCGACACCAATCTAGCGCCACCGACACCAGCATTATCATCATCACCCCCATCCACAGAATCTCCTGTTCCTGAGAATAATGAAAAGGGATCCGATCAGCCTGCAGCATAAAAGACACCCCATCTCGCCATTTTGCATAGACAACATAGGCATTGCTTTTAATAGTATTCTCCTTTCCGCATTGAAATCAACATGTATACACAGCATTTCACAACAGCATTCTGGGGGTGGATTTATATATCGATGCATTACACCATTGTGATTACCACCAAGGGGGGAGGAGGAGGAGGAGAAGAGCTGGATGATGATTATTGTGAAGATGTGGATCATTGAAAACCCGAATTTGATTTCATGCAATATCCAATTCTCCCAATTCGGTTATGGATACGGCTATATCATCTTTTGCCGAACACACCAATACATACTTGTCACCTTGCACTGGTCACTATGGATGACAAGGGATGAAATGGCTTGTTTATGCTCTACGAGGAATACCTGGGGAAGTGCTATGATACCTGGACATACACGGCATGAGCATGATACTGTATCTGTAAAGACACATCATTATCGGATGGAAGGGATTGCCGGATTGCATGATGCCATGACACACGCACATACGCGCACGATGATGTAGTGTTACGATTCAAAGACGGGTCAAGCGCCGAGGAGGATGGAGGTTTATAAATTGGTAAGTGGTGGATGGGTTCATGTATAGATCTTTTTTCGTACTTTGGATATACAACTAATCTCTATTATCAACAACTACTACAACCACCATGAAGATGGGGAAGAAAAAAGACTCATCGACCAATGAAAAGCGCATCGATGACAGCGACACCAGCCATAAGCCTAAAAAGCCAAAGCAATCTGTATCGGTAATACGACTATTTCGGTTCAGCACATTGCGAGATAAAATGATGATTTTATGTGCCATTGTGGGATCAGCTTATACGGGTGCGATCTTGCCAATATCAGTCATTATTTTCGGCGATGTGATGCGGAAGATGGGCGAGACCATGATGCATAAGGATTCATTGTTGGATAATACACGATCGATGATTTTGGAGCTTGTGTATCTTGGCACCAGCGTGTTGATAGCAACCTATGTGGCCACTGCTTTCTGGATCATCTCAGGTGAAAATCAAGCACGCCGTATTCGAATGAAGTATCTCCATGCTGTCCTTCGTCAAGACATGAGCTGGTTCGATAGTGCAGAAGAAGGATCACTCAACACACGCCTTGCAGGAGATACACAAACCATTCAAGATGGTGTTTCAGAAGCTTTTGGCACATTGATTTTGAGCGTTGCACAATTTATCAGCGGGTACATTGTCGCTTTTATCAAAGGCTGGAAAATGGCGTTGGTCATGTTGTCTACAGTACCATTACTTATTGCTAGTGGTGCTGTCATGGGCATATTCATCACTCGCTTTACGCTCAAAGTGCAACGATCCTATGCATTTGCAGGCACAGTGGCTGAACAGGTGTTTGCAGGACTAAGAACAGTGTACAGCTTCTCTCTTCAGGAGCGGTTTGCTAAGCGATTCGAGGGAGAATTGGTGCATGCTCGTAAGATGGGAATCAAGCGTGGAATTGTACTCGGCCTCGGCTTTGGCTCATTTATGCTGGTGCTCTTTGCGACATACAGCTTGTCATTCTGGTATGGTTCACGTCTTGTCAAGGAGGGTGAATTTGATGGACCTACCGTGCTTGTTGTTTTCTTTGCAATGATGTTGGGATCCATGGCATTAACACAAGTACCTCCAAGTCTATCATCTGTTTCATCGGCATGTGGAGCGGCTCATACCATTTTTTCCACCATTGATCGAGTGCCACCCATTGACCCTGATGACAAGTCTTTTGGCGACATAACATCACCCTTACAAGGAGAGATTGAATTCAGGAACGTGTTCTTTAAGTATCCTACACGTCCCAATTTGATCATCCTCAAAGACTTGTCACTCAAGATCAAACAAGGAATGACAGTCGCTTTTGTTGGCCCTTCTGGTTCTGGTAAATCAACTGCCATTCAGCTATTGCAGCGATTTTATGATCCTGTTGCGGGGCAGGTGTTGCTTGATGGACGCGATTTACGATCCTACAATGTTCAAAGCTTGAGACAGCAAATTGGCGTGGTTGGACAAGAGCCAGTGTTATTCAATATGACGATTAAGCACAACTTGCTCATGGGCGTTGAGGACACTGAAAGCGTATCCCATGATGACATTGTCGAGGCATGCAAAAAGGCAAATTGTCATGGGTTCATTAGTCAGCTGCCACAGGGATACAACACGCTGGTGGGTAGTGGAATGTTATCGGGTGGTCAAAAGCAACGCATTGCCATCGCACGTGCCATCCTCAAAAACCCAACATTACTTCTTTTGGATGAGGTTTGTATTATTTGTTGACGTGCCACATGCATGTAATATAAACAATGATGCTCATTCTTATCATCTATATAGGCTACCTCGGCACTTGACACTCAATCAGAACGACTTGTACAACACGCCCTTGATGCAGCAGCAGCTGATCGCACCACCATCGTAGTGGCTCATCGTCTATCCACTGTACGCAATGCTGATTTGATTGTGGTGATGCAACATGGCGACCTTGTTGAGAGAGGAACGCATCAAGAGCTGATTGAGCTTGGTGGCGTGTACGCAGATCTCGTCAAGAAACAAGAGGTGGCTACTACGCAATCAAGCACTGATATTACCGATCAGACCAATGACCCTGAATTGCTACTCCAACAAGAAAAAGAGGAGCTATACCTCAATGAAAAGATGCCGGATGACCAACAATCCAATCTCTCTCGTGTCATTAGCAGCAATAACGTGAAACGAATGAGTACAGCATCATCGGTGGATGCTTTTCAATTGAAGCTCAAGCGTGAAAAGGAAGACCGAAAGCAAAAGAAAGCACAAAAGACACCCATTTTCAAGGTGATTCGGCAAATGCGACCTGAATGGCCACTCATGCTACTAGGGTGTCTTGGTGCTGCTGTAGCTGGCAGTGTATTTCCATGCTTTGCATACGCATTCTCAAAAGTTATTACCATCATCAGCGATCCCACTCGGCGTAATGAGATCGATCAAGGACCCGTTCAAGGCACCAATTTATATGCGTTCCTCTTTGTTGTCATTGCCGTGGTTGCTTTTTTTGCATTCTCAACACAAACAATTTCCTTTGAAATTGCTGGTGAGCGGTACACTGAACGGTTACGTGGTGACATGTTTCGTGCCCTCATGCGTCAAGAAGTTGGATACTTTGATCAAGAAGACAACAGCGTTGGTGCATTGACTACTAAGATCGCTGTGGATGCCAAGAATGTCAATGAATTGGTTACCAAGGTATGGGGTGATGTGATCCAATTATCGGTCACCGTGATTGCAGGTATGAAAAAAAGATATATAAAAGACCTTACAAAGAATCATACTCACATGAATGGTATAGGTCTATCGATTGCATTTGCATACAGCTGGCTTCTCACTCTCATTATCCTTTGCGCTACTCCATTCGTTGTGATTGCCACTGGTTCAGAAACACGCGTTCGGCAAGGATACCAAGATAATACTAAAAAGGCCAATGCTGAGAGTGGAGAGGTAGCGGGTGAAGCCATCAAGGAGATACGCACCATTGCAGCTCTCAACAAGCAAGCCTACTTTGAAAGCAAGTTTGAAAAGGCCATTGAATACCCTCATAAGCTTACTGTGCGAAAGGCGTTATTGGCTTCTATTGGACAAGCACTTCTCCGAGGTTTCAATTTGTACCTGAATGCTCTAGCGCTTTATGCGGGTATACGGCTGATTATGGATGATCGGCTTACCTTTGAGGAAATGTTTACCGTATTGGCTGAAATCCTTACCACGGCTACCAACGCGGGTCGTGGTAGCGTATTCACGGCGACATTTGCAAAGGCCAAGTTTTCAGCTCTTGCAGCATTTGAAGTCCTTGAACGGCAACCACGTATCGATCCTGATCTCGAAGGCATTGAACCCAAGGCCGTGAATGGTGATGTGAGCTTTGATAAGATCACCTTTGCATATCCTGCACGTCCCAATAATCCCGTATTCAAAGGGCAATTCGGCTTCAAAGGCAAAGCGAATCAAACTATTGCACTCGTGGGTCCTTCAGGCTGTGGAAAGTCAACCACTATTGGTATGCTGCTGCGGTGGTATGATCCCCTTCAAGGCACTGTGCGTCTCGATGATCATAGTGTGGATACGTATACAATTGCCAACCTTCGGAGTCACATGGGATGGATTGGTCAAGAGCCTGTATTGTTTGATATGACCATTGGAGAAAACATTCGATTTGGTGTTGAGGAGGACAAGGAAGTTTCACAGGCTCAAGTTGAGGAAGCTTGTCGGGCAGCCAATATCCATGACTTTATTGCTGGTTTGCCACAAGGATACAATTCAAGGGTGGGGGACAAAGGATCTCAATTATCAGGTGGTCAAAAACAACGTATTGCTATTGCTCGTGCATGGATCCGAAAACCCAAGATTTTATTATTGGATGAAGCAACATCGGCTCTCGATAGTGAATCTGAAAAACTTGTACAGGAAGCTCTTGATAAGGTTGTGAGCGAAGGTGGTCGAACAACTATCACGATAGCGCACAGATTGTCCACAATACAAGGGAGTGATTTGATCTGCGTGGTCAAGGATGGACGAGTTATTGAGCAAGGCACTCACTGGGAACTCTTAAAACTTAATGGCACCTACACAGAACTGGTCAACCAACAATCACTCGATCCTACTACATCCTCATAATCTATCTTCCCCTATTTGTATCCTTTAGCAGTCTAATATAGCACATAGCCCATTTCAATAAATCATTAAATTGCGTAGGAAACATTTATGTATTGAAATAAGATATGATAACGAAGGTAACAATGGGGATTGACAGCCTTAGTGTGATAGGCGTGGTATGGATACCGACAAAAGTGTAGTGTAACCCCGCCGCCCGAGAGGTGAGGTGGAGGACAATTTCATGTACACGTAACCGGCAAACGCGCCCTTTGCTTTTTCATCTTTCACACCTACCACCATGGCAGTATTAACCTCAGCAAGTACGTAATCGCCCCTTTCCTATCGCTATAACGATTGCTTTTCTCTTACTATTTGCCACGATTCGACTGATGCCCTGTCTCTTTTTCATATAGGCGGCATTCTCTCGTTGCTCGATGAGCCGCAGCCCGATTTGCAAGTATACGCTCTCCAAAACCTCAACAACCTTGTCAACGAGTTCTGGGCAGAGATTTCTGACTCGGTCGCCAAAATGTAAGGAACACAGTGGGATCAGGTGGAGTGCCATCACTAATACCAGATCTGTTTATTAGCGAGATCTTGTATGAAGATCCCCAGTTCTCTCAACGTGAGTTGGCCGCTTTGGTCGCATCCAAGGTAAGAGGACATGATGGAAACAAGGTGGTGATAGCATGTATACTGATATTGGATATTGGGGGATAGGTTTATTATCATCTTGGTGAACTTGACGACTCCGTTACGTTTGCATTGGGTGCTGGCAAGTTCTTTGACCTGACTGAAAAATCCGAATACGTCGACACAATCATTTGTACGTGGATAATGCCCAAATGTGTGATATCGATCATGAGCTAAGAGTGCCCATTTATTAGCAAAATGCATTGACAAGTACATTGAACAACGAACGCGTCAGCCTGAAAACGAAGCCGAAATCGATTCGAGATTGCAGGATGTGGTCGAGCGGATGTTCCAACGTTGCATCGATGATAAGGAATACGAACAGGGCATCGGCATTGCATTGGAGGCACGACGCTTGGATGTCGTAAAGACAATGATTGAAAAGGGTTCTCCCAGCAAACTCTTACCCTACGTCTTGGAAGTGTGCATGACGCTTGTTCAGAACCTCGATTTCCGCAACCAAGTCCTCAGACTCCTTGTATCATTGTACCGCGAGTTGCAAGAGCCCGATTATATTTCCATCAGCCAATGCCTTGTCCATTTGAACGATCACAGCGCTTGTAACGAGCTTCTTCAAGGTCTCATTGAAAAGGATCAAGAGGTAGGATGATGCATGATGCATCAGGCTGGAATGTACTCGACAACATGCTGACATTGTAACCTTTAGCTTATGGCATATCAAATTGCATTCGACTTGGAAGAGAGCGCCACTCAAGACTTTTTGCTCAAGATTATCAAGGAACTTCCACAACCTGAAACTACACAAGAAGAGGGCTCTGATAAGCCTGTAAGTATGGGAAGGGTTGGTTATACCATCGAAGAAATGGAGGCTTATTTTCATTTTACGTGAATAGGCAAGCGGTCCTTTCCAAAAGATTCGATCCATTCTCTCCGGCGAAGAGACCATTCGTTTGCACCTCGAATTTTTGTATAGAAACAACCACACTGATCTTTTGATCTTGAAGAATACCAAGGTTGGTGTTGTAGATTTACCCATATCACATGAAGGGAGCCTAATGGATATGTCGATATAGAATGCATTAGAACCAAGAAACTCCATGTACCATTCAGCTGTCACCTTTGCCAATGCATTCATGCACGCTGGTACCACCATTGATGAATTCCTTCGCCAAAACCTTGAATGGCTCTCCAGAGCAACCAACTGGTCCAAGTTTAGTGCCACCGCTGCCCTTGGTGTTATCCATAAGGTAACAAGAGGAAAAAAGGCATGATCATCATTTACGATCTTTGGATTAACAAATAACGTAGGGTCAATTGGCACAATCCATGAACTTGTTGGCCCCCTATCTTCCTCAAGAAGGTGGCAATAGCAGCAGCGTATATTCTGAAGGTGGTTCTCTTTATGCACTTGGTCTTATCAATGCCAACCATGGCAGCGGTGTCCTCGACTACTTGAAGAATGCATTGAAGGATACCCAAAACGAGGTCATTCAACATGGTGCTTGTCTTGGTCTCGGTGTTGCTGGCATGGCTACTGACAATGAAGGTAAATGCGATTTTTTTCACACAATGAAAAGATCACGTGCCTAACAAGGGATCATTATGATAGAGATCTACGAGGAATTGAAGAACACCCTTTTCAGTGACAGCGCCGTTGCTGGTGAAGCTGCTGGTTTGGCCATGGGTCTCGTTATGCTTGGAACTGCCAATGGTGAAGTCATTGAGGAGATGTTGCAATATGCCCATGAGACACAGCACGAAAAGATCATCCGTGGTCTTGCTGTTGGTATGTCACTTATCATGTATGGCAAGGAGGAGAAGGCCGATACTCTGATTGATCAACTCTTGGATGACAAGGTAATGCTTGTTTTATAACGACGTCATTCAACGTATGCTGATGATGATTATAATAGGACCCTGTGCTTCGATACGGTGGTATCTATACTATTGCTATGGCATACAGTGGCACTGGAAACAACAAGGCCATTCGCCGATTGCTTCACGTTGCCGTCAGTGATGTGAATGATGATGTACGCCGTGCTGCAGTTACTGCTATTGGTTTCATCTTGCTTCGCAACCCCAAGCAGGTGCCTCGCATTGTTCAACTCTTGGCCGAAAGCTACAATCCCAATGTCCGATATGGTGCTGCCTTGGCTCTTGGTATCTCATGCGCCGGCACTGGTTATCTTGTACGTACCATTTTTACATAGCATTCAATCAACAAATCAACTCACTTGAATTCTTTGCTAGGATGCTCTCGAGTTACTGGAACCAATGACAAAGGACCCTGTTGACTTTGTTCGTCAAGGAGCATTGATTTCTCAAGCCATGGTGCTCATTCAACAAACCGATGCTACCAACCCCAAGGTTGCTGGTGTACGTAAGCAGTTTGAGAAGATCATTAGTGATAAGCATGAAGATTCTATGGCCAAATTTGGTGCTGCCATTGCTCAGGGTATCATGGATGCTGGTATGTAATCATTTTTTATGTGATGTGGTTATGACGTGGTACCTAACTTTTTTGGTTCAGGTGGCCGCAATGTTACGATTTCCTTGGTATCTCGAAATGGTCATGCAAACATGCCTGCCATCGTTGGTACTGCTGTATTTACGCAATTCTGGTACTGGTATCCTTTCACACACATGCTGAGCTTGGCATTCACGCCCACAGCTGTCATTGGTCTCAACAAGAACCTCGAGGTAAGGACTTTACACATGTATGTTGCACGTGAATACGTATTAACATGATCATTCCAGACTCCCAAATTTGAATTTGTCTCCAATGCCAGACCTTCCTTGTTTGCTTATCCACCACAGATCAAACCACCCTCCGCTACTGTTGTCGAAAAGGTGGCTACTGCTGTTTTATCTACAACTGCCAAGGCCAAGGCTCGGGCAAAGAAATCAGAAAAGGAAAAGGGAGATATGATGGATGTCGACAAGGAACAACCTGCTGCTGCTGCATCATCTTCTACTGCTGCTGCTCCCACTAAGGAAGACGCCAAGGAAGAGAAGCCCAAAAAGAAGCGGGAAGAGAACTTTGAAGTCTTGCAAAACATGGCACGTGTGGTACCTGCTCAATTCAAGTATATCTCATTCAAGGAGGAATCTCGATACACACCTCTGAAAAAGAGCAATGTTGGAGGTATCGTCATGCTACTCGATAAGAAGCCTGGCGAAAAGGAGGATCTCATTCAGCCTAGCGCACCTTCTGGAGGTAATGTATCACTAAGTGGAATATCGTACAACATGCTGACATGCGACGTATAATAGATGGATCGGGTGCAAACTCTGCTGAGGAAGAAGCACAACCTTTCGAACCATTTGAATATCCATTCGAGGACTAAAAGATGCAATTACTCCATTTCCCGTACCCTTTGCTTCTTTTTTATCCTTTGCCCACCACGACAACATTTCCTTTATCTTTTCCGCCTCTCTTTTTTTTCTTTCTGCAACAAAACAACATGCCCATATAAAGACAGATTGCCATTATCATCATTTTGTAATAATCTTTAGGATTGAGCAAAGATAAAGAAACGCTGGATGTTTGTGTGGATAATGATACATGTTGTATTTCATTTGATATGATGATACTATAGTAGTAGGATAATAGGATATAAGAATGCAGTATGTAGGGTGGGTGATAGTTACATAGTTAAGAGAGAAGGGATTGAATGAAGGAATGGAATGGATGAAGAATGAATACTGTATACAATGCCTAATGAGGTTGTGTCTATATCAGAGTAAATCATGAAAGTGGTATAAGGGAAGGGTGTGTGTGTGTGTAAATGTTGTGGTATGATAGGATTAAACACAAAGTGGGAGCGCTTCCCTTATTACAAAGTGAGGATCAAAGCGCTGATGGCGGCGGCACCGAGCATGCTGACAGGTGCGGCAATACCATGTAGGGAGCCGCTTGCGGAATCAGCTCTGTGAACAGGTTGGCCATCATCACCAAGGATATCAATGCTGGCAGACATGGTGGCACCAGACAAGCGATCATGAAGCATGGTTGCTGAAGGTGTAGGGGTAACAGAGGGAGAGGCGACACATGCATTGGTATCATTGCTGGTGGTGATATAGAAAGGCTTTGACCAAGCACTAAAGAAATAAGGGCGAGGTTAACATAAAGGTGATGATTTGAATGATTGTTTATACACACCTTGTGTCATCGCCATGAGCTAAGCTGATCTTCCATTGTGAGCAATCATCCACCACCGAAGGAAGCTGAACAACGTAAGATCCTGAAGATCCATTGACTTCCTCGGCAAGTTGAACTTGGGTTGAGTTGCCAGATGCTGATGCAAGGCCAATAGTTAAAGGGGTATTGTCACCAGGAATCCATGCTAAAAATTACATCAAAGTGGATGTCAGCGAGATGTCATTATGCAGCATGAAAAGAGCCATGTACTTACAAATAGCCAAGTTTTGGCCGGAACCAACAACAGTGGATTCAGCAGGCTCGGTAATAGTGAAAGGAGCAGCTTCTTCTTGACGCTTGATCATGATTGGGGATGCTGTGGCAGCATTAGAAAGCATACCAAGAACAGCGGCAATAGAGACGAGAGTGATTTGCATGATGATTGTAGCAGTAATAGTAGTTTGTAGTGATGAATGTGATAATGCAAGTCAATGAAAAAAGAGGTATCCCTTTTTATATTGTTTTCGAATGCCACCAGTGATCTTGAAGATGATGACAAAATCGCGTTTTGACCAAGTTAAGTTACACAAGCTTCACATGAAAAACTGCCACGTTGCGTTGACGTGCCGCGTAAAACTTATATCATTTTGGGATGACACCTGATTGTTACGAGTGGGCCACCTAACCCAGCACACCCTGCCTTTTTGTTCTTTTATCAGCCATTGTATTCATGTTTGCTTCCAAATCATGCTCTTGCGCTATGATACTTTGGTCTCTTCAAAATGGGGATGATGCCCCAAGGATTACTTGGCTATACAACGTTAACCAGAGGTGTCTCATAAGTAATGGGGTTGGCTTACTGGGAAGTAGCGGAAATGGGTGGCAGAAAATGGTGAATCACATGCCAATTTTCATACAACTGACTGCAGCACATATCCCAAACTCAACCAGATTTCGGATCGGCATTGCAGCTGCAAAAAATTACATTACGTGATTTACCTATTCCAATAATGGAAAAACAACGAATGTGCTTTTTGGCATTCTTTCACAAAGCTCTTGCTTTTGCTACTAAAGAGGATGATTCAAACCATAGTATGCCTCTACAATACATCGCTGCTCACTATGCATTATGACCTTTATGCACCATATAGATCTGACATTGACTAAGAGAGCTCAACCAAGTATGTCTTGATAAGGGAAAAATACGGTGACACAGGTCTGACCTGATTTCTTTTTCATTTCTGCTTACCCCAGCAGCGGGCCAAGCGGCGTCTTTTACAGCCAATATCGGTTTTAGAAATGACACGTCGGGTTATTGATATCCACTCAATGTTGTTGTTGCATGCCACGCATGCTTCCTTTAATGGCATTAAACCGCTTTCATAATCCTATGGGGGAGGAGCGAGGGTAGAAAAATGATGGATACTGTTGGGGTTGCATGACCGATCTACGCATTAGAATGGGGTCGAAACACCACTACAATTGATAACAAGATGAGCGACCCATGCACATTGCCTACATCCTTTGCTATTATTCGTGCAGCATAACAAAAGTCGCACCCGACAAATACCGATCTTGCCCTCGGAAGATGAAGGGTGATGACTTTTTTTACTACAAGAACAACATGGAACGGCTCCTTCCTCTTGAGTAAGAAGCATACATCACGTTGACACCTATTGTGAGATGGGACACGAATAAGGACCATGATGATGATGTGGCTGGTTGCCAAGGACAATGACGTCTTTTGAGACATGTCATTGTGGTTCGATCACTTTTTTGCAAAGCCGAGTACAAGCGCGTTTAGGCACCATCACTTTTTGGGGTATGGAATCGCATTGGTAACAACAGAGCGTGATCCGGTTCTTGTATGTGACACAAAAGGGATCAGGGATAAGGCGGCACGATAACATGAGGGACCCTGGTCTCTCTCGCTCACTCTCTCTGCAAGTACAAGGACGTATGCAGGAGAGATGCTCATCTGATCAAAAATTACTGTCCCAGCTCAATCTTTCACAATCCTCACGGATCGAGAAACAGACACGTCTATCGCTTACGTATGATTTTCGTTACTCATCGCCATTGAGATCATTGCCGAAGAATTATCATGAACAACAGCCTATCCTCAATCAAGTAATGTCGTTTTTGGCAATCTGGAACCAGGAGCTAGGTGGGTCTCTTTTGCTCATTTTCATATGCCACGATTTGCAATGCATGCACGTTTTCAAAAGATAATACAGAATCATTCACCACGTCTCATCTCATCCTACCACCACCATGTTACAAAAATGTTATCATTGTGCGACTCATAACGTGTGCTGAGAATGACTCCATTCATATGTCATTTATTCATCTCATAGGAACGTCTACCAAAGTGAACAACAAAGATTGGTGGGTGGTGGCGGCGGCTGAGTGTAGTGATTTGGAACGTTAGAGTAAACAATAACAATAATGCAAAAGCTGTCAAACTTTATTGTCCATAAAGTGGCGATCTGCCCAAGCTGTGGGATAGTTTCACAAGGACTCAATATTCTCACGCATTACAACAAGTGTTTACTATACGCTATTGTTGTATTGTAAGGTTGCTGATAGGTGTGGTGAAATGTGCTTTTTGGAGGCTAGGAAGTATGCTTGAAGCTTGTTATTACCTGTAACGGGGCTGCATAGCCAAAATGACGACGAGGCGTAATCGATGCATAACATCACCCCCGTGTTGCATGAGCATTACAGCAACATCGATCCCTTCTTCAATCTCACAAAGCATCGTATGTAAGCGTATATAAATACACAGGTGTTCAACAGGTGGTGTTGTATCAACTTGTTCCTATTTAATAATTCTATCATGCAATTCACTGCCTTCTATGCTCTACTTGCTGCATTACTCTTGGCCATCGCTGTCCATGCCGCTCCCATTCAAGAAAGTAATACCCTGCAGCCTCAAGTAGGATCCGATATCCGACGTCGATCTCGTCATGAACATCACCATGAAGATGAAGGCGAGGATGGCCCTGTGGATGGCGTAGTTGATGATGCCGAAGATGTTGTGGATGATGGTCCAGTCGAAGATGTAGCCGATGGTGTTGATCTCGATGACGATCCAGTCGGAGACTTAGCCGATGATGCTGAAGATGTAGTCGATGATGCTGAAGACGTCGTTGACGATGATGGCCCTGTGGAAGATGTAGTCGATGGTGCTGAAGATGTCGTTGATGATGGCCCCATTGATCTCGATTAGCTGCTTACTCATGTTATATCCAATGTGCAATATCCAATGTAACAAATCGATAATAAAAAAATCCCGTGTATGTAGCATTTATGATAAACGTGGTGTTGGTATTGAGTTGTTGTATTTACATGATATGCTGTACTATGCTGCTAACATCCCCTTGCAAACAAACGAAATAATAGTTATGCTAGCAATCACCCCAACGATGGAGGATGGGCTGTATGCCATGGATTGTAACCAAGCGAAAAAGCTCTCGTCAGGACGTTGTACATTGAATGCTCGGTATTGTTGTTGTGTCCTATCGTGCTGCCTAGTCGTTTGGTCGTATTGCTCCAAGATGGAAGACATGTTCTCACCAGAAAATGGATGCATCTAATAACCCATTCATTATTATCCATCATCACACCCCGAAGATATCCAATCATTACTTACCTCCTCTTGTTCATCTTGATCAGCCTCCATCAAAGGATACCGTTGCCGAGTCAACTCGATATTTTGTACATTGCCAAAGAAATCGGTCACTTTCACCTGATTCAAAACCATTATTAGAGACAAAGTCAACCTAACTAACTTGAGAGAAAACCATTACCTTGTCAAGGGGTCGCTTGAAGAGATCGGATCGGATACCAGGGTGGGAAGCAATCTTGGCAGGGTCGTAAGAATCAAACTATTGATCTAAGGTGAGTATTCAATTGTAAGCGATCTCCATGTTTACATACCAAATCTTTAAGTGTCTTGTTGCTTGTCATGTCGATGTTTTCGAGAAAGTCGAGGTTGTAGTAAGTAAATCCATCAATGACAGCAACGCCCAAATCGTGATCCGTATGATGCTATGGTAATCCACCACCATCAATATCCATCTCTATATTTCAAATAGAGCCATAGAATGCTTACCGAGTAGGAACTTTCTCCAAGCATGCTGCTACCAGTAGCAAGAATGTTGGGCGAATAGATCTTGCTGTACATTGTATTTGCCTGGCAGGTATCGATCATAAAGAACATTTCATGGTATCTACCATGGTTGTGAGATGGCTATCAACATCAATAGCATGATCAACAATACCTTCTCTTTTCCCACATTTGCTCGAATGAATAGGCGAGATCATATGCACTGATTTCCTCGGCATCTTGAAACTTTAGAAATTCATCGCCGCCATGACCCGTCATGTAGATGAAAATGTTGGATCGATCATCCGATAATAAACGTTTGGAACGAGGCGTATCAGGGGAAACACGTCCTTGGATATCGTATTAGATACATCAACCACTCCCCTTTGACTTGGATGGTACCGTACCTGTCAGCATACGGATGAAGTTTTCCACCGTTACTTCATATCCACGATAATCCACTTCGACGTTCTCGCCGTACAAGTCCAATACACGTGCTGCATTGTTGTATACAGTAGCTGGATATTTGTTGCGAGGATTGCAAGATACGTCGTCGGCAAGCATAAGAATAATATTGGAATCAGGAATGCCGAGTCGTTTGACGGTGCGATACATGGATAGCGTGTTGGCAATGTGACGATAGTTGAACCAGAAGCGAGACGTGCATACCTTGTCAATGGAGAGCATGAGTTGTCTATTCAAAAAGGAGAAGACGTCGTCATTTGGCTACTTACAAGCACTGCCCAGTTGTTGGTATGGCCACTTTGACTAAAGAAACCTTCCACTTGTTCTTCTTTTGTCGTTTGTCCGTTGACGCATGCCGACAGCACAAGCCAAAGCCAGGAGATTATGAGACCGCAGGCGTAAATGTTCGCCATTGGAGGGATGAACAAGTAGTAAGAATATAAAGGAAAGGAGAAGGGGAGGTGCATGTAAACCAGTCTCACTCAACCCCATTTGGGCGGGTAGTGTCCGTTCTAGGATTTCCACCACGTGAGCAGCCTATTCATCATCATCATCATCATCACAATCAAAGTACCCATTCTCTCTCTCAATAATGAACATTATCAGCATTCCTGGAAGAATCCCAAACAATGATGTATTTAAAGAAGCAATGTGGTATTGACGAGGTTGCTATACAACAATGACCTAGTTGCTATCAAGTAATTCCATATGACTGGTATGACTGGAGGGGCACTAATAATGCTTTTGAATGAGTAACGCAGGAATTCCCGATTTGCGATCTGTATTTGTTCTACACCGTACCTACCTTCCACCGCTCTTGTTCCAGCAAACATATCCCAACATGGCCTTGGAACCATCAGCTGACACCCTTCAACAACGCATTTCAGAGTCGCCCAATCTTGAACAAGCGATCAACGACATTCAGCGTGACTACAGCTTGTCCATTGTCCCTGGCATGGAAGCCATTTACCCGCTCCTTGACATTTCTGGTTGTACACGCTTGCAAATCCATACAGCTTGTCTACAAGCAATCAACAATGCTGCCGTTACACGCATTCTCAGTCCTGATTTTGGTCTTGCCGAGTAAGCATACGAACGTCAATAACGAGGGTGGATAAGGGACTAACATGGTATATAGTTTCGAGCGCGTATTTGACAAGGCCATGTCCTATATCGACTATCCTGAACTTCAGACGATCCCCATGACCCTGCTTAGGAAGTTTGTATCCGACATCAAACAAGAAACGCTTGACCAACTCAAAGACAATCCAAAGGTGTTCCAGGTATGTTTGTAGATAGCTTTGGAGATCAGCTGCTTACATGCTATTTGGATCAGAATTGCCCACTCAAGATCAAGCAACGTATTTGGAAACAAGATGAGGCCTTCTTTCAAAGTCAGGTGTTGGAGCTGCTTAATGAGTATCATCACGATGAGGATTTACAACGACTGGCTATGAATTTGCGCCCTGATAGCTATCAAGAGCTACTCACAGAGAGGTTGGTTGATATGATGTATATATGGGCAAATGGGGCCATCATCTAATCAATCTCTCTCCATAGACGCAATCATCCTCATATGCAGAAAATGATGCAAATCATCAACGGCGATCCCAAGCTATATGACATGTTCATCAAGACTTTGAAGATTGTGTTTGAATCCACGCCCTATCCTAGCCTTTGTTCGATTCGTGTGGATATCCTTATGAACTACCATGACAATGACTTTTCAGAGGTAAGGAGGGAGCTTACCAATTTACTTTATTTCATGCTCACGTATCACCTTGTTTAGATATACGACGAAGATCCATGCCATCAATTGATTTGGTCCCTTGACACTTGCGTGCGTACACAAAATATGGATGAAGTGATTATTGAAAAGATCAAGGAATGCTTTGACGATGTTAGTAATGGTACACCTCTTTACACGTAAGTACATTTAATGGTATCCATTTCCATGTTCGTTGACAACTTTCTTTATAGCGACTTTGCCATGGTGATTATGGATCCAGCTATATCCAACTTTTTATCCCAGTGCGTTGTGAAATGGTTGAGAACCAGTGTGGATGAAGGAGCACCGGAGAATTTGGAGCAGCTGATCAACTACAATGCCAAACTGCTCAACTTGGCTGAACACGCTCCTATGGCAGCAAAGACGCATCAAAGAATACCAAAGCTGGATAAGGATCTGCGTAGTCGATTCTGGAATGCCATGTGTCGCATCATTGTCGAGGAAAACAACCCACGTGCAACCATAGGCACCCATGAATCAGAGGTCATTACGGATATGTTACAAAAGAGCGAGATTGCACGCAAGTCCTTTGTGCATTATTGTACGGATCGTGCCTATGAGGGCGATGTTGCAACATTACAACGATGTTTACCCTTTGTCTTGGCATCCTTGCCATCATCATCAGCCGCGGCATCCAACACTGATACGAATGATCACAGCACTGCAGTACACATTTTCACCTACGAGAGCTTTATTGATACGTTCATCAACATCCTTGCCAAGAAATGGCTCTTGAATTGTATCAAGGATCCTCAATGGCGTCAACCTGTCATGGACAACTTTTTATTACAAGTCGTGCGTTGGAACACATTGGCTCACAAACAAGTGGTGTTACTGCTCGCTGAATACTTTTTGCATGCGAAATTCCTGAATCAATTGAATGAAAAGGTCGCGTTGATCGCAGAGTGGGCTGATTATGCATGTGAACATGGTGCCAAAGATAGCAAGGTAAGTAGTAACAAAGACACTCATGTGATATGGTTGGATGGGGCTGACGTGTGGGCATTGTACTAGCACATGGAAGACTTGCATAATGCATATGAATCATTATTGACAAGATCAGAAACGGTGCAAGAAGGTCAATTCCGTATTGGTCCACCCACTGTGAAGCAATTTGTGCGAGGACATTTATAATAGCATTACATGAGCCTACTGTACATAAAATCAAACGCTGTGTGTACATACATATATATACAAAAGTGATGATGTGAAAGAAGGGTGAAGAAGGGGGTGGAAGTGCTATATGAAACCATTACGATCGTAAGGGCTTGGTTGGGGAACAAGGCTCACACGCGATGATAAGTCTGCAATATCTAGTTTTATGGTCTTGTATTTGGACCTTTCCTCTTGCAATTTCTCTACCGTGGATTGGGCTAGTAATGACTTCCCGTTGCCATACACAAGAAAACCTATCATGATCATGTCAATGATTTCTTTCCACTCCTCATAATATGGCTACCATACCTGCAGCTTTGGGAGTATCGGGAACGGCGACGCGGGGTCGTGTCATTGGGCAAGGCGTAGGTGTAGGTGGTGGTGATGATGATGATGATGATGCTGATGATGAAAAGTCGAGACCAGTTGATTGAAGTTGGTTGATGATGCTTTTGACATGCTTTTTGGTATCTAGTGCCTGCATAATATCTTTGATAGGCGTTTTTCCTACTCGTTCGTCGTCGCCATGTAGCATTTTCCAGCGCTCAGAACGTCGTCGTAACATATTATCTGAAAACCGTTGACGCACAAAGTTGGGGTTGTGCTTTCGTCTTGCTTGATAACGATCCAAAATCTTTAGCACGCGTGGCTGGCGAACTACTGATTTGACCCACTTGTCGCCGTGTTCTGGTAACCGACCAAGGTGGTCCAAGACGGCAATCATCGATTCCAAGGTAGTCGCATTGACCTTTGCTTCCACGAAATCCACCAATTCATCAGCTGTAATGGGGAACACAGGAAGATCTTTGCGAACGCGCTCGTCATTCTTTTTCTTAAGGTGTTTAAAGTAGACAGCGATATATCTTGTAGCCATAAAAAAATGGTGACAATGAGAAAAAGACAGGGGAAAATACACAATTGGGTTACACGACGTAAGCAATCGCCACTCTGAATTATTCGTTTTACAACCACTAAGCACTTTATTGCTTCAAACCAATATCCTTCTCAATCAATGATGCAGCAATAGGATGATAGAATGCCTTGTGCTTGATAAAAGTCTCTCTGGCAAGTTCAGCGCCATCTTGAGCCTTGTACAAGAGACGATAAAGAGGTCTGACAAATTTCATGCGTCCTTGCTCAGTGATGAATGCCACCACGTGAGGATAGATAGGCTTATAGCTAGCAAGCACACACAATTGTTGCCATCTGAAGCGCACATCACTGTTGCGAATGGCTGTCATCTTGTATAATTCATCCATCTTGGCCAATAAATGATGAGGGAAGGGTTCACAATCGGTGAGACGTTCAAGGAAGACAACTAAAAAAGATCCATCCATCGCAATCAAAAACATGATACAATCATTGTCTTCACAAATTACTTACGCTTTTGAGTAGCAGTGAACTTTTCCACATCACTGGGTGCAAAGCCAGACAAATCATCCGAGTTACGTGCTTCATCCCAACGCTTAGCAAGAGCATAACACTGATCAGCGAGGGTAGTATCAAATTGAGGATACACTGGTGGCATTCCCTTGCCATTGATCCAGAGATCAAAGTCGATCGTCTTGAGCTTGTCCACAACTTCTTGGCCATGGTTCTTCTCCATATACTCAAATAAATGTGCCTTCCATTCTTCAGTGGTAATCGACTTGGAAGCGAAACGCTCAACATGGGACTTCATATAAGGTTCAAAGACATCGGGACCACCAACAGTCTTCTCAATGTGATACAAGAGGTTGAAGCCCTTCTCTAAAATAGGCGCAGAAAATAAATAGAGGATCCTTTTGTGTATAAAGCCACTATACATACCATAAGGAATAGAGCTGAAATAGTCATCAGGATCAATACCGCTGCTGAGATCAGGCTTGAGAATGGTGGCAGGTGAATCGGGACCGAAGAGCTTTACGCTTTCCTTCAATGCCTTCCAGCCTATACAATGATCCACAATTTTTAGTTGCGGTGATACCACTACTTGTTTTTATCCAATAGCTTACCAATGATGGAGCTGAATTGACGCTCAAGTTCACCATGCAAATAACGCAAGATCTTACGTTCAGTGAAAACAGTCCAACCTTCGTTCAACCAAAAGTGTTCCTTGAAAAGCGTTCAAATTAGCCATCATCAAGGGGAGAGAGCAATCTTGTTGACTTACCCAGTTGGCAGTAGTGACCAAGTTACCCATCCAGCTGTGAGAAATTTCGTGTGCGACGACATCGACAGCACTGCGATCACCTATTGTAAACACAAGTTAGAATACAATGAATGACTTTGTCAAATGAGAAATGCTTTTTACCATTGACCAAAGTTGGTGTAACGAACGTCAAGCAAGGATTCTATGTGTAATCCCAAAAAGGAATTATTCAAGCGTTTAGGGAACAATCATCTTTTTGGATCGGCGATGGGCAAAAACGTTACCTCCATTCCGCCGTAGGGGAAGGATGGGGGAAGCACCAACAAGTCGTAGCGGCCCCATTCATAAGGCGTCAACAATTTTTCACCGGTAGCAATAAACTTTTCAGTATCCTAATCACCATTCCCATAGATGAATACACAATCCTCATGTTTGAATACTAATAACCCACCTCGAATTCCCAAGCAGCAGCATCCACCATTTCAGGCTCGCACCATACTGTGCTACGGGGACCAATTTCCTTACCCACAAGGTTACCGGCAGCAATAGCAATCAAGTAACTGGGCATAGTCGTCTTTTGTTGAAAGTGATAGGTGGTAAGACCATTGCCTGCATCCTCATGACCTGTATGCAATGCGCTCATCAAGACGCGTAAAGGCGAGGTAACATCAGCTGAATAAGTGATCTTGACGCCGGGAGTATCTTGGCAAGGAGCAAAGGAACGTGCGTGGATCTATGTATACACCCCTCATTGAATACCATGCTATTCCATACACGCTCATACACCATATACTTACAGCTTGGCATTGGGAAAAGAGGTAGGGATGCTTCTTGCCAAGGGTTTGTCTATAGGATCCATAATGTCAACTTTATGCCCGTAAAGATCATCCATAACAAACACATTTACTTACTCTGGTTCCAAGTATTGAACAGCAGTGCATTTATCAGTGGTGGAATAATCAACCTTGACCTTGAGCTTGGTGCCTTCAGCAACGGGTTGTGCCAAATGAATGGTCAAAGCAGAGCGAAGGGCAGCGTGGCGGTCGGCAATCTCATACTGGATATACAGTTAACTCAACAACCCTTACACCATGTATGCCTTATGTTTTACCTTGGCTTCAGCATCGTTGACGTAGACAGCACGAATATCAAGATAGCTGGTATCAAGCACGACCTTGTCAACATTGTCCTTAAGCGCGACCAAGTCCAAGACGACATTGCCAGCAATCTTGCGTTCTTCAAAGGAGATAGTCCAGTTCAAATGAAGGTGAGTGGTGACAATGTCAGAGGTGTTTGCGAAACTGCTGGGATCTTTGACGGGCATGGTGAGTGTGTGTGTAAGAGAAAGAAACACGTATACGCGGTTGTTGGGCGTGCGAAAAACGAGAGGGACTTTAAATTACAATCGGAGCACAGCCGAAATCTGGGATGCATCTTCTACTTACCTCGGCCATCCATCCCCTCCCCTCCCCCTTCCTACTGTCAGGGACAGGCCATCTCGGCTAATTTAAACTTCCACTAACAATGAACCACTCTTTCATATGTAAAATGATCATACACTAGCTGGTATCTATTTCATATAAAGAATCCATATACATTACATCCATCTACATTGCCTAATGAGAAACTTTAAAGGGGTGCTATCAAAGAATGCTAACGGAATTGAGGAGGAACAGCAGCTTCCCAGGATTTGTAAACTGATTCATAGAAATCTTTTTCTATAAGTACACGAGCACCCACTGTAGCCAAGGCCTTTGCAGCAAGCATCGTAGCATCATGAGCCACCTGTGTGCCTGCTTGTTTAGCAAATTCACGCGTATGAGGGAAGGACTCGCAATGGATAGAATAGCCTGGATGAATGCCTGGCACACAAGCACTAAAAGTGTCACCATCACGATTAGCTCATCATGCAATAAATGTTATATGAGTGTACATACCTCACGTTACCGAAATCAGTGGAACCACCCATCACTTTGCTTTCTTGAATGAAGCGTGGTGGCATTTCACCACCACCCAGCTCTTGGAAGTATTCACCATATGCACCTGCCAGGAGTTCATTTTGTGTGATTTCTAAAATAGTACGCTTGTAATCAGTAATCATGCTTTACTACCTACTACTACTATTACTACTAATTACCTTTACACATTCCCGTTTTACGCCATGTGAGCTTCATCTCACATCCACTTGATAATGCAGCGGCTTTAAAGCAGTTCTCCACCTTCACTTTGAGCTCCTCAATACGAGCAGCACTAGGAGCACGGACGTAGAATTTACCCGACGTGTAATCAGGAACCACATTGGCCTATATATATCATCTCAATGAGATCACGTGCACGTTTCCATGACAACCTCCTCTTCCTTACCGCTTGACCACCATTGGTAATAATACCATGGACACGATCCGACTCTTGAAGCTGTTGACGTAACAAGCCGACATTGACCCATGCTTGGCAAATGGCGTCCAATGCATTGACACCATTCCATGGAGCACCACCAGCATGGGCAGGCTTTCCGTGGTATTCAACAATGAAATCATGTTGTGCTAACCCAGAATAGTAATTGCCGTTTCGGTTGCCAGGATGAAGCATCATGCATGCATCGACGTTGTCTTGGAAAACACGCTTATTGACCATATGGATCTTGCCATCCAAAGGTTCTAATCATTATCATTGAGTTTACATGTTGAATAAACGTATCACTTATATATATACATACCTTCTGATGGTGTGCCAAACAATACAACCTTGCCAGTAGTATGTCCTTCCTCTAAAAGCTTCTTGACCGCAATGGCACATGCAAGGCCTGCAGTAGCAATATTGTTGTGACCACACGCTATCATCATGACATCACAATTTAAGATACATTACTTTTACAGATGTTGCCACAACAACCTACCATGACCAATTTCGGGCAAGGCGTCATATTCAGAGCAAAAGCCAATTCGACGACCTTCACCACGACTATACTCGGCAATGAATGCCGTTTCCAAACCAGCGGCACTACGTGTCACTTTGAATCCTTGACCCTCCAGATAATCGGTCAACAGCTGATGGGCATGGTATTCTTGCATACCAATCTCTGGATTTTCATGCAGCTATATCATAGCAACAATGTCAATGATATAGACCATTGTTATCAATAAACTAACACTTACATCGACACTGATTTTTCGCAAGTCTGCAGAGACATTGTCAATTGTCTCGCCAATGATCTTTTTTGCTGCAACGAGAAGATCTTGAGAAGCCTGATGATGTAATACAGCATGAGTCAATTTTGGACCTGATGCTGCAGCAATCATTATAGCATACCTTTGTGTCTGTGGTAACCATGTTTAAAATTTATCGAGTATGCAACGTTGGATCGCGTCCAAGGCGAGTGCTTTTATAGATAAAAGGTTGTTGAAATGTAAGCATGAGAAAATCGAGCACCCAAGCGATGCTTTAAAAAAAAGGGACGGCTCGGTGGAGCTAAGAATGGGGAATAGGTGATGTCCTATCGCCTTTCTGATCTCTCCCTCTTGTTGATTGTTCATATTGAACAATGACCATGGACCCTCTCACCTACCACAAACACGTACTCGACAACTTTAGAGAGACCATGGTCCTCCTTATCATCATGCTTGGTTCATTCATTCATTCATTCATTCATGGAGAACGTATCCTGATCTTTGATGGATAATCATTCTACCCCCCATTCATTGTTGCAATGCAGTTTTCCAGGATTAGAATCACTCGGAAATTAGGTCTCTTCTTCCCACATGTAAACTTTATCATTGATTCCCACTCCCCACGATCCGCACACCCACCTTTCATGCTCATTACCAATCAATAATGTCACACACGATGATAACGAGAGATATCTGCTGTCATTAAAAGCCCTGATAACTTATCTTTGCGGAGCGGCTAACACAATTATCATGACCTTCAAGACCTATAAACCATAGACAAGAAGACTTTGAAAGTGAAAGACACGTCATCTTGCTTTGATCTCATCCGCACATACGGAAAATACTCTATAATATAGATTACGTGATGAAATTGGACCCGTGTGTGTATTCGGTGTGTGCGTTTTACCACGCTTCTCGTTCCCGGCCGATCATTCGGAGGAGTTACACAAGCAACCATGTTTGCTGGATCAATGTCTCTTCAATCTTCGTACTAGAAAGCGCTCTAACAATGGTACTTTCCCAATCCTTGATACACCCTGCTATGTCGTGTAGTGAAGATGGCTTCATAGAATCTCTTGGGTATATTCTATTGTAAGTGACAAACATGGGTACTTGAGTCATGAATTGGGGAAGTAATCCTTTCAACCTTTATTTAATTACAGGGATCATTTTTATTATCAGTAACTACTGACACGTACATATCGTTAGTATGTAAGAGCCACATTAGGCATGCTGTAGTAGAATGTCCAAGCACCGCTTAATATCATGGCTGTGTAGCCGAATCGTCGGGTGTATAACACTGCTCTTCAAATCATATCCAAATTGGCAACATGATCAAGGAGTTGACCGTTGAGTAATACTTTGATTGAATCCTTCGTCTAGAAAAGCGTCATATGATACATGCCATTCCATCAGCTACTGTAAGATGATGCTTACAACAATATACGACGTTTACAGTGCTGTTAGTATACTATACTACACGTGATCATGATGCATGGAGCTCCAATCACTGGTATGCATAGGTACGAAAAAGAATACTTTATTTTACAATGACAACAAGGAGGAGGGAGGTTCTTAATCCAAGGCATCACCTGTCAGTAACCAGGGCAGTCAACAGATTAGGCAACATTCCCTTCTTCCGAACACGTTCCAACATCCCTTTTCTTCTCACTTCCGCAACCTTTTTCACAATGGTCTCCCAACCACCCACCGAAGTAAGCAAAAGAGGCACACATCCTGTCGGCACACAAGGTCACCATTCTAAATCGAGCATTGTTGCTAGGCAAAGAATGAGCCCTTCAACAAAGATGAAGTAACCACCATGATCAAAGAGGTAAGCCCCATCGCACGCACCATGGCAACGTTAGACCTGGCATCTCAATCAGCTTCATCTACTAGACGGTGGAATCTGTTATCCAAGACGCTGAATACTCGCACAGCAAAGTACCTCAGTGGAACTCGAGTATCATTGATGCTTGTCTTGCCAAACTCAAGGAGGTCAACAAGAGCTACAAGTATGTCGGTAAGTAACACGCTATCATGGCGAGACGACGACAATGGACTGACACAGCAGCATGCATGAATGAATAGTTACTTGCGTGGTGATGCAAAGGAACGGTGCTGGTTTTTATGCTGGCAGTTCGGTGTATTGGGACAACGCACGCGATGGCAAGTATTGAAAGGATTATGCAGTTTCACATGATTCTAACCCGGTTGAACATGCAATAGGAAGTGCTGCATATCGTTATGAGAACAAGTCGTTGTATGCACTCGTCAATGTCTTTGCTTTGAGCGTATGATAACAACAACCCGCTTTTTCATTCAACATCATCTCTATGTCCTCTCTCGCCATCAACATTCTATTTCTCATTGTCCCATTTCTTTATCTTTTCTCTCTTCCAATACAACATGTTTCATCAAGACAAATTGGGGAATGATCGGATGGGATGGGATGTTTCTTTTTATTTGAAGGTGGATGATGAACAAGGGAAAAAAGGAGGGGGGAACAGGGGAGATGGTAAATGGTGGATAACGAAAAGAGGATGGGAGGCGCTAGTTAAATAGAGGAGGATCTACTGGCATCTGCATAACAAGTTCTTCCAAAGTACTCCAATTATCAGCTTGTTGCCTTGAATACTGGCTTGTTCCCTTGACGTAATTTCGATACAACGATGATACGAATGCTTGTTGCTTGTGCAAGTATATAACCTCTGACCACATACAAAATTGTATAAAGATTTGTCGACATTTTTGATCATGAAGCTCTCGTTCATCCTATGTATAACATGTTTGACGTCAATACACAAATAAATGGGATTCTTCGTTTTCCTTGTCTTACCGTCCTGATCGACTCTTCTAACTTTGCCACCTCAGCCTCTAAACCAGGGACACCTTTATTTTGATTCACTTTGGCACGATTTGCAGATATTCGTTTTGTCAAGGAATCGATTTGTGTAGCTGCCAACTTTTCCCTTCGTTCATCGAGTTCCTATGATAGACATCCAAACTTGTCAATGACCACAGGACATCCCACCATCACAGCTCCGAACCTACTCTATATGCAACAAGCAAGTCCCGAAAGTTCTTCAAGTTCTCCAAAACGCCATCTGCGGCTGCATTAACCTTGTATATATGTGTTATTGATACATTCAACATCATCATCATGGCATATACACATCATCACCTTACCTGGTTTTCCAAAATTGTGCTCTCACGTTGCATGTGTTTTGCGACATTTTCATATCCTTGGATGACTTGCTGACATTCGGTGCAATCGGATGCGTGGTATCGATGCTCCGTTTCGGCGAGAGCACTACATACATACACATTATAAAATAAGCACTAGACTTGATCTGGATACATGTACTTGGCACCACCACCTACTTTAATGCGATGCTGTATCGGACATAATCCGTGGCCTGCCCATGCATTCTCCGAATGATACGTTCCATGATAAAGCAAAGGTTGACATAATGATCAATGGCCGATCCAATTCGTTGCCGTGTTTTTCTGAGTTGATCATCAAGGTCATTGGGTATCATGCTTTTCAACTCATTCATGTCATGTTCAGTGCGTCGGTATTCTTCCTCGATTGAAGGTGGATTTTGCTTACGCCACGCTGCCAATTCCTATACACCACGAGGTCATATTTTAGATTCCATACATACATCGTGCCACTTTCTTTTTTCTCTCGAGAGCCCGACGAATCAATCAAACTTACCGATGGCTCGGTTAGAAACTTGATCACCACATCATCGTTCCTGAGTACAGGATGTCGCACCACAGCATTAATAAATCGAGATAACCCTTTGCGTCGTTTCTCAAGGAAGGCCGAATCTCCTACAGAACGACGTTGTGATGCTGGTTAAACTTAATGGTATTCCTCTCTTTGATGATGATGTTGCCACACACACTCTTTTCATACGTACTTCCTCCCACTTTCTTAGGTGGTAGATTGGGTAAAATACGAAACGGATAACGTCGCCCGAGAACTTCCATTAACCACCAAAAGTCACTGAAACGTCGTAGCACAATGGATGATCGCTTTTGGCTCTCGATGATATAGTTGACATGTTTGAATATAAATCCTTCACGCTCTGGTGCAATTGTAACCTTGATTTCCTCTACTTGATGGAACCACTTTCGAGTATCAAGTGCCTTATGGCTGCCGTTGCTATGATGATGCTTCAACTCGGGTGATCGTACACGAGGAGTGCTGTGCTCAGAAGACTTGTCCATCCCTGGATAAACCCCATTAATCTTTGGACTCTCGTTGCCATTTAACGGTGATGCAATTTCATGTTGTTGTTGCTTGAGTGGATCGGTGGTGCGAATGGATGGTGGTCGTTGCTGTTGTTGCTGTTGTTGTTGTTGCTGTTGCTGAAAAGTGGATGGGGTCGGTGATTCCAATATCGGTTCTGGTAAGGCTATATGCACATCATTTGACATCTCAGTTATCCTCCTTCTCCTCCTCCTCCGAATAATAATCCTTTCCAATCCACTTACCATAACGATGACGTTGAAGTGTATTCAACGATATACCTATTTCATAACAACATGAGTCATTTTCTCCCGTATTTTGATATCCATCATCCATTACCCATTCGTTGTTGTCCACAAGCAAGTAAAGCCAATGCAACATTGAATTCTGTTTTATCGACATAGCTTCCACCATCCGGAAGAACAATCCGAAGTATCTGAGCGGGTCGACATCAGTAAAGGAAATAACATGCTGAATAAGGTTATGCTTGCCATGTCACACACCTTGTCGGTATCGCTACCTGATAATCCACCGCTGCGTTCCAAGCAATCACGTAACGCAAAACTGGAAACTCTTCCCGAGACCTGCAGCTGTGCAAAAGCAGTATCGTAGATGTCGGGTAATGTGATGCCATCTACAAGTAGTTGTTGATATACAATCTCGACCACAATGCAACAACTATCTTCCGAGACACCACTTACTTAATACAGTTGTCAAGGATGGTTCAAATAACGTATCATGATTATCCACTGAAGCTATTACTGCTGGCGTGGTTGACATGGAGGGTGGTGGAGGTGGTGGTGGTGGCTGAAATGGTTGTTGAATAGGACGACTATCGTCGACAACAGTACTCCAAGGATCGTCGTCATAGTGTGGAGAAAAGAACGATGTTGTTAACCCATTGGTAGCATTGGACGAAGTTCCAAAGAAGGAAGACGACGCGTTGCCAATGTTGAAAATAGAACTCGAGAGTGGATCTTCCTCGTCGTGTAGCATCCAATAGAGGTGTTATGGAAAGTGAAAGAAAGGTTGTTCGAGAAAGAGAAAGAGAAAGAGAAAGAGAGAGAGAGAGAGGGTGCGTGTGTATGTGTGGGTGTGGGTGTGTGGATAAAAGCACTGGCCCATTCTCTCCCACTTTTTTGCCAATGCGAGTGAACATTTGGAAGTCAGTTCCAACAATGCCAACCTCCCCCGCTCCCCAAAGGCTTGGCCCTTCAAAGCTTACTTGAGTGCTTTTCTACTTGTACTTACACCTTGGCATTAAAGCCAAGCATGTCCCCCACTCCTCCTCCCATCACTTGCTTAAAACATCACATCACATCATCCATGACTCTTTTTTTTCCTTAACCATGTGACATTCATTTCATCATGACGTGTACACAAAAAGTCATTCAACTATATCAAAAATCATCATCCATCAACTTGCAATGTTGCTCGGGTGCCACGGCACAGGTTGCTGTGCTCCTGAACTTTGGATGGTTACACTGTGCTCTGTCAATTGAACATTGAACTTGACTCCGCTTTGATGTGCCTCACTTATCCATGACCATATTAACCAAGAGTCCGAATTGATACGATTATATCGCCGTCAGTCATCTTTATGATACTAAAAGTCTAAAGAATAGATCATCTATAATAGGCTTCCACATACAGAGTGAAGGAAGGGGTATTTTCTCCACACGTGTTCGAGGAGGAAGGGTGTAAGCGTATTGAACGGGTTGGCATGCCATACCTCCCAATAGGCAAAAGCATTCACAAACCAAGGGAAAGTAAGGAATCCGATAGCCATCACCCAAATATGACCCAACAGCTTTCGTGTCCATTGCCGATGACTCGTCTTCTTGAACCACCGCCACAAGCCTTGTTCCACAATGCACAAGACACCATGTAAAGTGAAAAAGAAGCATTCTTGGCCTATGAGAAGCCTTCCATATCCATCTATGCCGGATTCACAAAGAGCAATGTATTCATGCATCAAACCAGACACAAAGAACACTGAGATGGTTGCCGCGGCTATAGCCACCCTTGATGTCGTGGCCTTTTCCCTCTTTTTGTCTCCATTATCATCATCCCTGATCCCATAGACACGATTGACCAAGGTACGCATAGGGCGAAAGGGGATCACCAACCAAATGCTACGAAACACTTGATGCCAACGGGAGCTCCATAGTTCATTTAAAGAAGAAGCCAACACCGGATGATTCATAAGCGGTTGCCATTCATCTATAGATAAACGCACATGAGTCATCACATTGTTGCTGTTGATATTATGATCGTATCCACATACCCGGCTGATAATCATGTTCACCATGGATCACCAAGTAAGTCAGCTGCAAAATATATCCAAATGTGTTGATGACCAATGTAAGGTATATCACCGCAAAGACGAAAAAGGCGAAAAAGAGTCCATATTCATTGTTTCGTTGCATGGCAAAGACGTCCTCTCCTGAAAATGTCGCAAACCAAGACGCAACCATATTGCTCAAGATCATTGACCCCATCATTGGCACCAAGAGATAATATCGAGAAACCTTTGGTGAGTTGCTGCTGCTGGCATCTCCTTGGTGGTTGTTTGGTGTCGTTGTCGTATTACGCAGACCTGACCACATCTGAACACTGAGCTCCTTGATATCGAGACGAGCTGGGATGCCATACAATATTGGTGCAACATAGATAGGTTCAAGGCACCGCAACACCGTATTAAACGCTTGGATCTCCAAAACAGTATTAAGTGCTTGATATAGAATCGTCAGCTAATGTGGTAAGAGTGGTGGTAGTGGTGGTGGTGGTTGCCTACCTGTGTTTTGGCCTGCTACCATCACTGGTAAAAGGAGACATGCGATCATGGTAGGTATTGACAAGAGCTGCTTGATGCCGGTGCTGAGCCGATCGGTGATAGCAATTCCCCATTGAGCAAGACACACAATGCCCACAATGCAAAGGTAAATAAAAGTCGGTAGTTGGATACGGTCGTCGCCACTATGGAGCGCTGTCAAAAACACTTCCCAATCCATCATGGCTGTAGATGATATCCAAGAGTGCAAGAAGCACAACTTTGGTTCGATGCTGTGCCTTTCGGCTTGTACATGTCACCTGCCCATAGGACAAATTGTCAACATGCACCCTTTGATAGCATAGTTTTGATTGTAATAAACCCACATGATCGTATCACATAAACAACCTCCAAATTGTATCAAACATGCTGCTTTATGGTTGCTACGTAACCATAGCAACGATATCACACATTCCCTGTAGCCTTCTCTATTTGGTCCAAATGGCTATATAAAGAACGGGCTCAGCCGTTGCACGAAGACGTTCTATAGCATGATGATGCCATTGTTCGATGATGGAAAATGGTATCATTTGTTTACCCCAGATCCTGATTAATGCATAAGTAGCTATGACACCTAGGCTCTTAGACATTTCACTGATGACTACAATCCGCATGGCCTTGACCCATTATGAACATGGAATCCATTTGACACAAGAACGATTGATGATACAATGGCAATGTGGATGAATCGGATTTTTTAAGAGGATCTCTAAACTAGCAAAAAGCGCTACTGGATAACAGAGGGAATTATGAACATGTGTGTGCGTGTGAGTGATTTGGGAGGAATGATTGTAGGTTGAGATGGTGTCGGATGTGTGTGTGTGTGTGTGTGCAAACGGGAGAATGACAAATAGAAAAGATTACATACAAAAAGCAGAGATAAAAATGCCAATGATTGAGAAAAAGTGTATAAACGCAGGGTTAGGAAGGAGTAGTAATGTGTGTATGTGTGAGTTATGTAAACGTGTGAATGGTGTTCTTTTAACCAAAGTGTGAATAGTATCCACCACCACCACGTCGACCGCCTCCAGGGAAACCACCGGCACCACCAAAGCTAGCACCTGGGAAACCACCTGCAGAGAAACCAGCACCGCCACCAGGGAAGCCACCAGCAGAAGAGAAGCGTGCACCGCCTCCCATACCGCCCATGCCACCTCCCATGCCACCTCCAAACATTTGCATAAAGATATCATTGACATCGACACCACCCATATCGAAGCCACCGCCATTCATGCCGCCCATGCCACCATCAAGATCAACACCAGAATCGTAGCGGGACTTCTTTTGTGGATCACTGAGAATAGCGTATGCTTCACCCACTTCCTTGAACTTGGCCTCAGCCTTGGCATCACCATCATTCTTATCAGGATGGTATTGCAATGCAAGCTTACGATAAGCCTTCTTGATCTCCGAATCGGTTGCACTCTTGGTTAATCCCAAGATCTTGTAATAATCCTTGCGCTGGGACTTTTTGAGCTCCAACTCAGCCTTTTGCAACAATGAACGGTATTCTAATTGCATGATAGATTAGTCTCTTTGTTTAAAAGGACATCTTCAAAAAGGCACACATACCTCTATTGCTGGCATCCACCTCCGTCAAACGACGATAATCCCGAACAGCTTCCTCGTATTCTTCCAATTCCATATAACAGGCAGCTCTCCTGCTATATACCTTGTTAAAGTCAGGATCCAATTCAATGGCTTTGTTGCAGTCTTCCAAAGCTTCTTGGAATTTCTTGAGCTATATGATTTATACATGTCAGCTCATGTCCATGGATAATAAACCCACACACATACCTTTTGCAATACAGCTGCTCTGTTGGAGTAAAGCTTTGCATTCAAGGCATCGTTCTCGGGATCGATTTCCAAGGCAGCACTGTAAGAATCAAAGGCCTCTTGCAATTGATTGGTCTTGAAAGCAGTGTTACCCTTTTCCTTGTGAGAATCAAGGGCACGAGCCTTCTTGAGCAAAACACGTGCTTTGGCGAAATCAGGGTCGCAACGCAATGCTTCCATACAATGGGCCATCGTCTTTGCATTATCACCTTGTCCATAAAAGACACGTGCTCGGAGATACAAGACATCAGGGTTTTGGGTATCCAAACGCACCAAGTAGCTGGTTGAAAGCATGTATGAGTATGCATTTACAGCAAACAGGTATGTATAAACAAACACTCACTTGACAATACGGCTTGCTTCAGACCACTTTTTCTGATTGAGGGCACATTCGGCACGCCACACCTCCCACTTGAAGGGTACACGATCAGCATCCACCATAGAGATGGCACGATCAAGACTGTTACCAGCAAGACCCCATTGTTTGTTTTGCATGTACATATCCATTTGAGCAATGTAGTTCTTGAGACCCAATAGATTGTTGTATTCACGCTGAGCCTGTGCATTGGATTGATCCACCTGAAGAGCCAGCTCATATTGACGGGTGGATTCCTCCAAATTGCCGAGATTCATATGGCACTTGCCAGCACGACAAAACGCCTTGATATTGCTTGGATCCAAGTTGGTGGCAGTGCGACAATCCTCAGCAGCTTCCTTATATTTACCAAGCATCGTCAATGCTGCAGCACGATTGGCATAGTAAGTAGCGGTGTTGGGCGAGAGTTCTAATATCGATCGTCGATTGATTGCATGAGTAAACAACCCATCGTCGTCCCCTTTTCATCTCCAAGGATAATATTTACCGATAGCCTCCGAATATAACCGTACAGCTTCATTGTAATGTCCACCCTTGTATTGTTCATTGGCTTTTGCCTTGACTTCCTCGGCAGTTCTGAAATAGATAGCAACCCCCAATAATAAGCATGACATGCCTCAAATCATCATGGTATCATCCTCCCATTGCTCTGATAAAAACGTTGTTTTCTTCCACACTTTGATAGTGGTTGGTGGCGAGCGAGGAAAGGCAAAAAGAAAGAGCGAACTTACAGAGGAGAGTTGCTATCAACGTCCATTGGGCTGTGTGTCATTGTATGCAAATGTCAAAAAGAGATGGGTGAATGCTGATTTATCGTCAGGTCGTTGCACTGAAGACGAAGAAAGAGAAGGAAAAGAAAAAGAAAACAGATAACGACGGCAAAGGGGTAGCCTTGGTTAACCTTGGGACCGGATGAAAAAAGTCACTCCAATCGAATGTGCTGGAAAGCCTAAGCGGATGGTGAAAAACAACGAACCAAAGGGCTGTATCCCAACACAAGCAAAGCAACTGCTCTTGAAACATGGCCCACAATGACCCTTGGAACTTCATTCTCTTAGCTTGATAGTATTGTTGTTCATCCTTTGATGATATTGAACGATACAAGGTGATAAAAAGTCTATTTGAAACCGCTGTCATGTGTGCGTGTGCGTGTCCCTGAAGTCTGGCTGCATAAGAAGACTAAGAATAATAATAGCTACTTGCCATGGCACATCATCCCTCGTCACCAAGGACCCAACAAAATCACATCCCCCCCCCATGGTTTCCCGATCACCAACAACCCCAATACATGACATTCTCATCTTAGCTCATATGGTCAAGCTACATGGCATTCTTGAATAAATCAACGAGGAGGATAAATGTGATACGCCCCTGGTGGTGGGTTGATCGTGACACAAAATGTCGATCCTTGTTTCTCTTTCTCTCTCATATCCACATAGTCTTTCTATCCCTTTAAAGAGGTACAGAACACCAATTAGCTCACATTTGTATAGTTGAAAAGCCAAGTTTAGATATTCATGTAACCATACTCGTGTATGATCATCAATGCCCTTGTCTAAGATATGATTGGATGTACTATTATAAAAGCATGATGGGATTTGTTTATGCAGCATTCAATAAGCTGTATGAGGAAAGTGGCTGTAAAGAAACAACACGTGCTGTGGATTGGTTCTTGTATGTAGAGGCTAATCAGAAAAAGGACTGCGCATAAGCACCACTCCTTGCAAAAAAGCTAATCACATGCATAAAAAAGGTCATTCCTTTTGTGTACGCACACTTTTTATCTTTTTTTCTCCTCCCTTTTTTATACTTTTTCCTTTTCTTCTTTCTTCATTCATCCAATGCCTTTTCGCTGCAAGTGTGGTAAGACTTTTGAAAAGGCAGACACCTTTGCAACGCACACTTCAGGATGTGCCCTCTTTCATCACCGTCGTATGTCTGAATCCAGTGCACTTTTACTCAACCGAGGGATGCAATCAACCACTTCTCCTATCAGTATACCTGAATCACAACAGCAACAACAACCATCATCATCATCGTCACCACCCTCACAGCATCCATTGGCAACATCAACTCCCAACTCGGCTGGCCCGATATCATCGGAACAGAACAATCGGGCGAGTTTTTCATCAGTAGGGAGCGGATACTTTATGCCAACAGGGCTTTCTCTTCATTATGCATTTGAGGATGCTGTTCGAAAGCGATCCATGTCATATGGTGACACCAACCACACCACCACCACAGGCGATGGGCCATCGTCTCCCGTGGAATGATACGACATCACATTGTTTTCCATGTTTGGTGATCACACTTGCAGCAGCAGCAATTCTTGCTTAGAAAGGAGAATTTGAAGTATACACATTTTATCAATCACTTGCACTAGCGATCTTTTTTATTGCGTCGTTACGTAAATGTATGTTGTGCATTGTGCGTGTGCTTATATATGTGGTACGTTTTTATATGCGTGTGTGCGTGTGTGTTGGGTGTGTGTGATACTATGTTGTGTGTGTGTGGGTTGGACTCTGTTTCCAACAATAACCCGAGGAACAGAAAGGGAAGCGTGGAAAAAAAAAGGACAGCTTGTGCAATATGTTACAGCAGAAGAGCGTTTGTAAAAGTTGAGTGACGTGAAAATAAAATCCAAGGCAGCCTTTCGTAAAAAGATGCGTAACGTGTGCTTTGAGTGTGAAAGAGGAAACGGATATCAAGAAAAACAAACGAGCAAAAGGAAAAAGTAAAACTAGGCCATCGACTTGGCACCCTATTCTCTTGAATCAGTCATCCAGCTCATTGGATCTTCTCTCTCTCCAATTTTGATTCTTACCCCACGATTGCCACGATAACCACGTGAGTGTCCACGTCCACGTCCTCGGAATCCACCTCGGCCACGATAATTACGATATCTTGGATGATCCACAGACACTTCACCAAAGGTCTCAAGGTTGAGCTTGCGTTCTTCTTGGAACTTGGCCCGACGATCAAAAGAGCTAGCATGATATCATATCAGTATCCATGTTGTCATTTCCCCCCTTTCCCTACAACAACAAACGACTTACCCATTTTGCTCGCTACGTTCCTTGGATTCGCAAGAGATGTTATCAAAGAAGCTCTTTTGCTATTGTGGACCTTAGGTTAGTAAAAGCAAATTCCCTGCCCATACGAGCAAACACCTTACCTTATCATAGAATGATTCATCATTGGGGGGAGGGATAACAACTTCATCTTCTTGTTGCTCTTCGACTTGATCCTCAGGTTGTTCATTGCCATCCTTGCCAGACACTTCCTTTACAATCTCGTTCTTGTTGAACTTTGCATTAGAGGACTCGAAGTCAAAGTCGGACTTGGGAATGTCAATGGTAGCCTTGTTGGCATGATCATGACGACCACCACGAGCACGAGCAGCGTTGTTCACATTGCCATTGTTGTTGTTGTTATTGTAATGTCTACGATTACGGTTTTGCTGTTGTTGTTGTCGTTGCTCATCATCAACTGCAGTAGTAGTAGTAGTAGGCTTGGCCTTCTTTTCAACATCCAAATCCTTTAAGCTGTTGGCAAGTCTATCGACAGCGGCATCGGTTCTCTTGAGATCATCGACAACAGCATCACGTGAGATACCAGAGGAAGCAGTAGACGAAGACACAGGAGCCATAGGAGTAGCAGGCTTGTTCATGTCATTGCTCGTAGTAGTAGGAATAGCAGAGGGATGAGCCATTGAAGTACGTGCAGGTGAAGACATTGTCTGCTGTTGTTGTTGCTGCTGCTGTTGCTGTTGTTGTTGACCAGGGGCAGTTGAAGGTGGTTGTTGCATGTGAGGAGGAGCAGCACCCATAGGCGTTGGCATTGGATACATTGGCGATCCCCAATATTGATGCGGCTGTTGCATGGGAGGATACGATGGCGGCATCATGTAAGGGTTCATTCCACCACCATAGCCTTTCATCATCGAACTTTGCTATATAGACACATATATATCAGTATCCCATATTCAATTATCCACCTATTCGCAATAAACACTCGATACGTTACCATAATAGCAGGATCATTGGGGATGTTGGCAGGTGGTGGAGGTGGTGCAGGCTTGGCAGGTGCTTCAAACACTTGTAGGTCCTTGATGTCTGATCCACGGAACACGACAAACTCGAAGACGTTCTCGGATGCTGGAATCTCTTCATCAGGTCTACCACGACGACCCTCCGTACCAAATGAACGCACTACAAGGTCATTAGCTCACTTGTAGAATGGGTTTCTATACGCAATAGCTTACCTTGCTCCAACGCAACAGTCGATTCCTCAGCGTTCAAGCTGTGAAGCGTGCCCACATAGCGAATGTCGCTGTTGCTGATGAGCTGTAGAATGTCGTTAGCCGATAAAGAAGCCAATGCATAGCAAGAATAGAGAGACACATGCCGAAATTTTAGATCCAATGAAGTTTTGCCCACTCATGGTTTGCAGTTGCAAGGAGGAGAGCCACGTATTCACTACGACGACTACCCCCCGAAGAAACATCCCGTGACCGCTTTTAGAAACACTGATAATGGTGGGGCCCATCTGCTAATACGTTCAAGCGGCTGCTGGATGCATGGCCGCCTATACGTTCCTCTATTAATAAACAACACTGGATAGTGGGGTTTTTTCATGAATGATGACTTGAAGTATACTTGGTTTTGGACTTGAGAGATGTCTATTAATGATGGCAGGCACTGCATTAAGGTTTCTTTCTTCCGCTATAGCGTCACCTAAATGGTGCTTCTTGTGTCAAGCACGTGCTCATTGCTTGAATAAAGATAATCATTGTACATAAGGTGCCATATTCTCTTTCTTTCTTCTCATGGCGATCAATATCAGTATCATTGAGAGGTTGATTGTGTGATAGCCTTATTACATCCGATCATGCAGTATCACAAAAATGGGCTTGTGATCACAATCAAACGCCAAGTGGCTGGGATAAAATGGTCCTCCTCACAAAGCACGCAGCATTATTCTGATCCTTCTCTTTCTCTTTCCTTATTTTGCCGACAACAATGCTTTCAGCAACAGCAACTGCAACAGCGACGACACAATCAAAATCAACACAAAAGTTGCTCCCTGCTGATGTTCGTTGGTGTCTCGACAACAAAGACGACTTGTCGCTCGTATCCTACGTAGATCACTTTACTTTGGCCAGCAGACGTTATGCCGTTCGACGCTACAAGCATATCATTAAAAGGAACATCCCAAAAGAGGATCGGCGACGACTTTTATCCGAGTTGAAGTTTTTCACGAAAACAGTGCGATACTATCAATATTGGTATGACATTATGCAAAAGAAGGTGGCGCTCAAAGCAAAACTCAGATCTACAAGAATACTGGACGCGTCAACAAAACAGCAGGCGAAATCACTGTTAACCACATTCCGAGGAAAGTCATCGACAACATCATCATCTTCCAGCAGCAATCACATTACCACCGATGATGACGATGACGATGAAGGTGACGCTGTTGATGTTGATTTGACAACTGAAGATTCGCTACAAGACGCTTCATCTGTGGATGAAAATCATGCAACAAGCTCGTCACCACCCCAAGCCCCTTCCTCGAGTGGTACGTATTCATCTCAAGATGCCGTTAAGCTTGCATATTAAACAGCTTCCTCAAAAAAAAGATCATAGCGAGAATTACGAATTCGATTCAGAAGATAGTTGCTGTCTCAAACATACCAAGAAGTCAGATGGTTCGTCTCGAGGATGTCATAACGAAGGTGATAAAATGCTCATCATCAAAGTAGGAGATACAGGCTTTTTCATCTAAATCACCTACCATCATCAATCAGTGGGACCTGCCATCTTATCAAACACGTTATTAGCTTTAGCATTATGCTCACATACACACCACACTGCTCCTTTATGAAATGATTTCTTTGCAAAAATATATACGGATGATGTCCCTTGCTATCCATTTATACATACGTGATCATAAGGGTTTATATTTATGATAGTCTTTATTGTTGTTAATGGTGTTTTATATACATTATTTGTACAATCAATGAGTGGAATAGCGTTGTTAGTGTATGATGTGACATGTTTAGGCACGCTTGTTGATGCCGCCTGCAACAGGAAGAAAAGTGCTGCCTTCAAGGAAAAAATCAACTTCACGAGCACATTGGCGACCTTCGTTGATACCCCATACAATAAGCGATTGACCACGTCGGCAATCACCTGCAGCAAATACGCCAGGAGCTGAAGTGTTGTACTTGCCCTTGGGAGTCTCAATATTGGTACGGCCATCTTGCTTGAGAGAAAGTTGCTTGACAAGAGCTTCTTCAGGACCCAAAAAGCCCATGGATAAGAGCACCAAATCAGCAGGGAAGAATTCTTCAGAGCCGGGAACATCCTTCATAGCCCAACGACCATTTTCATCCTTGGACCATTCAACACGAACAGTGTTAATACCCTTGACATTGCCTTCAGCATCCTTGACAAACTCCTTGGACATGACACAGTATTCACGAGGATCCTTGCCAAAGTGAGCTTGGACTTCACTGTGACCATAATCAACCTTGTGGACACGAGCGAATTGAGGCCATGGGTTATCGTTGGCACGAGTTTGAGGGGGTTGAGGAAGCAACTCAAAGTTGACAACCGACTTGCATCCATGACGAATAGAAGTACCAATACAATCGTTACCGGTATCACCACCACCAATAACAACGACATGCTTGTCCTTGGCTGAGAGGTACTTTCCATCTTGAAGCTTGCTATCGAGCAATGACTTGGTGTTGGCTTGAAGGAATTCCATGGCAAAGTGGATACCATTGGCTTCACGACCGGTAATCTTGAGATCACGTGGCCAAGTGGCACCCGTTGCAACAATCACGGCATCATTCTCATCACGAAGCTTGTTGGCATCAATGTCAACACCAACGTTGGCATTGGGAACAAAGGTAATACCCTCAGCAGCAAGCAAATTGAGACGACGATCAACCACCTTCTTGTCGAGCTTCATGTTGGGAATACCATACATCAAAAGACCACCCATACGATCATTGCGATCATAGACAGTAACCAAATGACCAGCCTTGTTGAGTTGATCAGCAGCAGCTAAACCAGCGGGACCAGAACCAATGATAGCAATCTTCTTGCCAGTGCGTTGTGCTGGGGGATTAGGCTTGATCCATCCTTCTTCGAAACCTCGGTCAATAATGGCACATTCAATGCTCTTGATGGCAACTGGTGGTTCACTAATACCAAGAGTACAGCTGGATTCGCATGGAGCAGGGCTGCAAATTATTAAAATGGGTGTGTTAGATAAGATAAACATATACATGGATGAAATAAAAGACTTACCATACACGACCAGTGAATTCAGGGAAGTTGTTGGTCATCATGAGACGATCCAAAGCATCCTGCCAGTTGTCCTTGTACACAAGCTCGTTCCACTTGGGGATGACATTACCAATAGGGCAACCGGTATCGGATTGGCAGAAAGGAATACCACAATCCATACAACGAGCACCTTGTTCATGCAATTGGGATCTTGTGAGGCGGTAGTTGATTTCCTCCCAATCAGATCCACGCTTCTTGGCATTGCGATAACCTTCATTGCGACGCTTGTACTTCATGAAACCTCGCACCTTGTCAAGCTTAGCACGACGTTCTTGAATGGCCTTTTCATCCAAAATGCTATCTTCAACATCTTCAACTTGAGGTTCAACAGGAGCAGCAGGCTTGTGTTCGCATTTGGGCTTCTCCTCAACCTTCTTTTCTTGCTTAGCCTTCTCCTTCTCTTCACGTTCCTTGATGAGCAAGTTGCGGTATTCGAGAGGCATGACCATGACGAACTTTGGCAAGTAGGTGTTGAAATCCTTAAGGACGCGATCAGCAATTTCGGAACCAGTGTAATGGCGATGATCCTCGATCATATCACGCAACTCGGCAATACGTTCAACGTCATTGACAGTTTCAAGAGCCACCATTTCCATGTTGACATTTTTCTTAAAGTCGCCTTGAAGATCCAGGACATAGGCAATACCACCAGACATACCAGCAGCAAAGTTGCGACCCGTGCTGCCAAGAATAACGGCACGACCACCCGTCATGTACTCACAGCCGTGATCACCAACACCTTCAACAACAGCACGAGCACCTGAATTACGGACACAGAAACGCTCAGCGGCATCACCACGGAAGAAGGCTTGACCAAAGGTAGCACCATACAAGCACACATTGCCAATAATGACGTTTTCTTCAGACTTGAAGGTAGCATTCTTGGGTGGATAAATGGCGAGTTTACCACCTGAAAGACCCTTGCCGACATAATCATTGGAATCACCTTCAAGCTCAAAGAAGACACCAGGGGCCAAGAATGCACCAAATGATTGACCAGCTGAACCAGTCATCTTGACATGAATCGTATCCTCAGGCAAGCCTTTTTCACCATGACGTCTTGATACATTGTATGAAAGAGTGGTACCCAATGCACGATCGGTGTTGACAACGTCCGATTCAATAAAGACCTTTTGCTTGTTGGTGAGTGCAGCCTCAGCTTCATCGACGAAAAAGTTGTCAAGGCGAGTATGCAAGTTGTGGCGTTGCTTGGTGACACACACATTGGCCACACCAGGACGAAGAGAAGAAGCAGGCGTGAGAATAGGTGAGAGATCAAGGTTGGCAGTCTTGAAAGTACGCAAGGATTCATTGACACGCAACTTTTCAGCATGGCCCACCATCTCATTGATAGTACGGAAACCAAGTTGAGCCATGATGGATCGCATCTCCTCAGCAAGGTAATAGAAAAAGTTGACCACATGCTCAGGTTCGCCTTGGAACTTTTTGCGCAATTCAGGATCTTGGGTAGCAATACCAACAGGGCAAGTGTTCTATGTGTGCATGTATATGAGTAAATGTGGATATTGTTGTAGAGTGGATATGCATCCACTTACCAAGTGGCACTTGCGCATCATAGTACAACCCAAAGCAATCAAAGGAGTAGTGGCGAAACCCCACTCTTCCGCACCAAGCAAACATGCAACAACAGCATCACGACCCGTCTTGATTTGGCCATCAGTTTGGACAATGACACGACCACGCAAATCGTTGAGCACCAATGTTTGATGTGTCTCGGCAAGACCCAATTCCCATGGCAAACCAGCATACTTGATACCAGTCCAACGAGAAGCACCAGTACCACCATCGTGACCCGAAATGAGGATGTGATCAGCCTTGGCCTTTGCAACACCGGAAGCGACAATGCCAACACCGACTTCAGAGACAAGCTTGACAGAGACACGAGCACGTGGATTGGAGCACTTCAAGTCATAAATGAGTTGACTCAAGTCTTCGATGGAGTAAATGTCGTGGTGAGGAGGAGGAGAGATAAGACCGATGCCCTATTGCATGAATGAATGATTAATATCTCTTATGTCACATTCATTGTTATATACTTACAGGAGTGGTCTTACGAGTGCTTGCGATCTCTTCGGATACCTTGGTACCAGCCAATTCACCACCTTCACCAGGCTTTGCACCTTGAGCCATCTTGATTTGCAATTCATCCGAATCAGACAAGTAGAAGCTGGTGACACCAAAACGACCAGAGGCAACTTGCTTGATGGCAGAGCGCATCGTATCACCATTCTCCAAGGGATTGGATCTCTCAGGCTTCTCACCACCTTCACCAGTGTTGGATTTACCACCAAGGCGGTTCATGGCAATAGCAAGGGATGAATGAGCTTCCATGGAGATCGAACCATACGACATGGCACCCGTGACGAAGCGTTTGACAATGTTGGTCCATGGTTCAACTTCATCAATGGCAACAGGCTTGGCGCTATCAAAGTCGAATTCGAGCATACCACGAAGGGTACATTTCTTGATGGCTTCATATGCATTACGAGTGTAAGCATCCCAAGCATTCTGGTTCTTTTGACGCACAGCATCTTGTAACTGAGCAACGCCCGTAGGATCAGTCACGTGAGCTTCACCACCATCACGCCAATGATATTCACCAGACTCAGGCAACGACAAGGGCTGAACAATGTTGCGAGTGGGGAACCCATTCTCATGCATCGTCAAAGCATCCAATGCAAAGATGTCAAAAGTGGCGCCCTTGATACGAGAAGCAGTACCAACAAAGCAACGAGAAATGACAGTATCATCAACGCCCAATGCTTCAAAGATTTGAGCACCCTTGTACGAGGCAAGTGTAGAGATACCCATCTTGGACATGACCTTACGAATACCATCATCGACAGCCTTCTTGTAATTGTACACCAACTTTTCAGGCGTGAGACCTTCATGAACAGCGCCTTCACGATGCAACTTGAGCATGGCTTCCATGGCAAGATAAGGGCAAATGGCATCCACACCGTAACCAAGCAACACACAGAAATGATGCACCTCACGAGCTTCAGCCGTCTCAACCATCAATGCAATACGGCTACGTTGCTTGTTACGCACCAAGTGATGATGGACACCACCAGCGGCAATCAAGGATGAGATAGCAACACGATCTTTGGAAACAGCACGATCAGACAATACAACGACCTTGTATCCTTGCTCAATCACAGAGGACACTTCATTGCACACACGCTCCAAGGCACCCAAGTATCCTTGTACACCATCACCCTTAGCAAAAGTGATATCAATGGTGGCCACCTTCCATTCGGGATAAAATTGCGACATGTTCTTGACAGCGGCCAATTCCTCCATGGAAAGAATAGGCGACTTGAGTTGCAAACGATGGCATTGGGACTCGTCAATATCCAAAATGTTGCCTTCAGGACCAACAACGCACTCGAGCGACATGACAACTTGTTCACGGATGGGATCAATAGGTGGGTTGGTGACTTGAGCAAACAATTCACGGAAGTACTCATAAATCAAACGAGGTTGTTCAGATAAGCAAGCGAGAGCGGCATCGTTACCCATGGAACCAAGAGCCTCCTTGCCAGTAGAAGACATGGGCACCATGATCAAGTTGAGCTGTTCGAGGGTGTAGCCAAATGCCTTGAGACGAGGATCGGTGTGAACAGTGGTTTCATCCAATTGGGCTTCGAATGGTTGGGCTGATGCGCTCTTGGCGACGATATCTTGCAATCCGATACGTTGATTCTTGATCCACTCAGTAAAATTGCGTTTGGCGGCGGTTTGGAGCTTGAGTTGCTTATCATCGACAATCACACCTTCAACAGTGTCAACCAACAACATGCGACCAGGCTTCAAGCGTCCTTTGGATACCACCGTTTCTTGATCAATATGCACAGTGCCCACTTCAGAAGCACAAATCATGATATCATCGGATGTGACATAGTATCGACAAGGACGTAGACCGTTACGATCGAGATTAGCACCACAATAGCGACCATCCGAAAAGGTGAAGAGAGCGGGACCATCCCATGGCTCCATCAATGAACCAGCCCATTGGTAGAATGCCTTGAGTTCGGGTGCCATGTTGTCATTGTTTTGCCATGCCTCGGGAATCATCAACATGATAGCTTCAGGCAAAGTCAGTACGCCATTAATCACCAGCAATTCAAGTACATTGTCAAATGCAGCTGAATCGGAGCCACCCTCTTCAATGATTGGATACAACAATTCAAGCTCGTCTCCAAATGTATCAGATTCCATGAGACCCTCACGAGAACGCATCCAATTCTTGTTACCACGGAGTGTATTGATTTCACCTGCGAGTACATGTGAGTATGTGTTTGTGGGTGGATTTACATGTGAAAAATGGGTATCACTTACCATTGTGAGCACACCAACGCATAGGTTGGGCTCTATCCCATGATGGGAACGTGTTGGTGGAGAAACGAGAATGGACCAAGGCAAAATGAGTGGTATACTGGACATTGTTGAGATCATGGAAATATTCATACACCTGACGTGGCGTAAGTTGGCCCTTGTAGACAATGTTTTTGTTGGAGAGTGAGCACACGTAAAACCATTTGGCCATGGTAAGCTTATGGGTGGCATGTTTACGCAACACATATAATTGACGTTCAAAGTAGCGTTCATCAAACTCGTGGTGTGCTTCAGCAAGGACGATGAAGGGTTGTTCAATGGCAGGCTCCTTGGATTTAGCAGCAGGACCCAAAATGGATGAATCTCGTGGCACCGAACGCCATCCCAGCACCTTCAAATGCAATGCTGTAGCCATCTCTTCAAAGATACGCTTGCTTTCGGCAACGACATCGGATTCGCCTTTCATGAACAAGTTACCAACAGCGTACTTGCCCTCTTCAGGCAAATCAATGCCCAATTCTCGCTTGGCTTCATTGACAAAGAATTGATGTGGAATACCAGTCATCACACCAGCACCATCGCCATCACGAATATCAGCACCACTGGCACCACGATGCGTCATGTTGCAAAGGATATGGCTGGCGTCGGTAAGGATCTTGTGGGATCTTTCACCCTTGACATGCACCATGAAACCAACACCACAGGCGTCTTTTTCAAATTCGGGATTGTACAAGGCTTGTTTAGAGGGGATGGCTTGTGCCCAAGACTTGTTAACAGTAGACATGATGTAATATGTAGACGACAACGATTATGTACAAAAGAGAAAAATGTATATATAGGAAAAGAGAGAGGGGGGTAAATAAACAGTGATCTAGTAGACGACAAAGAGCAAAACGAAAAACATGTCATGACAAGCAAGCAACTTCCCTTTTTATACCTGATGATAGCGTGGCTGCTCCTGCTGCTGCAACAACGACGATGGTAGAAAGGATCAAGCTAGCTTATCTCGAGCGCTGAGAGCCAATGGTTGCATAGATAACGTCTTGCATTCATCGCTGAGATCACACGCCCCCACCTTTTTCCGAAAACAGAACATCCTTTTGATTTCTCCCGGTGCCGCTCTATGTATCAAAACTATGGATAAGATTCTATTCAATGGCCCATATAGTCCTATTCCATCAATAAAAACGTCATTGTAGTAAAAATGGGTTTGAGGATGACTTCTATAACGTCTTGGAAGAAGGATAAATGATTCGGAACTTGTTATCTACCATCTTATCATCCACCAACCATTGTTTCCGTTTACGGATTTTCCTTTTATCGTAGGCACTCGTCGCATTTATCTCCGCTTGTTTCCGGCATCATTGAACCTATCATGCTACGCTACAAGCAATAAACCCCTTCCCATCGTTGTTTGCCGCCGTAGGATCTGTCACGCTTCTTTTCCTATATCCTTGTGGGAATCGAGTGGATGTCTCAAATTGTCTAGTAGTGGCACCACCACCCGTCACAAAACGAAAACAACAACATGCATGTGAGTGATCTGCCAATTGGCATTTCTGCTGAGATGATTTCTTCCCCATAAAATTATAGGACCCTCTTGTCTCAGTGGATGGTATATTGCATGTTACTCAAATCGTTGTGTAACAATTTCCCAAATCTTCTACTCATGTGAATGAAGCCATTGGTCTCTTAATCCCTTGTAGGAGTGATAGCAGTAGAATATGGTGTCGATCCGACTTTTGCACCCACGACTCGAGAAATGTTTCTCACGGGCATGCTCCACACGCCATGCGATGAGGCCTTCTTTATTCCATCTTTAACTTTCAAATCCACGCACATGTGCGAATGGTACAAATAAACATTACGTTATCATATCCAGCTGAAAGACCCACTTGTGCAACATGGTTGTCGGTGGTTGTTCAAGCAAGAGATAAAGTTACTTTGTTTACCGTTTACATCAGATCCGCTTGTAAAATAACGATGCCCCTATTGTGTACTAGCCGTACTTTGGTATAATGTATAATCGAGGTGGCAAAGTGTATATGTATAGGCGGTTTATAGGTAACAGCAGCAACAATTTGACACATACGTCAGCGGCACTTTCAAAAATACCCATAGGCTAACTTAATGCTACTGTCACCTCGGTGGGCCAAAGTTGATTATCACATGCAATCACCACGTGGATGAATGGTGGTGGTGGTGGTATATTGCTCACGAGACTGGATGTTGCCCCGGACATGTAGAATAGAAAATATACGCTCTTTACTTGTTCCGGAGGGTGCTCATGGTGGTGATTGAGGTACGATGTTGAGTGTTTCAGCTTTTGCTCATCACCATCATCACCAGGCTATAACATCAACAAAAGAATGGTACAACGTATTGATCAAAAAGAGGAAAAGGAAGAGCAATGGCGTGCCGTCATTATTCTCATTTTCCTCTTGGCATCCAAAATCATCCCAGTATGCTGGCAAACAATGAAAGGTCGATAATACTATGATGATGTTCATTGTATTATCATTGCTGGGTACTATAGGTGTATGGGTCTATTATACGAGAATTGGCACGCATATGTATAACAAAGTAGTACTAGTGCTTCATTGTATTGAAGAGGTGGTGTATGCATGATGGTATACTATGGGCCAAAGGTTCAAAAATTAAATGGACTAAGCAACGAAAATGGCTCCAGCGGAAACCACATCAGCTTTACTGGCGACGCTGTCTAGGACCTGGTCGTCTATTACCACGTCCTCTACGGAAGTTCCTAGCGCACTGGATAATTTGTTGGCGTGTACGTCGACCTCTTACACAACGAGGAGGAACCCAAATCAATCTTCCTTTGCCCTTTCTTCTAGGAGGATTACCCTTGTTGGGGTTGGGTTTTGGTGCTGGTGTTGTAGGAGGTGGATTGCCTTTATCGGATGGTGCTGATTCGTTGTTGCAACAGCAATCATTCTTCTCTTTATTAAGAAGTTAGTGTCAGCGCATTTGACGAATAGACCATTGTTGTCATTTTCTTATAGCATACCAAGGACTGTATAGTCACCGCCCTTAGAGCATGGGATTTGTAGTTCGTTGAACGGAGACTTTACGCAGTTACTTTTGATCGCAGTGCAGGGATCTTCATCTGCTGCATAGGCTACTTGGGATACAGATGCAACAAAGCAAGCAGCTACACTCAAGGTGAGAAGCGAAAGACGCATTTTTGGTGTAGGAGAAGAGAAAAAAAGGCGATAGTTTTATCACATCGGCAGCAGTAGAGGGACCATTTTATATATGGCGCCATGCGTGTCCTCGCTCACTTGCTCCATTACTCCTTTCACCATGCATAATAGAGTTCCGGCTACCAGGAGGAACCTTTACTGCATCATCATCAGGAGATCCTTATCAAGATTCCACTTGAAGGTTTCAACCCCCTCCTGTTTAAAGGCGTTTCCCCTTAGTAACGCCACTTGGATTTTTAAAACATGTGTATTGATATGAAGGTATAATGGCGATATTGAATCATAGACATTCACCTGGTTATCAAATGTTGAAACCAAGAGATTTGGATATCACGAAGAAGGATGCAGGAACGCCTATGATGCACCCTCCTAACTCAGATTCATGCAAGGGGTATACGAAGGCTGCAAATACATACTCCTATTTGATGGCTTCATCGCCACACAGACTTGCAAGTTTTGAGAACACATTAATAACAATGTCTTCAATGCTATACCAATGACGCATACAGTGAAGGAATGACATGTCCTACCAAGGTATATGATAGAAGTAATTTAGGTGTCGCGAGGGACGATATCAACCATGCACACTCATCCACCATGCATAGCTATGCTTAAATCTAGGACCTGTGGCCCCGAATTGCGCATCTGAAAACGTTAACTCTACTATACTAATGCCTTGTGCAGCTCTCTCCTACATTTGCGCCCTCCCACTCAAAATCTCTATAATGAAGCATGTTGGGTTTTCATTAAGCTAAACTTGATCATCGTGCCCGGCAGCATCTTCCGGTCAAGTCTTGGATTCGTGAGTAATTTATGGGTGTCTGACAGCTCAACCTACTTAATTTCCACTCCTTCCACTCCCACAACTTCTTGTCTCTTCCTCCCATTCTCAACTGTTGCCCCATTCAAGTATACAACTACCACCTACGAACGATCGTCCTGCTTCAACCCATCATATCAATCCTACGAATGTCTTGATCCGATTGTCTTTGACTGAATGGGCAAATCCATGGCGTGTACACAGCCTTCTTGTCACTCTTCTACAACACACACGAGTATCTTGATACAACACAATTCTCTGCTACAATCAATCATGACAGCGCTCATTGCAAGAGCTGCTGCTAGCGATGTCTTCATTACAATGTCTCAAACAGCATTCACAACGTTGTCACCCTATTACAACACACGTTCTTGCACTCTGCTCTACGACTAAACGTACCAGCAGTTGCTATTAGCAACGTCTTTACTCCATTGTTTCAAGTTACGTGTAGCAACCTTCCTTACAACCTTTTTGCATGGACCAGCAGATAGCCGTTGTATAGCAGCGGCTGTATTTACGTGTGGCACCTTGCTTTGATACATACGACTTCCAATGGATGATCCCCATATCAGCTATCAAGTACCCTGCAATACAAGCAATCTTCGCCTGGTTGAGCTACAATTAAATTGGCCAAGAAAGAGGTAGAGCAACATCCGGATGGAAAAGGAAGCATACCAACAGCGACCACATGGCTCTTTTCAACCCACATATTGGATTTGCAATGGTTAGGATGGGTGGATGCAATCAAGCATAGTGTCAGGTGATCTTGAAATGTCGTTTTGGTTGCTTGGCACGTCGTCCGCAGGGAAGATGGATTATGTCACATGGATACGGTTGAGGATGATGGTGGACTGGATGGTATGGATACGAGGGCTTCTACCTTTGGCGAAGGACGGTTTACCGCCTTGGATGATTCGGAAGGTTGGAGTCAAGGCACGCACAACAACTAGTTTGCAACCATGGATGAGGATGCTTATGATGGCAGCAACCAAGAATACAATGACACAACAATACCCGCTGATTCTATGTGATCCACTGGCTGGCTTCTGGAATGAAAGGGAGGATAGAAATTAGAAAGTTGGAAAGCGAGATTGGATCACCTACATCATTGTAGTGAGAGGCTTTTGTTCCTTTTGTCATGTTACATTCATTAAAGCTTCCTTGTTCATATGTGGATATATGATAGGCAGTGGCAATAACGGATTGTATACATGTTTAGATAGACGCTTGTACTTTCAAAGATAATAAACCCATAGTTATGGTACCCAAACAATAGTGCTTGTTATAGACGCTGGTCATTGTAGCTTCAATCATTACGTCTAGGAGTGAGCTCTGATACCATGTGGCATGAGTACATGCACATGCTTAACTATGACAATTATCAGCATGGACAACCTTGTATGTATAATCTTACACAAGAACGAACCTTGGAGACAAACAATACCATCACCGCTCATAGTCTTGGATGCACTAATCACTTTGGCTTGTTATCCATACCATGGTTCATCCGAAATTTCCCATGCGGATCTCTCATAGGCGGACCTTACTATAGGGGAAGTGTCAATCATGCATTCTCCACCAATAAGAACCCTTCAAGCCCTGCCCCTCTCAGTTTTATTACACAAACGAAGACCCATCTTTGGCTCTACTCGGGTCATGCTACTTGACAATGAGCAAAGACCACTTCTCATATAGCATCACGCTTACATCATATGTAAAACATAAAGGTACTCATATCTCTAAACTTTACAATCAAACGCGGGGTCTTTAAGAGGACAAAGTTGCTCGTTGGGGCCGAAAGCATCATGTGTGGGAGTTTCACGATCAAGGTTGCCAATCCCAGATTTCGCAATGTCGCCACCAGCCAAACTGGATCTGGGGGTCGACCTCTTCGACGACGACGACCAAAAAAATATTTTTTGGGCTGTTTGCGACATTGAACGCGAAACTTTCGCACAAGGTGCTGTTGGCCAAGCCGAGCACATTGCTCTAATAAAAACCCCACGTTTCATTGTAAAGTTTGGAGATACAGGCACCTTTATGTTTGTAAGCTTGATGCTATATGAGAAGTGGTCTTTGTTTAATGTAAAGTAGGTGGACCCTGACAGAGCAAAAGATGCAGAGGGTCATCTTGTGTAACACAGCTACGTTTGCATGAATGAAAGGGTCAATGTATAATTACTTTATGGATCATCTAGGAACAGGCATGTATTGCTAGCTAACGGCCACTTTTATCCATTCATCATTGTTGCGAGATCCACTGTATGGGAACGATGCCCCTGCTCCAGACATTCATTTCCATGATTAAAATAGGTTGATCGGAGCCGATTTGACTGAGCTGCGGTCAAAGAGAGATTACATCACTCTGGACATAAAGCACGCTCGATGTAGCTCAACCGATGTAATCTTGTGTGAGCGTAACTCAACCAAATCAGCTCGGATCAACCTACTTTAATCATGGAAATGAATGTCTAGAGCAGGAGCATTGTCCACCTACAATAGAATGCACAAAAGTTCGGAATGCACAAAGTGGCTATTAGCTGGCAATGTATGACATAAAAGTGAGGGTAGCGTACCGTTCATGCATTGTCCCTGAAGTCCTGACTTTTTAGCTGAGTTACCCAAAGAGGTCCTTCTGCATCTTTTGCTCTGTCAGGGTCCACCTACTTTACATTAAACAAAGACCACTTCTCATATAGCATCAAGCTTACAAACATAAAGGTGCCTGTATCTCCAAACTTTACAATGAAACGTGGGGTTTTTATTAGAGCAATGTGCTCGGCTTGGCCAACAGCACCTTGTGCGAAAGTTTCGCGTTCAATGTCGCAAACAGCCCAAAAATATTTTTTGGTCCTCGTCATCGAAGAGGTCAGGTCGACCCCCAGATCCTGTTTGGCTGGTAGCGACATTGCGAAATCTGGGATTGGCCACGATGGACTTCATAGTTTGACACAAGATCGCTTTCGCCCCGCCGAGTAACATGGTTCTATTAAAGACCCCACGTTTCATTGTGAAGTTTAGAGATACAGGCACCTTTATGTTTTACATATGCTGTAAGCGTGATGCTATATGAAAAGAGTTCTTTGTTCATTGTAAAGTAGTATGACTACAATAGAGCCAAAGATGCAGAGGGACGTGTTGTGTAACTTGAGTCAGTCAGCACAGGCGATGCATGATACTTGTACACTATTTAGGACTAGTTCCTAAACTGCCAGCTAATAACCCATTCCACCCCTTCACCTTTGTTGCCCAATCCAATGCATGTGAACGATTGTCCTGCTCCATCCCATCATCTCCATCATTCAACTTTCTTGATTCGAGAGGATTTGACTGAACAACGCTCAAACAAAGGAGTATCGATCACCCAAGCACAATCAATTTCCACTTCTTCCGCTCCCAGCTTCTTTCCTTCCTCCCATTCTCAACTGTTGCCCCCATTCAAGCACGACTACCACCTACCAGCGATTGTCCTGCTTCAACTCATCACGTCAATGCTGCAGCTCTCTTGATCCGATTGTCTTTGGCTGAATGGGAAGCCCATGGCGTGTGCACCCCACTACAACACCAACGGTCCTTGACACTGCACGTTCTCTTGTACACTCTTCTGCCACAACCAATCGTAAAAGCATTCCGGCAGCTGTCATTAGCAAGGCCTTCGCTTCAATGTCTCAAACAGTGTTCTCTACTTGCAGCAACTTGTCCTTACAGCCTTGTTCACGTGAACAACAGATAGCCATCATATAGAAGCAGCTTTATTTACATGTAGCAACTTGCTTCAATACATGCGACTTGTTATGGATATGGATTATGGTTTAGTACATGGGATGGAAGGAATTGGGTACATACAACGCGTGGAAAAAAAGAGTGAATCTATTGTCAACTTGACCTTGATGCTTGATGCTACATCGTAAAATGATTGGCGTATCTGATTATTGGTATCTTTACACACCTACAATCATCATCCTTTGTATGACCTGGAACCATGCACAAACATCACCATCCAGCTCCACGTTTGGACCCGCCATGCGTATAATTCGCCACCACACGCACGTCCCATCTATTCACCTTTGCAAAACGCATGCTCAAAGGATAGAGACTTTCCAAATCGATGTATTCCCATTAAAACAACACGCTGTATCTCTTAATCTATCTCTTGTGAATGATGTTGGAATAAAGGGTTACGTTAGCGAATACGAGATTGCAGTAGTCAAACCTTTCTAAGTTTGTATGGTGTAAGAGATCTTTCTCCTTCCTAGGCTAGTCTTCATTGTGTGCGGGTACTTGATACCTTGTATAATAGAAAGATCTATTAGGGATGCAAGTTATATCTACTTGTGAATTGGATCTAGGGCGAAAGCATGAATATTCAAGGAATCAAACAAACTTTCAAAGATCACGTCACGTGACCAAAAACAAAAATTTAAGACCCGAGTCGCAAAAGTCAACGACAAGTCATTGATACTTAGCCCCTACTGGGACTCGAACCCAGAATCGCCGGTTTAGAAGACCGGCGCCTTAGTCCAATTGGGCCATAAGGGCTCATGCAATTGTTGAAAATGCAATGTCCATGATAGCAGACAAAATTTCCTTTTGCAATTTGCAAAAAACTCGTCATTAGCATGGCTTTATTGATATCATTCTACAGCGGAATGTACTCAAAATACGATGGTAAAAACGTTCTACTCATATGGGAAGTATGGCATGGATAATTTTGGTTGAAAGGTTTTCGGTATTTTAAAGAGGATTGACCTTCGACCATTATCCCCGACATGCATAGTTGAGATTGGCTTGTCCACGTTCAATTACGTTCCCTAGTGATTATTCAACATGCTTTAAGCAAATGTAACAAGCATACCAATTCATCTCCATGTATTAATTAAAGCTGTCAACGTATAGGGTTTATATATAAACCTACATGCATTCACTTTATTTCTGAATCATATTACTAACATAATCAGCAATTGCAAGACTCGATGTTAAACCAGGGCTTTCAATGCCTATGAGCGTGAAAAAGTTATGATGGCCATGTTCCTTCTCTTCACGTATTTCAAAGTCTCTAAAAGGTTCACCTGGGCCTGCCAGTTTGGGTCTATACACATACAAATGTCAAAACAACAACCCATCGTATTATACTTTTGTGTCATAATAATGTAGTATACCTGATTCCAGAATAGTCAGGATGGAGCTTGTCGTAAGTAATGGCTGGCATAAAACTTTGTACGGCATCGACAAAGACACGTTTTTGGTTCTCGTCGTCTGGGACATTGTAATCGTAAGGGCTGTCAACATAGGCGACATCAGGACCAAACTTGATTTTCCCGGCCATATCAACTGTCAAGTGGGTTCCAAGGCCGGCAAGGTTCTTGGCAGGGCATGGATAAATGAGATGGTTGACACGAATTGGTCCATTGTATGAATAATAGCATCCACGAGCATAGTACAACTTGTATTGATTGGGAATCAACATGTTGGAAACCTTGTCAGCATGCAAACCAGCTGCATTAAATACACGGCGTGCCAGCACCACAGTGTCCTCATTGGAGGAGGAGGAAGATGTAACGCGTAGTAGGTATCCCTTGTCGTCCGCAGATTCAATGTTGGTTACAGCCATGTCTAAACCCACGTCGCCTCCATTTTCAATGATTTGTTGTTGCAAGTAATCCATGTATGCATGAGAATCGATGATGCCAGTCGATGGTGATAATAACCCTGCATAAGCTTTGACGTGTGGCTCCATTTCCATCACCTGATCCCCTGTCAACATTTGTGTCTCAACACCCAAATTGCTCGCCTTGCGATGGAGATTCTCGAGGTATTCACTTTGTTCAGGCGATTGAGCAACGACCAATTTTCCAATCTTGTTGTGTGGAAGTTGTGCTTGGCCGAGCATTTTGTACAATTCTCGGTTGCCCTGGATACACAATCGTGTCTTGAGACTATCGGGAGGATAATAGATACCAGCGTGGATCACCTCGCTGTTGCGTGCACTATACATAAACAGAGGGCATTAGCTAAATGATCCATTTGGGGCATAGAGATAGCACTGACCTGGTCTCTTCACCATATCGTTTATTCTTGTCAATCACAATAGTCGTCTCACTTGTCCTCTCGCGTGTAAGTCTCTCTCCAAGAGCGAGACCCACTACACCTGCACCAACGATTAGGTTGTCCACCTCGACATCGGGAGCTCGCATTGTGGTAAATGCTCGACATTGTTTCAGTGATTGAGAGCGTAAAAGGGATCGCCAGGACATGTACATGATGGTGGAAAAGAGAAAAACCTAAATTGATTATCTTGGATCGCCGTATCAACTATATCATGCACTCCCACACCCGCCATCCGAACCCACATCTTTGTACCCCATTGCTGTTCATTTTCCCGAAAATGGATCATGTTGCTTTTATACATAAAGATGCTGGTGAAAAAAGTGAACAAACAAACTATGGAGGTTTACGTATGAGACCCGTGGATACTTCTGTGATCATAAAAAGAGGGGAAAAAGGCAATAGATTATTGGGGCTCTCGAAGAACAATGGGTGATAGATTTTCCATGCATGAATCCATCATCAAATAATAACATCCATCTCCTATCACAAATCACTTGATGTCCTCAAATCCCGATACCACATTTCCCAATATGCCTCAATAGATCTCGTATACACAGTTTTGTATTTGATATATTGATTAGAAAAGGTCTATGTGAGTGGATGTCAACAATAAATAATGCTTTTTAAAGTTAATCCTTTTTGAGATTGCTCTTGCTTGGTTTCTTGGGTTCGATAAGCGTGCTATTATCACCATCATCCCAATCTGCGAAATCCTCAAAATCGTCATCGGATTCTCCTTCTTCTGCAATGGCAAATCGAGTGGTTGGTGTATCCTTTTTGCTTGATTTAGCTGCAGCGTTTTCCCCGGATCGGCGTTGATGGTCATCATCGGAATATTCCTCAGCCGCGAATAGCGTGGGTGTCTCAATAACAAGCTCGTCCCTGATTTGGCACACGTAAGAGATGTGATCCTTATCATCCATCTAGCATATATACTTACAGCTCATTCGTATCATCTTGATCATCCAATCGAAGCTTGGGTCGATTGGATCGCTTGCCTTTGGCAAACAAGCCGAGGAATCCACCACCCATTGGCTCACCATCACGTGTTGCCGAAGATGGCCGAGTATATCCTTCGCGAGCTTGTTTTTTGGATTTGTACCAGCAATAGCCTGCAATGGCGGCAAAAAGAATGACCACAATAAGAGCAGAGGTACCCCTGAAACAAAATGGCAAACAATGAGTCCCTTTTCAGATAATGGAGCCTCTTTCTCTCTCACTCACCAGCTATAATATTGCGACCAATCGGTGCTCTCTTCGTCAGTGTCTGATTCGGCTGATCCATCAGGCTTTTGTGGTTCACCACCGGCTTCAACTGATCCATCACCCAAACGGCTGATTTTTCCATTCACCTTGTTGTCACCAACACCCATGAAACGATTGATCATATCCAAAGATTCAAACGGCTTGTCATATGGCAGCATATGGGATCCATTCATTACAACAGCAAACGTCAGGTTTCGGTCTTCGGTGTATGTGCCAACGATCTTGTCATCGATATACCAGTCGACAGTCTCAGCCTGTGATCCAGATAATTAGCACACAATTGCAATACAGCCATCATCATGTCTTCCCTTACCTGAAAACCTTTCTCGCCGTTCCATGTCATGTTGCCAATCAGATACTCCGTGCCGTAAACATTGCAAATCAAATCTTGGTCACCGCTAAAAAGGAGTACGCGAGTTTCCTTAAGGATCTCAGGAAGGAGCTATACACATCACGTATTAGTTTAGCGTAAGAGCAATTCTAATAAAAGCTTACATTGTATGCTGGCTCATCCGAAGAGGTATCCAAATGTGAAGAAACACGCCCTGTGCACTCGTACCAACCTCCGTTCTTTTCTTGTGCATGAACAGCAGCAACCAATTCGTCCGTCTAGGTCCAAGGGTAAGTATCATGCATAAAGGGGCAGTGTTTTTTCCCTCTCTCTCTCTCTCGATACATACACGTAAATAGGTTGTCACTTGATCCAATTCATGAGGCCATGCCATTCCACATCCCTCGCTGTAAAGTTCATCGGTAATCCGGATATCGTATTCGTTGATGCAGTATTTGACATTGTCCTCCCTAAACGTGTTTGCGCGTTAGTTGCCATAGCCATAAACCCCACGCATCCTACTCACTCATAAACGGTCCCCTGCATGATGACATCGAGCACTTCTTCGCACTGGCCAATACTGATAGCTTCTTTCTTTGCCAAGTTTTCACGGCACTTTGCAATCGCCGACTCGGCCAATTTCTAAAAAAAAACCACCTTGTTCAGTGACTTGAGGGATGACAACACCTTGCACCAATATATACCTTTCGGCGTTCAGGGATCAAATTCTTTGCAACAGCAAAATCATAATACGCTTCATACTATAGTATCCATTGTTTAGCTACACAACCCATCCATCACCTTTAGAGCCACTCAAAAAGCAACTTACCTGATGTCTGGGAGCAATCCAACCATTACCAATGGCAATGCCTTGAAGATTAAACTATGAACATGCTTAGGTGTTACTCTTCGTCATCTCCATGGATATACATGCTTTGCTTACATTCCGATCGCCTTTGTTGTTAAGCTCCAGCATACGCTTGGCAAAGTATGGGATATAGGTACCAGCAAAGCTTTCACCTGCAAGGTACAGCTGCATTCCATATAAGTAAATTGATGCTATGCGCATGAATGACAACTTACATCACGCTGCTGAAGATTAGGGAACAACTCAAAGAACTTGTCAAGGAATAAGGCAAAGTCATCGGTGACCTTGGATGTAAAACATTTGTGCGTGAGCGAGAGTTACATAGTTTTCCCGAAACCGGATGCCGTTGTCGTATACCTACCTCTTTCATATTCTTCATGTAACCATCTGAATCTACAAAGCTGAGACCGGTCCCCACAGGTTGATCCACTGGTAATAGCCTTGATGTAAGTCATTCCATCCTCTTCCTTCCCCACCCTATTGAATACTTACAGAATACAATGGTAGCATGATCTTGCCATCCACCGGCAGTAATATTGAGTGACAGGTCGGGGTTGACTCGATAGGGGCCATTTTCCAAAAAGAGACCATCCATGCTAGAGCAACCAGGTCCTCCATTAAGCCAAATAATCTATCCATATACACATTAAATGACTTTGCTGATCATCCAAGCACCACTCATGCATACCAATTTCTCTGGGTTCGTCTCATGCGTTTGTTCAATCATCCAAAAGAACATGTTGCCGTGTGTTCTTGGGTCCAGTTCAATGTGTCTATTGTATTCGTTTGTCAATATACATCAATGTCAGATGCAGATAACGATAACCTTACCCTGCATATTGTGATAATGTCAAGTCGGCTGAATCGATACCTGGGAGGTGGGTAACCTTGTAGTCTTCCGCTGTGGATGTATGTATATGCGTTAATGACCTATACACGACACGTTCGTATACGCTTGCACCTCGTACCTTTTTGTGCTGATACAAGAGTAACGGCACTAGCCAAAGCGAAAAGTGCACGTTTCCACATGATGCTGGTGAGTTGATTCCTTTTCCTCTTTGTAAAAGCTGCTTCGGATCGGCCCAAACTAACGTCGATTAACAGTCTGGCCCATGTGCTTCTGTCATCCTTCCATGCCAACGGTCGTCACCTTTTATCTTTGCTGACCAATGTACTGGAAATGCTGTGGTGGCGCAAAAAGGAGGAAAACGTAGGGGAAAAAGAACGAAAGTAAAAGTGAAAAAGAGACAAGGTCGGATATGGAGGTGAATGCCAAAAATGTCAAGTGAGACGCAGCTAAGGCACACAAACACCGTACCTGGGAATACTCATCCGAAGCCTGCTATCCTTGGCTTGTCAATAGCCCATCACACAAGCATTGATGTCCTTAGCTATATAATGATCTTTTTTATATGTTATTATTAAATGATGGCATCTTCTACTTTAATTTGCTAAAGGTATCCTGCAATTGGAATTTGATAAGAGAAAGCGATTGCTTGTAGCTTGGAACCTCTGGCAGGGAAGTGATGTATCCGTGAACTAGATCAAGGTTAGCAAAGAATCCTCATTCCTTATCCTTTTGACAATTCCTTACCGGCACCAAGGACTCTGAAACATGATGTTGGAACACCTGCAGCAATCAACTTGCGAGCATGTTCTTCAGCTTCATCACGCAAAAAGTCTGCTTCGGCACTAAGTACCAAAGCGGGTGGAAGACCCTTCATGTCTTCAACAGTCTGCAAAAACGGATAGCCAAGCTTGGGCTGTTCTTGTCCAAAGTAGGAAGTGCGATAAAACAAAAAGTCTGCACGAGCATTGGGATAATCACCGTCGCCAAATTCGTCTCTTGAAGGGAATTCGAATGGGATGGGTGCAAGGGAGGGATAAATAAGCACTTGTGTCTTGATGGCATCAGCTGGTAATCCACGTTCCTTGGCCCAGTAGCACATGGATGCCGACAAATTGCCACCAGCACTGTCACCAGCAACAGCAAGCTTGTTGGTATCCAAGCAATGCTCCTTACTACCTTGCTCCAACACATACAACAACGTTGCAAAACAATCCTCGTGTGCATTAGGGAACTTGTATTCGGGTGCAAGCTTGTATTCGGGAAAGACGACTGCTACATTGCATTGTAAGGCAAGCTATTATAGATATCAACATCAGCATCGCATCGTCTCTTCCACTTGCACTCATGCATTACTTACGTGATTGATGATTTGAAGATGCGAGTGTCGAGAGCCAAATGTGTGTCCTCCACCATGACTTTGAAGAGGCTATTGTTAGCTATCCATATCATCCAATGCGTACCACCACATTTAAATACCACATACTAGTAAACGACAACAGGGATTGATTCTTTCTCGGTTCCAGGTGGTCGGTAGAAATACGTAGGCACTGAGCGACCATTGTATTCAATCACCTTGAACTCTTCGACAATGGGTGGTAATCCTGTAGCTCCCTTTCTTCCTTCTTCATCATACTTTTCTCGCACTTGCTTGATATCCATGTGCTTTTGAAGCATTTTTTGAGCGACGCTGGCCTCATAGGCGGCAGCATAAGCAGGTTGCATAGGGACCTTTTGTGGAGCCATGATAGTGTTGTATTCGTAAGTGAAGGAGGAAAATCAGCAAACAATGCAAGATACGTAGTTTGCTCGGTATTTAAACCTTTCAGCTAGATTAAACCTTGCACAGACTTATGCATTTGCTCTCCGATGACTGGTTTGTGTCCTTTAACACCTTGCTTCTTAAGTGTATGACCCTTTCGACAAAGAATGGCTATAGCATAGAAGTCATCTACCTATACCATTATCCCTTGACATTACCAAATTTCATAGCATGGAGAGTGGCGTCGTGTACTTTGATCCGCATTTGAGGAGTTAAATCATTACAGATCTTGTTCACACGCTACCTCAGATTATTCCGCATCCATGCTTAATGCAAGATCCTACCAGACGGATACACATTGTAAGTGTCCGCTTCTCCCTTTTGAAGATGATCACATTTTACCACACAACAAGCATTTAAAGAAGATCAATAACCCACGTAACATCTTTACTAATGCACTATCATTACAACAAGACGCTTTTCACTGTCCACAATAGCAGGCTGATAATAATGCTGATATCGGACCAAGTCCTTCATCCGTCGCTTTCTCACAGGTTATCTTGAGAAAATATCTCTTTATCTCATTGTATTACCCATTCGTTGATCCAATCAATGCCGTAGACGGGGCCGTTTTCCGAAAGCGTACACACGCACCCAAATACTCAGATATACAACCAGAGAGGTCTCATTGTATATCATCTGTCAACCGACGACTCGGCTTTCCATCGTTACTGACATTGGCTGTTCCTGGGAAATGTATTACAAAGCATGGCCTTGGATCACATAATCGGGGTACTGTAGTAGTATAGTCGCACATGGCATACAAAATGACCTCGATGATATTATCCATGTATTCGGAATTTGCAAAATGATGACAAGTCTATTACTGCTACTACTACATGTTGGTATGATTTCTATTCTAATTTCCAGACCTCGCTTGACTTGAATCCCATACGACCTAGTATGCCAGTGACAGGGCCTTGAGAAAAGTCGCGTGCACGTTGACCCGAAACATGAGCAAGCATTCCATCCGGGCCACATACAAAGATGAAGCGGTTGTCAAATTTGAGCATGCGTTGGACCCTATCTTGAGTGACATATCCCTTCTCCCATTGATCATTGGGTGGTTGTTCCAATACGTAAAGAACCTCGAGTCGATCACGATGTTGTGCTTGTAGAGCATCCAATTCCTTCTTTAAGAGAATGTCCTCTTGTGTCTTGTTGCAATAGATGAGCCACAATCGCTTTGTCTTATCCTCAGGATCCTCAAGCACACGTCGAATAAGTTGATACATAGGTGTAATGCCGGTACCGCCTGCAATCTATACAACGTGCGTGTGTATGAGTGATCCACCACCACCTCCTCCCTTCATGGATAGTGTGTCGTCTTACCATGCCAATCTCATCCTTGCTATTCGGCTGATAATCATATTCAAGCATGGGTCCTCGTACATACACCTTGTCACCCACAGGCGTCCTTGACAACATACGTGAGATAGAACCTTGTTCATATCGCTTGACAAGCAAGTCCACATGGCCATCCTTGAAAGGGTCATTGATGGGTGTATAAGCACGCATGACCTGAACGCTGTCGTCCTTGACATACAAACATGATAATACTGGGAATGTCTCGTGCTGTTGACGATCGGTGGCGAGTCGTAGACGGAAAGCATTGTGGTTCAACTGTTGACGATCAACCAGATCAAGGCCCACGTATCGCTCGGGAGCCAATCGCTTGTCGTTTTCAACATGCCACTGCCATGCACGGCAACCAAGATACACTGTTGCAGCACCACCACCAAGAACCAGATACCATGGAGGTCGTCGTTGTCGAGTTTGTTTTGGACACGATGCTGTGGAGGAGAAGGTACGTCGAATAGGCCGGGACCACCACATGTTTTAAAGGTCAAGGTTTGACAACTGGTAGTAGGAGGTGCCCACCTTGATTTCATTTTCTGACACCCTATTTTTGCATTGCAGCCCCCAGGTTAATAGTTATTCCTTCAAAGGTACCATTTTCGCTCCTTCTATAAAAACTGATTTCTGGGTATGCGTAGTCAGCCATACAAATCGTTTTTATTTACAACATGATTGAGACAGCATAAAGGGAACAAGGAGAGGATGTAAAAGAGAGACAATGACGTATGTACATGATATGAGAAAGGGGGTGTTCATAGTTGCGAAGGTTGATTGTTAAAAAAATCGTGTGATTGTGTGATGATGAGCGAGATAAAGAAAGGAAAAGGATAATTGTTTAAAAAAGAGTACCACATGAAGGGCACCAACTGAAGGCATAATAACTTTTGTGCTGGAGACAATAATTCTGGGCAACAAGGTGAACAGGGCGTGTCTTTGACGTAGGCATGTATGATGCAAGATGAAATGTGGATGAATCAGGTAGCCAACGTGATACCGGTGCTGATGCCGTTGGATGTTGATTGCTTTTATCGGCATTTGTTTGTTGTTGCTGTTGATGGCATTGTTCAGGTGGTTGTTGTTGATTGTAATGATGATGATGATGACTTTGATGGATATAGGGTGATGAGCGTGTGGTAGTTGTGGTAGTATTGGATGTAAGGACCGTGGTCGTAGCAGCAACAGCAGTAAGGGGTACTGGTTGTGATTGTGGTGTATCGTATACCGCAAAGGACGGTGATTTTATGGACGTCGTTTGCAGCAATGACATGCAACAAGGTGTATAAACGTGATGAATGTAGGAGAGCGTAGGAGGACGAGGAGTTGTCAAAAGAGAGAAAAGATGGGGGGAATTGATGTGATGGTATCGAAGCAATCGTCGTCGTCGTTGTCGGTAGCCGAGCCGAAATGTCAGAAATTTATTTTTGCCATCCCAGACCACGCCCGTGCATCCGAACACATGGGCCATCCACTTTCGCCTCTCGTGCTTTATTGGTATGCATGTGCACCATTTCTATCCAATCTCGTGCTCTATTATTATTATCCAAATGGTGCCATGGCAAAACATGTATGCATGCATCCACTTATCGTATCATCTCACACCATTCAGTATCACCTTCCGCTCTTTCCATTATCCTCGTGCCGGTATTGCCGATGCTTATCATCACGTCTATCTGAGCAATATAGGTGTGTTTGTCTGGATTGGATCGCCGTTTCAAGGTCAGTAGCCGTTCGCTTTCGATCTGCTGCGATAAACCAACTCGCTTTTTGTATTTCTCTCCAATGGCATAAACTCAGTATTGTAAGGTCAATCTATATACGCTACGCAGTTGCCAATTGTCTTGCTTGATGTTCATGCTCATATCCATAATGTCATCTCAGCTCGGTCCTCTGTTGCATCGCCGATCTCATATCTCGCCGTCGGGTCTTTCACATAAAACCCCCCTCTTATCAGGCACACAACATCCTTCTTATCCAAAGCCAAAACTACTACATTTGCCATTCTTGTTTTCTCCATATCAAGATCCATTGTTGTCACCACTTCTATTAACTCACATGTTAATGATGCTTGGATAAAGCAAGTGATATGACACATTTATAAAAAGGAACGGTTATCGGAAGGTCGCCGGATGTAAAAGGATCGGATAATTAACTGGGAGCGAAAAGGTACAAAAAAAATCCATCATCTAAACAGGTTGATCAGCGCACCATTTTTGCCACACGTGGTCATACATTTCGTGCAGGGTCTTTAACCCCAAAAGTAGATGCTTTTGTAATCAGAGCTGTGTTTTCTCTTTCTTCTCCTCTCTTCCCCCAACAACCACCATTCACCCTTTTGGATAAGATGCATGACAGCTACTATTATTGTTATTAATGATCTTGTACAGGAATAAATTGATCTGTCAAACCCATCCCCTATGAGCATGCAATCGATTCAGCATCCCTTTTGTTCCCTAAGAGAGATCAAAGTCACTCTGAGCAATCATTTCTTTACTTGTCGTATCACAAGATCCATGCAAATCCTGCAACCCAAATCTAGACCAATACTTTTGTACGACATCGGTCGGCCCGTGCTATCAATACTTGGATTCACATCGTTTAAAAAAGGCGTACTTTGAGATTGGCTCATCAGTGTGTGCAAAAGAACGTATACATTTATTGAGATCGTGGATGTAGACGCATGTGAAAGGTGTGGTGGTGTTGGCTTTGTGGACTACTAATGTAGTTATCAGGATGATCAACCGCTGCTGATGGTGGTGTTGTAATCAGATAATAGTAGCAATCATCCCGCATCACGAAACAATGAAATCAATCAACTATCACCCTATCGTTATTCGTTGTTGCACCCCATAAATTGTCCCCATCACAATAGACACTCCATTTGATCGCGAAACGTATGTATATTTATGCATTTGGCGGTAATGATCCAATCGCTATACACTGATATCAGCGAGCAAAAAAAATCCGCTAGGTATTGGCAACATGGTGTATCAACTTTGTCATCTTGTGAAACAGCTGCATGGTGGAGTCCTCTTTGTCCTCGTAGAGCTGGCAACAATCCTTTTTTTTTTTGGTTTGGTGAGAAATTAAACAACATGATCCTAAGATAAGCACCAATGTGACATACCTTGGCAAAAGATATCTGTACTGACAGGAAGGATTCCTTCGCCCCATTTCGCACAGTCCTCATTGCTTAGCATCTTGCTCTTTTGTATCGTTGGCGCTTTAAGGTCGACTGGAGTAGTCCCAAAGTGATCGGCTTGTTGCTTATGTAAACCTTGTACGCCGACAGCAGAGTACCTTTCACCAAGATATCAAATCCACTTGCGAGCTGCACTTCCACCAGGGATACGCGATAATGTTTTTGAGCATGCAGTAGCGAAAGGCACCACGTCTGATATTGTACCCTCTATCCAATCAATCGTCGCCTATTCAACAAATGCAATATGAGATCGTGTCAAAACATAGTTGAAAGAAGATATCTACCTGGTCATGATTTCCAATCTTCTAGGACATTCTTGCTTATACGGTCAATGCTGTGTCGATGAAGATAGAGTAGAGTTGGATTGGTTCCCTTCTCTCGATGCGATCGCCATGCTGATTCATAGCATTAAGTTGTTGAGCATTGCAAGTGCTGGTTCCATGTTGTCTCCTTTCATGACTTTTGTATTCATATGAGTGGATAGCGTGTACTTGTGAACATGTCGTTGGGTATCAAATAGCAAGGACGAGTGAGGTTGTATGAGACTTTGTAAGAGGTGTTCATGTATCTTTTATCAGTGACTAGAATAAGGAGCCATCCATGTCGGAGAAGCTGTGCATGATGACCCACAAAACACCTGCACTGACTTTGAACATTGGTGTGATATAGGAAGATAGAAGATGTATGTGTGTGTGTGTGTGTGTGAGCTGTAGAGCGAGAACTGGTAACAGTAA